TTCTCTGGTTAAATATTTTAACTAGAAGTCTTATTAAATATAACTATTATTATTAAGCTTAACTAAAAAGTATTATAGAATATAGTGATACCCTACAGATTATAGAAACTAGTATAAATATTATAGAAGAACTAGAACTAACTAACTTAGTCTGAGAAAACTATATTAAGATTATATAATAACTCTATATTATATAAGTAAAAAAATATAAGGATTATAATTATTAGGAATCTAATATTATATAATTAGAAGAATAATATAAGGATACTAATATATCCTATAGAGAATAGGATTAGAATATATAATAGATAGAAACTAATTCTATAAAGAATAGAAAGTACTAGATATATAAGGATACTTATTTATAAGATATATTTAGTTCTTTATAATTAATTAATCTAAGTTACTATAATATATCTTTTAGATTACTCTTTATATAGTTCTATCTCTTATAATAAAGACACTATAAGTAGAGAAACTTTTTAGACTAATCTACTTAGTATACTATCTAGTACTTTCTTTAAAGTTACTCTATAGAATCTAAATCTATATAAGACTTAGTATAGTAATAGTATAATTATAAGTTTAGACTTAAGAAGTATAAATAATAGATATTATAGATAACTAATAATATAGAGAATAAATAGTAAGTTATTTATCTAGATCTAACTACTTACTATAACTAGTTAGTAATATATAATAAAAAGCCTAACTATATAATATCAAAATATTAAAATATATTTTAGATACTTAGAGTTCTGCTAAAAGCCTAAATAGGCTTAGCCTATTTGATCACACTGCTAATGAATAATATTCTGCCTAAGACCTAATCAGGCCTAGTCTACTATGGCTTACTACCCAGGAAATTTAATATAAAAAGGGCCTGCACCCCCAGCAAACCTATCTTTATCATCATTCTTATTGATCTCTTTCATCTTATCTTGTGATTACTAAGCTCAAGACCAATATTCTAATACAACTTCCTCTTTTGGTAATCAGTGAAGCTATTTAAATATCCCCTGATGCTTATAGGACTTTATGTCTCTCAATAATTTTAATTATATTAACTTATAAAAGTCTATTAATATCTCTCTCTCTAACTATAAATAGTTTAGTTAGTAATCTAGAGTTAGAACTAAGTTAAATTTAGAATAATTTTACTATTCTTATAGATTAGAAAGATCTAGAAAAGATTGTAGATAAATCTAGTGAAACTAATTATATAGATCTAGAGAATAATTATTAAGTTTTCTTAAGTTAGAGCTATAATATAATATATTATAAGATTTTAAGTTATTTTTAATTTATAATTTTCTAGATAGTATATATTATATTAGTAAAAAAAATTATTTTAAAGATTATTTTTAGAGAAACTAAAAAAATTAATTAAAAACCTCTAAAACAAGAATAAAATAATCTAGAAAAAGATTAGTATAATTTTAGAAGATATTTCATAAAGAAAATACTAAAATATTAACTCTAAGAAACTTTTATACTATAAAGAATATTTATATATTTTTATTATAGAAAATCTAAGATAGAAATTAATTATGCTTTATTATAATAAGTTATAGATTATTTTATAAAAATCTATATAGAAAACTTAGTTTAGAGAAAATTCTACTAAAAATATTAATATAAAGATATATAAGAATATATTAAAGTATATTAAAATATATTTAATATATTAAAGAGTTAAAACTCTAAAATATTAATTTTTTCTAATTTTTTATTACTTATTTATAAAGTTGAATATAAAGTTTATAATAGGATTTCTAATTATAATCTTTAAAAAATAAAAAATATAATATAATTCTAGTAGTTATTTACTAACTTATAAAATTCTCTTAATTTTTTTCTATATTAAAAATAATATTTATAGAAAAATTTAGAAAGAATTATATCTAATTAAAACCCTATTTTTATAAGTAGATTCTAATTATAATAATTTACTTTTAAATTAATAACTAGATAAAAAAATTTAACTAAGTTTTAGAAAATTATTTTAAATATTTTATTAATAAAAAGTAATTAAATTAGATTTAACTTTTTAAAATAGTTTAATTTATATATAATAATATTATTAATATATTTACTACTAAAATTTTTCTTTATATATTACTAGAATATAATTCTAATTTTTAAATTTAAACTCTAGAAAAAATACTTAAGAAAAAAGTTCTAAATATTAAAGAATAGATAATTTATCTCTAAATTATCTAAGTAAAACTTTTTAAAAAATTTAAATTATATAATAAAAACTATAAACTAAAAAACTTTAAAGTTAGAACTTTTATATCTCTTTTAATAAAAAATATTTATTTTAAAATTAAAGAAAAGAAATTATCTTCTTAATATATTAGATTTTTCTATATTTTTATAAAAATCAGTATATAAATATACTATATTATACTACTAAAAAATATTTAAAATTATATAATATTTTCTCTATTTTCTTTTTTAAACTATAAAATAATTAAAATAGAGATAATTTATTAATACTAATATCTAAACTTAAAGATAGAGAAAAATAGAAGATTAAAGAGATTTAAGATAAAAGAACCGTTAATAAAATCTTATACTACTATATTAAATAAATTAGTTAATTATTAGAATATAACTAATAGAAATCTATAGAGTATTTAAGAAATATATAAAATATAATAAATTTATTTAAAAGAAAAAAAATAAAGAAAATTATATTATAAAGATAATAAAATCTCTATAATACTACTAGAAAATACTATTAATTTAAAAATAAATTATTTTATATACTATACTAGTTATAAAAAGAAAAATAATAAAGAAAAAATCTATAAGTCTAAGATTAATACTAAATAAAGTTATTTAGATTTTAGAAAAAGAAAATAAATCTAGAAACTTACTAGAGTAAACTATAGATATTTACTAAATTATAAATATCTTAAGTAATTACTAATATTAAAATAAAGAAGATATTAAAGATATACTAAAGATTTACTAGTATTAGTAAAATATTTCTTCTAGTAAATAGTTATAAAAATATTATAATTTTTAAATATATTAGAGTAATTCTAACTACTAAATTTTAGATTATAAAAAAATAAATAGAAATTAATAGTCTAATAAAAACTCTTTAAAAAACAAAGAAAGAAAATAATTATTAAAACCCTATTTTCTTTATTCTAAATAAATACTAATATTCTAATACTAAAATTAGTAAAATTTTTAATCTAAATACTCTTTATCTAATTTAGTATTAAGTAAAACTAATATATATTATTTTATATTCTCTAATATAATTACTATAAATTAGTAGGAAATTAAATCTAATCTAAAAAGATTTTATATCTTAAAGTAAATCTTACTTTTAGTATTATAATAATAATACTTAATTAAAGTAACTATATCCTATTAGTAATATACTATAGTAACTATACTTATAGATATATATAATATAGTATAAACTATATATCTAATATAAATGGTAAAAAATAGCTCTAGAATAATATTTTAAAAAGAATACTTTTTCTTATAAAAAAAAACTTTTTTCTTCTTCCTCTTTTCTTCTTTTTTATTCTCCTATTTTAAAAAAAAATTATAAATTTAGTCTATTACTAATACTACTTATATCTAAACTTAATATACTACTATTACTATTATTAGTTATAGAAGAAATATTAAAAGTCTTAATATTAAAGAATAAAATAGATAGAATAAAAAGAGAGAGTTAGAGAGTTAAAAAAAGATAAATAGATAAAGAGTAAGAGTAGAAAGAAAAAATTTATTATAATAATAAAGAAAATATACTACTTTATTTATATACTATATAAATGAATCTAAAATAGTATTATATTAGAAACCTTTATTTAGAAAAATATCTTGAAGTAAATTACCTATTTTTACTAATATTATACTAATATCCGGACTAGCTATCACTTAGAGAAAAGAATAATTTATTACAGGATTCTGAGTATATAATATCTCAGATACTCAACATCGATCCAAAGTCGAATCCCCTTTAAGTCACCTATATATCGAGGCCCACCCGAACCCTAATATATTTAAGATCCTACAAGTATTCAGGATTCTTGATCTTATTAAGAATCAGTCTATATATCAACTATCTAGTCTAAAATCTACTATCTGATATCCTTACCTAGCCATAGGTCTCTAGCCTGATAACTTAGTAACTATTACAGATGACCACTGAGATAGAACCTTCTAAGGTATCTGATCCTTTATGGGTAATACACTGATAACGCTACCACTACAGGAAAGAAAAAGACCGTATTATAACACTTCATAGGTATGTATCTTCCTAGAATACTATCGCGCGAACTAAGTATCTCCCTGTAGGCAGGCACCTTGTTGCTAAGGCTCTGATCACATAAATCCCATGTTGAGAGCAGAGTCCCTATTACACTATATAATAATAATAATTAATTTCTATGATTAAAGTTATATAATTTTCGATAGATTAAAGATCTTTTATATCTTCTACTAGAACAGATATAAAAATCCAATTATTATAATAGTAAAATCTTTTAGGAAGGTCAATAATATAATAGAAACTATATATATGCTTCTGTTTTAATCTTACTATTTTTTTAGTATAGATCTAACTATAGGATTTTTCTTACTTAGAAGTATATCCTCCTTAAATAACTACAGAGGGTCTATTTAGGTTTAGATATACTATTATATAGGATCTTGGAAGGAAGTTATTGTATATTAAGTATGTGTCACTAAAATAAGTGGTATCGAAGGTTAATATACCTATATAGGAAATAAAGTAGTTATATATTGTGTAGGCACCCCAGGGATCATATGTATATATAAAGTAATAGCATATCCCTTGATCATCACATAATTTATAATAGTTCAGTTATGTAGCTAACAATATAGTATCTCCCAAACACAATCAATAAGTTGAAACAAGCGAAAACGTAAAACTCATCAGCAAAGGTCACAAACAAAGATCTATCTCCTAGGGTATATTGAAGTCCAGGGTAAATAAACTAGTACACAAAGTCTTCTGCATACTCCTCGTATTCCTTCATGAAATCCCCCATGTTGAACTTTTGGTCCAGTTTCCTCGCGGACAAAATGGCATTTCCAGCGTCGACGTACGCCTTCTTGAAGACCGTGAATAATGACGGGCTAGTCAACGCATGTGGAATAAAAAGCTGATTATCGCCTAAAACCATCGCTCCCTTGAACGCTTGGTAAACAGTGGCACAATCCTGAGTCAAATCAACAGCCTCGCATTGACCGAAGTCCAGAAGATACAGTCCAATAGCGCGATGTTGGAAGTCTGCAGACTCAAAAAGCGTCCCCGGTTCCCTTGATGCGGATGTACCGAGTACAAATTCCACATCGTCTCCATTGATTGCTGCACCCCAGTGCATTGTTGCGTAGGCTTTACCCATTTCTTGAGCAAGCATGGCGGTGTCGATTTGCAATTCCTCCATCCAGTCGAGGTATAGCGGGAAGTTTCTGAGCGGGGCCGGATTCTGTCGCTTGATCGAAGCATTTCCTTTACCCAGGTAAACTCGCGCAAGACAGTGTTTGTTTTGCGGATTGTTCAGAACGTACTCGACCTCAACATCATTGAGATCCCATTCACGACGACAGAAAAAAGTGATGAGTGCTCTACGCGTTATCTTTGGTAGGGGAAGGATACGTTCCATGGCCACAATATTTCCACGTGTACGATATCCCCGTGGTATCTTTAGGAGAATTTCATCCCAGGCTTCTTGCGTTTTCAGAGTAAAATTATAAGGCGTCGGAACATGGACGATGCTCTGGGTGGACATTTGGTAGAGATTAAACGCAGCGGAAACGTCGCAATGTAATTTGTATTCGGATAGGAGATTCGAGCGACGTAATTCGTTGCCTGGACTTTCCTTCTTGAGGGCATATGTCTTCCCAACTATTTCAAAGATAGCGCCTTGGAGGCCGCTACCGATCTGATTAACCTGCTGGAGGTGGGGTTCAAAACGAGCATTCTGGAAGCGCCGAGCAAAAGAGGAGGCAGTTAAGATGACTATGTTCAGACGTAGGGATCTTTGTAGAATGACTGAGTCCGCGGCTGATTCGAGTTCTTCGGCGTTGAGGGCGATTCGGGCATGCCGCGCGGTAGACGATGCGTCGGGGCGAGCTGACTCTTCAATTTTGTCTATTTCACGTCTAGAATACATAGCAAAATTAGAGAAAGTAGGAGCCTGCGTAGAAAAAAAAACTTGAATGGTAGATGTTTAGGAAATTGAAAATCGACGATGGATGATGAATGGAGGGTGCCTGCCGTCTAGATTATCCCACTTAGTCATATCCGTCTAGCGGCCTTCTACATTTGGGTTCAGCACTTCCTTAAGCTTAATTATTATGTCACATAACCTTGGATCCCATGTGAGCCTTAATATGTGCTCGGCCATGGGTAGACCCTCATAATCCCACAGCATACGGTTCTGGAAATAGTAATTATCTAGTCAGGACCGAGACGCAGGATGTCTGGAGAGGTAATACCATATATCCGCCAAGATTAACTATGTTTATGCCCACACCTAGTTTTTACAGTAACCCAGATATTAGATAATTAAGGTTGGTTGATTCATTAGTTGATTTAAAATATAGGATTACAGTACTAATCATCAGGGTACTCATCCTTGACATTACTAACAAAGGCTTGCACGGTTCTGTCCCACCTTTTAAAATGCTTGCCAGCAATACTCATTAGGCTTGAAGGTAGCTCCTCAACATCAGGCAGAACAAGGCTGATATTCTCCTCGGCAACATACCGAACACTTCGATCTTCGACCAGAACATGATAAAAGCTCTGGTGGCGACCAGCTTGTAAACGGTCGATGCCCATGCGCCTCATCCACTGTTCCCCAGCGCCACATTCCGAGTCCCAGCCGGTGATAATGGCCCGGTAATGATATCGGCGATGCTGGAAGACCTGTCCAACCTTATACCGGACAGCTCTGTTCTCACCGGTTCGGCGATGGACCTGCTTCGGAATCTCGTCCACGGCTCGCATGACGTGAAGGCTTTCGAGTATATGTTCATGTTCAAGAAGGCCATTGAACAAAGGCACAATGTACTGCTCCACCAAAAAGATATCAGAGGGAAAGTCAGTTGCAAAGAGCTCCATCAATAACGCCAGTTGGTGTCGTAAATCCATTGGCCGCGAATCGGCTGAAAGAAGCATTGATGACCACGAAGCCGCATATTTCGCACTCACGATGTCCACCGGTGAAGCATGTAAATCGAATTGCCTGGATGCAGAATGGATTGAGTTGACAATGTTCTTGCTGCACCGCAAGACAACCTCCGAGGGAAACGATTCGCCGAGAAATTCATTCTGCTCTGTCTCAGATGCGCCGAGGAATACCAGCTGTTGTCGCAGGTCGGAGACCGGCGTCTCCTCGCTCCTCGAAATGGATCGAGATACATGGGCTCGCCGGGTTCGGCGCCAGTGACCCTTTTCCCGTCCATATCAAACCCGGTTTGCGGAGTAACAATGACATGGACATGGAATGGAAATCCACAAGGATGAGCATCAATTCCAAGCGCCTGGGCAACGTGACAGTATATGACCGCAGATATCAATGGCAAAGAGTTGTGTCCCGGGCTATTGAGAGCCATGCCCAGGAAGTTGTGTTCCAGAGAATGGTACTCTCGCCCAGCTTCGATGCCTATCAGGTCATTTGCTCGCAGCCAAGACGCAAGCTCGAGAGTTTTCCCCCCTGGGGCTTAGAGCATCAAGATCAGGATGGGAGGTCGTGAATTGGTGTACCACTTGTGCCATGGCATGCTCAAGCTAGAACACAATTAGCCAGGGTCCTAATTAGATATGGCTAGAATTAGAAGAACAAACCTCGTCAAAATCGCCATACCCGCTTTCCGGGATGAAAAGGTCGAATGCGCCCAGGGCGCGGTCGAGTGTGACTGCCTCGCCACGTCGTAATTTATCCCACTCCGGAACCGCAATACTTCGGTGTAGACAAGTCAAAAGGGCACGGGCATAGTATCTTATGCTCGCGGAACACATGTAAGCTCCAAAGAACCGAGGATATGGGAGAGATTGATATTGTCATATACGCACCTCCTTGCGAGATAATCATCACACTCCTGAACTTGGCAATTCCTTAACAGCGTATCTTTTGCATCATAGCCGAACTCGATCACGGCTCGGAACTTCTCAATCCGCCCTGTCTGGCTGCCAAGAATACTGTCCAGAAGTTGGGCGACAGAGCCATCGATACCATATCTTTGAATAAACAAAGCTTTCCAATCCACAGACGTTGTTGGGAGGATAAATTGCCGGTAAATGTCATGTCTCCGATCCCAGAATTTGTAGTAGGTTCGGCAGTAATGTCGCCATAGTAAGGGTCGTTTCGTCACATCTGCGAACCAGCGGCTGGTTTGTTGGAGAGCTGCAGCAGACCGTGGATGTGAGTAACATAGGATCGAATGAAGGATCTCTTCCGGCAGATGATTGAGAGACAGAATCATCCCTGTGGAGGTCGCGTCAGGCGTTTGGCACGCGCAGGGCGGAGAAGAACTGCCTGGATATTTGACAACCTCAGATTCAAGAGCCCTCGGAGGATAATCACTAAGGAGATGGATGGTGAATTGTGCTTCGCATCAGGTATCGCGTCTTAGAGCAAATTCAACGCCAGCGTTGGGCCCTTGGATAGGGGAGATGTTCATGGTATTCAGCTGTTAGCGAAGAAAGGGAAAGGGCGGGGAAACCTGTGACCTACGCCAAGACCCGAGACTTTCCCCTCCACCGAGACGCGTTTTCACTGCATATTTTGCTCCGGATACAGACTAAGGCCGAGCGGTCTTTCGCGCTCTTGAGACAGGGCCTTATCGGAGAATGACGAGGGAAAAACTCACGAAACTTCCTGCAACTTGAATTTTACGACACTGGTCTCCTCGCCATGGGCCAATCTCAGTCAACAGGGTCAGCCCCAGAGCCGCAACCCGAGCAAAAAACCGATTATTACGACCTACTCGGCGTTTCTCGAACGGCAACTGACGACGAGTAAGCTAATCGCCCTGGAACCACTTCCCGATCACCATCACAGCCCTCCGTCTCACATTCCATAGAATCAAAAAGGCATACCGAAAGAAAGCCCTCGAATTACACCCCGATCGAAACTACGGCAACGTCGAAGAAGCCACCCGCCTTTTCGCCGAAATCCAGTCTGCCTATGAAGTTCTCGCCGATCCCCAGGAACGAGCATGGTACGATTCCCACAAGGATGCATTTCTAGGAACAACCCAAGGTCCGGACGGCTCGTCGGAGGCAGGTCAAAATGTCTACAACATACGAATCACGACCGCGGAAGAAGTCCTCAAGGTATTCTCGAAGTTCAGTCCACGAATGGAATTCTCCGACTCCCCATCCGGATTCTTCGGCGGCCTCAAGGAACAATTCGCGCAATTGGCACTCGAGGAGCGAGCGGCTTGCCAGTGGGAAAATCAAGATGTGGTCGAATACCCATCCTTCGGTTCTGCAAATGATGATTTCGAGACCTTTGTCCGTCCATTTTACTCTGTGTGGACTGGATTCTCGACCAAGAAGTCATTTGCTTGGAAAGACGCCCACCGCTTATCCGAAGCACCTGATCGCCGAGTCCGACGACTGATGGAAAAAGAAAACCGGCGCCTGAGGGACGAAGGGATTCGGACCTTTAACGATGCGGTGCGATCATTGGTGGCGTTTATCAAGAAACGTGATCCACGCTGGAAGCTCAATGCTCAGAATGAAGCCCAACGCCAAGAAGCGCTGCGTCAGTCAGTCGCGGCGCAGGCAGCTAGGTCTCGAGCTATGAACAATGCCAAGATGCGTGACCATGTTCTGCCTGAGTGGGCGCGCTCCGAGGATCATGTGGCCAGTGATGACGACGAAGAAAGCTCAGAGAGTGAGGTTGAGAGTTTCGAATGTATTGCGTGCAACAAAAGTTTCAAGAGCGAGAAACAATTCGAGGCTCATGAAAAGAGTAAGAAGCACGTCAAGGCTGTAAAGCAGTTGACCCGTGAGATGCGCTTGCAAGATGTACAACTCGATCTTGAGCCGGAACCTATTGTTAAACGCGATGCTTTCGATCTCGATCCACTTGATGATGACGATATGCCCACCGAGGACATTGAGAGCTTACGCACATCGTCCCCCGTTGCCGATGGCGAAGCAGAGATTAGTACAGACGAGGCTGAGCCTCCGTTTGCCCAGTCTCAAGAAACGACACCTTCCGAATGGGATGAAGATGCCAAAAAAGCCAGCTTAGCTACTCCGGATCAAGAGCTAGAATCTTCTGATTCCGGTGGTGACGACGATTACGCATCCCGGGAAGCCGTAGAAACGAGACTTCACCCAGATATCGACTCTACGCAGGACCAGGATCTGGCGACACCACTAAGCGAACAGCTATCTTCTGTGGCGCTTGAGGGCCCTCTAGACGAAGAGCAACAGCCCCGGACTCCTCCCCTGGGAAAGGCCAAGCAGAAGAAAGCCAAGAAAGCGGCACGAGAGGCCGGGGATCAAAGTCAAACCGGCATGGTCTGTTCTGGGTGCAATGCCAACTTCCCTTCAAAAACGAAGCTGTTCGCCCACTTGCAGAAAAATCCATCCCATGCACAGTTAAAGACTACCACGAAAGGCCGGAGACGGTAGGAGTTTGTTTATTCTTATAGCAGGCATCTGCATCTTCATATATTTACGCCACTTCAACCTTACGCATTTACGAATAGACCCTAGACTAGAACACTTAGATATCTAGTGATGAAGAAAAATGATACTGAGTAATGTTTTCACTCTATTCTATCTTAGTCTATTTGAATATGCTTCATACGGTTAAAAACAGCAGGGCCCCCAGAGGGGGGTTAGGAAAAATATGCAAAGAAAGGCCCCTATATAAAGACAGGATATCTTCTTATCCAAGACCCGTTCGTGAATTCTTGACCACATGCGTAACAGGCTGGAGAATACCCTTATTGTTAGTAGCACCAAGGGCAGTACCACTACTCCAACCCATCTTCTCCAGCATAGCACGGCCACGATTTCCAGCTCCAATCTCCGGCGCCGATCCACCAACCACGTCTCCATCCATGTAGGTGACGCCAGAAGTGACACCGCCACCACCTCTGGGCTTGAGTTTTGTTTGTTTCCCATGACCATCTGGACCCCAGGAAGCGAACAAGCGACGGTTCAACTTGCGTCCAGATAATAAAGAATCGACCTTCGAAATGGTCTTGCGCGTGTAACCCGGTGTGCGAGAAGTCTTGATGAGGATGGGGAATCTTGTAATGCCATTTCCCTTGGATTGGGACTTGAGGTTCACGACATTCGCCAATTCGTGGATAGTTTTACGGCGGTTCTTAGTCATGGGTGGTAAGGACAAGCTAGAGAAAAAGTTAGCCGAGCTGGCCTGGACATGATACCATAGCCGGAAAGGGGGGGGGTAGGTATAGACGTACGTTGTTTTCGATGACATGAGGAACGCCCGAATCTCGGTCATCAGTTCATCCATATTCATTCCCTTGGAGTATCTCTGTCTCAGATCCGCATCTTCAGAGTCTTTCCCAAGAACACCCTGCTGACGAAGCTCTTCTCTCTCCTTCTTCTTCGCCGCCTTCTTCTTGCGATCGGCCTGCCATACGTCTTGCATGTGCATTTCCATTTCACTATCGGAAAACATCAAGTCGAAGTCGGGCGGCATCTTCTTACTCTTGCCCGATTTCGACAAACTGGGTCGATTAAAGTCCATAATGTCGAACCCATAGTAAGGATCTGCATCGATTGCATCCGCGAAAGCAGATGCGGACGGGAAACCAAATTTGCTCCCGCCTTTGCCTTTCTTTTTGTGGGTTTGAGAGTACTCCAGGGCCAATTGTTCAAGAATGTCGGCGTCCAGGTCTTCATCATCCGAGTCGAGCTCTTCCAGATCCGATGTATTGGGCGTGTCCAATTCGACGTCTGAGGTGATGTTGATAGTCAGGTCGTCAGGCTTGGCGTCAATATGCATTTTCGATAACACTGGTAGGTCTGTGTCAGTTTGTATCTTGGTATCAGGTGGACTAACCAAGGAAACTTACCATCGATTGAACTTTCGACACCAGTCTCGTCATTATTTCCTTGTCCGACGTCGATACCACCCTCAAGTCCGACTTGAACCCGACTGCTCTCTTCCTCCTCCTCACTCTCACTCTCACTCTCACTGTCCTGATCCATATTGGCGATATAATCCGCCAATATATCATCATTATCAGGCGACCACTTGAATCTCTCTCTCGCAGGCGGTTTGCGGCGGCTGCGCGCTGGCGTCGGATGTGACTCTTGAGTCCGCAATGTGAGCTCCTCCTTCTGGAGCACCTTTGGCTGTGGTTCTTGGAAGTTCGGAAGGCTTCGCAGATCACGCTCGTCCGTTTCTATGAGAATCGGTTTATTATTCCGACCAGTAAACACGACCTCATCCTCGCTGCTGTCATCCAAAAGATCCGGATCCGCGAGCGGGGCCGGGTCAGACAAGCCCGTTTGAACCGTTTCGCCAACAGAGTCAATAACGAACAACGGCTCATCTTCCTCTTTGGCAGGAACCTCCTCGCCGATCTGTTCTTGTTCGGCTGTGCGCTCGGGTTGTGGTTGTGGTTGTAATTCTGTATCCGCCGCATTTTCGGTTTCGACTTGGGTGTGGCCGGGGCTGGGACCGTTGTCGTCGTCTTGCTCCACATCCATTTCGTCGAATTCGCTTCGTTGTAATTCTCCGGCGCTCACGAACGCAACGGCCTTACTGCGAAGATTGCCGAGATCTCTTAACCGATGGTGTCCCTCTGTATTGCGGGCCTCTTGCTGCATTGTGAATCGATGTGGCGTGAATTGGAGTGGCGACGCCATTTCTGCGACTGGTCAGATCCTGACGTTCGACGGGTTAAGTGGGGTGATAGGGAGTCAGATATTACTTGGAGTAGCCATTGCTGGCGGCCTTTTGGCGCGGGCCTTGGTCTTGCCATGGCGAGCCATGAGGGTTGGTGGTGTTTGGTAGTTGGGGAGTGAGGAGGGTAAATCCTATCGGATTTCCATTGGGGGGGAAGTGCCTCAAGGTGGGCCCAGGCGGTGGAGAACTCATTGTACTCTGGTGAAATGCAAGGTTTGGGGTGAACTGGCTCGATTTGGGGGACCAAAAAAAAGTGTTGAATATTTTTTACGGATGTTGTAGATCGGACTATTCTTTTATTGGCAGTAGTTCAACAGGCTTCAGAAAATTCAGAGGGGATGGGGGATCACAGGTTTCGAGTTTGGCCATGGAGATAAACTGATGATCGGAGTGACGTCGTCCCGAATGATCTCCCCCTCTCTTCAATCCTCGTTCCCTCCGAATATCAACAGCTTACAGTTCTGGGCTTCCGGTTATTATTATTTCTGTTCTATGTGCTATCTCGACAGATTTATCCTGGATTCAAAACACTCCATGCGCTAAACCGTTAACCTTCGGAACTAGTTTGACTTGTTGACCAGATCGTGAGTTTCCATATCCTCGTGATTATATATATCTACCTACAACCCTCACACTAGTACCACCTAACTTCCCCACAGCTGAACACTCAACAACAAGCACCCGGAACCACCACTCATAGAACCGACATGGCGGGGGTCGACCTGGAAAAATGCAAGCGTATTGTACAATACTTCTGGGACCCAGAACCTAAGAATGACACAGTCCCCAAAGCTTCGATCTGGTGCCTGGGCCAAGAATACACCCCCACCTCAGGAGATACCTCAAAGAGCACAGGTGAGCCCTGATCCTGATCCTGATTCCGATCCCGTGAGGCGTAGCTACGAAGGCCTGCTAAAAGAATCTCCGCCTTGCGCCAAACAGCAGAAGATACCCCCAGTCGCGACGAGCCCGCAACGAATTCCGCTCCGAACGAGACGGTCGGCAGCCCGAGCTCATGGCCAAATGTATTCCTGGATGACTTCGAGTCAAGGATATGGATGACATATCGATCGAACTTCCCCCCCAATCCCCCGTAACAATACACCAGAAGCAACATCGTCCATGACACTCGGCGTCCGTCTACGTAGCCAGCTCATGGACTCCCAGGGCTTCACATCAGATACCGGGTGGGGATGCATGATTCGATCCGGACAAAGCCTACTGGCAAATACACTGTCCGTTATACAGCTAGGGCGAGGTGATGATATACCGCAGATAAATCCCCCATATAAACACCGTGCTGACCAAAGCAGACTGGCGAAGAGGCCACTCACCAGAGGAAGAGTCCAAGTTACTGTCCATGTTCGCGGATGACCCCCAAAGCCCATTCTCAATACACCGATTCGTTCAACGCGGAGCAGAATCCTGCGGGAAATACCCCGGAGAGTGGTTTGGGCCATCGGCCACGGCTCGCTGTATACAGTATGGCATCAATGAACCTTCTATCCCAGATCTATGTGCTAAGCTAAGCCATTACCAGAATGCTATCCAGCGAAAGCGAATCACCAAAGTTGAGAGTCTACGTAACAAACAATACCTCCGACGTCTACGAAGACCAAGTTGCCCGACTTGGCCGCGATGAAAATGGAAAAACGATACCAGTCCTCATATTACTCGGGTTAAGGCTCGGTATCGAGCAAGTCACATCTGTATATTGGGATGGTCTTCGAGCTGCACTGCAGTACCCACAATCAGTCGGCATCGCTGGGTAAGTGATCGATCCATAGACCCGCACGATGGAGTCCCATACACCCAAGATATCCAACTGATCCTGATCATGCAATACAAACAGAGGCCGCCCATCAGCATCGCACTATTTCGTAGGTGTGCAAGATTCGCATCTATTCTTCCTGGACCCCCATTCCACGCGCCCGGCACTCCCGATGCCTCGGCCGGGCAAGATTTACTCCACCGAGGAATTCGATAGTTGCCACACGCGCCGATTGCGACGCATACATATCAAAGATATGGATCCGAGCATGTTGATCGGATTCGTGATTCGAGACGAAGCGGACTGGAAAGATTGGAAACAGCGCGTGCAATCAACTCCCGGCAAGCCCATCATCCACATACTGCCCGGAGCACCGATCGAAGAAGGACCAGGTCGAATGGAAGCGCTAGACGAAGTCGAAGCGCTGGACGAGGATGATTCTGATATCGCGGGGTAAAGGGATTGGATTGGATGAGATGGAAAGGCGGCGTCGATCAATCGCGATCGCAATCGAAGCGGAGCAAAGTGGCGGTGTAGCTATGATGTACAGAATCTAGATAAGAGAGAAAGATCCAATAGTGATTGAATGCTTGATTGCATTTGAAATTTCGTGTTCTAGTAGGGGAGGTTCAACCGTGCAACCAGCCCCAAGACCCGAGTTATGTTACACCGCGCGCATCGAGCAGTAACCATCAGAAAAAGTCGCCCATCGGGGTAAAAAGAAATTGAGACCATCCCATGACACATTAGAAAACCCGCAAAACACCCATAACCGACCGCCTCGAAGCCCAGAAAAGATCAGGAGGCAGAGAAAAAAGTAGCAAAAAGCGCAAGAAACGAAAAGGCCAGAACAACTCGGACCGCTTATTTGGCGGAGGAGGAGTACTTGGTGACGGCCTTGGTACCCTCAGAGACGGCGTGCTTGGCCAGCTCACCGGGGAGGATCAGGCGGACGGAGGTCTGGATCTCTCGGGAAGAGATGGTGGACTTCTTGTTGTAAGCAGCCAGCTTGGAGGCCTCAGTGGCAACGCGCTCGAAGATGTCTGAGAATTGCAATGTCAGTGGAAAAGTTCCGAAAATGCGCTGAGACGAGAGGCGAGGGAAAAAACATACCGTTGACGAAGGAGTTCAGGATGGACATGGCACGAGTGGAGATACCAGTGTCGGGGTGGACCTGCTTGAGGACTGGAGGGGAAAAACATTAGTATTTTGAAATTGAAAACGCGTTGTTTGAGAAAACACGATCGAAATCGCGTTCCAAACAGCAAACTCACCCTTGTAGATGTAGGAGGAGTAGGTCTCCTTGCGCGTCTTGCCGCGCTTCTTCTTCTCTCGCCGGTGGAAGTGGCGGTCTTCTTGCCAGCCTCCTTCTTCTCAGCAGGGGCCTTGCCGGCAACCGGGGCCTTGCCGCCGGTGGAGGGAGTCTTGGTAGCGGCCTTGGGGGGGCATTTTGAATGATTTGGATAAAAAGTGGTGAAGGTTGAAAAGTTGGAGATGGAGTGAGACGTGAAGGTGGAAAGATGGATGGAAGGGAAAGGTCAAGAGGAAACGCGGTGACGAGGGGAACGCGGTCTTTATACTGGACCACGAAAGGCTGGTTGATCCCGGAGGAACGCAAAGGAGCCAGAATTTCAATACCGTCAGGATTGCGTATGATCTGTATGATTAAGTGCGAGTTTACGCGTTTGGTGGTGGGGGAAGCGGGGTTGGATCACGCGGATCCAGTGTATTGCTCGGTAAGGCTGTAATTTACAGCCACCTTGCCTGATCTGGCATGCCCGCACCTTGCTGATCTCCACTCTCATTGGTCGATTTCACTAAGCGAGGCCGTGATCTGGCGGGTTTGCTTTGATGTGAGCCAAACGTCACCCTCACCGCGTTCTTATAAACCCCCCCGGACTGCCTCGTCGTCGCCCATCCACCTGCTCTTTCCATCTCTCGACCACTCGACTCATTTCCATCGCCTTTTCAACCCTTTCAAACCCCTTTCAACCACCCCCCCAAAACAACCATCAAAATGACTGGCGGAAAGTCCGGCGGCAAGGCTAGCGGTTCCAAGAACGCTCAGTCGTAAGTTACCCAATTCCTCATCACATTTCACTCAATCTTCGAGTTTGGGGACGCGCTTTTGGCGCGTCATGTACACACTTTGATTCAAAGACTCATTCTGACCTCAATTCACAGCCGTTCCTCCAAGGCTGGTCTGGCCTTCCCTGTTGGCCGTGTCCACCGTCTTCTCCGCAAGGGCAACTACGCTCAGCGTGTTGGTGCCGGTGCTCCCGTCTACCTCGCCGCTGTCCTCGAGTACCTCGCCGCTGAGATTCTCGAGTTGGCTGGTAACGCCGCCCGTGACAACAAGAAGACCCGTATCATCCCCCGTCACCTTCAACTCGCCATCCGCAACGATGAGGAGCTGAACAAGCTTCTGGGTCACGTCACCATCGCCCAGGGTGGTGTTCTCCCCAACATTCACCAGAGTACGTTCCACTTCCAAAAAAACACCACCATTTCTGAAATCGAATCTCCAACTAACATGTTCTCTCCAGACCTCCTCCCCAAGAAGACCCCCAAGGCCGGCAAGGGTAGCCAGGAGCTTTAAATCTAAGCTAAATGGTTTTCTTTCTTTCGCGGGTTTGATTTGTTTTTTTCCGGCGTGGGTTGGTTTTCATTGACACGATAATGGGGTTATGGGACGGGCACGTTATGGCTCTACTGCGTTTTCTTTTTTCTTCTATCAGCTTCCAGGTTGTACATTATGTCTGCGGACATGGAATGATACCGACGAACTACCAGCCTGTTCGAGGGATTTCAGCTTTTTTTCGGATAACTAGCCCCGGGCTTTGAACAAGCCCGAATCAATGAAAAGATTCTAGGTCCACCAGATATACCAATTTTCCTCTTGTAGTTGAAAGTTCGAGTATTATTCTGTCTATCGATGGGTTTGTTTAGTTTTTTATTGCATATTTGAATCGCATTGAATAAGTGCGATTTAATATATTTGATATCGGAATGAAGTACAAGATATCTGCTTCGTATTAAGCTGTCGGATTATTTCTTATATCTCCCGATATCTCTCTTATTCTAGAACCAAGAGCGGGACCATCTATTTATTTTGTGCCTTGAAGGGTTGTCCAAGTATAGGAATCTTTCGTCTTGTATTAACGCGTCGGATACCATTCGTTCCCGCACTTGGCAGTATCTCATCAATCTGATACGATTCACTATACTCCATATTACACCCAAAGTACAAAGGACAACTCGATGTGAAAATCAGAGCGCATTCAATTTCATTCTTAATATCTACACAAGGCCCTGTAATCAAAATGCGTGGTCCACTTGCTCCATCCCAGATATTACTCGATCCATGAATCCCAGTTCCGCCAAGTTGTTTAGTGGGCAGCTGGGGGTGCGGCGTCTATTCGTTGTTAGTGTTCCCTCGGCCAAGTACAGGGGCTTTTCTTGGGCTCAAGTAAGCCCAGTAGAAGTAGACGTACATGGCAGAATGCGAGCAGGCAAGTTTCTCTCCCATTTGTTTCCTGTAACGAGCGTAAGTTTGAGTCCGACTCCGAGTCCGGTGCATGCCATCCGGCAGATATCAAGGGCGTAATTGTAAACGTACCACCGGGGGCAGTGGGGTGCCGGTAAGGATCGGGGTGCTTCCACTCCTCGAGAAGCTTCTCTGTTTCGCGCAGCAATACCTGGTGTTCGCATGTGTGAGTAGGGCGTTCAATCGTCGAATATATGGCGGGCAAAACGATCGGATCGTGTGGACCGTACCTGTTGCTGGCGAGGATCGCGGACGTCCTTGTTGGCTTCGAACAGCGAGCGAATATAAACAGCTTGTCCCCGCCACACTGATCGGTGGACAGCCCAGTCAAGGGACAGCTTCAGCGAGCGCCGATAGAGGGAGCTGGGGTTGATGGTTAGTGGACGGATCGGGAGATAGCGGCGGTGCAATTGCAGACTCACAGAGCGGGGGTGAGGGACATGATTGCGTTCTCGAATCCAATTGGAGTCGGTATTAAATGAAAGAAGAGGGAGAGAGGCAACAGATCAGTCGCGAAGTGGACTATGCGCGTCAGATCCGAGAACCGAGAAATTGAGGAGTGATGCGGGTTGACTATTCTCAGCTTCCTCATTCGTTGCGAACTGCGTAGTTGGACCCTGCAGTTCTCTGTACCGCGCAAAACGGATCTCCTCCACTCAGACAGTCTTGAGCGGTCAGCGGATCCACTTGTTCACCTCCCTCAGGCCAATGCCAGGCTACGTTCAGGCCAAATTCAGGCCACAACAGGCCTTCCAATACACACAAGGCGTAAGAACATTACTCCGCTTACCGGCTGGCTTCCGCATCTCGGCTTCGGGAGCTTTTGGCTTCGGCTACGTAACAGCAACAGGGCGAGAAACAGTGAGGCTTTTTTTTCTTCCTTTCCCCTTTCCTCCATATTAACAATATCTCTCCCCTAGGGAAAAACCTGCGACTTTCTTTCTATTCTAATACCATTTACGTTCTATTCCACACAACATGGCTGCTCGACTTCCTCTCGCGCGCCTTTCGGCTCAGCGCCTGACGACTTTGTCCCGGAGCACTCGGGCTGCCAACCGCTTCCGCGGTGTCCAGAGCCTCTCGACTTCCACTCGCTCAAATGTCTCCTCTAGAGCCTCCGGTCTCCTGCAGGCTTCTTCAGGGTAACGAGATCCCCTCAATTACCGACTTGCGCAAATGGCTGACGAGGAATATCAGGATCAATGTCTCGCGTAACCTCGCTCCTTTCGTTGGTTCCCAAATCCGAACCTATGGTAACTACAATCTCAGTTCAATGCTTCAGTCTCATACAACAAATCATGCTGACTTTGTTTGCGACCAGCCGATTCTATCGTCAAGGTTCCCCAGATGGCCGAGTCGATCACAGAGGGTACCCTGAAGCAGTTCTCCAAACGTATGCACTACCCCCGAACAGCATGGATCCTCAATGGACATGGACATAGATACTAAGCAAATACACAGAGGTCGGCGACTTTGTTGAGCGCGATGAGGAGATTGCCACTATCGAGACCGACAAGGTGAGCTTTTTTCCTTTGTCGCATTGGAAAACAGTGTTCTCTGCAAATTCGAATTCTAACAGCCTTTCCTTGCGCATTAGATCGACGTGTCCGTGAACGCCCCCGAGTCCGGTACTATCAAGGAGCTTCTTGTCAACGAGGAGGACACCGTCACCGTCGGACAAGATCTTATCAAGCTCGAGCCCGGAGAGGCTCCTGAGGGTGGCAAGCAGGAGTCTGCCCCCGAGCAGCCCAAGGAGTCCGCCCCCGCCGCTGAGAAGCCCAAGGAGTCCGCTCCCGCCGCTGAGAAGCCCAAGGAGACCCCACAGGCCTCCAAGCCCGCCCCTCCCAAGGAGGCCCCCAAGGCCGAGCCCAAGGCCACCGAGGCCAAGCCCACCGTCGGAGGCCGTGAGGAGCGTCGCGTACGTACCCTTTAAAGAGCCAGCCAGGGCGCTTGTGATTGTTTTGCTAACACGGTTTGCGCCACTATAGGTCAAGATGAACCGCATGCGTCTCCGCATCGCCGAGCGCCTGAAGCAGTCCCAGAACACTGCCGCTTCCCTCACCACCTTCAACGAGGTCGACATGTCCTCGCTGATGGAGTTCCGCAAGCTCTACAAGGATGATATCCTGAAGAAGACCGGTGTGAAGCTGGGCTTCATGAGCGCTTTCTCCCGCGCCTGCGTTCTCGCCATGAAGGATGTCCCCGCTGTCAACGCTTCGATCGAGGGCCCCAACGGTGGTGACACCATTGTTTACCGTGACTACGTCGATATCAGTGTCGCCGTTGCCACCGAGAAGGGTCTCGTCACCCCCGTTGTCCGTAACACTGAGACTATGGATCTGGTTGGCATTGAGCAGTCTATTGCCGATCTTGGAAAGAAGGTATGTCTGAACCCCAGTCGTGTGCGCGATACATGGAACATGTCATTAATATACGACTACAGGCCCGCGACAACAAGCTCACCATCGAGGATATGGCCGGTGGTACTTTCACCATCAGCAACGTAAGTTTCATTATTTCCCCACTATTGACTGGCCTATATTGACTTGAATAGGGTGGTGTCTTCGGTTCTCTGATGGGTACCCCCATCATCAACCTGCCCCAGACCGGTAAGTCGCATGCACTCTGTCAATTCCATGTCACCTCGTGAAGACCAAAATCTAACCTTCATCCCACAGCCGTCCTGGGTCTCCACGCCATCAAGGACAAGCCCGTCGCCATCAACGGCAAGGTCGAGATCCGCCCCATGATGTACCTCGCCCTCACATACGACCACCGTCTCCTGGACGGCCGTGAGGCCGTCACTTTCCTCGTCAAGGTTAAGGAGTATATCGAGGACCCCCGCCGCATGCTTCTCGGGTAAATGGTTTCGCTCCGGTTATAAGCTGTAACCACCCTGCTGCTGTGTACCCACCCCCGTTGGTTCGATCTGTGTTTTATCGTGCTTAGATCCCCGTCATTGGCACGACCCTGTAGATTATCCAGTTTCTTAGTATCTTGATTAAAACCGCCATTTCAAGAACCTAATTTCTTGCCTCTTCCTTCTTGCTTTTTCTTTTCGTAGCGTAACTTGGGTCGCGTCAGTCATGCATCGTTCGTCGGTGGGAGTCTGACTAGGCGCTGGCGCCTTGAGTCGCGGGGTAATAGACAGGAATAAATGGTGGTTATTCTCATCTCCCGGTCTGGCTTTCATGCTTCTGTTTCTGTTTTCGTCTGCGGATCGATCTTTGTATAGCTCAACATTCATCGGTGGTGGTGGCGATAACCAGTCCGAGCCAGGGGCGGGATTGGATTGGATTGGGTTCGCTCACCCGGTACTGGTATAGGAGGGGATCCCTATAACATCACACACAGCACGGCAGCGCAGCCCATGCCTCAGGGCCCTTGACATGGTACAAAAAAAAAGCGCTAACTCGTGGGTTCAGGATCACGGTCTTTGGCGTTGGAGTGCAACAGGCAAGGCATTTCGTATCTCCTCTAAACGAATTCACAAATTCGATCAAAGGAACTAACCATTCCCATCATCGACAAGAACCAACACCTTACCGCTGAGCGCGCTCCAAAAGCGCCCTCGTCTCATCCCTCGACAGATTCCCCAATTTCCCGCGCTCAAGCTCAATCAAAATAGGCGGCTCAAGAACAGTCATAAGATCCAGCAAGAATCTCATAACCGTATCCTTGAACCGGGTGAGCGGGAATCGTCGCGATGATTCCGCAACGCCTTCATTGCAGCCATACGCCTGCCACGTTTCGAACCACCGCTTATTACGGCGCGGATTGATGCAGACCCATTCCTGTAGGCGTTTTATTGCGCCGGGGTCTTGTGCGTGGTGGTCGTGAACGGCGGCCTGGTGCAGGAATTGTGCACCGACGTCCAGCCAGCGGGATTCGGAGACCTTGGGTACGGCGGCAAGACAGAGATTCATGAATTGCAGGCCGATCGTGGCGAGTTGGGGTGAGTCTGGTTCTCGGCCTTGTCTGGGCTCTTGTTTGTAGCACCGGACTGCGTCTGCTACCCAAAGGATCTCACGCTTGATGTTCAGATCCACGGCTAGCGAGGAGGGTGAGTTGGATGTTGATGATGGAGTTTCGGGCAGAGATCCGAAGGCTGTGTCTGCGTTAAATTTTATTCAGGCAACAGGGGAGGAGGGGGTGGGGGGTTTGATATCGCTTGACATCGACTCACCTTTCAATGATTGCACGAGCCAGTCGGCTTCCTCGGCTTTGACGGGGTCGCGTATATCATCCGCGGCGGAGAGGGTTTGTTCGATCGCGAGACAAACCAAATAGTCCAAAATCAAGCAGTTCACATCTTCGTGGAGATCGGGGTCGGCCATTGTGGGCCGTGATGAATTTTTTGGGATCATGGTGAAAGGAGAGTGAGGTGAATGGTTCAAGTTGCTCATGAATTTATGAGCTGTCGGTGCGACGCGCAGGTGAGAGTGGAGATATTGAGCGGGCCGCCGATTTTTGGTGGGGAGAGATGCAGCTTGGATGTTTGCTTTGTCGGGGTTTTTGTTCTGATCTGAGGTTGATTTCAGGGGTTGAGAGGTTCCTTGTTCAATTGTAGTTCATTCCAGGGGTTGTCACTATATTGAAGCGAGATTTGTAAGAATCTCGCTTCACTATGACCTCTGCTTCAAGTTTCGATTTTTGCTAGTCGTGTTTGATATGGAGATATATATACCTAGGTATACACCTGCTATGCTCCACACACTACCACCACAACTCTAGTCATAATTTCACCCCTTAACCCGAAACCTGCCTGAAAACCCCAAATTTATAGCACAAATCAACTTCTATATCCCAAAGCCCAAAGAGTCAAGTGTCACGTGGAGGCGAGAAAAGCATGGCGTCACGATAGCCAAATCGAGGTTGACTTCATTGGAGTGAATGTGAATACCCCACACGCCTCCCTGCATGCTATGTATCACCATCACCATCAACATCACACCACCACTCTCTCCTTTTATTATACTCCTTTACTCGCGGATACTACATGCTGAACTGGCTGCAAAAAATATACCGAAAATTACCTTACAACTCAACTCGACCCTACACAATGGCATGGTACTGCTCCGGATCCACCAACACCGAGCTAGTCGAGAATCTGTTCAAAGGCGGCCTAATTAAAGACAAACGCGTGAAGGAAGCCATGCTAGGAGTGAGAAAACTCCCCAACCTGCCATATATAACCTCATTTCCACCCCCACCTCACCCACCCATCAATCTACCCTACACCTGCCCAGGTATCTACGAGCCCCGCATCTGATATGATCAAATCAGGTCGATAGAGCCCACTATGCACCCTCACGACCATACTCAGACTCACCACAACCAATTGGCCACGGCGCTACAATCTCAGCACCACACATGCACGGCCACGCATGCGAATACCTAATCGAGCACCTTTACCCCGGAGCCCGGGTCCTAGACATCGGATCTGGATCCGGATACCTCACACACGTTCTAGCAAACCTAGTCACATCCCCAGACTCCGCGGACAAAGGACAGGTAGTAGGCATCGACCACATCCACGAGCTAGTCGAGCTAGCAAAAGACAACATGTCCAAATCCGCCGAGGGCCGCTCGCTCCAGGAATCCGGGAAAGTGAAGTTCATCAAGGGGGACGGTCGTTTGGGGTGGAAAGATGAAGCGCCGTATGATGCCATTCACGTCGGTGCTGCTGCCGAGGCTCTTCATCCGGTTTTGATCGAGCAGCTTGCTGCTCCGGGGAGGCTGTTCATTCCTGTGGAGTCGGACCCGGATGACCCGGATGATCGGGGGAGTCTATTGGGAGGTATTGGAGGCCAGTATATCTGGGTTGTGGATAAGAGGGCCGATGGGTCGATTTTTAAAGAGAAGGTATTTCAGGTGAGATATGTGCCTTTGACGGATGCGCCTGGATCATGAGAATGAGAGGGAAGCCGATATTGCAAGATGAAATGAAGGCAAGGCGAAATGGCAAAATAATCTACAGTATTTCCTTGGGGGGTGGGGGAGGGGTCGGCTAGGATGAAGCAGAATGCTTACAATAGTGACAATGACAGTGTTATTAAAATCACTCGAAAAAACGGTAGGAAAGAAAGCTCGCTTCGGATGTTTCACCAATGGCAAAATGATCCGGCGTAATGTAATGACTCCTAGAAACACCACGGTATGTTTGATGTATAATGAGAAAGTGACACAGCAGAAACAAAACAACAAATGGCTAGACACAAATGGCCACCACTCAGCGGAATGGAAAACCGCCTCCACCTCCACCAAAATTGGGGAAACCCCCAGCCTGACCAGAGAATTTAAACTGTGGCCCACCCTGCTGGAAAAAGAACTGCTGGCCGCCACCACCCTGGCCGAAAGGTGAGCCCTGGAATCCATGGCCGCGCTGTTGCGACTCGGGATCATTAGGATCGTCACCATTATCATATCGAGCTCGAAGCTCAGAATCAGAAATGACCTCGTAAGCCTCGTTAATAGCCGCCATTTTCTTCTCAGCATCCTCCTTGGACACACCCTGGGAGTTCGCCTTGTCGGGATGGTGTTGCTTGATCAATTGGCGATATGCCCGCTTGATAGTCCGGTCATCTGCGTCCCGGCTAATACCAAGAACCTTATAGTAGTCCTTCTGCTTTGATCGCTTCAGAAGGGCATGTGCTTTTTGCAGAAGAGTTTGGACCTCCTGCGAGTGAGGGTGGTGTTCCTTCGCGCTGCTCAGCGTGCGGACAGCCTCTTCAAACTTATCTTCATCCAGCTCATTTTGGGCCTGGTATAGAAGACCATGAAGAGAGAATGGAACCAGTTGAAGAGATTCGGCACAATATGGTGCAGCTTTCTTTACCATGCGCATCTAGTAATCCATGTTAGCCCGTAGATCGAAGAGAAGATAGACAGGGGAAAGATACCTCTCGATATGCCTCACAAGTCTTCTCAATAAGGAAGACATAGAGATTGTTTGATGCCGCAGGATGGATATGACCTGCTGCACGTGCCTCCGCAACATCACCCTTCACATCATCAACCAACCCACTATCCTCACCATCACCAACCATAATCTTCACAGCATTGCTAAATTTCCGCGCATCAAGCGCAGCATGCAATTTACCCAATGCCTTCGACAATTGACGTTCACGCTTATATAGCCGATTGCAAGGACTCGAATCCGGATCCGTAAGTAAACATTTCCGAATCTGCGCCAGTCCACGATCATGATCGCCAAGCGCATAGAAAAGCATGGACGACATTTGCAAATGAGGCTCGACAAGCTTCGGCGAGATCTGCAAGACATGCGCAAGGTCACTGACACCCTCTTCAATCTCGCCACGCTCAAACCGACAATGTGCCCGGGTCTTTCTAAGCGGGAGGTCGGTATTCGCTTTCAAAATAGCAATGCTGGCCTGCGTGATGCAAGATTCCCAGTCACTCTTCTTCTCGGCGGCAAACGTCAGACCTGCCGCTGCCCGCGCTTCCTCGAGCTCTTTGTACTCCGGGCCATCTTTCTTGCCTGCGCGTTCGAGATCGACTAGGGCTTCATCCCAATGCGCAGACCGGGCCTTGAGTCGAGATCTTTGTAAAAGCGCACCCTCGAAGCCGGGCTTCAGCTCCAGGACCCGGTCGAAGTCCTCTGTTGCTAGGTGGTTCTTGCCAATGGATAGGTGGGCTGCGCCTCGTTGGTAGATAGTGATGTAGTTTGTTGGGTCGCGGGATATAGCGGCGTCGAAGTATATTAATGCATCGCGAGGGGAGCCCTTGGCTAATTGGGCTTTGGCGGAGGAGATCAGTTCGGAGAGCGGAGTATCGGGGGGGGATTTGGACGGCGTTGCTGGTGGAGAGGCAGGCCAGAACGACCGTTAGAGTTTCAAATGAAAGACGCATTTTTTCAAAATGAGAGACAGGACATGACCATGAGGGCCTAAGGTTGAATGCCAGGTGGAAAGAAGGAAGATAAGAAGAGAGAGAGAGATGGCTGAAGTAGAAGTAGCTGGGGGCGAGTTGGGGAATGCGCCGTCGCAGAGTGGCCTTTACGCGTAATTTACATAAATTACATACATCCACTCCGCAGACAACTCGGAGATTCAATTCATAGAAATCCACCGAATCTTCCCACTTCTCCCCTTCCACAAACATGCTACAATGTGGTCGGTTTATGAGGCAACCTCTTAGGTTTAGCCTCCAACCATTTCTACGACGAAGTCTGCATACTGGTATGCTATTATACGCATTGCGCATTGCCAATTGATCTCATCGCTGACGCCATGAGCACCGCCTAGATCTCGGCGTGTCGCCTGTCCTCTTGACCCGCGCACGATTACTCGCCGCGGAGCATGCAAAGTTATCGACTCGTCTGGCTGATTCCTTTGATGCCAAAATCGCAAAAAGAGCCGGGGAGTTGGCTCCGTCTGCAGCTATTCTGAAAGAATGGGACACTGCCAATGAGGTATATCCTTCCAACCCAATCTTCTTTGGAAGAATAGAAATATACTTCTTCTCCTCTTTCCAAAGAGCTCACGTCCTTCGAGTGCAAAGCTGACGAAAGAAACCAAAGTCCATATCCGAATTAAAAGCCCTCCTCGAAGACCCCGAAACAGACGCAGAACTCCACTCCCTCGCAACAGAGGACCTCGAAACAAGCCGCCAAGCACTCCCCTCTCTATCAGACCGATTAAAAAAGTCCCTAATCCCCCGACACCCCTTCGCAGACCTACCATGCCTTGTCGAAATTCGCCCAGGAGCAGGAGGCGACGAAGCCGGCCTCTTCGCATACGAGATGATGCGCATGTACATGACACTCTGCAGCCGCAAAGGCCTCCGACCCACAATCCTAAAACAAGACGTCGAAGACGGCCCCTCCGAAGACCGCCTCCTTGAAGCCGTGATCGAAGTCGAAGCGGACGGCGCATACGACATTCTCCGAACAGAGTCCGGAGTGCACCGCGTGCAACGCGTCCCGGCAACCGAAACAAAAGGACGCACGCACACCAGCGCAGTCAGCGTGATGGTGTTGCCAAGTTTCCCCGAAAGTGGAAGTGCATCGGATCATGCGCTGAACTTCGATGATCCGACTAGCGATTACTATATTGATCCCCAAGAGGTGCGGGTTGAGAAAATGAGGGCTGGCGGTGCGGGCGGTCAACACGTTAATAAAACTGAGTCTGCTATTCGATTGACTCATATTCCGACGAATACGGTGGTTTCGATGCAGGATGAGCGGTCTCAGCACGCGAATCGTCGGACTGCTTGGCAAATGCTAAGGGCAAAGATTGCGGAGGCACGGCAGGAAGCGCGTGAGCAGGAACTTGTTCAGCTTCGTCGTGGTGCTATGGGCGGCGTTGCGAAAATGGGCCGCGGTGATAAGATTCGGACATATAACTATGGTCAGAGTCGTTGTACTGATCATCGAAGTGGCATTACCCTCCATAATCTGGACGATGTACTCGCTGGAGGTGATGGTTTGGAATCAGTTATGGACAGCGTCAGGACTTGGATCTCGGATCGTGAAGTGGAGGCTATGGTCGCAGAGGAAATGGCCAAGGCTGAAGAACAGGAGAAGAAAGAGGCAAAGCAAAGGAAGAAGTAAGATATAGGCCATCGCCATCACCATCGCCACCACGGTTTGGAAATATTGTACACTAGAAATGATACCATGTATTTTTTATCTTTATCACCCTCACGAGGACTCGACTCTATTGCAAAGTAAAACTGACGCCTGTGCCTATCTATCATCTCAAAGATATTTTCGCTCCGGATCCGCGATATCCAGCAACTCCATAGACTTCTCATACCTTCAAGTAGTTAGCACCTTCAAGATCGCCATCTAGATCTGGGTAAAAGCAAAGGGAGGCACATACATAGTAAACACAATACCACCACTCAGAATCAAACGGGCCAGCCGCGGCACAGCTCCAGACCAGAAAGTCAAGACGCCTTCATCCTTGAAGATTCTCGCAGCGCACACGAAGCTGTTCTTGTAGTTCTTGCTGGCCTCGAGAGATTGCATCCTTGTCTTCACCGTATCCAACGGCTGGGTAATGTAGACAGTGATAATACCAGCAACACCACCAATAGCAAAAGTACTCAACGTACCCAGCTTCTCACCAGGAGCAACATAGCCCTCCGCGAACTGCTTCAAAGTGGTATAGGCGGTAAACCGAGTCGCCGAATTGGCAGCCTGTCTTGCCGTGGTCGGCACAAAGCCCTGGAAGAAACCCTTAATACCTCGTTCCTGCCAGATGATCTTACTACCGTGCAAGAAACCGCGCATGCGAGGCTTCTCGGCCTTGCGATCGTCAATCAGCTGTGTCTTGATACTCTCGAAGGGAGTAACGGCCAACAGCGACTCAGTGAAACCAGCACCGAAGCCAGCAACAACGGTCCGGGGACCGGAGATCTTGCCATTCTCATCCTGGAGGGTTGCCTTGATAGCATCGAAGGCGACGAATCCTATACCAGACAGACATCACAGTCAGTAACATTGAAGAGCATTTCTGACAATCCAACCCAATCCACACCACCATGCATCGGGGGTATACGCACGAATTCCGGCCTTGAGCGAGTTTCCAATGATCAGCGTCGTACATCCCGCATACCACTGCTTGCCGAATGGCGGCCAGGGGAGCTTCTGGCCCTCGGCGAGGCGGCGATTGAGTTGTGTGCGGGTCTTTGCGACTGGGATGGGAGGCGCCAATTAGTCCGGGAATCGGGGGAGAAGAGTAAACTACCCCACCCTAGGGTAGAGTAAGAATTGGGAATCGGGGCCATACACTCGGCAGGATAGGTAATAGCTAGAAAGAGAGAAGAGTCATTGTTAGCTCATTCATGCCCCAGGTTTATGACACATGCGGGTGCGGTGGGCTACTAACCGATCTCCACGGCTCCGGCAGAGGAACCCGCGAGGATGGAGCGCAAGGCGCTGGGCTGTGGGGTTAAGTGATTAGCGTCAATTCTTCAAAGTCAGGTCGCATTCATAGGCGAAGACAGACCTTCGCCTTCTGGTCCTTGTTTGCCGTGGCCATATTTGGTGTGGGAGATGAGGAGTGTATGTTGAACCTCGGGTTTCGTAGATCGCGCATTTACGGTCTTCCGGAGACCCACCCAGCGCAGTTCTCTCCATATTAAACAAACTGAACTACAATACTAGTACTAGGGGTTTACTCCGAGGTCGGACTACACCAGTGCAAAGATTGGAGGGAAATTGTCAATTCACAAGATGCTACTTCTAAGTACCTGAGTATCTCGCGCTCCTCCAAAATTCTTTTTTCTTTTTTTTCTTTCGTTTTTTTCTTGGGGAGGGGAAGGGAGTAGACACTTGCGTCAAAACTCATGGGGCGAGATCGATCAGTGATGCGTCAAAAGGTGGTGAAGTTGATGTACCTGGAAAAAGGTAGATGGCATAGGCCGGGCCAGAGTCGTAGGTGAATATTGGAGTGTAGTAGAATGGCCCGGGGATTTCGAATGTCGTGAATAAAAAGAAATCGAATCGTGGTCCCTGTTCTACTGGGAACAGGGAAACAGGATTATAAAAATCAATCCGAAAGCCACATCAAGGTGGCTCTGTCGACTCCACAGGAACGCCTCAAGTCAACCGAAAAGATCAGATCACAGAAAACGCCAGTAGCTCCGCGATCCTTCAAAGAGGAACAAGCGACCGAGCATATGTACACCTCTCGTAGAATAGAGGACAAGTGCAGGTCTCGTACGACACCAGAAAATGCACCATTTCAGATCAGAAGAAAACCTCCCCAACGCGACAACATGGGCCATTGAGTCGAAGAAACGGAACCATGGAAGGGAGAACAGGGGAAATTATGATACAAATGTCATACCAGAATCCGTATCATCGTGACGAGAGTAAATGGGAAGAAGGTATTGGGGGTAGAGGGTTGAAGGTAGAGGCTTTTGGATGGGAAAGCCGTGGCGAGGTAAAGGGCATAACGTGACAAAAAAAACAGGAAAGAGAACATGTTAAGCAGCGGATGGGAACAGAGATCGATCAACAGGGAATTTTGGCGGCAGATGTGAAATTTTCGAGATTTAAACCCTGATGATTCTCGTCCAAAATACCGATAGTCGTCTAGGAAATGGGCGCTGGTGGCTTGGATCCGATTTGGCTAGGGGGGGAAAGCCAGTCTTGTTCGGATCAATGGGGCCACCGCGACGAGGGCCTTGCTGCCCATGGCCGCTGCCACGGCTGCCACGATAAGACCCACGGCCTCGGGTATTGTTGTTGTTGACATATTGCCCACCGTTGGCGTTGTGGTGATTTTGACGACGTGGCTGACGGTCGCCATTGTTAGGGTGGTGAGGTCCCGGAGCAATCATAGGCTGGGCTGGGTTGGAGATAGGTCGGGGGATGTTCTCGGGAGAGTCGTAAACATAAAGCTTCTTGTCGATATTTTGGGGGATGGGCTGAATTTCAGTTCCCAGCTCCTGCTCGATCTTGTACAGGTTGAAACGGTCTTCCCAATTGATCAGGTTAATAGCCAGACCAAGGTGACCGAAACGACCAGAACGACCAATACGGTGCAGATAGGTCTCTGCGTTCTTGGGGAAATCAAAGTTGATGACGACGTTGACCGCTTGAATATCGATACCGCGGGTCAGCAGATCCGAGCATACAAGGTTGCGGCACACGCCATTGCGGAAATCATGGAACACTCGGTTACGGTGTTGCTGAAGCATGCGAGCGTGCGAATAGAAACAGGAGTAGCCCAACTCAGTGATCTTCTTTGCCAGTAACTCCACACGGTTTGTGGAATTGCAGAAAATGATTGACTGGTTAATCTGGAGCTTGGAGAAGAGAGTGTTAAGGCAGTGAACCTTCTGCTTTTCCTCGACGAAAGCATAGAACTGCGTGATACCACGCAGAGTGAGTTCGTCCATCAGGTTGATCTCATAAGGGTTGCGCATGTGCTTGTCCTTGAAGTGCTTGACGATCATGGGGAAGGTAGCACTGAAGAGCATGACTTGACGGTCCTTGGGATGGAAAGACATCAGTTGTTCGATGACAGGAGTAAACTCGGGGGATAGGAGCTTGTCAGCTTCATCCATGACGAAGGTGGGGCATTCAGATAAATCAGCGACACCCTTGCTGGCCAGGTCCAGGACACGACCAGGAGTGCCGACAAGGATGTGAACGGCATCATTCAAACGGATGATATCGTCCATGAGCCCGGTTCCACCAGTGGTAACCATGACATTGATACCTAAGTGCTTTCCGAGAGTCTTACAGACTTGCGAAGTTTGGAGGGCCAACTCTCTGGTAGGTACCAGGATCAAGGCTTGTGTCTTGGTGTTTTTGGGGTTGATGCGTTCTAGGGTGGGGATGACGAAGGCAGCTGTCTTGCCGGTACCGTTCTTGGCTCGGGCCAGGATATCTCTGCCTGTGAGGGCAACGGGGATTGTTTCTTCTTGAATGGGGGATGGCTTCTCAAATCCGGCCTCGAAGATTCCCATCATAAGCTCTCGCTTTATGTAAAAATCCTCAAATTCGAGACCCTTCGTCGCAGTTACATCCTGGAAATTCAATTAGTGCTATTCTTGAACCCGAAGGGACAAGTTCGCGGAGATGGACTAACTTCAGTCTGAGGACGGGCATCTTTAGGTGGTAGCTTCAACGTATCCTGCAGTCTTTGTTCTGTATTTCCCTCCCTGATAACCAAGTTAGGTCACTTGCCTAAGAATAATATTCAATGAAAATCATCATCTTACCCGAGCTTGGTGTTGCCGAGTTGTGAGGCGAGGGCGTCGGCCATAGTGATGGTAGGGTATTAAAGAGAAGGGGGAAAGAATCGAAAGGGTAGATATCGTCGAAGAGTGTGAGAGACCACAAGTGAGAGAGGAGTGCGTGAAAAGACAAATTTCAAGAGGTCGCGCGGGGGGGGCTTTGGATTTGCCCAGTGCGTTGGTGTGAAGCTAAAACTCGTCGGCTCACACAATTGATAAAATATCGTGCCGGTGAATTTGGAGGAAGATAGACCAGTGAGATCAGTCAAGGGGTTGTCAACGGTTTTGGGACTACTCCGAGAGGTGAGAGGTTGATGAATTAACAGGTCCCCGCGGTGCTTCAAATTTGAGATAATTCGGGTTAAGCCGTCAAGTCGTAGGCTCAAATGGGTTATTGTGAAGTATCAGATTGGAGGTGAGCTTTTCCGGCAAGGTAGGAAAGCAGGTATGATGGTGGAAAAATGTTGAGGGTGAAGGTAGAAAGGGAGTGGTGAGAGTAGAAGCCAGAGAGAGAGGGTGCGGCGGACGGCATGATGGTGCCGCCCTGTTGAAATGGCTCGAAGGCGGCTATCGTCCGCCGTAGCCTTGGTCACGTGTTCAGCGGCGTTTTGGCGGGTAATTAATACCACGGAACCGGAGATAACTAGCTCCGGAGATATGTTAGTTATATAGTTCATGAGCAAGAGGGAGAGAAACAAATAGATAGATGAGTCCCAAGAGCAAATAAACCAGAATTTTAAAGAGAGTTGCTCTGACAGAGCTGCGGATTGAGTGGTTGTGTTATAACCAGAATCTGAAGACCTGTGAAAAGGACGCCGAAAATGACAGCCTTTGGTGCCAGAAACGTCTCGGCCCTTTCCAAAAGTAAGACTGTCATTGAATTAGCTATCAATTATACTTGTGATAAAAAGCCACCTTGGGTGTGTATTGCAGTATACAGACTTTAGGGATGACAATGTGAACTGTGTATAAGCTAAGTAATTGGCATGGGATTTGTTTGAGCACCAAGAATATGAATATGTCATTTGGCGTAACAAAGCAGCTATTGTAAACGTGTTACATTCACTACAAATATTGAATGTTCAACCAGTGAGGTTTCAAGCTTAATTGGCGGAGCTATAAGATTCCTCCTAGAACAACCGTAGTACCTCTCTTGACTAATGTATCGGCAAGTGCACCAACCTAATTCGTCAACATGTCGATGGGATCTACTATGCAGTACACTACCACCGAGCCGGAAATCAAGCACGTCTGGCGAATGATCACCAAAGAATTGAGATTGATGACAGAGCCAAGCTCCGCTGTCTCAGTTACAACAGTTGTGTTCAATTAAGGACTTCGAAAAAATCTGGCTGCACAAAAACAAGATTGGAACATTGGGATCATTCTTCCGTGACTACTAGAAAATGAATCGACTGCTTTTTCCCCTTTTCCTTTATTTTCCTAAAGTTCCATTTCTCTTCCGAATCCTGCAGAGCGAGGACAGAACAATATATGCAACAGGCTGCAGTGAATCGTGAAGCTGCAGTGTATTCGATGTTGGCATCAGCAATCATTTCATTACAGACAGCGCAGTGCCCATACTGGGGTCTACTTGTGCTGAGATATAACTATTTTCCAATCCCTATGGTAGCGTCAATGCGGATACTAATATTTCAATCACTCAGACACCGATCCAATCATGCTATAGTGGGTGAGCTTAGTGAGGCTACCAAGTGCATGGGCAATTTCGATCGGTTGACGATGCACTCGACTAGTTTTGCCTTCTAATTTGCTTCGTTCACTTCTCCACCGTCTCATAGATAAGCGCATTAAGTAACCAGTTCATGGCGGATTAGTTTTGCCAAGTTCAAGACTCCGGACTCCTTAATCGTCTAGCGGAATCACTAATCCTATAACAGCATTTTACTCCGTCCTTATTCCGGACCTTTGTTAGTAGAAAGGTCCATTCTGCGAAATATAAAGATACGGCAAACGCCATATTGAGAGGTTATTAGAGTCAGTTTGCACATTTCCCAGACTAAAAATCTGCGCAAGATTCCTTTTCTGAAATTCATTCGTCACATCCGACCCAACTTGATTCCTCATTAACTCATCTCCTCCTTGGCCCCGAATACGTTCCAAGTAGCGTATATCTTCCCTCAGAACGGCGACAAAAGACACAAGTGCAGCATTTAAGGTCCATGGCTGAGGTTCTCGAGATTGAGAGTTGTCTGCAGGCGGACATTCGAGTCGCGCGGCAATTGTCTCATGTAAATGAAAAGACGCCGAGCTCGGATGGAGCGAACGAACCAAGCAATCAAGTTGAAGATCTACCTCGTGTTGCAGATAGAATTCCCGTCTCAGCATGGCTTGTCATACTGATTAGTACATTCGAGCGCTTCGCTTTCTTTGGAATTCGTGAACCATTTCGTGAGTGCAGGAGATATGTGATCTTCAAATTCAAGGCCATTGACCTCGGGGCAGAAAATTATCTTCAGAATCAGCGAGACGATCCTTTACGACCAGGCGCGCTTGGCTTAGGCCAGAGCAAGGCTAGCAATCTATCGTACATGTTTTCGTTCTTGCTATACACCATGCCGTTATTCGCTAGCGTCATTATTGATTGCTTCCTTGGGCGGTATCGAGGGATTCTGGTTTTTTTATGGTCAGGACATGTCATGACCGAATAACATTGAGTTTTGCTAATATGAAGGGCATAGCATCTACGTAAGTGGAGCGTTCATCTTGACCATGACGTCCCTGCCATTATCATTGGACGCAGGCGCAGGTCTGCCAGGGTTCTTGGTCGGCATCATTCTTATGAGTATTGGCCTAGGAGGTGTTAAGTCGGGCGTCTCACCTTTGATGGGTCTGTTATCTCAGATTTTATCACGAGGAAATCACTAACAAGTAGCCGTATAGCTGATCAGTACACCAATTGGGAGGAAAAGATCGTCATCAAGCAGAATGGCAAGCGTGTCATGATTGATCGTGACCTCACTATGGATAAAATGTATCATGCATACTACTGGTAAGTCTCGACGAAGGCTCAATTCGAAGCATACCACATCAAACTGACATGGTCTCAAAAGGGCAGTAAATATCGGAGCATTATCTGCACTTGCCACAACTTACATTGAGAAAGATGTTGGTTTTTGGGCGGCATACCTGCTTCCCTTTTGTGCTCTTTGCATATCGTTGCTGACGCTGGTTTTGTGTCGAAATAAGATTGGTAGGCTCTGATGCAAAACAGCCACATGAGATAATACTGAAAACCATGTCAGTCAAGCGACAACCCGGTGGGAATATCTTACCCACAGCTTTTCGAATCATGTTGTGTGCGGCGAAGAACGGTTTCAACATGGACGCTGCACGGCGGCAAAGTCAAGCGCATGCAGCCGACTGGGATGAAAAGTTTGTGACAGACTTGCAGCGCGGCCTCATAGCATGTCGTATCTTTGCATTTTACCCTATCCTGTGGGTCTGTCATCTACAGATAAACAATAACCTCGTCTCTCAAGCAGCCCAGATGGAAACCCACGGTCTCCCAAACGACTTTTTCCCAACATTAAATCCAATTGCAGTGCTCATACTGCTACCGCTGGTCACCAACGTGCTCTATCCGACTTTTCGCAAGCTGCACATCAAGTTTCCGCCGGTCAACCGTATGGCAGTTGGCTTTCTTATAGAAGCCATCGCGATCGCCTATTGCACGGGTATCCAGCAGCTCATTTATACGAGAGGACCCTGCTTTGCACATGCTTTAGAGTGTCCTGCGTCAGATGGGGGCAGAATTCCGAACCAAGTCAGCGTTTGGCTTCAAGTACCGGTCTACGTCTTGGACGGTTTAGCAGAAGTATTCTTCGATGTTGTGAGCCAAGAATATGCGTACAACAAAGCCCCGGATAACGTCAGAAGCTCCATTTATTTTTAACCCAAAACGCGTGCTGACACTTGTCGCTCTCTTTCAGATGAAATCAATTGTTCAGGCCGTATTATCCTCCATGTCAGGTGTTGGTGCCATCCTGGGCTTTGCCCTGTACCCAGTTGCACGTAATCCTAATCTTGTCTGGATGTACGCCGCTCTCTCAACCGCCATCGGCCTTGCAACGGTCGTGTTTTGGCTACTCTTTAAAAAATACAATGCAGAAGACGCGGAGCTTAACAAGCGGGATTTCAGCAATCACGGAGGCGGCTCGGTAATAACGGACGAAAGCACGAATTTGAGGGTTTGATGGAATGATGATCAGGATCGAGGAAGAGTACTTCTTTTTGCTGATACCTCTGCCTGTATAAAATAAATACAGCAAACCTCAATGAAAGAAAACTGTAGCCTCCAAGCAAGATTTCTCCATTCTCTGAAACCGGAATGTGCCTTGTTATATACTGCCCAGGTGCCCAGGTGGTCGCTCAAAAATTATAACACTTGTCAAAATACAGTTGTGCAAGGATATTATCCATGTACTCCAGCTTCCGACTGATGAACTTTGCATAACAGCGTGGAATTAATATTCAAGCACAGATTTGAATGAGTGACTCGGGATTATACAGCCTCTTTTAAAAAGTTCGGATCGCATATAGCCATCTACTGTATTCTCACAACAACTTGCTACTCAACAACCCCTGGATTGAGCTTCGAACCGTCGCATCAACCAAGTCGGGCCGACATCCGACCTCAGTCAGTATATCGCGCAACAAGTGATATAATTGTGGCAACTGTCGGGTTTTTTGGTCAGCCGTTCATATGAAGTGCCTGGTCGACGACCTCACTCACTTGGTCTTCTGCTTTATCTGGATCGTACGATGCATGGTCAATGTTTCGCAGCTCTACAATGCAAAGGTCGCGAGCAAATCTTGGGTAAACCTGATGTAAATTATTCGCGTCCATAGTGTCCAGTCGTGGTAACTCATTCTGCAACAACATGAGCAGACGATCAAGTGTACTCAGACCCTCGCGCTGTTCTACACCTGATCCTTTTGGTAAGGGCCCCAGACGTGCTGTATAGTATTCGAGAGCAAAGGCATCGACCGAAGGGAAACCCAACGACTGCAAAGCATGCTGGCACTGCTGCAGACGGCCACTCATACTCTGGTTATTGGATGGGCTTCGAGGGGAAACTGTGTCCAATGAGCTTTCCATGTACTGAATTGGGAAAAACTCGATAGCCAAATCAGCGTGGTTCGAGAGCGGTCCCAAAAAGTTTTGGGTTTGATAAGGATCTTGAGAAAGCTTGCTCCTGTTGGTGGCATCGAGAATGCCACGAGGCAATGGTAACGAATCCGTGCCGAGGACTGGAAGGCAGCGGTCTTCGACTGTTGACGCCGGTTCTGCGTCGGTTCCGTCTACCATCGAGCCGAGACATTCCCAATTGATCTGACCCGTCCAGCGAGGTAGTTCATCGTGTCTGGCAGGCCGTGGCATGCTGGACCAGATATGGCCGGACAACTTTCAACAACTGGGAAGACCCTACTTTAGGGCTATCAGACAAATCATGGAAAGAGAGATTGATTCTCCTACAGCTAAAAGCCAATATGATGGTGGAGTTGGCAAATCTTGCTGATCTATTAGCTAGGCCCCTATATTCTCCGATGACGAATGTGATGTGATAACAGGGACTGTTGACAGAGTTGACAGGGAAACTTGGCCATATTTTACCCCTGTCATGGTTTGTCTATAAATAGTGGAAGCCGCGGTTTGGTGCGTCATGACCCGCCATCAAAGGGTCTTTCTTTGTGTCAATGTAACCCATAACAGATCAATTATTAACAATTTCCCTCTGCCATAGACAGCCCTATCCTAAGCTTATGTCTCGACAGGTCAATCTAAGCACTGAGAACGTAGCAATATTCTGGTAGTTGATTAGGAGAAGTTTTAAGCGTGTATCTCAAGTTCAGCTCTCCTCTTAATATGCATGTTTCCAAGGTTGTCTCTGGTTACATCTGCGCTGTCAGGTCGAGAAGAGTACCAATCATTTCCCGGAAGGAGCCATGTGCGTAAAGCTGCATACGACCATACTCTTACAGGCCTATGGGCCATGTTTCTAGCTTCCTTGATTTTTCCCGCTTCCGTGAAGCACGCAATTTATTGTTCTCGCCCCCATGGGCCACAGCGAGGCCGGTGCGGGGTAATATTGCCACTTTTCATTGTATACATCCATGGTTTGTATCATTGGATGTTGGCGATGAGACCCGGCGCACAATCTGCAGCTTTTCCATTGTCGTTGTGTCTTCAAGTTTAATATACCGGGGATGTACCAGCCCAACGCATAAGACATAGACATGACGAGCACAAACCGGAGGAATGGCAGACTCGCCTCGTGCGAGAATTGTCGGCGGAGGAAGAATCGCTGTGACCACACTCGGCCTGTTTGCAACCGATGTCAAATCCGAGGTTTGGCATCGACCTGCTTCTATCATCCAGCTCCATTGACAAGGCCACACGCTTTGGGCGCCGCGGGAGAAGCGCAGATTGCCCTTGTGAATCTCGGTCAAAATGCCACCGAGACCACGATAGACTGCTCTCCTTCTTTCAACAATCGATACGACCAACCCCGATCCTCACTTCCATGGCCGTCGGTTGCCTCTGATGCCCATGATCCGGGATATCGGCTACCAGGGCTAGGAGCAAGCCCTGCAGCTATTCATGCCGAGCAAGTTGCTGTTACAGTAGAGATGCTGATTCAACTTCAGCATATTGACATAGTAGAGAAGCTGCTCAACGAGTACTATGTCCATAGCCATGCGGTCCTGGTACCTGGAGCACTCGTGCTGCCAGCTTTTTCGGCACTTCGTACGCACGGAGTCGGTATGCCGTCGCCGTCACCACCTGCCTTGGTCGAATCTGAAGACAGGATTCTACAGATTGCGGAAGGCATCGTCCGATCGACATCGGCCACTATCAACGTTGATTCAGACTGCACGTCGCCAAAGTTTTGCGCATCTTATACTGGTCAGAATCTCCGCCTCGAGGCTGTCGGCTTAATATTTGCGCTCGCAGGCCGGTCGTGTCTGCTTGGTTATGGTAAACGTGATCCACGTGATGCATTTGTACATACCATGTTTCGCTGCAGCACATGCTGCCTGCAGATTGCTCGCGAAATTGCCCCAGGAGTCAACGACCCGATGGTGTGGTTGTCGTACGAAAATCTCTTGCTGACAATGACCATACAGGGAGATGCAAGTGAGTCTCAAAATGATATTGTGCGCACTAAAAGCTATATCCGCGATTAATGACTAAAACGATTACTTTGTACGATAGGTCCCAATGTATGGCGTCGGCTAGGTGACCTGGCAAGCGATGTGTATGCTCTTGGCATCCATCGGGAGTTTAACCACGCTGGCAAGATACCATTCTTTCTCTCCGAGTGTCGTCGTAGAACATTTGCCGCGGCATATCATGTTGATAAGCTGATATGCACATTCTTTGAAAGACCTCCGAGAATACTGAGGCGCTTCTCCGATTGCAAAATGCCACTAGATCTTCTCGATGACGAAGTTCTCACAGATGCAAACAAAGAAGAGCAGACGGGACTTCAGCTGGACTCAGAGGGTTGGAGTCTTACAGCTCGCTTCTCTAGTTCAACTTGGGCGAGAATACGTTATGTTCTCGGCGTTTTCCGGGAAGAAATTCTGGAGTTTCCATTTCGTCAATTCACCGCCGAGAACAAGGCCAAGCTGATGCAAGTATCTAGGCAGAATCTAGACCCTGAATGAATCGATAAGCTGACCAAGGTAACAGGGATCTCTCAGAGAGATGTCAGCAATCATGGAGGTCATTACCGGAGCACCTCAAGTACACACATCAGTGCTGGACATCAGATCTCGAGGCTACTGTTTGCCTGATGCTCACTGTTGTGTATCTGTCACATCTACAGAACGAGTTTCAGATACATCGTCTCCTTGAGAGAAGCGCAAGGAGTCCTGCCCCAGAATTACTTACTGTTTCAGCAGAGATCGTTGCAGTCGTTGTACAGCTGGGTAAATCGCGCGATAAAGCAGTACTTCTGAGGCACGACTTCCCAAATATCGTGAGTGATTTTCATGTGATTTTGTTCTCAAATTATTTTGACAGCCCTTAGGTAGTCAACTACGGTCTTCCCAGCGCCGCCGCATTGGTGGCCGCGGTGCAAAATGGGGCTAGAACACGAACTCAGCCATTGCCACACAGTCTGAGTCGTTCTGCGGTTATCCGAAGCCTTATGGTATTCGCTTCGTATCCTGAGAGTATTAGTGACGTGGGCGAGACGATAGAAAAAACATGTATGCAAGCCGCACAATCAATATCTCGCACCGTGGATTGTATGCTCGATGAGCCGCCCTCCTCGTTTGGCACGACGCCAGATATGACTCTCCCCGCGTCGATGTCTTGCGATGATCCTGACACTCCCTTTTCACCTTCACAATTCATGCAAATAGGACCTGACATTACCGGATTCCCAAACTGTGACTTGCTTAATCGCAATGCAGCAGATGGCTTTGATCTTTCTGGATGGTTGAATACTACTGCATGGACAGGCAAGGATGTTGGCTACTAGGGCCTAAGGGGTCACATGCTTGTACTTGCAAATTGTGCCTCCAAGTGCGGATATTACTGAAAAGTTTCTGACAGAATTTCGATTGTGATGTTGGCTATCTGGAAGATAACAGCCCAAACGTAGGACCACAGCCGGCTCTGAGGAGGCATATCATTAGATAAGACATGTATTTTCAGATTAGTGATAGTTACCCATTCAGTTCAGCCGCCGGGCGTTAATGAGTTGTGTGTGCGTGTACAAGGGACATCCTTTACAAATTACACAGCCATGTATATCACTGTTCAGAAAGAAGCATCAAAGGGCATGTTTTCATGTGGGGTAATAGTAAAAATGGGTATTGTTATTAAAGAGTCTTAACTAATCTATCAAGTGTAAATGATCACAGGAGAAGAGACATCAAGATCAAGCATGAAACGCCAAGGTAGTCTGGCCACGTTCAGGCTCAGCCAACTCCTTCACCCTCACATCAGGCGCGATCCTGATATCGGTTTTCGTTCCTGGCGTGATTAAGATAAACTGCCGTCCAAGGGAGCGTCGAGCAGCAGACATCTTAGAAAAAGAGGTCAGTATGCGGGACTAGCAAGAATAGTTTTGTTTCAGAAGCACTTACTAGCATGTCGATGGCCATTTTTCGATTGATGTGGTCCATGTATACATCGCTGCGGTGAGAAAGTTAGTATAGTTAAAATGATAGAGCAACAGAATTACCCTGGAGGGTATACGTACAACTCGTCAAGGCAACGAATGGGCGATCCCATGGCTTCCCACAGGGCGAGGAGCAGACAGATTTGCGAGAAGGACTTCTCGCCACCAGATAAAGTTTTGGCACCGCGACCGGTCTTGTCGTCCTTGGTAATATCGGGTTCCACCTAATTAGGGAGGGAGGGAGGAAATTAGAGTCTGTATGTATATCACGGGAGGTGAGAAAGAGTGTAGGTAACTCACTTGCAAGTCCAAAACCTTGTTGGTATGGTCAGTAAGGAGCTGACCACGAAAACTTCTCTCAGCCAAAAGGTATGTAAACTGTGCCTTGGCGCGCGAGGAAATGTGCGCTCTGAAAATCTCCCATCGTTTCCTACGATTGTGAAGGGTAGCCTTGAAGACCTGCTTGTTGTTAGCGGATGTGCATTGCAACAGGGTGATTTAGGAATGGAAAAAAAGGGATATTACCTGAGCGATTGTACTTAGTTCTTCGACCTGATCATTCGCTCGTACAAAGGCTGTCTCTGCCCGACCAGCTTCTGCGGCAATCTCGTCTCGTGAGGCACCGAGCCTGGAGAAAGTTAGTAAGAAGTTAAAGTCACACAGCAAGGGCAGAATAGGACACATACTGTTGGTTGTAGCGATCCAAGTCTCTGTTCAATTTGGAAAGCTTGTGGTCGAGACTGGTGGTAGTCTCGCCTTCATCGATCGCGACGCGGGCAGAGACCATGCCGGCCTTCTCGCAAAACTCAATCACACGAGCCTTTGCATGTTCAAGTCTTTCCTGCATTCTGTCTCTGTCGCTCCTCTGTTTTTCAAGATCCGCGACAGCGACGTTCTTCTCATTGAAAAGTTCACGACGTTTGTTCGCCACCAGTGACTGTTCACTCGAGGCCACACGAGATCTCTCCACCAGCTCGTTGATGCTTTGGTCCTTCGCCGATAGTTCACGTCTTATTTCCTTCAGGGATTGAACCATGTCATTCATGGCCTGGACACTGTCATTGTATGATCCTTCTTGAATTTCTTTATCCTCTTCGGCCTCTTTTAATGCCGCCTTTAAGGTATCAAGTCGCCCGTCCTCTGCCGCACTTTCTCGCTCGAGTGCCTCTCTCAGGGTCTCGACATGATCCTCCATTGTCTGCATTGAAATCTTCAGCCCTTGCGACTCTCGGCGGTGGCGAGCAAGCGTTTGCTGGCAAGTTTTTGTGTGGGAGCGAGTGGACTGCCAGACATTCTCCATTTCATGTGCTTGGCGTTTGAGGTCCTGTACGAGTTCACGCTGGACGCTAAAGATAGGGACAATGTGTTAGAGCTTCATAAATGCAAGAAAAGGTAAGGATAAAATCATCTTACCTGACTTGTGCCGCGAGGTCGGATTTCATTCGAGGATGACCTTTATAGGGATAGACCGGGCTTTGATTGGGATCGCCAAATTGGTTGTATGAGAGCATTGTACCCCGACGTCTATCTTCTGCGTTGATACTGTAGCACCGCCTCACGTTTCTTGGGCGCTCGCCGCTGAAGAATAAAGTTGATGATGCTTCCCTCAAATCTTCGATTAACACACATTGTTCGATACCATGGTTGATGATCAATTGGCGCCGGACCATTGGGTTGTCGATCTGGAGTGGTCAGTTAAATTTACATGGCGGAGTGATTGATCTTACCTCAAGTACTCGCAAGAACGTATCAAATTGCTCGTCAGGTTCCTTGCCAGACGTATCGAGATGACCGCCACTGCCGATGAAGATTGGACAAACGCTGTATTGACCGTTAGAGATGATCTAATTCGATCGATGACAAGGAGCCTGCTACTCACCAATTGACTTGGCGCATTAGGCCCGAGAGAATGTTCATATCGCTTTTCGAGGAGACAACAAATGCACTGAGGGTACCACCGAGTGTAACCTCGAGAATGGATGCCCATTTTGGTTTGAGCAGAGTGACGTGGTGGCCCATCGGGCCTACTGGACGTGAAGAGAACCGATTCTCTTTTTCGATGGCACGTAAAAGTGATGGCATTTTTTCATGAAACCCATTCAGTCTCCCTCCGTCTTCCTGCCTTAGTGATTGTAGGCGCTGCTCAGCTTGTTCAACATCATTCTTTTTGTTGTCGTAATTAGCCTTCGCAGTTTTTTCTTGTTGTTCCGCATCTCTAATATCGGCCTGCAAGGCACTTTCGCCGTCATTGTGCTGTTGGAGTTTTTCCTTGGCTTCAGTGGCCTCCCTGCCAGCTTGCTCACACTCCTCTTGTTTCCGAGCATAACTCCCGTCACTCATCTCAGCAAGACGGCGGTTTTCATCGTCAATTTTCCCTTGTGTCTCGTTGATAGTCGCATTAGTGGCTTTGACATATTCTCGAATCTGACGTTGTTGGGCCTGTTCTGAGTTAGAGGGAATTTTCTCCCTGAGATAATAAAACACAAGAGTAGGATACATACCTGAAGATCAGCGCGCTCTTTCATTTTGGCGTTCAGCGATTCCTGAATCGTTTCTCGCTCACCGCGAGCATCTTCAAGCGCCTTATCAGCTCGGTACGCATATTCCGCAGCTGTTTCTGATTCTGCCTCAATCGCCTGGAACTTCCCATCAAATTCACCGATTTCTTCCTCCGCGTTCCTTATCTCTTCCTCGGCTTTCGTAACATCTTCCTCAACAGTGTCTCGGATCTAATGATAACAATTAGTCATATTCAATAAATGCACGCGGTTCCCACCGACCTTTTCTTGGTCTTCCACCTGCGCCCACGCCATCTGTTCGCGAATGTTTTTCCTGCGATCTCTCAAGGAAGCCTGCTGATCCGAAATTTCCAATTTCCTCTTGGCAGCATTCCGCCGATTTTCCAGAACACGGATATCCTCTGCCTTGGACCGCAACTTTTCCTCAATCTGATCGACCGACTCTTCAATCAGCCGGTAATCTCGATCCAATTGCTCCAGCTGCACACCTTTGACAAAGAACTTGTACTTCTCCGCCGGACTCGAGGAACTAAGAAACTGTCGAGCCGAATCTTGCGAAAGCACATTCATCGGGTTGTCGATTTGCAAAGAAAAGTAGTCGGTGATGGCATCTAGTTCGGCCTTCTTGTTGGAAACGATGCGACCATTCTTCGCCTTGATCTTGAAACTGCTCGATATCTTGGTGAAATGGCGCTCGATGATGATGCTTTCCCCGTAGTCGGCCACCATATAGGCGCCGTCTCCTGTGTTTTTGAGTTGCACAATAATTGTAGCATTTTCCTTTCCCTGTTTAATGAAACTCTTCAGATTTCCTCCACGTTGAGTTGCAGAGGCTTTACCGCCTAGACAAAGTGTAATCGCCGTGAGAATCGCGCTCTTGCCACTGCCATTCTTTCCGACAATGAAGTTGATCAAAGGCCCCAACTCCACGCTGAAATGATCGTGGCACATGAAGTTGTAGCACTCGACCTTTTCCAGAATTCCTTGTTCGGCGGGCTTGTTGGGGTCCTCCATCGCGTGGGCGTATTTCTCTTGGATGATTTGCGTCTGGCGCAATTCGAAGTCGTCCTCGTTTTCAAGCTCATTGTCGAGATCGGTGCTATTTTCCGGATCGCTAGATTCGTCAGAGGCTGGCATTACCGAATTACGAGGTCGTTTTCTCTGCTCAAATGTCAGAATATGCTCGATCTTGTCGTTGGCTTTGTCAGTGACGTACCGAAGGGGGAGGGGACGATCTTGATGCACCACTTTCTGAATCATCGTCGCTCTGGTCCTCAGGGTCCTGAGAGACCTGCGCGCGTTTGAAGGATGGCATTTCTCGTTATGTGCCAGGAGGATCAGATACGTGTGAGGACAGGTGTGCCCATGATTCACAAATATTTGATTGATGATAGGTAGCACATAGCAATCGCGTCGGCGCGCATTTTCGCGTCAGCGGGTGCTTAATAAGCGGGGTAGAGTGATAAGGCGGGGTCCCCAAGCCGCAGCCATAGGAATCCATGTTTACTTTACAATAGTAAACCGAATACCTACAATTACGTCAAGCTTCACATTGAGGACAGTATTTGATTCAGCATTTGATTAATATAATATGCTAGATTTCCTGACCAATATTTCGATTGGGTCATTCCAATTGTCCATTTCGCTCCAACGGAAAACTACTAGGGTGCGTCAATACATTCTTATAGGGTGGGCTCCTCGGCGACGTAGTGCAGGTAAGCGCCGAGCAACTTGGTTCCCTCAATGTAGTTCCTGCGGTCAAGCTTCTCGTTCACGGAGTGAGCGGCGTCAGTGGAGCTGCCCATGGGAAGAAGGAGAACGTTCTTTCCGGTGGCTTGCTCGAAGGTCAGAGTTACGGGAATGCTATTGAAGGTCAGCGGTGTTCCAAGTTGCAGGGAAAATAAGTATAACGAGATTCAAAACGGGCTGATGCTTACCTTCCACCCTCACGGGTCATATCGGGTTCGACGCCAAAGACTTCCTTCACAGCCTTGCTGGCAGCGCTGAAGTTGCCATGCTTAGGGCTGGCAACCCACCACTTGCCATCGTGCTGCAGCCAAACGTCGAGAGTGTTCTTGCTGTTCAGCTTGGCAAATTCAGCCTTGATGTAGTCAAAGACCAGCTTGTTCACATCGGCGCTCTCCATGTTAGGCACAGTTCGGATGGAGAACTTGCCGATAACCTTGGCTGGGATGACGGTCTTGGCACCGGGGGCAGAGTAAGCACCCTCGACACCGTGGATTGACAGGGAGGGGAATCTCCAACGGGCCATGAGGGTTCGCTCCTTTGTGGGGTGAATACCGGTCTCGGAGCCCAGGGACTCGTGAAGGTTCTCCATGGAGTAGCTGATGTTGGGGTAGAGAGCCTTCTCCTCCTCAGTAACGGGAGCGACGAGCTCCGCAATACCGGGGATGAGAATGTTACCCTGAGCATCAACCAGCTTCGACAGAACATTCACAAGGTCAGTCATGGGCTCGTGAGCAGAGCCGCCAAAGACACCACTGTGGAGATCTTGAGCAGGGCCGGAGATGCTGATGGAGTAGTAGTTGCAGCCGCGGAGACCGTAGGTCAGGCAAGGCTTCTCAGTGCCGAGCCAGTAGTTATCAGAGATGCAGACTGCGTCAGCATCCTTGAAGTACTTCTTGCTCTCAGCCTGGATGAAATCATCCAGACCCTCGGAGCCGTACTCCTCCATTCCCTCGAAGCAGCACAGCAGGTTGACGGGGAACTCGACGCCAGCCTTCTTGTGAGCTTCGATAACGTTGAGCCAGCCGAGAACGGGACCCTTGTCATCAGTGGAGCCACGTCCATACATGCGACCCTTGTCATCGATGGTAAGCTCGAAGGGCTCGGTGGCCCAGCCATCCTCCTTCAGGGCGGGCTGCACATCGTAGTGACCGTAGACCAGGATGGTGCGCTTGTTGGGGTCGTTTCCGTAACGTGCAACGACAACAGGAGGCAGCTCGAGGTGCTCCTTGCCAGGCTGCTTGCCCAGAGGTCTTTGCTCAACCTCGGCTCCGAGAGCAGTGAGTTCATCGGCCAGGAACTGGCCCATCTTTGAAGGGAAAATCCTAGGTTAGCCTTGTATTGCCTGGAGCTTAACGAGAGCTTAATTCACTCACTCGGACGACATCAGGGCGGTTCTCATCTTGGGCCGAGATGGAGGGAATCGCAACCGCCTTGCGCAGACCTGAGGTATTTGATTAGCTACAAAATCGATGTGACAAGCTTCACAACTCGGTGGCTCCGCGGCAAACCCCGCAAGAAGCTTGGTTAACTAAGCACGTACGATCGATGAAGTCCTCCGACGAGTTGTCGACCCTGGAGGTAAACGCCTGTTAGTCTTTTTCTTTGAGCGCGACGAGCAGAGGCTTTAACGTACTGCTTGAAGAAGGGTTCCAGTGAAGGCGCCATTTTGGTATCGGTGATGTGTCCGTAGAAAAAGCGGCGAGGAACTGGAGCGTATGGACGGGGTAAAAACCGGGAGAGAAGCGATTGCCCAGGTTTTGCGAGCGAGGGGAGACGACGGAGGGGAAGGAGGGGCATTGCAGATGGGCTGTGGCACTGCAGAAGAGTCTTATCACGTAATTAGCCCTGCAGCGGTGTTGTACCCAGTTGGAACCCCCGGCTGTAGCCGCCTATCACAGCAATGATGATACCAAGGTTCGCAGCAGGCAGAAAAAGAGCAGAGTTGTGCCAATGCCAGTGCACGGGTCCATGCGCTATTTATATAAATTGCATCCCTACTTACAAAGTTCTATATTAAATCTAAAATCGTGAGAATAAAAATGTAAAATAGATCTTGTCTCCCAAATTCACACTATCTTTGTTTTCACTGCTATCCGGTGTGCCGTCCAGAGTGGCCTCGGAGTCCACGAATTAATTGACAGGCGACCCACTCCGCTTGTGGTTGGTGGTGGTTGTGTGGTATTTGTTTTTTTCCTTTTCCCTTTTTCTCTTCGCTTCTACTACCTCTTTCTTTTCTTTTGGAAATTCAGCTTATTTAATACAATTGATATGAATAAATATGGGAATAGAACAGATGCTAGCTTAGAATACATGTCGTTTTATACAGGGGTTACGCAGGATATCCCCAGGTCCCCATGCCACTTCCCCCTCAAGGATGGGACCCGATTCCGACTCTTAATGCAAATGAAATCAACGATAAGCGCAAGATCATTGGCTAATCGTTTATTCATCGCGTCCCCAAGCCTCCCGGCGCAACTTCCGGTCTTCCCTAGCCATCCGTCGCTTGGGACCCCATCGTGATTGTACAGCTTCCAGCACCTGCTTCTGGATCGCCTTCTTCTCGGGACTAGCTCCGCAGACCTTCGCAATGAAGAGTGGCGAGCACTCAAACTTCTTAGCCAGACTGTATCGGCTCCAGGTCATAGGGTCGTTCAATCGGAGCTTGCGGATCTCCTCGACATCCTCGGGTGTCAGGTGGTATTTCCTCTCCGGTTGGGTCTTGTACACGCTGGGCAGTTCGCTGACATTGGTGGTAGCTGCAGCAGCAGTCGCTGGCCGCATGGCACGTCGAACATCATTGGCAGGAAGGAACTTGCTGGGTGTATGGTAGACCGACGGGGCGCTGGAGGGTGGGTTGTAAATAATTTGGTCACGACCCTGTTGAGATGGGCCGAAAGAGGCATCCGGCTTGACGCGAAGTCTTTGCTTGGTGCGGCGATATGAGGATTGATGGCGCACAGCACCAAGGGAGAGGGATTCTGTCAATGAGGGAAGCAGAAAGGGTAGCGTCAAGAAAGGCCGCTTGGGCATTGTGATCGAGGTCGCCATGGTTGTGGTAGCGCAGAAATTGAATACCCGGTAGAAAGAGCGGAGGGTGCAATAATTGATTCAATTATGCAGATTGAGGATCGAGGATTGAGGACGCGGAGAGATTGGGACGACCGGTGGACCGATGTACCTTTCCACAGGAGGACGTGTCGAGGCCGAACTTTTTCCCATTGGGCACGTGACTAAGGGGGCTTGACTAGATCGGGCATGGCGTCACGGGGGGGACCCAGCATAAAGTATCTAATACTTATTAATACTATTAATATTTGTCTAAAATTGAAGTATCCAGTACTTCCACGACATCCCCGTTGATCACCTGGCCATCGAAAGATGTCATCATCTTACTTTCTGAAGATCATGAAACCCCTTATTCCTCGATATCGCCTTACCACCCTCACGTCGCTTTGTTTAATACAGGCAAGGCCGCGTTTGATTTGAAATATTCAAAGGCAGTCTATGGACATGGCCGACGTCTTTTAGGAAAGCCCTTTGATCACCTCGGTTTCTACAGTTCTCAACAATCCGACGATCACTCCAAGTTGACATTCTTCCCTATACACCATCCGTCGCCGCCATGTCAGACCCTACGAGTGCACCACTCGATTCTACAGACATTCAGATCTCGATACCCGGTTCTTTTCCATCGCAAACACCAGATGACATCACAAGACTCGCAGATCAGGATGTCCCCTTGGTCGGAAAGCCAGCAACAAGCGTAAGAGCTCCCAGGCCAGCAGGTTTGACCTGGGCGCAGCTCCAAAATGTGGAAAAAGACGCTTCTGGAGAGCACCATGCGATCGCACCCAGATCTGCTGCCTCTCATAGTGGCCCTGTTTCACCAATTTCGCCAATAAGCTCCTCCGAAGCACTGCGAACCCCGAATCTCGACCGACAAAAGAACAACCCATATAGGACTTGTTCGTCCCCGGGATCCTCCTCAACCGTACCGCCACGGCTTCATTCCCCGGCCTCTCAAATATTTGAGCGCAGCGTCCAAGAGGACATCCTGCCTATTCAAGCCGCATCTCCATCGATACCCGCGCATATTCGTACAGAGAACTATATCCCGCCCGTCTTGGAAGCATCCTCTGCTGCAATCACCGATCAAGAATTAGATCCCGACTCTGTCGAGATCGTCACGCATAGCCTACACCAGCCCGCCACGGGCATCGCCACTTCGACAGCGGAGCAGTCCCTATCCTCATCCGGTATTGTCGACCACGCCGGTCTACACTCAGATGCAGATGAAATGTCTTCGTCGCACGGAGCGTCGGATACAGATGTCCGACGTCTAAGTTTCATATCGTTTGCAGACGTGGTCAATGCGGAGCACGCGGCCGAGCACGCGGAGGTCGAATCCGTGTATAGCCGAGATCCTTCCCAACCCGCGGCCTCTGGGAATCCTATAACGATAGGGTCTCTGAATCGTTCTCCGTCACCGCTGCGTTCACCTACTTCTTCCCATGGACTGGGGACATCACCTCCAACCAGCATCGCGACCTCATATAAGGGCCCTAGACATGTCCCCGGGCCATCACGGGGTGCGTCGGCCCGGAAGCCCACTGCCTCTGGCCCAGAGCCCCGTATCTTCCGGTTTCAGCGGAGAACTGAATGTTGAAACGATGCGGCAAGCGTTGAGAAGAACAGGGAGTGGAGATTTAGGAGGCGTCATGAGCCAGACTACTAGTGCTATTGGAGTTGACGAGACTGTGGACCGTCTGTCCTGAACTGAAGTCTGATTTGGATCACTTCTTAGCGGGGTATTGATTGCTTCTTGTGATAGGCGCCATGTTTGAAAGCAGACGGGTTGCTCATACTTTCGTTGAATACGGGAATGCCTTGTGGCATTGATGTCGGTGGGCAATTTAGGCGGGCAGCGTAGGCAGGCTTGCGTGTTTCCCTTTCGTACGTTTCGGCAGGATTGCTGGTGCTGGGTGCTATTTTGCTTTGATGACCTTACATAACTCAATACATGGAGCTGGCTATCCTTGAGTATGTGTGTTTCTAAGAGCTTCTCTTCTGAGTACTTGGTCGCCATGATATTTAACCATGTTTGTACATACTATACCCTTGATTGTAACTGGAATTACATGATTATACAAGAAACAAACGCATACTAGTAAATAAGTTTATAAAACTTCCAATACTAGACCAGTGTTGAGCTCCATCGGCTTCAACCTTGGAACTCTATCGATTCCGAGTCTGTCAATTAGTGATATTCGATAGTATACCTACTGGTTCAAGTTCTATCACAAGTAACCCAGAAATTGCATGAACTGCCAGATTAATATTGTTGAATGCATATATAATTTTGGGGCTGGCTACTCTATTTCTGTGCCTTTTCAACTGCGTCCAGGGCAGTCTGGAACCTGGAACGCAAGTCCGATACCTCCTCGAGACCGACGCTGATTCTAACCAGGTCAGGGTCGACATTGAAAGATTTCGCCTGGAAGAAGCATTGCTTGTTAGCTTGGATAATTTTACAAAAAAGCAAACAGGGCCCATTTGCGAAAGAGTACATACCCATTCCAATTCACCGTAGTGAGCCAAGAGGACGTAGGGGGAACTAAAGTCGGGGTTCAGTCAGTATGCTCGGAATCTCATCCAGCAGGATGGCTTTTGACGGCTGATGTGAGTTATACTTACGCGAGAGTGAAGTTTGTGCCGAGACTCGGGCCCTTGAGGACCTCGAGGGTATCGTAAAATGCAATTGCCTCGGCATTTGAGTGGAAAGTGACAGAGAAGAGCCCGCCAAAACCTCCGTGGGGGTTGCGCAGACTATCGTATATCGGCCGTGTCGGGCTATATTTGGGGTAATGAACATCCTTAACTGTTGGTGTGGTTAGTATGGCAACACGACGCGAATTATAGCAAAAGAAGAGGGTTGCGAGATGAAATACTTACTCAGTGGTGAATCCTTCAGCATGGCTGTAATGTTCTCGGAGGTGGAGTTGATCTTGTGGATTCTGGCCACAAAGTCTCGGCTGTTTCGCTCCAAGAAAACAGCATCCTCCGCCCAGTAAATATCTTCATAGTCCCGGCCATAAGTTTCTTTAAGCAGTTTGTAGTACTGCCCTTGAGGATTCAGTACAGCACCTCCACCCATGACGTTGCTGTCACCGCTGAAAACCTTGGTCAGACTGCTGGCAACAATATCTGCGTACCGGAGGACATTGATGTTGATGAAATTGCTGATGGTTTCGTCGACCACCACGGCAAAGTCATACTTGTCAGCTAAGGTACGAATGCGAACAAGGTCGGGGGTTCTCAAAAGGGGGTTTCCAGGAGCCTCGAGGAAAAGCCCAAGGAAACGTTCGCCATTCTTTAGTCGTGCCTCCAGGTCATCTAGATCCTCCGATGAGCCATGTCCATAGAACAAACACCCGGGCCCCCATTTCTGTAGGATTTTCAAGGTATCGGTATAAGGGAAACCAAAGCAGATACTTTTCAATTGACCTCTAGAGGCCAAAAGTGTTTGATGAGCATTGAAAATGGAGCTCATTCCAGAAGGATATAGGTAAACATCGTCCTCGGAGATACCAGCAACACGACCTTCAGCCGAGTCCGCTTCAAGCGCCTCTGGCAGCTCAACATCAGCAGTTAGGACACCAGAGATACGCTTTCGCACGGCAAGCTTAGCCTGGTTTGCAAGCATGGTGCTGAGGTTTCGGCCAAAGCGTTCCTCAATGAACTGAGCATAGTCCCGACCATCTTCCACGCCACTAGCCAAGGGGGAAGTCTCTGCGGGAGGACTACGGGTAATTCCAGTGATGGAGCCTCTTCCCTGGTATCTCCTAGGTCCTTTGCAGGGCCGTTGCGACAATGACTCGGCCGATGTGGAGGAGGCCTTCTCTTCAACCAGGAATCCGTCCTCCAGGGCCCGCAGACAAAACTCGCCTCGTCGACTCGAAATTCCATTGCCAGAATGCTGCCACACTTGCTTGGAAATGGGAGCATGTTCCTTCGGGTATATAACGGCCGACAAGGGGGAGGTGACTGTTGTTGGTCCGGCTTCGGCATGCGGGGAGGGGATAAAGTTCACAATGCGGACTTTGGCGGCCTCCTCGGCGGGCAGTTTGGAGAGGATGAATGTTTGGCAAATGAGGGCGGTTTTGACGGAGGCAAAAAGAGTCGCTGTCTCTGTTTCCGGGTTTCCGTGACGACGAACGATTTCTTGCGCGAGCTTCTGGATGCTGGGGTGCACGAAGAATCGGGGGTAGCCGCATACCATTTTACTGATAACCCAGTCTTCGCCTTCTTCGTAGCCGACATTGGCCCTCCAGGTGGGCAGAGATACACTGACAGCCTAAGAATTGGTTAATAATTCATCCGATACTCCCCGCCGAAGACGATTGGCTTTGCGACAACGAGAAAGGAGAGGTTTCTCTCCCAATAGTATAATGGAGGGGTCCATCGCGGGGTTTCAGGAAACATACATGGTCAGTGTTCGGGGGGGACCGTCCCTCCAAGTGCTTGGAGCATTGTAAAAGGAAATCGATCAAAAAAGCTTCAAGAATTTTAATGACAGAAGTAAAGAGAGGAAATGATGTAGAAAGAGAAAGAGAAAGAGCAAAAAGTCGAGTCACATAACTAGATGCGACTTCGGCGCACCAGGCACGAGCACGAACACTGCATGACTCAGCGAGTGGGTCCATGCCCCAGTCCGTGTTATCGCCCAAAATTTTTTTTTGGAGATATCAAGCTCTCCCTCACCCACTCGCTGTTAGGTCAATCAGCTTCGCAAAGTTGCCACAATGTCTTCACACACGGTGAAGCGACGGAAGATCAGCCCAGAACCGTCTGGTGCAACTCAATCCGACAATCCTCAAACCACCGCAACAGCAACAACCACAGACTCGAAGGCAAAGAAGAGTGACCAGACCTCTTCTACCCGCCGAAATGACTCTTTGACGAAGGGCCTGTCGGGAAATAAAGGAAAGGATGAGCGATCCGCTGAGCTCGCAATGGCTAGTGGCTTTTATAAGTCCAGCTTCTTCAAGCTGCAGATGGATGAGCTATTGACCGGCCTGAGACCGAACTACGACAAACAGATCTCGAAGTTACAGGACACCCTGCACAAATTGAAGACCGCCATTGAAAACCTCCCCGAAAAGTCTCCCAAATCCACCTCGGAAGCGGAGAAGGAGCTTCGCACTGTGTCCGGCGGAGTCACAGTCCCCTGGCCCGAGCCTCGACCTGCAAAGGATGCGAAATACACCATGTCCTACGCGAAGCCATCGAACATAAATGTGATCGGAAGTTTTGCATTAAGAAATGGCGCAAAGACCTCCGACTCTCGGCCGGTGGATCTGGCAGTGACTATGCCCAACTCTATCTTCCAAGATAAGGACTACGTCAATTATCGCTATTTCCACAAGAGGGCGTACTATGTTGCATGCATCGCAGCCGGAATCCAGGAGACCGCAAATGCCCTTGACTTCGAGGTCAAGTTCGGACACCAAGACGGAGACAGTCTTCGCCCTTTAATTCTACTGGAGCCCCGTCCTTCCGCCAAAGGCGACAAATCGACATCATCGCGCCCCCAGATCCGAATTCTGACTGCAATTGATCCTACCCTGTTTCCAATTGCCCGGACACAACCCGCGAAGTGCAACATCCGACAAGGCTCTTCAGCCGACAATGCAGAAAGTGGCGAACCGACTCCATTCTACAACGCGAGTCTTCGATCCGAGGCCACAGTCTCTCTCTACCATAAACAGCTCCACCTGGCCTCTCAAAAGTGCGAGTCATTCCGCGACGCTTGTATCTTGGGACGCACATGGCTGCAGCAACGAGGCTTCTTCTCTCCATTTCAGAATGGAGGTTTTGGTGGTTTCGAGTGGGCCACACTCGTGTCTCTTTTGTTTGAAGGCGGTGGCCCTACTGGACAGCCAATTCTCATGCGTTCATACAGCAGTTATCAAATCTTCAAGGCCGTTGTGCAATTTCTGGCTGGCCGAGACCTGACGACACCTCTGCTTATGAACGCCACCGACATTCCTGTCTCTGGTAATGGCCCGGTACTATACGATGGTCGCAGGGGATTGAACATCCTATACAAAATGACTTCCTGGTCATATGCGTCCCTCCGCCACGAAGCCAGTGTCACCCTCAAGATGCTCAATGAATCTCGGACGGACAATTTCGACCGAGTCTTCATTGTCAAGGTCGATGAGCCGGCTTTGAGATTTGACCGTCTTATCTCCTTCCCCAAGTCATTCCATGGAGACACTCTTCAAGCTCTTCGCGATCAGAATGCGCTGTATAACGTTCTTTCGAGGGCTCTTGGGGACCGTGTCAAGCTCGTCTCCTTGACGAGCCGTTCTGCCGGCTCTTGGTCGGTCCGCTCAAAGGCACCAAACAAGAAAGCAAGCCATGAGCTCTCAGTGGGTCTTCTGCTCGATGCCGATAATGTATCCCGCGTTGTCGACCATGGCCCTGCCGCCGAAGAAAAGGAGGAGGCAGCATCATTCCGAGCTTTCTGGGGTAACAAAGCAGAGCTTCGACGATTCAAGGATGGCAGTATCCTAGAGAGTCTTGTGTGGTCTGACCAGCCCTCGGAGGATTCAATTGTTCATCAAATCTTGGTCTGCATCCTGGATCGCCATTTCCAGATCCCAGAAGATGATTTCTTGCTTACCGGTGATGAGTATGACGACCTACTCTACGATGAGGGTGACGAGATCGTGTCGTACCAAAATCCCACTTTCCAGTCGATCAAGGAGGCATTTAGCGAATTGGAGCAGTCAGTCCGAAGTATGGAGGAAGTTCCATTGGAAATTCGACACCTTGCCCCAGCCAGTCCACTTCTCCGGTATACCGCGCTTCGAGTACAAGGGTCAGCAGCCAACGAGCCAGCAGACGTTGTTCTTCAATTCGAAAGTTCATCACGCTGGCCCGATGACTTTGCTGCAATCCAAATGACAAAGGCAGCCTTCCTCATTAAAATTGGCGACTCCTTGAAGTCATCAGGCGCCGCATCCTCATGCCGTGTCGGCTTGGAGAACGAAACCAGCAAGATCCTGAACAGCGGATACCTTGACATCGCCCACTCCTCAGGCTTCCACTTCCGCCTGAGAATCCACCACGAACGCGAACAAACCCTCCTCGAGCGCCAATTAAAAGACAAGACCATCAGCCCCCGGGAACGCGAAGAAGTCGCCCACGCTCTCTTCGCCTACAAGAAGAATTTCATCCAAGCGCCCCGTCTAACCCAAGCGATCCGCAGTCTCTGCACTCGCTTCCCACTCCTCTCCCCGACAATCCGCCTGGTCAAATTCTGGTTCCACTCCCACCTGTTCTCAGCCCACATCTGCGACGAAATGATCGAACTCATCACAACTCGAGCTTTCACCCAGCACTACCCCTGGAACAGCCCATCCAGCATCATGACCGGATTCCTACGAACCCTACACTTCCTCTCCCGCTGGGACTGGCAACACGAGGCTCTAACCATCGACCTCGCCGGCGATCTAACCCCCGAAATGAGCGATAAAATCCGCACTCGCTTCAACGCATGGCGCAACATCGATCCGGCAATGAACACGCTCGCCCTATTCGTCGCATCCGACATCGACACCGAGGGTGTAACATGGACACAATACGAAATGCCGCCCAAGGTCGTAGCAGGCCGACTATCCGCTCTTTCCAAAGCAGCAATGGACTTACTCCGAAGCCAAGGCCACGACCTCGATATCCCGGATCTCTTCCAGACCTCGCTCGCACCTTATGACTTCGTCATCAACCTGCGACCAAAGATGCTCGGCGACCGCGCCGTGTCCAAATTCAAGAATATCGCCGAGGCAGAGGTCTCCGGCCGCGCGGGCAAAATGGCCATCGTCAAGGCTTTTGTTCGGGACGTCCAGGCTTGCTACGGTTCGAGTTTGCTCCTGTTTCACGGGGATACGAGTGCGGACGTCGTTGCTGGAATTTGGAACCCGCAGACGCTGAATGCGAAAAGTTGGAATTTGAAGACTGCTTATTCGACTGCGCCTGCGCCGGGTAATGACTCTACACAGCTGGATCGCGTCGTGATTAACCAGTCCGCGATCCTGAACGAAATTGCCAGACTTGGAGAGGGCCTCATTGATACGATAGAGAGCGGCAAAGTTGTAGCTTAGGGGGGAAGACGGAACATTTCACGACGTGTGGGATTCGAATTAAAAATCTTTTTATCTTATTGGCGAAAAATGTACATTACCTGCTAGCGCCACTGCAATGCAACCTTATCTTTATCAAATAGACAGAAAACAGACGGACACAGACACAAAAAAGCCCTAAGCCCCTCCGGTGAAGAACCACCGTAACAAAAAAAAAAGGAATCGCGTGAAAGGGAAAGGAAAAAATAACACAGAGGGATCATATTACATTCTTCATGAGTATCCTCATCCCCGGTCCGATTTACCCGTCGGGACTTGAGAGGAGAAGGAACAGAACTTATCCTTAATGGCGACGACTTCATAAGTTCCCTCGTCAGAGGTTTTGACAGTCTTGATATGCTCGTAAGAAATGTCGTGCTTGATATCAAGGATCTCGGACTTCTTTCCCTTGCGAGCATTGGAGCTTCGAATATAACTAAATTTCATAAGATTAGTACCATAAGTTAGAGCTAGAGAAAGGAAAAATACTCACGTGAATTCAAACGGCGGTGTTCCCCAGAACTCAAAGTGAAGATCAGCTTCCCCGCCTTCGTGGATATCCACAACGGAAAGCTGGCCCTTGCTGATGCGCACACTTGGCATCTCATGGATGATCTTGGTGATGTCCTTGTGTGCCTTGCACTTCCCACTGGCCCCGTCACCGACAGCAGTGATGGTAAAGTCACCCGCGCGTTCAGCTATACGGCGGAAGTCCGTGGTGTGTGAAGTAGCCTTCCGCTGCGCACCGTTGAAAGTGTAGAATACTTCAAAGGGTGCGTGGCCGGAGAGAGCGAATGAAAGGCGCTCACCGACACAGTAGTCGACCTTGGACTCGAGCGGGATGATGGTCGGCACATCTGAGACGGCTACGCGGACATTTGACGTATCGAATTCAGTGGTGCGTTGGCACCCGCGGGCATCACGGACTTTGTGGATGCTGACGACGTGCTGGCCGAGGTCCAGGTGACGGCGAGGGATGGGCAGGTTGTGGCGGTGCGAGGGGATCTTCGGAATGGTGACGATCTCTGGCTTGGCGTTGGAGTGGTGTTTGATTGTGATCTCTAGGGAAAATGGAGGCAGTCCTTCCAGGGTAATTGGGATTGTCTCTTCGCCGGTTGCGTCTTCTTTGCAGAATCCGTAAATGTGGCCAGGAGAATCGAACTTGGCGGATGGGAGTGTGTTCACTCGCTGGGTAACCTCGAGGATTTCTTGCTTTGGATCATGGTCGTAAAGGTTGTCACCGACCTTGGCGAATTTGTAGCTGTATGATCCGGGCTCAGAGGTATCCATCTCCATCGCGACGGCATTCAGGGCTGTATTCAGATTGCGGGAGCGAACAGATGATGACCCACGATCTGTTTTGCGTCGCTGCTCATACTGGATAGCAAATGGAGGGTTACCGGAGAGGCGTAACTCGAGGCTGTCATCGTCACCTTGGCAGACCTCAGGCTTCACATACTGGCTGACAACGGGCGAACTATCCACAGCGGTAATCCGGGGTCGCGGGATCCAGGACACATCGAACTTATTAGCGGACTGATCCACAGAGCCGGGGCAAGACTTATCGAAAACCTCAACAAGCTCATACACGCCGTCATTTTTGACGGAGAGAAGAGCGTTGCTGTCCCAAAAGACTTGGTCCAGAAGTGAAGAACCAGAATTGGTATTCCGATATTTCACTGTCCACGGTTTTTCACCGCTAAGTCTCAAGGGAATGTTGATCTTAGAGCCTTGCAGAGCAGTGATGCTCCTCTGCTTCTCAATTTGACCAAACGCGGCATGTGGAGGCTTCGACCGGGCATCGATTCTGATGTTTTCCTTGAGTGTTCGTTTACACTTGGACTTGTCCTTGACATTAGTTAATGCTAGGACATATTCACCACCATTTACCAGCTTGTCGGTTGTGATGGTGGCCACCTCGGTATCAGACTCGAGGGTGTGTTTCGTTCTCTTGCCATTATTGAGGAGCTCGTATTGGAGCGTCCACGGAGCTTCGCCCAGGAATCCTACATCCACGGAGACGGATTCACCGAAGCAGGCCTTCTTCACGCTTCCTTGTCCACGGAAATGCGCTGATGCTGGTGGCTTGACATCTTGTTCCAGAACAGGCACTTTGTCCCTGAGCGAGCGTGGGGAGTAGATAGAATCCTCGATATCGATAAAACGGTATCTATAAAAGCCTGCCTCTGACGGGGTAAGGTCCAATTGAGTTCGGAGACCATCGATCCTTTGGGTTTTGGTCACAGTACCACCCCGATGAACAGAGCTTTCGATGCTATAGCGGAGACGGAAAGGTGGTGATCCCGTCAAATCCAGATCCACGAGGAGACCAATAGCGTTGTTGGCGCATCGGTCAAACACCTTCTCTGCCTTGACAGACAATTCGGGCTCAGGAGGATTAATCAGGTAGCAAGACGCGGGCTCAAGTACCTCTCCTGGACAATATTGACTGGCGACCGATTGCAATGAATACCAACCAGACTCTTTAATTGGAGACTTCTGATCCAGGCTCTTCAATGCGAGAATTTTGGCACTATCGGGATCCCTTTCGCTTTGAGAAGGATCGGAATTGTGGAAGGAGTATGCCACGGTAAAGGGGCCATCATTAGCATACCCAATTCCAACATTTTGGAAGTTGAGAGGCAGATTAACGCTGTCTCCGTGGGCGACTTCCAATGGGCGCTGATCATCGCAGCCCGAAAGAGAAACACGCGGACGTTCGTGGATTGAGAACTGATGCCATTGCGAAGATGATTTAGACGATGGCTGGTCACTTTCGTCAAAGAGGGTGGAGTAATTTGCAACATTGCCTGCAGCATCGTGAACCTCCTCGATGGCGTAGAACCATTCTCCGCCGACGTTCAAAGACTCGTTCAGGGGAACGTCAATCTTTTGGCTTTGAGCCCATGAAATATCTGGCTGCTTAATGCTGAAGAGAGCGCCAGTCGATCTTTGGCTCAGTAGTGGAGATCGCAGATTGTCAGGCTGGATATTTTGGAACGAATATCCACGGTCGAGCTGATTGACCTGTCGACTATACTTGATCTTCAGCGGAGGCGTACCTTCAACTTCGAGCACTAAATTCGACAACTCTCCCTTGCATTTGTTCGTATGAGAGTTTTTGATAAGTGCCCGAGGACAAGACACCACCAATGCATCTGAGATCCGCGTGCGAACATCAAGCTCTGATTTATCCACGACCCTCTGGAGACGATAGATACCGGTTTTGCGCACAGGGATGAGGAGATCTCGGTGGGGGACCGTGTCCACGATGGAATGTCTCTTCTCTGCCTGGCGTTTGAGTTGTTTCAACTGTTTAGCTGGGACAGTCAGGGTCTCGTTCTCGCCTGTGTGGAGATCAAGGCGCAAGATTTCAATGAGAATCGGGTCGGTTTGGTTGATGCGAATGGGGAGATCAATGGTGGTCTTCTGGGAGTCGAGACAAAGTGGGTCACGCTCGGGGTTGAGAACAGCAGATCTAAAGAGGTCAGCAAGAGTCAAATATTTTCTCTTCATATAAGAGCAAAACCTACCCTTCGGGCAAAATGTGCACGATTTGTTTTCCCAGAATCAACGAAGCATTGTGAATGATGTCACCCGGCTTGACCTTTCGCTCGGAAATTGAAAGCTCGCGGTCGTAAGCGACTTTGACCAGGCCTGCAATCCATGCGCCAATGGGCAGCTGATACGATACGGTTAGTCTTTCTTCTCTCCATCCCTTCCCAGCCAGAAATCAGAAAGAAACTCACCGGAATGCGGAACATCAGAAAGACATTACCAACGACATGCAGCAAAAGCAGCGCCAGTGTAGTCGGGAAAGCCCATTCCAGCCAGGGAATGCGCAAGGCCTGAAGACCAAAGAGGAAAACTCCATCAAAGGTAACCCATTTCAAGAATAGCCAAGTCGAGTCCAGCTCGTCGGATGCGGTCCAAGACTCATATACACGCCACAGGTTGAGAGCAAGATAGAACGCCACCACATAGAGCCGTTGTGAAGGACCATCGATCAGATCGACAGGAACGAGCGGGTTGCTGGTGTTCTGGGGCGGCTTCGGCGGCGTTGCCTTTGCAGGTGATTTGGCTGACGATCTCACCGCGGGCGTATCGCGGCCATCTCTAAAAGGCTGAGACCGAGAAGGTGTCTCAAACAGCTTCTTTCTGTTCCTTGGGAGGGTTTGAGGCGTCTGCGGAAACGCAGACTGAAGGCGGGGAGTACCGTTCATGGCATGCTGCGATCACCAGGGTCCAGCTTGGTTGAGAAGTCCCACGCAGGGAAGGAAAGGGCGCGCGACGGTCACAGATCCTGCGAACACGAGAGGGCGCAAGTCGGGTTGGGCGACAATTGAATGTGGATCACCAAACAGTTGGGGGAGATGGGGGGGGTTGGAAAAACAGAAACAAAAAGTTGGTTGTGACCGAGAGACGCGGGAAGCGCGTCGGAGGAAGCTCGGTCCACCGCCGACATGCCACTATAAACCAGGGGTCTTTGGGCAAAGAAAAGGTCAGTTTTGATATTGAGAAAGACTGCGGAGTTGTTTTGAATTGCAAATAGTCTGACACTAGTATTTACTGCCATATAATATGGTAGCTACTGTATTCGAGCCAATGGAGAATTCTGATAGCTCTGGAGGAGCTTAAAGCGGTGTAAGCTCATATCTCCACTAGCACCACGGAGTATATACAACCGGCAATAAACTTCCCAAGGTTGCCAATATCAATAGGATGTTAGGGAGCATCGAGGACCGGTACATGGAATGACTATATTCACTGGCGATACTAGTGAGCCTGCAATATCTTCTCGTTTCATAACACCTCGGTACATACCTGAAAAAGCCCGCACCCAACTTATAAAAATACAGCTTTTACTTCTGCTTGAGGTCCATATTAGGCAGAATGAAAGGCGGTCAACCGTTAAGGCGTAGCCTTCGCAACGATTGTATCTAGTCCTACATGAACATACATACCCAATTTTAACTCTTTCTATCGCATCCCATTCTCTCTGCTTCTTTTTATCCCAAGCTTACAACCTGTCTGCTTGAAGCTTCACTTTCACTTCTATCACGGCAATTTCCTTTCATGAAAATAACCTGAATCGTTCTTACCATGGGTCCACCTTCTAAACGACAGCGTCGGTCGAACTCGACCGACTGCTCAAGTGATAATATCTGCCAGCCTGCGACAAATCTCGAGAAACACAGTTGGAACGGCTTTTGCGAGATTGAGTCGGAACCGGTGAGACTGTTTTGGTCTCAAGTACTGCCTAGCTCCAATCAACTAATCTCCTTTCCAGGCACTTTTCAATGTGATGCTTCGAGAGTTCGGCGTCAAAGGCGTCAAAGTTCAAGAAGTGGTATCTCTTGACGAGGAGTTGATGGCTTTTTTAAAGTGAGAACTGAAACTCCCTATACCCATTCCGCTCCAATAATACGTCAAAGCATGGCAGAACTGACTAGAAGCCCCGGGGGACTCAGCCAACCTATCTACGGCTTAATCTTTCTCTTCCGCTGGCGGGAGGATGATGCCGAGAAGCAAGAGGCGTCATGTCCGGATGGACTTTGGTTCGCCAATCAGGTTAGTGAAGAAAGAAAGAACATGACTCTTTTCCTTTGGGGATATTGACTGACCATTTCCAATCTAATGCCAGACGGCGAGCAACGCATGTGCCAGTGTAGCCCTCCTGAATATCGTCAACAACATATCCGACGTTGACCTTGGAGAGAACCTGCAACAGTTCAAGGATTTCACCATGCCATTTACCCCGGCACTCCGGGGCGATGCAATTAACAACTTCGAGTTTGTCAAGAGAGTACATAATTCATTCGCGCGGTACGCTAATAATCATTTTCACACCACCCAACACATAGAAGTTTTCATGGCTAATCCCAATTGACCGTACGCATCCTAGGAAGATGGACATTCTGAACTCTGATCTATCATTGAAAGAAGAAGCGACCTCAAAGCGTTCCCAAAAGCAAATGTCCGGCGATGAGGACGCCACGTTCCATTTTATCGCATTCATGCCGGCCATGGGCCAGGTCTGGAAGTTAGATGGATTGGAACGACAGCCCCAGGCCATCGGTTAGTTTTTCTTTTCTTTCTCCGTCATTTTGAGATAGGAGAAATGGCCCCTTGCTAATGCATATACACAGGCGAGTGTTCCGAGCAGGAGGATTGGCTTGAGCTCGCAAGACCCAACATCCTCGATCGAATGGCTGCGTACGAGGAGGAACAGATTGAATTTTCGATCTTGGGATTAGTTCGAGATCCCCTACCAGACCTTACCCAAGAGTTAGCAGTCAATATTCGAAGTCTCGAAGTCATCAATAAGCGCCTTATGGCCTATGGCGCAACCGATGCCGATTCGAGCCCAGTGTCGTCCCAGCCGCTTGAAGCACTGCAGGAAACACTGCTCGGCCCGGACCCATTCTATGGACTCACACGATTTATGATCGACGAAGCTGTCATTCCAGAGGGATTATCGGAAGAACAATCCCTGTCTTGTCTTCTAGAAAAGCAGGACAAACTTCGCAAGGCGCAACCCGGGTTACGCGGTCGGGTTCGCGAAGAGCAGCAGGCGCAAGATGCAGATGACGACCATGCGACCGGACGACGATATGACTATGGACCAGCAATACGTACGTGGTTACGCTGCTTGGCACGGAAGCAGGAACTAGCAGAGTTATTATCATGACCATGCCAGTTGGTGAAGTTCGTGGGCGCAGAGGCGGTCGCGATTGGCCAAGCATTGAAGTATAACGAGTGACCTTGATGCCGCGTGCTTCGAACTCTCCTCGTGCTTGGAGAGTGGAATGTTAGTGTATCTAGTCATGCGCCAGTGACCTACAGTATAACGACAAGGCATTACTCTACATACTTGATTACCACTAAGTAATACTAATACATACTAATATTAATACTAATACCAATACTGGTTTATCTCCACTTCATGTCCACCCACTTCTCCCCGTCGCCACGGCGTCATCCCAGTCCACCAGATCCAAAGAGTCGGGCCTAAGACCTTTCCGTACTGGACCCCGCCTAAATTCAACTGAATTTCACCAAATTCCATTTTCCCCTTTCCTACCTTGTTTCATATTACTTAGTTAAACTAGTAAAATCCCCCCCCCGGGCAAAAAAACAGCACGTCACCGCCTCCGCTCGGATTTCCCCAACTCTCTCTCCTCTTTGTTGCTGCTTTACTTTGCTGCTATAATTCACTGGGTGATTCGAGCGCGCTTTTTCTATTTGCAAGGGCCATCTGCCCGCGAGTCCTCTCTTTCCTTTACTTTCTGCCCGGTGCACAAAGCTATTCCGTCTCGGAAATACCGAATCCACCTACAATATCCCCCCCCCCCAATTTCCAAGCTAAATCTCCCGCCACCTGGACACCGAGATCATGTCGTCCGCCCCCGTGGTCGAAAAGACCCCTGACGATTCTTCCAAGCTGAAGACATTCTTGTCTATCCTGCGCAAGTATGACCAGCCTCATTCTGTCGTCCTACTCCGGGGGAAAAAGCAGCAGTTGCCCCCCGTCCTCTCGCTGATGCAGTGGCTGATGATACAACGGTAAAATAGATTCGTGGGTGTGACAGATATCGCCTCAGTTCGTTTCTCGTTGCCGGCACAACTCCTCGAGCCCCGACCTAATCTAGGTAGGTCTGACACAATCCAAGTGTGACGACTGGGAGTTACTGTGGGCGGAAAAGGCTGACAAGCTTCGCAGAATACTGGAATTACTTGGATCGACCGGAGACCTTTGCGAGGTCAGGACCACGAGGCCCATTCATGCGCTGTCGACTCATATGTGCTGACCCGAGAGCTACAGCATTGGCAAATCCGACGATGAGCTAGGACGAATGCTCGAAGTGTTGCGCTTTTGGTTTACAAAGGATCTGGTACATTACATCACACACTGCCTTACTGGTTTACCCCGCGGAACACATCGCTGAATGTTTGAAACAGAAATACATTAAGGGAAAACCATGCAAGCCATATAACTCGACACTCGGCGAATTTTTCCGCGTAAGTCAAAATCCCGAGGAGCGCAGCGAAGACCGAAAAAGCGGGCGCTAATCAAACCTATCTCGAATTAACAGTGCAGCTGGGAGGTCCCGGACTTCGTCCCGGAGGAGGCAAATCTCCCTGGCGTCGAAGCTAGCAGCGCCAACAGCAACAGCTCCGCCAAAGACGACAAGGAAAAAGTCAAGATCTCCTACCTGACCGAACAGACATCCCACCACCCTCCGGTCTCAGCCTTCTACATCGACTGCGCCGAACGTGGCGTCACAGCCCGCGGCTTCGACCAACTCTCCGCAAAGTTCACCGGCACAAGCATCCGCGTCAGCCCCGGCCAGCACAACCTGGGCATATTCGTCAACATCGAAAAGCGAGATAACGAAGAATACCAATTGACCCACCCACACGCACATCTGGGCGGGCTCCTCCGCGGCGCACTCGCCGTCACAGTAACCGACACATGCTACATGACGTGCCCTAAAACCCGCATGAAGGCGATCCTGCAGTACATGGAAGAAGGCTGGATAGGGCGGACGCAAAACCGACTCGAGGGCGTGATCTTCCGCTATGACCCTGACAACGATAACATCACCAAGACGAAAGACGTGAAGGAAAGCGACGTTCTTGCCCGAATCAGCGGGTCCTGGCACGGCAAGATCTACTACACCCCGACCGGATCCAAAGAGCCCATCCTCTTAATCGACATCTCGCCGCTCTTCCCCGCCGAGAAAGTAATTCCCCCCTCGGACCAACAGTTGTCCAACGAGTCGCTGAAGTTCTGGTCCGAGGTCACGGACGCCATTGTCGGCAAGCAGTTCACCGAGGCGACCCGGCTGAAGCAGGATATTGAGGAGCGTCAGCGCACGCGCGCTGCCGAGCGCAAGGAACAAGATGTCGAATGGAAGCCGCGCTTTTTCACCGGCGCAGTGACTCCGCTCGGTAAACCTGAATTGACGCAGGACGGACAGAAAGTCTTAGAGGGAATCCGGGCCGGCAACTATGCGCTAGACGAAAGTGCCGTGCAGGGCGCATAGCCAGCCCTATGCACATAGGCAATAAGGTCAAAGATCAAGTTCAAAGGTCAAGGCCAAGGTCTTACCCTAATTGTTGTCTTGAATTCCTCTTTTGGGTTGAATCCGTGGCCGTATCTGGAATGCGACCAAAGTTTTTCAACGGCGTCTTATCTTTGGGGGGGGTTTTCCGTGGAATATCTCCCCCCGGTGGCCTGGCCTCCAGGAAGCTTTCTTCCTTCGATTTAACATATTTAGATTTCACCCTGGGGCCTCTTATCTTAGCCCCCAGGTTCATTTTTGTGGATAGTTGCTGGCGAGATAAGGAGATCTTTGAGAAAAAGCAGCATGCAACTACGCTGCTTTTGCACAATCAGAATGGATAGAGAGTTGTCTTGACCACTCTTTTTTTCAAGCTCGAAAATCAAAACCAAAACTGTACATGATGGGTAAAATAATGAAGTAGTAGTATAATGTAAAGAAAATGCAACACGATAATGAATCCATCCACGACTGAAAAAACCCAAACCACCCACCCCAACGACCTGAACACCTTCACCAACCCAAAGCCCAACCCAAAGCCCAACCCAACAAAAGTAACCACAGTCATCAGGAACATAAAAACATCAATACAGGGCTACCAGTTCAAAAACTAGGCAGCCGCGCTAACAACCTTCGTAAAACCTGCCGTAACAGTCTTCGCAATTTCCTCATTCTTATGCGGAAGCAAGGACAAGGCATACGCAACATCGTTCCACTGGCGCTCGGTCTCGCAACGAGGAAGTCTCGCAGCCAACTTATCAGCCAATTGGCGAGCGTGTTTTTCCTATAAGATAGCGTGAGCCTAAGTACGTTATATATCAGGGGAAAAAAGAAAAACAGCATAACGAACCTTTTCAACGAAACCAATCAGGAACTTGACGATGCGGCGCAGAGAGGCCTCCTCCAGGTTTTTCTCAGCACTTAGTAGACTGAACATGTCGACGAAGTGGTTGTACACGGCGTTATCCTTGGTAGCCAGCTCGGTGAAGAACATGCGCGCAAGATCAGCGATCTTCTTATCGCCGTCCTCGAGACACTTCGCCATTTCACCAAGTTGACCCTTGACCTTGACCTGACCGGCCAAGATGAGAAATGTCAGCGTCATCAGACAGGTGCGCTTCACAGAAGCATCGTCATCATTGAGTCGGCGATACAAGAAGTCTGTGTTTTCGTCGATGAGGTGGTTGAAAGAGACAGCCATATCGCCCAGGGCGATGACGGCGTTGCTGCGGACAATCGGATCCTCGGACCGTTCCATGATTGTGATCAGAAGTGGGAGGTTCTTTTCACAGTACTCGGCAGAGACACACATGAGCTTGGCCAGACACAGCGTCGCAGAGGCTTGGAGGTCGCGGTCTGGATAGGCGTTGTTATTGGCACAGATTTCTGCGACGAGGGGTCCGAATTTGGAGAGTAGTGAGTTCTCTCCGTATAGAAGTTCACGCTCACGAATATGAGCCATGGCGTCGGTAAAGTCATCCTCGGTGGTGCCTCCAATGAGGTCAAGTTCATCGGCATCGGTGTCGTCGTCCTTTTTACCGGCAGACTCGACGGCTTTGGTCTTCTCTTGCTCGGCTTTACGGCGTTTGAAGTCGAGTTCACAGAGCTCAAGGTGCACGATCTGCTTAATAGCAATGTGACCGACGACATAAAGGAGCTGTGAGAGGGCGGCGGATGACGGCTTTGACTTCGAAGGCTGCTGCTGTTGTTGTTGCTCCTCGGTGGTTGCAGAGTCAGGGAGCTGTTCTTCAACACTGGCAGAAGTGTGTGAAGACGAAGGCCGCTGGAGATGAGGCTGGAACACAAACCGAGTCTTTCTCCGAAGGATATCCGAGCACAAGGTATCGGGATGCTTAGAAAGAGTGTAAATGGCACTGATCGCTTGCTCGGCAACGCCATACCACTCCTTGCTCTCGGAAACAATCTCCAGCATAGCACCCAGTTTGATCAAGACAGAATGATCGTTGGTAAGTTTGGGAATGGCGACGGCCTCCTTGGATTTGGCCTGTCGTCCCGGAACCATTCGCCGGAGGGCAATGCAAGTATATTTGGCAAGAACAAGATCGGATTTTCCCAATCCACCAAGTCCAATGCGCAACATCGCTTCGATCTCTTTGATGACCACCTCGGGATCAGCGAGAGCCAACATACCCAGAACGATGATAGAACCGCGACGCTGGGTCTTTGAGATTTCCTTCTTTTGGATTCCATAAACCTGCCATAACTTAGCAATAACAGCTTCTGATACATGCCCGGCCTTCATCATAGTGCTCAGCAGCTGCTCAAGACACGTAAGCTCGGCAGGGGTTGAGCCAAAGGTCAAACTAATCATATTGCGTGCAATATAGTTCGCAGCATCGTTTTGGCTGAACGAGTCTGGGGCATCGAAAAAGAGACCCTTGTAGCAATCAATCAGATGGGACTGAACACCCTTTCCTTCATCACTGTTGCCTTTGGTCCAGATCAGGCGCAACATGCGACGAATACCAGTGCGAGCTGTTTCAACCTTGTATGCATCAAGGACTACAAAGAAGTCCATGGCTTCAATCACCTCGCTCTTGTTGCGAGAAGAGAGTAGCTGAGAAACAATCGTGGATCCAGTGTGGAGCACCTCAATGAAGCGAATAGCCTCATTATAGTATTTTCGGGTCAGCTGCAGACGCGTCAAAAGCTCAGATGTTGCAGCTTGCTCTGCCGCCTTTTGCATAGCTGTGGCCTTCTCTTCTTCGGTCATTCGGGGTGCTTTAGAGGGGGGTTTTGGAAGGGGAATCATCTGGCAACTGGGTCGCTTCATCGAGTAGTTCGTCATCGACCTGGGTCATTTCCGCGTCGAATCCGGGAGTCTCAGCAGGTCGCAGAGCATTGAGTTCGCTGTCAACCCCATCCAGTCGGTCATTCCATTCCTTGTATGCGAGTTGGCCGCCGTGCATGACACTGAACGGATGCGTGGCAACCAGCTTAGACAAAAGCTTGATTGCGTTACGACGAACATTACTGCTCTTGTCTTCTAGACTTCTCGCAGCAAGTTCAGCGGCAGCTTGTCGTCGCTTGGGGAACTTCTGTTCCAAATCACAAATTCGCATAAAGACCTGGATGGCACGGCAACGGCAGTAAGGGTTGATGTCCAGGAATCGCTCCTCCAGTACGTCGAAAAAGGCGTTGATCTGAGTCTTATAATTCTCACTTCGCTCTTCCTGACGGCTCAAGTCGGAAATTAGGTTTCCACAGACCTCAATTACAGCACAGCGCAGTGTATAAGCCTATCCAACTGTCAGCAGGCGTCGAGTATCTCAACACACCGGGATTCCTACCTCGCTGTCAAGCTGTTTAGCCAAGAGTGTCATTTGTTTGATGATTAGTCTTGGGGTAAGTTCGGAGAGCTTAATGATGAAAGCAGAAACCGATTTCGGTCCACGGGTATCATTTGAATTGAACTCTTTGTTTCCAAGTTCCCTAGATGGGGTCAGTCAAATTGTCTGGGTTTCCGGGAATGGAAGCCACCTACTTCAGGATTTCATCCGAAAGTTGAGGGTAGTCATATTGTTCGGCCAAGATGTGAAGGAATTCGGCCATGGGCTCTGACAAGTGCTCAAAGTATGTTAAGCTCTGCACAATCGATGTTTGCGCACCTAGAAAAGTCATGTTAGTGCCGGTTAATCCACATGGATCAGAACACATACCAAAAGCATGTCCATGGTGCTTGACCGCAATGCATAGAACCTTGAAGGCATGCATGCGAATAGCCATACTCTTCACCCGCTGCTCGCTCTCCAAAACCAAATAGATTGTTCGCGTAAAAAGATTAATAAATGTGTCCCGGTCCGAAGTAGTCAAGAAAATGCGGCCCAGCTTGAGTTTCATCACCTTGCACATGGTTTCCATCGATATTTGGATTTGCGGTGTCCAGTCCCAAGCTCCATCTTTGGCCGATTTCTTCGATTTCGGGCCACCACGTCGCGCAGGTGCGGCCTCGGCGGGTTTCTCTGCGGCTTTCACCTCCACAGCGGATAGAGCCCACTGGAGAAGGAATCCGTACATTTCCAGGAGTTGCTTGTGTGACTGGATCGCATCTTGTTCGTCGGATTCGAGATCGCCAACGATGATGTCGGCTTCGACCGATAGGCCGGAAACGATCAGGTCAAGGACCTTACTTAGGGACTTTGTCGGGAGGAAGCTTGTGTATCTGCGATGTTTCGAATAATCAGAGTCGGTTCCAGGTGAGGGCAAAGCTCCCCGGGGTAGATGGGAGGGTCTTGGGGCGCACTTTAATAAGAACTGCAAGGAGTCAAAGAATGATGACCTGGTAAGGCTCTCAGGGTTCTCTGCAACAGCGTCTACGATCGGGTTCAGGACATTATCGATCAGCGCTGTCGAAAGCTGATCGGGATCTGATTCGCAGTCGAGTAACTCGGGGTCGGCATCGAGGGTGGGGACGGAAGTCGGATCGCTCAAGTAATACTTGAGCGAATCATTAATATCAAATTGTATTCTGTCCTCCATGGCGACGGTGTCGAGTGTGTGGCGATTGGAGGGGAGGATTGAGGGGAAGAAGTCAACAAGTCAACAAAGCGGCGGTGTTGCTCGGCGGGATGTTTGGCTTTTGCCCGAACAGGCAGGCCACCGCCCGACAAAAACATTGGCAGAATCGACGCGCGGAGAAAAACAATCAACTTGAATGTCCTTGCGGCGATTTGATGTTATGCACTGGTGACCTGCATACACTAACCTCGACAAAACATCTTCACTGCACTTACTCAACACCGTCACTTTCTCTCACCGCGAACCTACTTCCACCAATACGATGTCGGCCTTTCGTGTTGCTCCCGCGGGGGTTTTCGAGCTTCAGCGCAGCAGTTCGTTCAGAGCCCCCGCACCCTCGAAATACCAGAATGAAGACGCCAAGCGCGAAGCTCCACGGGAAGGAACCGACTACGAGGAAGAGGAGGATGAGGATGAGGAGGAGGAGGAGGAGGAAGAAGAAGAAGTGGACGAGTCAGTACGAGAAGATATGACGAAGCTTGAGGATACCTTTCCCGGCATCTCGGAAAGGTTTCGATTAATTAATCGAATTGGAGAAGGTATGCTTGAAAGGAAAACAAATAAATATCTGGAATTGCACACAAACATACTAATGCTTGATTTGTTTTTGCTCAGGAACCTTCTCCACCGTATACAAAGCCGAAGACGTGCTCTACGACCACTACCAAAACGAATGGGATGTTTTTGCGCAAGCACAACAACAGGAGGCATGGCCCAACCCTCCTGCCAAAAGACGTCGGATGGATGGGCCCTCAGCAGGAGGGCCCAAGATTCCTCGTTATGTCGCGTTGAAGAAAATCTACGTCACAAGCAGTCCAATTCGGATCCAGAACGAACTTGAACTTCTCCACGATCTGCGAGGCTGTAAATCAGTCTGCCCTCTCATTACTGCGTTCCGGTACCAAGACCAGGTCGTTGCAGTCCTTCCTTACTTCCCTCACTCCGACTTCCGCATCCAATACCGAACATTCATGGTGGCAGACATGCGCCATTACCTCCGATCACTTATGACAGCTTTACAATCCGTTCACGAACACGATATTCTACATAGAGATATCAAACCTACGTATGTGCTAGGAAATATGCAAGGCATTGCGTTGACAAGTCCTAATACTGACCCTGGTTTTTTTCAGAAATTTCCTCTACAATCCTGAGCTGAAAGAAGGCGTACTCGTTGACTTTGGTCTTGCAGAGGTAAGCTCACTGCCTTCCACGCAGAGACAATACAAAAAGAGGTGTTACTAATCTATTATTCTAAACTGAATTAGAGACATGGATCTGATTACACATATACGTGCCTGTGTGCCCATCAAACCTACGTTCGCCGCAGCAGAATTCTCTCCAGCTATTATTCGAAAAATCCACCATCCTCAGGTCTTTCCAACGGATATCCAAAGAACGACTCGCGTTCGTCGAGACGAGCAAATAGAGCAGGCACCCGAGGATTCCGTGCTCCCGAGGTTCTATTCAAATGTACATCCCAGACTACGAAAATCGACATGTGGTCGGTGGGCGTGATTCTTCTCACCCTACTGGGTCGCCGATTCCCGTTCTTCAATTCGGCTGATGACATCGACGCTATGATCGAGATGTCAAGTATCTTTGGAACGCGGCGCATGAAGACTGCCGCAGCGATGCACGGCCAGATATTCGAGACCAACATTCCAACCATCGGAGAAAAGGGCTACAGCTGGGAAAAGCTGGTGAAATGGTCCAGCTGCGTTGAAGACTTGACTGAAAGTGAGCAGCAAGCCACGCGTCTTCTGTCCGGATTGATGGAACTAGATCCCAGCAAACGTCTGAGTGCCGAGGAGGCATTACAGCATGAGTTCTTCGTCAACCCAATTCATCACGATGTGGAATGGGGCGGTAACCCCGAGAGTGGAGATTCTGGCGAGGAAGAAGATGCTGGAGAAGACGAGGCGGATGAGGTCGCCATGCTATGAGATACCACATTTTGTACGATATGTTATGCAGTTCTGACGTTACACGACATCTTTGTTCAGCCAATACTTCTGTTCAATCATAATCAATACCACTGGTGAATGATCTGTTTCTGTATTCCAACGTTTCTATCAACAAAACAAGGGCCAATGTAGGTAGTTCGCCCACCTCATGTACTCCAAATAAATGCATGCTTCATAATCCAATGAGGTTATACCTAGGTATATAATGAATACTAACTGGATTCTCCAAAATCATAATGACCAGTTGCGGTGGCATGCTGTACCGCCCCCTTCTCTCCTGTGAATGTTTCCCCACAAGTATTGCAGCGAACCAAAAACCCCGAGGTATCTGTGTAGTAATGCTTGCTCTGTAAAATCCGACACACCTCCTGTGCCTTCTCCAAGACGACCGGGTCAACAGCCTCAAAGATCTTAGTATCAATTTGTGTAAACGGGTCGGCATGTGTGTACGGCGGATCTGACGGTGAGAGAGCAAGAACATCATAATGAACTCCCGAGTAAACAACAACACACCGAGTCGGAGCCCCCTCATTAAACTGAAACATATGCAGCGTTTGCACATCAATCGAGCAAATCTCAATATTAAAGTACTCGCTGAGAATCTTGAGTTCGATCGCACCGCCCCACGAATCCTCATTCTGAATCCATTTGCAATACTCGTCGGGACTTTTGCCCAACACAACGGCCGTGTATTCAGACGGATTGGACTGGATGGCACCCGCGACAATCGAGCGCAACTCGACCATCGTATCCATGTCGCCCATGACCGCCGCACCTACAGCGCGGAAGAGACAGGAATTGTCATCGGGCATAACGCGGAGCACGAATGTGCCCGCATGATCGGGCGAGGCCACTTCGGGAGGATCGTCTGCGGAGTTTTCTGCCTTTTGCGATGGTGCTGCTGGTGGCGCGCGTATCTGTTGGGAAGAAGAAGAGCTGGGCTCATTCTGGGTCTGCGGGGTGGCACTCGCACTCTCTCGCTGCGCAACAATAAGCTGCTCCCCGTTCAAGTTGATTCCGAGCTCGGATACTTTTTGTTCAGGTTGGAAGCTGTCGATGTTCAAAGGCTTCAGGTCTGGATATCCGTATTTGACATCAAAGGAGGTGAGGCCGGTCTTCTCCGCAATTTGTTCTCGCAGGTCGTTGATAGTGGCCGTGTCGTCCAACGTGACGGTAGATTGGCCCGAAGGGCCCCGAACCCGGAAGCGCATGCTTATAAGGGATATGATGAAAGTGAAGTATGTGAAGAAGAAAATATTGTATCGGTCCCGAGATAGTTGAATACCGGTAGCAGTTGGTATGCTATGTTTCTTTGTGAAAGAAGCTGGGTGGCTCCAGTCGGAGCAGGTCCCACCACGATAAGTCGAGGGAGCTAAGGTGTGGCGACTAAATAGGGTAGGGCCCGGTGTGGGGTAGATGTGAGGTCAACACAATCCCACTTATCTTGTAAAAGATCTCATGCTCGTTGATTGAACAGTCGTTTGCAGCTTTGACTGGAGAATTTGAAGTTTGGATCAGGTGGCTTGCAAGGAATGCGACACGTTCTGAAGCTGCGATCGGCAAGGATGTGCTATCCTTCTCCCCTTGCCCCCCCCACACGGGTCTGTTTGGAAATTACCCTTATACTTCATGCAAATGCTAGATAGATAAGAAGAAGAGCACGAATGAGAGAAAAAAGGCCCAAAACTGTTCGCAATGGATTGCGGGAGTATCCCTGGAGCTTCTGTCGACGTTAGTAAATTCACTGTAGTCTTTTTCGCCGACAAATTAAGACGGTTTATTTACAATACAGCTGTATTGGATCTGTATCAATACAGGTGACTCAGCAAGCGCGCAAAACAACCCAGAGAGGATCTCCTGCACACGCAACAATTACAACTCGCAAAGCGAACCTCCCCCTCTCATCGCATATTATCCTATTCTGTTGAGCGCGCATGGTCGCGGGGAATATAAAATGGAGTCGGATAAAGAGCGATCGCCGCCCCAGCCGGAGGAGCCTGTCAACTCAATTGAGGATGACAGCTCCGTTACGGAGGAGCAATGGAAGGCCATGATGGATGTCACCATGGCTATTTACGATTTCAGAGAGTCAGAGTGAGTAGAAGCATGCCTTGATACAGATTGAGGGCTCAGGAGCTAATTTTGCTATGATATAGTGACCACGACCCGTCGCGATTGTTCCATCGCAGCGTCAACAAGCGCATCGTCCCGGATTATTATGATATTATCAAGGAGCCCATGGCGCTCAGTATTCTAAAGCAAAGGATTAACAAGCGCGAGTACAAGACCTTTTCGGCTTTTGTTCGCGACTGTGCCTTGGTACGCATTTGACTAGTGGAGCGGCGCTTGGAAACCAGAGCTAACGAGACTTCGAACTTTCCAGATCCCCCACAACGCGCAGACCTACAATCGACCCAAGTCTCAAGCTTATGAAGATGCGCTCGTCATCAAGGTATGTAGAAGAATGGAGCACCACACCTGCCGATGGATAAAAACCCACTCCACACCTACTCCTGGATGTGACTGACACCATCTACGCTCGACAGGATGTCTTTTCTACAGAACTCAAGAAGATCGCTGCAACAGGCGTGATCACTGACGAGGAAGCCTTACTTCCGGACCTAGGAGAAATCCCCGAAGCGGATCCCTTGCCAGACGATGATGATGACGACGAAGAGGAAGAGGAAGGAGGAGAGGGTGAAGAAGATGACGATGACGATTCCGACGATGAAGGTCGACGAAGAAAGAAGCCTGGCCCGAAACCAGGTGCTAAGCGTGGGATGAAGGATTCCCAGAAGAACGAGACCGATCCTCGAAAGAAGCGTGGTCGACCTCCGCGCGTCGACACCCCCATGGAAACCCGCATCAAAACCATCCTCAAAGGGATTCGAAAGTTCAAAAGTGCAGGAGGCCATCTGAAAATCATTCACTTTGAAAGATTGCCCGACAAGGCTGCTTATCCGGACTACTACGTGGAAACCAAGGAGCCGATCGCGATTGATATAATAAAGCGCAAATCGAAACGCAAGAAGTATAACTCGGTCGACCACTTCATGCGGGACTTGGATCTCATGTTCAACAATGCGAAGGAGTATAATCAATCCGATAGTCAGATCTACCAAGATGCCGTGGATCTGCAGAACGAATCGCGGAAATTGGCTGAACAGGAAAAGAAGAAGCCTGATAGCGAATATCTCATGGAAGACGGGCGATTCCCATTACCCGATGGGATCTTGCATCGGGGCGAGTTGTGGAAAGTTGGTGATTGGGTGCATATCCAAAACACAAATGATGTGTCTAAACCCATTGTTGCGCAGATCTATCGGACTTGGCAAGACGGAGAGGGTGAGAAGTGGATCAACGCTTGCTGGTATTACCGCCCCGAGCAGACAGTGCATCACTTTGAGAAGCACTTCTATCCGAACGAGGTGGTGAAGACGGGTCAGTACCGTGATCACAGAATTGATGAGATCGTCGACCGTTGCTTTGTGATGTTCTTCACGCGGTACAGCCGTGGGCGTCCTCGAGACCTCGCCCCCGACAAGGAGATCTATGTCTGCGAGGCGCGCTATAATGAAGAAAAGCATAAGCTGAACAAGATCAAAACCTGGGCCAGTTGTTTACCCGACGAAGTCCGCGAGAAGGACTACGAGATGGACCTTTTCGATGTGCCACGGAAAATCAGAAAGGTGCCAACGCCAATCAAGCATCTTCTAAAGGAAGATGCGAAGGAAACAGATGATCTCCCACGTCCAACATGGGGAGCCGACAATGCACCGCCCGTTGTGGGCGCTGTTCACCGTCGGCCTCGAGACGAGAATGTAAGTGTCCCCATTTCACTCATAGAATTCACTCGTCCCTAACCCCGCCAACTTAGGAATCACCTCCCCCAGAGCCCACGCCTTCACCACCGCCTTCTCTTCCCCCAGTTCCCATGGTTTCAGCCACACCTCGACAATCCATGGGCCAACCTCTTCCAGGAACTGGCATGGGTAATATCGCGACCCCTCAACTCCAGGCAGCTTCTCCTTCAGCCCCAGTCATGGCCCCAACATCCGCAATCCCTGTGCCCCCGGTTGCGTATCAGAGCCCAATGAACCCACAAATGTACCAAGGGCCCAATCCACGCCGGCCCAGCAACTTCGTCCCACAAACCCCGACTGCAGGATACGCTCATACTCATGCTCATGCTCACGTCCACGCTCAACCCTCACCAGCAATGCACCCATACCCAGTCGCGCAACCCACTCCCTACGCATACCCGCCGCGCCACGGCTCCATCGGCGCACCAGCATACAACCCCAACGCCCCGCGTCCAATCGAAGTATACCACCTCAACGACGCCGCCAACGCCGCCATCCCCCCCTCAATCCGCTCCCAATTCCACTGCAACGACCACGGCCAAGTCCTCTTCTTTTCAACCCCACCGCTAGACATGATAAAGCCCACACGTCCCAACCTAACCCACTCTCTCAAATACCTCGCCTCAAAAGAAGACCGCCAGAAGAAAGTCGCCGAGCACAAGCGCAAACGCGACGCAGCCGCGCAGCAGCTCTCATCAGCCGCAAAACGGCAACGCGCAGACGAAGAAACAGCCCTCGCATCTCGCATCGAGGCCCTGGCCCCGAAAGCAATTACCGCCATGGTGAGAGAGATTGCGTCTGGAACGGATCAGCTTTATAATCTTCTCTACGAAGAGAAGGCTGATTCGGCTAGGGCGGCGGATATCGAAACGCGCGATAGTCGGATGAATGTTGATCGGGAGAATCATTACCATACGGCCGAGATTCAGGCCCGCTCTGCTAATACCGGATTTGTGAATCTCAAGGGTGATGCCATGTACCTGGGCCAAGACCAAGACCAAAACCAAAACCAAGGCCAAGGCCGCGGGGAATAGGTTTGATGCTTGATTGATATTTGAATACAAATGTCTCTTTTCCTTTCTTTCTTTTCCTTTTTCATCTGCTTTTGTATTGATTTGCCAACGACGCACACAACATTTTCTTGTCCGCTCGAGGCGTCCTTTGTTTGATCTAGTTGATTTTTTGATACCTAGCCAAGGGTTGGGGGCGTAAGGTTGGGGATCCCGGGAGAAAGAACATGTATGATTAGGGCTATCTAATAGACTCCCTTCAAGTTATTTTTTTTATCAAGTTTTCATTCATCTCTTTTCCACCTGGGTACTCGGATTCCATGACTAGTACCTAGGTAGTAGGGTGACTATTATGCAGGGACTCTTAAGGAACTTGAAAACTAGCTGTAGAATTCATCGAAGCATATTTGCATTATCTCCCATTTATACACGCGATCAAGATCCGTGAAAGAAACTTCAGGCAAATAGATTTGAACAGCAGAGCGTGACAGAGCAGAGCGGAGCAGAGCAGATTGAACGCCGGAAATTGAAAATTGAAACAGTGTTATTGCACTCGTCGACCACGACCAAAAAGCACTTGAAAATGGAATGGAAATGAGATGGGAAAGATACGTCGATACACAGGAATTGGAAAGGGAAGGGTGGAAAAAAAAAGCGTTCCTCCGATCACAAAGATCACATAAGTAGAGCAGAGTAGATAAAGCGGGAAGAAAAAGAAATTAATACACAAGGCCACCGATCTCAGCGGATGGATTGAAAAAAGGGAGATGAAGAGGGATTCAAAAAGAAAACGAGCAGAATCTAGAATGAACCGCAGCGAGAAAGGTCGTGAAGTGAGGTAAAAGAAAATTAGACGGAAAAGAGAAAAAAGGTACACAGATTCCGATGGAAAGCGCACTGTAGTCAGTCTATGATGTTGGTGAGATTTGCTGTGAGTTCTGTTCTCTTCTTTATATGTCGATCGAACTGCGAGTCCCGTCCTCAGGAAACCGTAACTGTGACCGCCAAAAAAAACTTGAACGCCAAAGGTGCGCGTAAGAGGACGGGATTCAGCCAGGAATGATGCCGGGTTGAGCCATTGCGTAAGATTCCAAGCGAAAATCTTGTTTTTTTTTTGTTCCGATGCTCCGAGTGCTGTGCCTAAAACTCCAATGACCTCTTTTTTTGATATGAACATGTCCCAGAATGTTGGACGCCGCTTGGTCCGTGTCGTCATGATGTGATAGAAAAGGGTAAGGAAAAAGAGAAGAAGCAGAAGGTGAGAGAAGGCGGACTAAGCGTCAGAGGAGCTGTTGCGCTTGTTGCCTTCCTCCTCTTCCATGGAGAAGAGGAAGTCGCTCTGTTCTTCCTCTTCACTGATCTTGCTGGTTGTCATTGTTTGGGAGGAAATGGTCCGGTCAAGACGAGGGGGAGCTACTGAAGAGTGCCGGGCGGAGCCTGGGTGGAGAGACATTCCGCTCAGCTGCTCCGAAATCATAGACATGGATGATTGTCGACCGGGGCTGGAAACAAATGGCGACCCATCATGCGATGCACGGCTGCCAATGGGACCCAGACTAGGGCTGGTCGGGTTCAACGAAGATTCACGGAGCGGGGAGCCAATGTGAGGGAAGGAAGACCCAACGGAACCATCCTCCTTGCTCTGTCGCTGCTTGGCAAACAGCGCGCCGAATCGAGATGGACTGGATGCCAGAGGTGAGCCGGTTTTGGAGAAGCTAGAGCTTGTCATGCCGAAACCACCGATATCGCGGTGGGAACCAATGTCATTGTCGGTCCGGGAAAGCCGGCGCAACTTTTCTTGCGGCGTCAGGACATCGTCACGCAAGGTAGGAGGCAAATAATCTTCCTCCATGGGGAAGTTCTCATCCCAATCGTCCAGGGCCGCAGGTCGAGGAACGCTGGACGAAACCATGCGCGGTCGAACGGGGCGCGCCGAGTGTAAGGCCCGGTGACCAAGTGAGTCTTCCTGTGCTGGAGGGGAGGAGCCAATATTATAAGAGGGTCGTCTTAAGCTGGAGCCATATCCAACATCACGGATGTTTCGGAATGGGTCCGAAGGGCCCGTTCTCTGTGCCGGCGGAGATTCAAGGCCAAACTTCGAAGGCATGGAAGCAGCCACTGGACCGTATCGAGCAGCATGGGAGATACCTTGGCTGTCGAACGAGGCTGGGAGAGGGGCATCGAGGGCCGTGAGATGGCGAGCGCTGGGCGACATGGGAAATCGCGACTCGTCGATTGGAGATCCGTAGTTAGAGCCGGCATCGGAGGCCAGCCCCGCGTCAATGGTGGGGATAGAGTCGAAGTTGGGCGCTGGCTGGCCGGTGAGCTCTTCCTGCGTGGGAAGTTGTGCGGTGTATCGGGGCTCTTGGCCGTTCATGCGCTGCTGCGACAGGACCGAGTTCGTCAGGGCCGAGTCTTGGTTGACATAGGCCTGCGGGTTGACTCGGCCACCCAGATTCAGATGACTACCACCACCGATTCCCATACCGCCGCCGCCGCCACCACCACCACCAGCATTGGGTCGGTTTACCCGTCGTCCATCGGGGAGGATGTGAGCGAGAGCGCATTTTGCGCCGAACTTGCAGTTGCCCTAGTGCGGGGAGAAACGAACCCGGTCAGTACTCGGGCAGATTGAAATGATTGAAACATATCGAGTCCTCCAAGAAGGTCCCAGAGGTCCCCCAAGGTTCGAATACTCACCTTGGAAAAGTATTTGCAGGGAGCATAATCAATGGCAGTATCGGTCGAGTGCAGAAACGGACAAGCGGGGCCGGCCTGACAGGCACCCTGGCGGAAGAATTTGCAGGGAACGTGCTTGGTGTCTGCGGAGAAGAAGGAAGCATAAGAGTTAGCCGGGTGGAAAAGGTACGAAATAGGAAGTAGAATCGAGGTCGTGTGTCGTGAGGGGAACCTACTCTTGTTACTCGGGTTGGGCGGACTGCGAGCCATGTCAAGACTCGACGGGGTTCGTGAGTGGCCATTCTGGAGGCCAGAGGGCACCGCAAGGGGTGCGCGGCCTCTCATTTCGGAAGGATTGGAACGAGAAGAAGGAGGGCGAGAGGCCGTAAGCATCGCCGAGTCGATGGGGAAGGTGGAGGTTGGAGGGGTTGGAGGGGATTTGAGGGGAAGAATCCAGCGGGGGCGGTGTCTGGTGAGATCAGCGGTGGAGTGGGAGACCTACGGAGTAGACGAGGAGTGTATGGGAAGAGTAGTAGTAGTAGGAAGAGATCAGATCCAGACAGATGACCGATCTTGTCCAGGGTTCTAGTCTTAGTCCTAGTCCTAGTTTTAGTTCTGGTTCAAGTTCTGGTCTTCCGAGCAAGCCATCTGCACTGTTCATCTGATGATGTGCGGTCTCGGTTCGCCCCGGTTGCCTCCATACCAGCGGGCCAAGGCACATAACTACATTGCCTACTCCGTAGTAGGAAGTCTAATGTGGCGACACTGGCGAGCTATTACGATACCTGTCTATAGTTTCAATTGGTAAACACCCAAAGAGCATTCGATCTCGCGATCTCGCAACCAGTTAATCGTGCCATTCCCGCACTATATAATAAGGCTAACGCTAGGCGATCATTCGAGTTGAACCTCATAACCACTACCTCTTTACTGGTGATTGAATACTAGTAATTTGAAAATACTAGCAAATACGTGCACCAACTTGAACCGATTCAAAATGCGCAGAAAAGGAAACGTACAGATATATCTTGGATAAGTCCCACTGTATCCATGTCTCCAGCAAAGTGTACCAAATACTTATTTTCAACATACCAACCCATCCAAAACTGGGCCAACATAATATATTAGTAGTAGTAGTAGAAAAGAGTCTTGATATTAATATTCAAATCATCACCTCATAATCCATATTTTACGTAACCTTCCTCGCAGCCCCCGATCTTCGGCTCCCAGTCCCAGTCCCATCAAATCCCGATAACCTAGGGTAAAGTCCATTTCCCGCACAGTCGCTCACGCAATAGGACCGTGCTAAAAAGAACAGTTAACTAGCAAAGGCCCCAGCGGAGACAAAAAGGCCATGCCTAGCCCTCCCGAGCCGCAGGGCAAATCACGCCGTTCGAAATGAGTGGAGCCAAAACTAGCCCGCAACTGTATGTAGCTTCCATACCCGACAATCTCTCATTGGAGCGCGCCTTCAAGCCCCAAAGACTCCTGCACACGTTCAAGTCAGTGGCAATGTCAATAAAAATACGCTGGGGTGGGGATGGTTATGTTATCCCTGCTGGTAAGGTACAAACATACCCAGAGTTCCGCCAAACTCGTATTCTCAGGCAAAACCTCACTGCACCGATCCCACATATCCCCACAAATCCGTTGCCGGAGAGTAGCCTGTCGATGCCAGGTCTTCCACTCGTGCTCAAGATGCGCCCTTTCCTCCGGTGATAATGATATATCGACAGCCCCAGCCCCAGATGTGGCAGTGGCAGTGGCAGTGTCCTCGCCATTCAATTTGTCAAGACAAGCTTGTAATTCCACCCGTTCACCCTCGAGACGCAGTATATCATCGCGTAATTCCGAAATCCTCGGTTTAGACAGCAGTGCCGAGAGACAAGCCCGCACTTTCTTTTCCTCCGCTTTCAGTGCGGAGAGCTGGGATGAGAGGTCTTCGGTCTCGGATTTTATCAGAGTGATGGTTTCGGGGCTGGTGGAGTCTGATTTCTGCGGCGTGTGGTAGACGATTTGTTTTCCTGCTCGAGTGAGTTAGGATTTGCTGTGGCGAGGGAGTCCTATGCAATGACATGATATGATATGCTATGACATGACAGACCGGCTGTTCGGGCTGTGAGATCGCCCTTGTCTGCTAGTTTTGCCAGGATTTTGATGGCTTGGGCTGTGTTGGGTTAGGTAAGTTGATTTTGCTTTTGTTTGCGGGTCCAAGGTACGGTACCTTTTGATACTTTGGCGTGTAGATTCGTTGAGATATCGGTTGCCTGGATTGGATTACATGGTGAGGACTTTGTTTACCGCGTCCGAGGATCTGCTCTGCTCTGCCTCATTTCTTCTGATGGACATACCGAGTAAGGACGGCTAATCCCACACCAAGTCAGCATGGTCACTTGTATTGTAGAATTCAAAGAACGTACTTTTGTTCGACTACAGTCAGTCAGTCAGGTTTGGCTTCAGTGTATGCATAACAGCAGTCAGTAAACTCGACTCGTCCGACTCACGTAGATAGGCGAGGACCATTGCGGTATCTTCCCAATGTTAGCACCTGCAGAGAAGGAAGCCGGAGTCAATATCAGGACAAACCGTCTCCGCCTCCCGGTGCGCTCGCATCAGCTTTGGCTTTACGAGGAGCCATGTTGTCATGAAGTATATGGACAAGGCTGGATGGAGTGGAGGTCCAAACACGATAAGGTAAGGACCAAGTGAGGCAGCCTGACCCAACCCTACACCTTACAGGGAACCCGGCTCACGTAAGGTCAGCCAAAGCAAAGCAAAGCAAAGCAAAGCAAAGCTACACACAGCCAACTACGGGACAAACACGATGGAATTTATAGAGCATGGTAATTCATAACGATTTACGCCTCGCGTCTAGAAAATCAAATCAATACAGCCTATCAACCAACCATATGTCCAAAGGCTCGCAGGCCTCGAAAATTCTGAGCGTAAATGCAAGGTATGTGAGGAAACGGCGAAGACGCGATACACAGACGCCTCCCGGACGGCGATTGACCTGACCTGAACCGATCTTTTTTTTTTGGGAAAAATACCCCGGGATTAAGTCATATAAAAAAATGAGAATGCAAGATGTAAAACGCCCACCAATCCTATCCAATCCAGAACTAGATCTCGCCCGGGGTATCACATCATAATCTAGAGGAAGTAGGTCAGAAATTGCTTTGCAAAAGGACTGGGGGGAAGGGAAGATAAAGGCTCGAGGGACGTACGCAATCACTGTCTTTGTTGGCGCTGGGGACGCCCATTTCCTCAAAGGTCTTGGGGCCCTTACTGGGCGCGGGGGCAGATGGCTTTGGCGGCTGAGCGGCGGGGGGCCGTTGGGTCGGCGGTGCTGACTGCGGCTGCGGCTGGGGTGTAGAAGATGCCGATCCTCTAGATGGCAGGCGGGACTCCTGGCGTGGGGGGGGAATGTGCCCGAGGAAGGCGAGCCAGTCGAGCGAGGGGACGCTGGGCCGGGGCCTCGTGGAGATGGAAGAGGGCCGCCGTGAGCGGAGACGGGAGTTCGCACTGGTTTGCGATCTGGCGGAACTCCTTCGAGTCGGGTAGGACGACGTCGGTCACCACCCGGTGGCGGAACAGGCGCAGAGTACCCAATGTCTACCCGGGGTGTTCCAGTAGGGCTGATCATGCTGCCTGGGGGACTCATCGGCCCTGCAGGCGCGCTGAGTGGCGTACCAGGGCCGGGGCGGCGATAATCCATCGGTGGACCTTGTCCATAAGATGGAGTCCGGGAGCCAGGGCCAGGCGGGCCACCGTAACCTGGACCTGGAGGACCATTGCGCAAGTTTGGGTTGACGCCAAATGCCGAACTGGGTCGTGGGTCGGGCATTTGGTAATTGGGCTGGCCCGGGGGACGAGGGCGTGACATTGGGCGATCCGGGTATGGCGCAGCAGAGGAGGGAGGATCGGACAGGGTCATGCGGGAGGGATCTGGCATCTCGATGTTTTCGGGGGTAGCTTCCAAAGATCCTCCGCGTTGGTGAGCAACATAACGTGTTGATTTGATTCGAGAAATCGCAACCTTCTCATGGTCTTTCCGCGAGAGAGTCTTGGAGCGCGAAATGCTGTCGATTCGACCAGAGGCATCCTTGTTTCCGCTGGCGGCAGCCTTGGCATACCAGCTTCGGGCCTCTTTAATATCACTCGGCACGAAGATACCGACCTCGTAAAAGTATCCCAGGGCGAATTCGGCCGTAGGAAGACCACTCTGGGCCGCACGCTGGGCATATGTAAAGGCCAACTCATCGTTCTTTTCAAAGACACCTTCATGTCCGCACAGGAACCACTTGCTGATGGCCATCTCTGCCTCAGGCTCCCCTTGGCGTGCTGCAAGGGCATTGTAATGCAACGATAGTGCGGGGTTGAAATCGCAACCAAGCTGGCATAGCTCATATGCGGCACCCATCTTCACTTGCGCCTTGGCGAATCCATTGAAGGCGGCCTTTTCGATATTGACGCGCGCAGTGTTGAGGTCGGCAGGCAAGAAGGCCTCCGGAACACTGACTTGAGGAAGCTCACGAGCACAAAGCATACCATATACGTAGGCACCCTGCGGCGCATTCTGGTCACAGGATTGAGCAGCTAAACGAATGCACTCAAGTCCTCGCTGGAAATCCTGGCGCTGGCCATGCTGGCCAAGAAGAATCATCATTCCGAGGCGCTAGATATCTGATTAGTATTTCCATATTTATCGCAACGAGGACACAATGGAGACATACATAGTATGAAGCAGAATCGGACATTGCAACACCCCGCTCGTAGTGTCGAATCGCCTTCTCCGGCTCTCCGGAACTTTCAAACTGCATTCCAATGCGATACTCTGCACGAGCATAGCCCTTCTCTGCAGCTCTGGAATAGCATCGGAAGGCCTCCTTCCGATCAACCCGGAAGCCGAACTTGCCAAATTCCAACCACATTCCTTTGATAAACTCGGCGTGGGGGTGATGTTGCTCGGCCAGGAAGCTGACGATGTTCATCGCATCAGTCTTGAGCTGTCGTTCCACCTGAGGTGTATGGGGACGCGGCGGCTGCGTGAGGGACAGGCGGTCCTCATTTTGCGCGGCGACTTCAACAAAGGCCAAGGTATCCTGGGCCCAAGTGAGCTGGACTTCGGGATCGGTGGTGGAGAGAATGGCGGCACGATGGCGCTCTAGGTTTGCTTCCCGCTGCTCGTCGGTCGGAGGGACATTGGGAGGGGGATTTCGCAAAACAGGAAAGGGAGAAAAGTTGGGGTGGTCCATGGTATCATAAGTGGCCGATTGCGCGTAGGCGCCATGGTCATAGGCCTGCGCCTGTTGCGGTTGTGCGCGGACGGAGGCAGCGGAGGAAGTTCGCTCGGGGAATTGGGAGCGATACTGCGAGGGGACGGGCGCAGGAGGTTGTTGGGCGCGGCGGGGGTCGCGAGCATGATGTTCGAGTTGCGCGATATTATCCTGCATGTTCTCGGGCACTTCAGGCATCACCCTGCTCGGACGGATCAGTACTCTCACCCGCGGCATTCTGAAGGAGTTTGGTGAAGGTGGAGAAATGAATCATGTCTCTTACCGTTGAGGCGAGGGGGGAGATGACCTCTGGCATGTAAAAGTCATCCTGGCCCCCTGGATACCAAGTCGCACCGGCGCCCGCTCGAGGCGGGGGACCACGACCCTGCGGTGGTCTGTTCATGGTATGGAATGGTATTGAATAAAATCAAATAAGATCACCGGGGCCTGGGAAAGGCTCTTGGTGGAAGAGCGTCCACTCAAAAGAAGAGGGGTAGAAATTAAGGTAAATAAGTGAAGTATGGGGGAGGGGGAGATTTGAAAGGAGGGGAGAGAAACAAAAGGAATTAACAGTTCGTCTGCCAAGAGCCTAGTAGTCCCCACGTTGGAAATTGTTTACCTATGTATGCCAGTGGAGTACCTAGGTAAGTAGTGTAGTCATGTAGTACCAATTAATAGTAATACTCTAGTCGAAATTATGATCACCTTGATTATTGACGACCTGTGTCAGCCCTGGAGACTTCCAGCTGAAACGGGAATACGGAGTATTTATATACAAATTCCGACGCGAGGCAATCCCGGATGCCGCACTTCTTACCTTATACTCCAGCCTCAGCACGGATTATTCCATGTGGTCCACGGGTTACCTGGAATACTCCATACTTACTAGTAGTACACTGTGTACAAAGAACTCGAAAACTCCCGCTCAGCCCCAATCTCCATTTCCCCTGAGGGTTACCGCACTGGAGCACCGCATGTCTCTCCTGGAGCCTTACCGGCTCCACCCAACGTTTTATTTTTATCTCCCTCGATTTTCCAACACTGCGCGCTGATCTCCACAGCCCTGCGCCATGAACACGAACATGACGGACATGAGCATGGACACGCAGGATTTCCATCATCCATTTACTCCGTACGAGATTCAGCTGCAATTTATGCAGGCCTTGTACGGATGTCTGGAAGATGGTAAAGTCGCCGTATTCGAATCTCCGACTGGTAAGTGCCTTTTGCCTTTCCCCCCCCCTGGTTGATTGCTCCGGGTCTGACAGCGGGTGCAGGTACCGTAAGTGGCCCCCACTAGCCACTAAGTGAATGGCTATCGTCATACCGATTCCAATTAGTGCCTGCTGCTGCTGCCGTTGAATATCTTGGAATGCTCAGACTAAGCCCCCATACTCCAGGGTAAATCGTTGAGTCTCATCTGTGGCTCTTTGACATGGCTTCGAGATCACAAGCGCCAGGCCTTTCAAGAAACATTGGACCAGGCCGCATGTATGTACTCAGACTCCATCCGATCCGAGATTAACTCCTACCCCCTATTGCGTCATGTCTCATATTGGTATGGGGTGTAGGTGACGATGATGAGCCGGAGTGGATGATCGAATTTGCCAAGCGTGACTCCCGACGAACCATTGCAGAGAAACGACAACAATTTGAATCAAGACTGGCAAAGATCAAACAAGACGAAGAGCGCCTAAAGCAGAAGCAGAAGCAGGCCCAAGACACCCAAGAACGCCCGCGTAAGAAACAGGTACGAGCCACATCGCTTTGTTATTAATTACCCCGGAATGCATATACCTGGAAGACAAGCCCGGACCAACCATTCAACAGCGACTAGAAGAGCCAGCAGCGAAGTCAGCTCCCGACGATGATGAACAATTCGTTCTGGACGACTACGACAGTGAGACCGACGAAAGGCAAAAGACAAGCCAATCTGCCGGAGTGGACGGCCTTTCCGCTAGTACTCTCGCTTTACTAGAGAAGTATAAGGGACAATTTACATCGCAAAAACCGGAACAAGATGATGAAGATGACTCGGTCAAGATCTTTTACTGCTCAAGGACCCATTCTCAGCTCAGTCAATTCGCAGGAGAGCTCCGCCGTGTCGCTTTCCCATCCAGTATCCCCAGCGACCCCGAAGCCGAAGGCAAAGACGATCTCTCGCTAGAAGAACGCGTCAAACATCTCTCCCTAGGATCCCGAAAGAACCTCTGCATTAACCCCAAGGTTCAAGCATTGGGGAACAGCACCGCAATCAACGAGCGATGCCTAGACCTCCAACAACCAGGCGTCGCCGCCGAAAAGAAATGTTCTTTCCTCCCATCAAAAGACGACGAAGCCCTAATGCTGGAGTTTCGCGATCACACCCTGGCAACAGTCAAAGACATCGAAGACATCGGCAAAGTCGGACAACAAGTCGGTATCTGTCCATACTACGCATCCCGCTCCGTCATCAAGCACAGCGAAGTCAGCACCTATACCTTCCCATGAATCCGACCCCAGTCTCTCACACAATACTACAGATCGTGACACTACCATACCCCCTTCTCCTCCAGCGCTCAGCCCGCGAAGCCCTCAACCTCTCAGTAAAAGGCCACGTGGTAATCATCGACGAAGCGCATAATTTAATGGACGCAATCGCCGGCATCCACTCCGTCTCCGTCTCACTCTCGCAACTCGAAACAGCCACAACCCAATTAACAACCTACGCGCGCAAATTCAAAACGCGCCTCAAGGGCAAAAATCGCAGCTATCTGGCCCAGGTTATTCGGCTTGTCGGCTCGATTGCGGGCTATCTGCGTGGTATTGCGCAGACTGCCTTAAAGGGGGGGTTCGTCGGAAGGCTCGGTGCGGTTTTCCGATCTTATGGCTGGGAAGGGCGTTGATCAGATTAATCCGTATAAGCTTTCGAGGTATCTTCAGGAAAGTAAGTTGGCGAGGAAGGTGGATGGGTATGTTGAATCTGAGTCTACTCAAGAAGGCCAAGGTCAGGGTCAGGGCCAAGGTAGTCGGACGAGAGATCGGACGACGGTGCCGGTTCTGTTTCATATTCAGAGTTTTCTTTTGCCTTTGATGAATCCGTCAGAGGAAGGGAGACTCTTTTATCAGAAGGGTCAGGATGGAGTATTGTTGAAATACATGCTTCTTGACCCGACCAATCACTTCCGGGAAATTGTTGAGGATGCTCGGGCGGTCATTTTGGCCGGTGGAACTATGTCTCCTGTTAGTTTGAAAGCGCGACTTGGTGGAGAATTTCGTGAGATACTAACCCGTTTTCCCAGATGACGGACTACATGAATCATTTGTTCTCATATGTACCACCCGAGCGATTGGATACCTTCAGTTACGGCCACGTTATTCCATCGAAAAATTTGGTTGCACAATCTCTAACAAAAGGGCTGCTGGGCTCGGAATTCGATTTTACCTACGAGGCTCGAGGGTCAGAGAAAATGGTAGGCGAACCTGAAATCATAAAGCCAGTTCCCGGTCACTCTACAAGTTCCATTATTGACAATAGTGACATAGATTACCGATCTAGGACGAACGATCGCCACTTTGTGTCAAGTCATTCCAGATGGCGTCGTCGCTTTCTTCCCCAGCTTCGATTACCTGAGCCAAGTGGTGAATGTCTGGAAGAAACCCATTCCAAACGGAAATGGCCAAACAACCTTCAGTCTGATCGAAAAGAAAAAGAAGGTCATGTACGAGTCCCGCGAAGCAGTCACTACCACCGACACACTGCTCCAAGAGTACACCGAAGCCATCGAATCCGGCTCAGGAGCACTACTCTTATCCGTGGTCGGAGGAAAACTCTCAGAAGGAATCAACTTCTCCGATAAACTGGGCCGAGGCGTCTTCATAATTGGACTACCGTTCCCCAACATCCGCAGCGCTGTCTGGCAGGCTAAAATCAAGTACATTGAAGAGAAAACCTACAAACAGCACTCGGGATCAGAGTCGGAGAAAAAAAGCTCGTGCCACTGCGGCTGGGAAGGACTTTTATGAAAATGCTTGCATGCGCGCTGTGAATCAGTGTATTGGGCGAGCTATTCGGCATGTTAATGATTATGCTGCGATCGTGATGATTGATCGCCGCTATGAAACCCCGCGCATTCAGGGTAAGTTGCCTGGGTGGATTCAAGGTAGTCTTGTTTCGGCGGCGACGGCTCGGCCAGCTCAGATGACTGTCCAGCGACTTTCTAAGTTCTTTGCGGAGAAGAATAACTCGCTTTAGAAAGCGAAGGGTGGGATTATACTTAAATACAATTCAAAATCAGGATCAAATTTCGGATACCAAAACAAGGTTACTTTTCGCTATAGTTCTCGCGCGCATGATTTAGTCAACACTGACCTCGGGAACTGAACTGCATATATACCTAGATACTGGATAATATCTGGCCCACGTACTTGAGGGCCGTCTGTTGGCACTAGAGCTCTTTATCCGGGCGCCGGATTGATACTAGTATTCTTCATTTTGCCTGGCTGGTAACGATACTAGTATATCAATACTATATAAAGAGACATAGCTTCCCCTCAATTCATCCCAAAAGGACATTGCCTCCCTCCTTTCTCAAGAATCAATCTCTCAAGCCCTAAACCAGCTGGTTGGCGATGGCAACAATAAGCCCATCAAAACGTTCATTAAGGTCCTCGCGCAAAACCCCAATAAACTCATCAGGCAAAGGCGAACCCTCCGCGATCCACCGGAAATGGGTCTTATTAGGCCCAAGCTCATCTAAGACTGTTGTTCCAAAGGCGATCATGTCGGGGTAATCGGGTCTTCGAACTTGGAAAGTCATCGAGTGCTTAGAGGCGTCACACTCCGTAAGCTCCTCAGAGAATGTATATTCCTGGCCCTGATTTTTGCCGGCAGGGTAGACGTAGTTAAAGGTGCGGACGCTGCCTATTCCAAATCCTTCGAGAGATACCGACTTGGCGCCTGGGTACCATGCCTTTTCGGCGCCGAAGCCCGCCACGAGGCCCCAGACTTCGCCAATGGGTGCGTCGATGTCGCGGGTGACGGTGGTGTAGTGGACCAGAGATGAGTTGGACATGTTGTTGAAGGTGGAGTGAGATAGTTCGACTGATGAAGACCTCAGAGTGATATCGGGATGATTGGGGAAGTAGTAGAGATGAGGTGCCAACCGTCGTGCTATCTACCCTTTTAAAGCTCGTGTTGGTTCTGAGTCTTCGATTACTGAAATCTTCAACTGTTTAACATTATTAAGCTTCTCTCTCGGCATTGATACCAAAAGTCCGTGATGAGGTTAATTCCACGGGTCGATCTCGTCATGGACTCTCCGGACATAAGCCATAGGAACGCTCTGCATTCCGTCCGTCCGTCCGTCCGTCAACAAGGACCCACTTCGTCGGAACCTTAGGAAGGTAAACACCAATGACATTACTCTTCATGGCCATTGGGCCATTCAGCCTATAGATCGTTAAAGATGTATTCATTGGTAGCGATGGTATAGTGCCAAAGGTAACCACCGCTTCTAATCTACCTAGGCTCGAACTAAGTAAGCGTCTACTCGGGTTAGCTACTTTCTCTATATTACCATGTGCTTGTATCCATATTAAGAATAACCATCTTCCTATTGTTGTGGGGGTCTTCACCTGAGCAAGCTTCAAATACGATTGCTAAAATCTACAACTTCAAGGTCATGTCTTATTAGAGCCATTACTCAATATGAAGCAAGAATATACTATATTCAATAACCAGACTTTAAGTTATTCTTGTGAGATTTTTGATCATTCCCTAAAACAGTTGGAGGACGAGACCGAATCAATACGATCTGTCGAGACTCAAGAAGGACGAGTCATCTTAACATGTGTTAACTACACGTCCGGATTGCCGCGGAAAAATTCCTCCAAGCTTGTCTGTTTGACATTTGGAAAGCGCGCAACATCCACCGGCTCATAATCCCAAGAACGAGCTGGGATATGATACTGATACACATATCGAATGAAGTTGTACCAACCGCTCTTCCCATATTTAGCTCTTCCCTCATTTAGCTTGTCCTCTGCGTCCTCCACTGAGCCTAAGCAATTAAGCTTAGCAGTGACACGGCCTTCTCTCACAGCATTGTATGTATTGGCAATGTCTTCGGGGGAGGCTTCGAAGCTCTGGACTCGAACAAAGCCTCCATCGGCAGCATTGGGGGCGGTGATAGCCTCGAGAACATAGTTTCCAATATCATCTGCGGTGGTGTACCGAGTGGGGAATGTCGAAGGCCCGTGGAAGTTGAATGTCTTGGTTTCCGAGTCCCAATCATACGGGCTACGCTTGAAGTAGTACTCTGCGATCGCACCGGTGAACATATAGATCGGCTTGATGGTCGAACTAACTGCCACATGGTGAGAAAAGCCCCGCATATCATCGTATAACTCGTGCGAACCCGGAGCAAGCGTCCAGTCATAGTTCCATGAGGTGGCATGGAAGATCTTTTAAAACAAATCATTTAGCCGTGTGCCTAGATAGAGGTTTGCTATTTTTACCTACCTTCACGCCCGCTCTCTCTGCTGCTCTGATTAGAAGCAGTTGCGATTCCATATACATTTCCGGAACTGCAGCAAAGGCACAGATAATGGCATCGACGCCTTTGGTAGCTCGGTCCATTGCAGCGACGTCATAGGGGCTCGACAACGTCTCGAAGCCTTCAAGTCGGCTTCGAACGTCTTCCGGGAGGTTATCGATGTTGCGGGCTAGGCCGCGGACTTTGAAGCCGCGGGCAAATGCGGACCTGGAACACGGCAGACCGACGAAGCCGGTGATACCAGCGATCAAGACAAGCATGTTGTATCAATTTTGAGAACTGTAGGGTGATTGACCGAGTGGTTTCTATTTGCTATGAGATAGAGCTTACCTCCTATCACTTATATATCGCTTTGATTAATAATGACGGCTCTGTCTCGGTTCGTGCTCGCACTCTGTCAAGACCGAGCGATTGTCCAACTCCAGGTGGGGGACTGGATTGCGGAAGGGGCCCCGAACTTTACTCCTGCTGAGTCCGGAACTATGACATTTCCGTCCGTCCGATTCTGTTGCCTTGGCTGACCATGCAGATAAACTTTTTCAGGTTATTATATATGAAAAATTATTATAAGATCCATTCTAATTAGTGATCGGATTCTCTGTCAAGCCATCCGATCTTATCCAGCCCAGCCATGGTTGAGAATCTATCAAGTCCCACAAGAGTTCTTCGTCCGGAGCAACCAGTCCGTCTTGAGTGACAATGCCTTGGTCTGGTAGACCAATACCACTTTCTTGGGGAATGTTTGAGCCGATGGGGCCAGGGTTATATTGAGTTGCCATGCTGGTTGGAATTGCAGGTTCGTTTCCTGATGTTGCAGCATGGGGAATGGGTAGAGAATGCGGAATATGAGGCTGATTATGGACCAGAGGCCCGACCATCTCCAGGAAAGCCGAGAAGAGCTTATGTATTTCAGCAATAGCGGGATAGATCTCGGTAAACCGCATCTCTTTGGTGACTGCTGCCATTAATGCATAGTCGTCCAGGTTCGCGGAGTATACAACATTGCAGAAAAGGACAAAGAATGCATTAAGTGGGTAGAACAGTAGTGTCCTGAAGAAAGTTAGAAATCAATCGTTCCATCATATTACAAGCCAAGACTGACCACGTGAGAAAATATGGGTACTCGTCGAGGAAGTTTGCATCTATGTAAAGCTTGTCCTGCATTTTTTCCAGGTGTATGAGTGCTTGTCGGGAAGCCCGTAGGCAATCTTCCCGCATTGATCGGTCTTGGACAACGCGTTGTTTTAAATGCAACACACTAGCTAGTAGTGCATAATAACCAAACTCTAGGGCAGCCCATTCATAAGTTGTTTCTCGGAAGAGTGGCAGATTTTGATGCTGGCAGAACGCGATATCAATATCTGTTGTTTTTCCCTGATTGAATGTATAGAGAGATCGCTCACCTTTTTGATCATTGAATTGATTTCATGCATGTCCTGGAGCAGCTGATTAATAAGTGTGACTTGATCGTTCTTACTGGTGTGGTTGAGTATATCGAGGACACCTTCCTGGATCTGCGCAAACTCAACCATGGTCTTAACACTGGCGCTGAGTGGAAGCTGACTATCCAAATAAACCAGGTCTGTCGGCTTGATCTTCAGTTTTGGAAGTGACGGTGGTCTGAGGAGGAGCACACTGAGCATTTTGTCGAGGTAGTAACACGTATACAACGACCCATACACGTCACGATTTTTCTCATCATTGAGCGTGATAGATTCAATCGAGTGATAACTGAGAGATACCAATGTTCGGGATGCGAAAGCTGCCAATGTCCAGCTTCGGGACATATCACCCTGATTCTGCATGAACAGTGCCTGGTAGGGAGGGAATCAGTATGAAAGTCGCTTTAGTCAGACTGGTGAACAACAGGCCCAACATACACCCGACAGAAATGCCTGTAAGAGAACCAAACTGGGCGGTGCAAGATAGTCTATCTCGGAAAGAGCTTTGTGTACTTCATTCTCATATTGCTTTTTGCTTTGTTCAAGATGCATTTGAAGTGGTGCACTCCGATCTTTCTTAGGTAGTCGGCAAAGCAGCGCGGAGGCTTTCATGTAGACGCAGACACGGTAGCAAGTAAGTTTGTGTTTGTCCTCTTTTCCTTCGATCAGGGACAAACACATTCTTTCCAAAGTTTGAAAAGAAACATGATCAGGCCAAAATGACTGCCTCATAGTATTCGGCGCTCCGTCTGAAGACATCAGTCAACAACATCAACCACTTTCACGTACCCACAGACTCACTCATGGTCATCATATATAACAACTCTGGCGGGAACCCCTTTGGCTCCAGATCCACACTGATTTCAGATGAGGCAAAAGCATCGGTCGCAAAGTATGTGTTTGACGTACTAGAGAGCCGATTAACAAAGTCAATCGCATCTTTCATCACGATAGATTTGCTGGTTCCGAGAAAGGGATTTGACTCCAGCTCGCATTGCAGGAATCGAGTACCCTCTGAGGCTTGCTGAGTTAAGCCATCTGTGGCATTGGGCTCCAACAGAATTGGCGATCGTCTTTCAAGGCATTCATTATTCTGCTGACCGGAATGAGAAACGCTACCGGTGTCGTTCGTGAGATTCTCCTGCTCTGGTAAATCATGTGGTACCGCATATCGAGTCGGTCCGTCCTGAGGCGGAAGACCGGCGACTGTCGACTCGAGCGCAGCAAGCCTTTCAGACAAGGAGACCACACTTCACAATGTGAGCTTAGTTCGACTATAATGGGTATTTGTACATCGTACCGGGCTCCTTTCGAGCGCCTACTTTTCCTAGGTCGATCTCTGCGACAATCTACCAGGGCCTCGACGCAATTGGCACAGGGGAACTGGCGATCACATTTGATCTGGGAAACTTCTGTGTCAACACATACAGGAGCGGACAGCCAAAAAAAAGCTCTTGCAAGACCTCCGGATTTTAGGCCGTTGCATAATTGTCATTGACGAACCTTTCTCGAATGACAAAAGTCGCACTAAATGCGTACATTAGTTCCCGTCCCCACATTGGCATAAGCGCGGAGCCTGCATAATGGGCACACGTACCGCTGAGCGCTCAGCTAGTATAGCATTAGGCGCCATAGTATTAAACGCTATGAGCCCGATTCTGAAGGTACCGCTGCTTCTTGTCGGATCGGAACACTGGACGGAGAGTGAAAAGGGCTGAGCGTGATGGTGACGCACTGCGGGAAGTCGGTGATTTCCGTCCGTCCGTCCGTCCGTCCAGTCCGAAAGACCAATCATACTTTCGGACTCGGGAGTCTTAAGATGCGCGTTACTAATTATCTAAATCTAAGAGTATGGTGCTACCAATCCAAATTCTCACGGCTTTACAATTGAACTATTGATAATTTGTCATGACGTGAAGGACCTAATATCTGGTTTGTAATATACATTTAGACTTACTCTCGTCACTCTGTACACAACTGTTATATAATTTGGATCATGTGCCCAGGTGGGAAATTCATCAATCTCCTCAGACTTCATCATTTCAAAGAACTTGAAACAATATCCCTCCAAACTTTACTTCCACGCACTCGCCATGACTTCGCTTGCTACGCTCAGCGCCTCTAATACTCAACTGACCGGCACGACTCTTCCCCGAGTTGCTGTCTTTGTTGGTGCGACTGCAGGTATTGGTCAAGCAACCTTGACGCAGTATGTCAAAAAGGGTTACCCTCTAAGGGCCTATGTTGTCGGCCGAAATGAAGAAAGCTTTAAGCCGGTGCTGAACGAGCTACGTGCATCCAATAAGGCCGCCGAGTTGATCTTCCTGGAAGGTCAGATCTCTCTCTTGGCCGAGACGAAGCGGCTCACGGATGAGATCCTTCGTCGTGAGAAACATATCGATATGCTGTTCCTTTCTGCTGGCTTTTTGCCTTTCACTGGGCGCCAAGGTATGTCGGATATCATAGTCGGATGCATACATCAGTAAAGTTTTAACCACCCCCGCTCTCTCTCAGAAACGTCGGAAGGGTTGGGAATTGCAATGGCCGTGGGATATTATAGTCGTCAGATCTTCGTTCGACGCCTACTCCCACTTCTGCGAGCAGCTTTCAAGCCTGGCGTCAATCAGTACTCCCCCAGGATCGTGAACGTTCTTGGCACGGGCGTTGAAACAGCCAACTTATACCTTGACGATCTGGAACTAAAGCAACCCGACCATTTCAGCGTCCAGAGTTATGCCAACCACAGCGCCACGATGACCTCTGTGAGCCTCAAACGACTGGCAGAGCAGCCGGAGAACAGTAAAATTATCTTCATTCACCATCATCCAGGTTTGGTCTCGACTGAGATTTTTAAAAAAAGCTGGGGTGATCAATGGACTGAAGATAAAGCGACAGGAGGTCCCAAGGTCACCTCGGATATCACTCAATCCACTCCCGAGGAGGCTGGAGTACGGTCTTTGTATGTGATGACGAGCTCTCAGTATGGTGGGAAAGGTGTACCCTTAGCAGAAGGGCAAGAGCAAGGGCTCACCGTCAACGGAGCGACGAACGGATCCCTCTTCTGTGTTGGAAACAAGATGGAAACTTTGCAGCTCGGTGAACTTCTGGGAGATCTGGAGCGGAATGGTGCTTCTGATACTATTTGGAACAAGACCGACGAGCTGATTGGGGATTATCTGTGAGGACCTTAGCATATTAGGTATAGATAGATTCATGTGTCATGCGGCGTAGGACAAAATTTAGTCCAACTAGCAAGAGACAAGGCAACAATGGAAGGATATGTACATACATACTCTCGTCATAGCTAAGTTAACGAATGATTGGCTTTAGGAGGCTGACTAAAGTACATTGATTCGGTAACTAATTGGCCTTCAGGTTAGTGACTAAGCGTTGTATCCAATCGTAATTCAGATGATGCCGTGGGGTAGGGCAAAGACCAGCTCAGTCAGGCTATCATTAGTTATTCCGCAGGAGTTAGGATTGGGAGTGGTGTTGACAGTATTATAGTAGGCAATATTACCAAGGAACGGAGAGATATTGGAGCAAGCGCCACTGTAACCAGAGCTTGTGGTCGAGCTGGAGCAAGTGCATAAGGTTGGAGTAGGAGCAGATAAGATTGAACTAAGCCCTGCTTGCAGCCCTGACAAGACGTGACGTAATGTACCGTGAGGCTGGCCGGCAGAATTATTGTACCATTCACCGCTCTCCGGGCGGTAACCTCAACACATCACGTGGTAAATGCAGCCCCAGTAAGGGTTTGACCCTATCACGGGACAAGCGATAGCGCACACGATTTTCCCTCGGATGTGCGAGTATCCACGACCCCTTCAACGCCCATCTTCAATCCGGTCTTGTCGAACACACCACCAACGACAAGATGCCTACCCGTTTTTCGAACACGCGGAAGCAGTGAGTCGCCTCCCTCCTCCTCCTCGCCATTCCGCGAAATCAGCAAAGTCTGCAAGCCCGGCGCACCAATTCGATGAATTTCGAGACATCGCCGCCGGCACCGTTCTTGCAAACCGCTACGCAGCCCAGGATACTAACAGCTTTTCTCGCACAGCCGCGGCCACGTGTCCGCCGGTTACGGTCGTGTCGGCAAGCACCGCAAGAGCCCTGGTGGTCGTGGTATGGCCGGTGGTCAACACCACCACCGTACCAACATCGACAAGTTCCACCCCGGTTACTTCGGTAAGGTCGGTATGCGCTACTTCCACAAGACCAAGCAGCAGTTCTGGAAGCCCACCATCAACCTGGACAAGGTACGTTACCTCTTTCGAATTCAAGTCGATCTCCGCCCAAAATGAGAAGCAAGCGAAAAAGCTGGATGTGTGATTGTGTCTGTGTGGGGATCGAAAAGGAAAAGGAAAAGAAAAGAATGGCCACGGCTACGGAACACAGCCACGAAAACACAACCACGCTCCCGCAAGCCAATTGAAGGGCAAAATCGAGATATCCAAAAAAAACCATGATTAGCTGACTGGATTTTCCCCCATAGCTCTGGTCTCTCGTCCCCGCTGAGAAGCGTGACGCCTACATGAACGGCTCCAAGACCGACACCGCCCCCGTCATCGACCTCCTGCCCCTCGGTTACTCCAAGGTCCTCGGCAAGGGCCGTCTCCCCCAGATCCCCATCGTCGTCCGCGCCCGCTACTTCAGCCGTGACGCCGAGCAGAAGATCAAGGAGGCTGGTGGTGTTGTTGAGCTGGTCGCATAAGCGTTGATTCGAAAGTTTTCTTTGTTGGAGAGAAGGCGTGAATCGGGGCAACGGTCTTGTGGATGGATCCCAATTTGATCAGTCTCTCCTATCCTATCCATATTAGGGCGGAGGAGTGGAATCTCGGAAAAAAGGAGACCGCCAGGAGTCAGGAGGAATGGTGGGCTCTGGCTCGAAAAAGAAAAAGGGTTTTTGTGTATGCAATATGAAGCATAGCATGGCCTCCGAATGCCCTTACGATTTCACAATTGTGTTAAACAAATACCATAAGGAGGAATTTTTCAAATGTCTTGTACCGTTTGATTTAAGCTTCGCCCAGTCACTAATAGGCTCATACTGAGATTGAGGTTTTGAATCCACTCTCTGTGTGGGTTGAGTCAAGCCCGGTTAATCTGATGTGGAATTACAGGACGACTAGTCGCAATGCTAGCCTCCCTGCAGTCCTTGTTCCGATTCACATTCAACTATGTGGTGTCTACGTAGGCAGTTGTAGTTTGAAAGAATAACTGGGACTCGGATCTATTGGAAGCTAGTACCTATTCACGGCTACCAGTGTAGATGCAATTGATCAGCCTAAGACCCAAATTTCTAACAAAATATATGCACATATATAGTCTAATCATCCGACATCTAGATCTTCGACTCCCGCACAGAACCCCTCCGCCCTGTCCCCTCATCGCTAGAAGCGAGCGTCTCACTAATGAATCGAATAGCCTCGTCAGCCATATTGGCAGTCACCTCATGACCCGCCGACTGGTCAATAATATCCTCGAAAGTCACGCCGCCGTCGCCAAACCACCCATTACTCGCAATGGCCTTTTTAAACCATGCCAGAAACACTTCTCCACGGTGATAGGGCACAAGCTTATCGACCCCGCCAGATATATTCAGAATACGCTTGCCCGTCAGGCACCGGGTCAACAATGGTCTCAGTGCCTGCTGTTCTTTATCCGTTGGCTCGGGCAACGGTCCTTCGCGCGGAAGGCCAGAAGAAACAGGGTCCATGGGTCCGAGCATCAAGCTGGCCGGATCGTATCGCTTGACGAGATCGACGAAGGAAGTTGGGAATGCTTCTGAGCCGAGGATCTCTGATCCTGGCGGGCTGGACTTTGTCCAGGAAGGTAACTTGGATAGTCGGGCTCGGTCTATCATCAGATTTAGATAGTCGGGACATCCGATTATGATCACTCCGGATGTCATGCGGGGATCGTGTAAGAGACAGCTCCATGCAGCGTGACCTCCTAGCGAGACGCCCAAAACTAGGTTTTCCGAAATGTGATGTTCATCCTGTGGAAAAACGTATGATTCAAGATAGTCCATCAGTAAAGATGTATCCCGAGCCGTTCCCTCTGCAAACCTCGTAAGTTAGTCTAACCAATCTATCACTAATAGTAGTACTTCTTGAAGTACTCGATCAAAGGTAGGTACTAGGGTACTCACGGAAAACGGAGAACATATCCTGCGCATGGCGTGGATTCCCTTGCCTCCACGCCTCATTAGCCAACGGATCAACAAGTCTCGACCCATGATTTCTCTGGTCAAACGAAACAGCAATCAATCCCTTAGTCGACGATTGAGCCTTGCTATTCCAGTCGCCAATAGCGGACGCCGCGATACCGGACATGCGCTCTTGCGTCGCTAATCGAGGATGGAGTAACCAGAGGCAGGCGACATTCTTGGTCTCAGACTGAAGCTCTTCGAGTCCGAATACGGTTACTGAGATTCCGGCAATTGCGTAGATTTTACGTGAGACTGGTGCAGGTGCAGGACGACCTGAGTCGTCGAGGGTCTTCATGGGGTCGGTCATTGTGCTTTGTTGCTTGTTGCGTGTATGATCAATTGATTCAGCAATTAGTCGATCAATGCGAGAATTTGAATTCGACGGAATTGGGACCAGGGGAATTGAGAATGGAAGTCTATGAAGTAAAGTAAAGAAATATGGCGGGGAGCAAAGTGTATTAGCGAGGCGACTCGGGTATATCGCGCCAGAGCCGAGGGTTCCTGGGAAGTACCTTTGTACAGTAGTGAACCATTGGTAGATTGAACGACTCCACCTTTGTTAACGCCGCAAGACTAATTCCGATTGAAGAAAATCTTCTCGATCTACTCCTATACTTCTATACTCCTATTACAACTATTTCTTCTCATTGCCAATATTACTCCGTACTCCGTACTCCATCTGCTCTATAATCTATTGAATACTTGGTTGCCACGTGACCCTACCCCAGGCTGAAACGAAATGCCTCAAACGGCAAAACAAAAACCGATGAACATTTTGATCATACCAGATTATTCATCCAGAAGATCACACTTCTCGTACTGTACTGGAGGTGCTTTTTTTAAAAAAAATATATATATATACTTAGCACCAGTACTTGCACTTCCCCCTTTTCCACTGTTGACCGCCCACTTGACTGTCTTGGCGGGCCTTTCTCCAGTCGGAGACATTCTAACGGGGCGGAACTCCACCGGAGGTGCCAACTAATTCGACCACCAACGCTCCTTTAATGTCAACAGTCGCGTGTGCTGTCCCCCTCCCCCATTGAACACATTGCATCTGTGGACGTCGACCTTAGAATGCCCACAAGATCCGATCACCCCCGTTAGGATCTCTATTGATCCGGAATGTATGCGAATCCCACTTTGGAACGTGGCCGTCAGGAGCTACAACTAATGATCGTCTTGCAATAGAACCATGACCGACACCATGTTAGCCTCTGCCCCTCGGCAGAAGGCTGATCAGAACCCCGAGACAAATAAATCTAAGAACCCCGAGTCCATCTCCGCCTCAAATGCCGGGAAGCTGGCCTCCCCGTTCCCTTCTCCAACCGAAGCCAATCGACCTGCATCGCTCAAGACGGCTCAACCGTCCGGTGCCGCAGAGGAATCCAAGAGCAAGGAGAGTCGGCCGATACCAACGGGGGCCGACGGACCTCTAGAGAGCAAGGAGAACCTGCGTGCATCTTCGACGCAGCAAGACTCCCCTCGGGAAAGACCATCCCTGAGCTCGCGATTGCCCAACAGATCCACCACCGATGAAAAGCCGCCATCCTTGAGTCGTCACAAACAGCAAACTTCGATTTCCGGTCAATCCCCTCCCTCTCGCGCCCCGAGCGTCGTCCAGTTCCAGACCGCAGAAAACGATGGCTCAGAACTGCCCCCGTCGCAGCCTCAATCCCGCCCAGCCTCTCTATACGGCGATGATTCGGAACAGACTAGAGAGGAGGCAATCGTTTATGAATAAAATCAAGTCGTTAGCTGCATCTCCTCCGTTTGCATCACACGCACGATCCGCCAGCGGACCTAATATAGGGGAGATCCGGGTCCCGGCTGATTTGCAGACCCCAGGCTCTGAGCGTGGCGATTTCCGTTTCCCGGAGCCTCTACCGGAGGAGGGAAGTGATATTGACGCCGATGCCGAAGAGAGCGGTGGAGAGCAACGGGAAGCCCCGAAGAAAAAGAGGAATTTCCGCCGGAGACAGACTCAGGAGGAAGAAGGTGGAAATCGTACCGCTCCTACGACACCCAAAACAACCCGTCGGCCTTCTTTCCACTTCTCGTCGTCCTTTGCACCATTCGAAAACTACCGGACCAATCTTTTCCCCCGCAGAGCCAGCACCACGGACTTCACGCCCCAACAACGGGAGGGTGTATCCGAGGATGAGGGCCGTGACAGGCTCACTAATAGACGGAAAAGGCCTGGCTGGGCAGGGACTCGAGGGATGACATATGTGGGTCGACAAAATGATGCGCAAGGAAGCCAGGATGAGCGCCCCAGTCACTTACGGCGACTTACCGGATTTGCTGGACCATCAGAGAATGCGGAAAGCCTCACGGCCACTTGGAAGCGCCATCGGAATGAGCGAGGAACGAGCGCCAGTGCCCAGCGATGGAGACAGATCAAGGCCGGCTTCAAACTAATCGGTCAACGCCGCAAGGTTGATAATACAGTGGACAATAAGAAGTCTGCAGAGTTGCTTGCCGAGCTGGCCTCGGCTGTACCGGCGGCTCTCATCCTGGCGAGTGCCTTCCAAAGAGACGAGCATGGAAGCAAACGAATTCCAATTCTCTTGGAACAGTTGAAGGTTCGTGTTACAGATAGCCGCATCGATTCCCACTCTGGCGATCGCCATCTCGTGTTCCGGATTGAGCTCGAATACGGAAGTGGTATGACACGCATGAAGTGGATTATCTTCCGAACATTGAGAGACTTTGCAAACTTGCATCTCAAGTACAAGCTTCACCTTGGCACCCAGAAGTATATCCAGCTACGGACTAGCGAGAACAGTCCCAGCATTCCTCGTTTCCCTCGAAGTGCTTTCCCTTATATGCGAGGTGTTCGAGGCTTGGAGAGCGAATTTGAAGATGAAGAAGAAGAAGATGGTGGCTATGAGACTGGCAACGAAACGGCCCAGAGTGGTACGGAACGAGCTGGACGGAAGAAGAAACAGACTCAGCAGCACCAGCGTCGACCTTCTGCCGGTATTGCTCGGAGAAAGTCCAGCATCACGAATCAAAATGGCGAGTCGGAAGCAGGCGAAGGAGCTGCCGGGAAAAGGGAAACCTACCCCGAGAGACAGCGCAAGAAGCTTGAAATGTATCTGCAGAAGATGATTCGTTTCCTGATCTTCCGAGCTGACAGCAATCGTCTTTGCAAGTTCCTTGAATTATCTGCTCTTGGCGTTCGACTTGCTGCCGAAGGGAGCTACCACGGAAAGGAGGGCTTCCTGATTATTCAGTCATCCAAGGGCCTTGATTTCCGGAAGGCTTTAACTCCATCTCTCATCAAAAAGAGGCATTGGCCCAAGTGGTTCCTGGTTCGCCACAGCTACATTGTCTGTGTGGACTCACCAGAGGAGATGAATATCTACGATGTTTTCCTCATTGATCCTTACTTCAAAGTCCAGACGCAAAAGATCAGCCTTCGCAACCAGAAAGCAAAGGATCTGGCGAAATCGGCCAAGCAATCTGCTAGACATCCTCAACATCACACACTTCGATTGGAGAACTCTGAGCGTAAACTCAAGCTGCTGGCAAGAAACGAGCGTCAGCTCCAACAGTTTGAAGATTCGATCCGCTTCATGGCTGCCAACTCCCCGTGGATGAAACACAACCGATTTGATAGTTTTGCACCAGTGCGACAGAAGTGTTTCGCGCAGTGGCTTGTCGATGCTCGTGACCACATGTGGGTGGTTTCGAGAGCCATCAACCAGGCAAAGGATGTGATTTATATTCATGACTGGTGGCTGAGCCCGGAACTCTACCTGAGGAGACCTGCCGCTATCAGCCAAAAGTGGCGCTTGGATCGTCTACTTCAACAAAAGGCTCGTGAGGGCGTGAAGATTTTCATCATCATGTACCGAAACATCAACTCGGCCATTCCCATCGATTCGGAGTATTCTAAATTCTCCCTCCTCGAGCTCCACCCCAACATCTTCGTGCAAAGATCTCCAAACCAGTTCCGTCAGAATACCTTCTTCTGGGCTCACCACGAGAAGCTTTGTCTTATCGATCACACGTTAGCTTTCGTTGGAGGGATTGATCTGTGTTTCGGACGTTGGGATACACCCCAGCATCACCTCACGGATGACAAACCAACTGGTTTTGAGACAACGGATATGCCCAAAGACTCAGACCACTGTCAACTCTGGCCCGGTAAGGATTACTCAAATCCTCGAATCCAGGACTTTTATGACCTGGACAAGCCGTACGAGGAGATGTATGACCGAAATGTTGTTCCTCGAATGCCGTGGCACGATATTTCGATGCATGTGGTCGGTCAGCCTGCCCGAGATCTCACTCGCCATTTCGTCCAGCGCTGGAATTATATCCTTCGTCAGCGGAAGCCCACGCGCCCAACTCCTTTCCTTCTGCCGCCCCCGGACTTTAATGACGGAGACATGGAGGCCTTGGGTCTAGAGGGAACTTGCGAAGTCCAGATTTTGCGCTCTAGTAGCATGTGGTCCACTGGAACTCCAGATGTTACAGAACATAGTATCATGAACGCCTACGTCAAGCTGATCGAAGAGTCCGATCATTTCGTCTATATCGAGAACCAGTTCTTCATCAGTACCTGTGAAATTGATGGAAGAAAGATCGAGAACCTTATTGGCGATGCTTTAGTGGAGCGAATCGTCAGAGCCCACAAAAATGAAGAGGCATGGCGTGCTGTGATTGTCATCCCATTGATGCCAGGCTTCCAGAACACCGTGGACAGCGAAGGCGGAACAAGTGTGCGTCTAATCATGCAGTGTCAATACCGCAGTATCTGCCGCGGCGAGACTTCTATCTTTGGACGTCTTCGTGCCTTGGGTATTGAACCAGAGGACTACATCCAGTTCTTCAGTCTGCGAGCCTGGGGCAAGATTGGACCTCAGCAACAACTCGTCACAGAACAGCTGTACATCCACGCCAAGTGTATGGTTGTGGATGATCGAGCTGCCATCATTGGATCGGCCAACATCAACGAGCGATCCATGCTGGGCTCGCGTGATTCCGAAGTTGCCTCAATCGTGCGCGATACAGATATGATCCAATCTACCATGAACGGCAAGCCCTACCTGGTGGGACGATACCCGCACACGCTTCGGATGCGTCTAATGCGCGAGCATCTCGGAATTGACGTTGACGAACTTCTGGAGCATGACTTTGCCACCGAAGAAGAGCTCCGGAAAATCCAGGTCGTTGAAGAAGAGGGTGCTCAAACAGGCAAGGGCAAAGAGGGACCGGACTCGGTCTCTTCCATGATTGAGCGACAGGATGAGCGAGATATGATCGATCGTCGCCATCGCATTCAAGATGAATTCTTGTCTCGCTCGGAAGGCATGCACAGCTTCAACCACGATGTAGACTGGGAACAGGGCAGCAACCCCAACCTCAAAAGCAACAGGAAGCTTACGGCAGACCCGCGCGTCACTTCGAACCCTGAGCACACTAAAGATGTGGATGGCGAGGGAGTCGACAACTTGAAAGCCATTGAGAAGGCTGGACTGGGCGTCGGCCGTGACTCGCAAATGACCCCAGCTGGAAGAGAAGCTTTGCTTTCACCCATTGCCTCTGAGGGCAAGGGAACTATTGGAGAACCAAAGCAGACTGCTCAACAGAAGCCATCCCGAACTGCATCGGCCCGCAAGGACGGAAAGCTAGGATCGTCTGCCGACTCTGAGACCAACACCAACTCCGAAAATCCCTCGAATGGCAATGGCCACGGTGCCTCCGGATCCTCAAGCCGCGAGTCAGAGTGCGGCGGCAGTGCCGGCCTAATCGTGTCCAAGGAAAACTACGACAATTCCAAATACGGCCAACCATACGTCCCCGATCTCAAGCGTATCTTCGTCGACAAGGATTGCATGAAGGACCCTCTGAACGACGCATTCTACCTCGACACCTGGCAAGCCGTCGCAGAGAAGAACACCAAGGTCTTCCGCTCCGTATTCCGCTGCATGCCAGACAGCGAAGTCAAGAACTGGAAAGAATACAAAGAGTACGCCGCATACGGAGAACGCTTCGCCGAGATCCAAAGCAACAGGCCCAACGCGCAGCAAAAGCCAGCCGCCTCCACCGGCCCGACTTCTCCAGGCGGCGCCTCTAGCGTAGGCTCGCCAACATCCCCCCCTCAGCCCCAAGACAGACAACCCGCAGACCATCAACGAGAAGCTGGAGTCTACGCACGGTGACCCCGAGCGTCCGCAGTCCGAACTTCTAAACCAAGAGACCCTCTCGCCGATTGACGAGAAGGCCGCTCTCAAGGTAGCATCCGACCCCCAGCTCGCAACAAGCATGGAGGACGGAGCCGCCGAGGAAGCAGAAAAGCTCCGCTCAGCCTCCGTACACGTCGACTACTCCGAAGCCGTCAATCTCAACGCCTCTCAATCCCGCAGACGTCGCCGCAGGGCAACAACCAGCGGTTCTAAGCGCGAATTCCACGCATCGGATGAAGTCATGGATTCTGCTCGAGCGGAGGATCTCTTGAATAAAGTCCAGGGCCATCTTATTCTCTGGCCATATGATTGGTACGTTTACACTTATTTCTTCCTTTCGTGACCCTTTTCCCTATGCTCGCGACTCGGTCAACTAACTAATCTCTCCATTTCCAGGCTCGAAAAAGAGGAACAAGGTGGAAACTGGCTCTACGCTCTTGATCAGATTTCCCCTCTGGAAATTTATAACTAATCCGATACAATCCGAGGCGTCGCTTTTTTGAATTATTATTATTATTTTTTTCTCCCAAGTCCCTCCCCCCTTCCCTCTTTCCTGGGGGGGATTCGCATTCCGTCCGATATTTTGAAACGCGTGTGCCGAGCGAATCCGAGCATTTTCACTGGTTACTTCTGCTTTTCTTTCTTCTTTTGGCTAAAATGGGCGGATAATTTTGATTTGAGTTTGCTTCTTTTATTTAAACATGCTACCTGCTCCCTACTGCTACTACTGCTACTGCTTAGCTAGGGACCGCCTGCACTAGAAGCCCCGGAGGCCTTTCTAGACCCGGCCTTAAGTTTCGATTGTTTCTCAGCGCTAGACCTAAGTTAATTCGACATGCATGTGGTAATCCTCCCAATACTTTTCCGCGAGAAATATACCAACGTGCAACTGGCATTTTTCAATGTACTAGGCTAGGTAGTAATGGTGTACAAGGTCCATAGCCAGACAAACTTGAAAGAGACTCGAACTCTACTCTACTCTACTCTACTCTACTCTACTCTACTCTACTCTACTCTACTCAGATCACGGATACCTTAGTATCAACTTGAAAACAACTTGAAGACAAGACATGCATTCAGTTCCAAAAAAATCATGGTATCCATAACATCATCGTAATCCAATTAAAGGAAATAACCCTCCAATCCAATTCAATCCAGCGCGTCCAAATAAGATATCAGAAAAAGGTTCCAAAGAGGAGAAAGGCAAAAGGGAAAAGTAAACGTGGGCGAGATAGCACACGGTATAAGATGTACATGCAAATTATATGCATGGAAGAAAACAGGGGGGGGAATCGTGGGTCGCTTTTGGATGGTGGGTAGGTGGGTGGGTGAGGGATCCCGACTCTGTTCCCTGGTGGAAGGGGTATATACAAGGGTTTGACCGCGGTCGTGAAAAGAGGGAAGGAGAAAGAAGAAGAGAAGAAAGGAAAAAGAAAAGAAAAGAAGAGAAGAAAAGAAGAAAGAAAAGAGAAGAGGAGAATGAAAAGGTCATAATGCAGGAGGGCATGGATGGGAGAAGAGTAACCAGAGCAGAAATCACCGCTCAAGCTCAATCTCAAGCTCAATCTCAAGCTCAATCTCAAGCTCAATCTCAAGCTCAATCAAGCAGAAACAGGAGTTTTCAGCTTCTCCTGCTCCTGCTCCCCTTTCTCCTCCCCCTTCTCACCATCCACAACCACATCAACCTCCCCATCAGTCTTAAAATCCCCCGACGCCAAAATCTTCCCCTTGGAATGAATCGCATTCCGCAGCGAATCAATATAAGTCCGGAACTTAACAATCTCCCTCAGGAGATACGAAGACTTCCGTTCCCAGTTCGCCATCGCCTTGGACGAATTCGGATGACGCGGCGAGAAAGCCAGATTCATCGCCGGCCGCAACTCATTATGCCGCTGCAGATCATCCTCGACGTTCTTCACATAAGACTGCAGAGCCTTCAACTGGTCCTCCTCAACCAAGTTCGACGCAACCATGCTCTGCTGCGGCGGACTCCAGTCACTGATATTGACCCGGTCAGCGGGTAATTTCGGCCGAATAGCACCCTGATGATCGATAGAACTGCGAATCGAGCTTTGAATACTAGCCCGCGGAGCCGGGCCCGCAGTGCCTGACGAAGGCGGCGGCGACCGATTCTGATCAGGGTTAATCAATGCGCTATTGATAACCGCATCACTCCACCCGTACTCGATATTACTGATCCCCCCAACGAGGGGCTGCTTGGATAACCGCGCGCTCCAGTAATTAGCCGTTGAGACGAATTCGCGCACGATTTCCGGAGTGCCCGCTTGGAAGAGATGCACCGCGCCGGTGGGCAAACTCAAAGCCCAAACATGCGGGCGGGATTTGGAATAGCCTGGTGGAGGCAGGGCGCTGGCGATAGTCTGGCGGAGCATGAATTTCCAAATCTCCTCTGCGTTTTCGGTCCAGTTGCCGCCTCCGACGACGACGCCGCCGCGTTGCTTCGCCTTGATGCGCATTGACTTTGATGCGTTGGTGAAGGAGAACAGGCGCATCCAGCCTTGCTGGATGACGGCGAAACACTCGTTCCAATTGCGGTCCTTGGCGCGCTTGTCGACTGCGTCTAGGTGGTGCTTGTGCTTTACGCTGCCTTCTTTGGCCCAGGGGGCGCCGGCCAGGGCTAGCGTATCGTCTTCCAGGAGTGGCGTTGTTCTCTCCGGCTCGTCGAAGCTGTAGATGGAGGTGGCGGAGTCTTCGCGGATGATTGCTTGGCTGAGAGCATTGGCGAAACCGATTGATTGCTGGTAATCGCCGCGGGGGGAACTCTGATCCAAACGAGTCCACGGAAGCAGAGGTAAACTTGCCAAGTGAGTACTTGCTCCACGTACTTGATGCGCCTGGGCTCCAGACCGAGGACTGGTCGTCCAAGCTTGTCCGGCTGGATCCCATCATAGACGGGGGATATAATCTGGCGCCCCGCGAGCGCGGTTTTGATGACCAGCGTGCGGCACCATGGCGGGAATCAGCCGAGCGGCCACGAGGGAAAATGTCCGAGCCACTTTTACTAATTGTGCTGGGACTTCTGCGAAGCATGCTGGTAGTTGGACCGAGGAAGTTGTTGGATGACATGCGTGAAATCTCTTTCTCGGGCTGCGCGCCGTGAAGAGGGAGTCTCTGCTTTTGGATCGAGGTGTAGAATTCCTTAAGCACCGCTTCGACCTGTTGTTCCCATGCCCTGACAGTTCCAGTGAAAGGAGTGCTGACCAATGGGCCAGCATCGGTATCAGCTGTCTTTTCCATGTCTAATGAACTGCGGCCAATATCAGAGGGGAAAGTAGGAGAGCGGGCGGAGGTAGGAGTCGGGGTTGAGTCGGGGTTTGAAGAGGCGGTTTTAGAGCGGTTGACAGGGCGCAATGTCTCGAAGCCTTCTGGTGCTGCATCCATAGCAACACGATGGATAGTCGGCATGGTGTTTCTGACGAATTGCGACTTGGTCATTTTTGATTCAATGTCGGCTAAATGCAAGTCGGTGTTCAGTAGAAGGATGGAGTAGCAAATGGTGTGGACGACATCTATAAATTTGTGAGAAGGATATCCAAGGTAGTAATTTCGGGAGCATATGCTTACCAGTAGCCTTGAAGCCATGGCTCGGGTTGCAATCACACCATCTGGTTGAGAAGGCATCCAAGACCCGGTCAACCTGCTGAGTCTCTCCCTTCAAAACCAAGCGCTGGCAAAGACTTCGGAGAGCAGCAAGAATATTCATATTGGACCAGTTGAAGAGTCGCATATAGGCCTCGCGGATTGTGGCGCGATCAGGGTCACCAAGCCAAGCGGCAGCTGGATCATTTCCTACGACCTCGTCTTGGCTATCAAAAAGCTTTTGCGCTTGCTCTCGATCAGCCGCGGAATGTCCATCTTCAACAGCCTCACCAGGGCCATCCATCGTATCTTCCTCGTCTGCAATCGCTTTGGGTTCGTCCGACTCAATTACAGGGGTGTTTGATGCAGTCTGATAGTGAGAGACTTCGGAAGCGGCAGGTGATTCAGGAACATTATTGTCGGCGGGGAGGAGTGTCAACTTTTTAGGTCCCGCCAGAGTATCTTGGGAGACATCAGTCTTAGTGGAAAGCTTGAGGTTGCGAGGGAAAGCCTCAGAAACAGGTGACAGCATGGCCGGTGACGCTGGATTTGTACTCTTCTCCTGCAAGGGGGAATCGGCAGATGCATTTGACTCCACATCACTAGCCTTTGGAGTATTATCAGTGGTGCCACGACCGCCTGCTAGCGGTGAGCGATCCTGGCCGCGAGAGGAAGCTGGCGGCTGGAGACTTTGCTTCGCTTTGGAGGGACCTCCAGGAGCCGAGACACTTTCTCTTGGCTTTTGCGTTTGCAACGACAATGCTTCCCGAGCCAGCTTGCTGCCCTCGCGAGCCTCCGGGTTGCCTGGGGTGCCATCTGCTATATAAGGATTCATCACCTGTCGCAAGCTGCTCACCGGGCTGGGCTCTGGCTTCATGTAATCCAAAGCGTTCGATGCAAGGTCCTGAGGTAGGGTGATCGGTGGCGGGACATCAACTACAGACTTCTTGCGACGTCGGAAAAACGAAGATTTCTGCTTGACCAAGTGTGGAGGTCCCTCACGTGTAGACGGAGGTGGTGCTCCGGCCGAACTCTTCGGGGGTGGTTGCTGTCTGCGGGTTTTGAGCGTGGCAGTCGCTCCAGGGGAATCTTTCTGCTCAACCTCTTGCACGTATGATACATCGTGCGTGTTGGATGTTGGGGATTCTGCTGGAACTGGTATCGAATTCTTTGCTGCGCCAAAGACACGTCGAAAGAAGCCCGGGCGTGCTTCCTTGGGAGCATTTGCAGGGTTGTTGCTGTTGTTGCTATTAGTTGCAGTGATGACAGTGGTTGTCGCCATCGCAGTGGGTTCCGGCTGAGGGAAAGCTGGTTGTTGGGTGAAAGTCGGTTTATTGTAAGAGATAGTCGGGCTCGGCGCAGGCGGATCTAATGTTGCTGGCATGGCCGGAGGCATATCGAGATCCGCATCACCGGATAGCTGGAATTCACTATCCCGACCTTTCAAAGTGCTCGTTCCAATATTCTCAGGGCGAGCTTTGCGGACCTGGGGTTGTGCTGACTTCACGCTGTTTCGCCGCGAGGCGGCAGGCGTCCGTGATGCAGGGGCGTTTGGGGTTCTATATTCATGGACCTTGCGAGGTCCTGCTGGAACACTTGGTGTCGGTGCCGCATCGTCATCGTATAAGTAGGTCTGGCTTGCATCGACGTCCGCATGTGGGATGAACTTCTGTGGGCCGCAGTCAAAACTTTCCGAGCGCCGATCTCGATCCATGCCTCCTGAATCAGCGCGCCCTCTAGGGATTGTGTATGTATAGTCCACCGTCGAGGTGCTTCCCTTGCTACCTTTACGTATATCATTGGATCTCGGCATGGTGCCGGCGCCTGATCGAGTGCTCATGGCATCCCCACGGGCACTCCCCATCCTCCTCGGGGCTGTCTGATAATTGGAACTGCTGTTGCTCCGGCGGCCTTTGGCGGTTATAGTAGCGTAGCGGCTGCTGCTATCATCATATCCGAAGTCGGCTTCAGAAGACATGGAGGAGGAGAAGGTGTGGCCGCGGTATCGGCCAGTGGTTGAGTCTGTCTCAAAGGCCGAATTGAAAAGTCTATAGTCGTCTAGTACTGATGAAGCTGGGGCGAATTGATCCAGCGAGAGCAGCATATTATCAACAATGGATGTGCGCGCCGCGTGGTTTGGGGACAGGGATAGATCATGGGGGTCCCGTTCGTCCCCGGACTCGCTCGCTCTGGGCGCATTGTCGAGGCCGGCCGCAGTCTCCGGGAAGGCGTCGCGAATGGACGGTCGGGTGTATCCTCGCTTGGGCCTGAATGTCGCGGTCTGGGAGGGAGGGGTTCGGGGAGGGGAACCGGCAGTGTATGTGTCGCGCTGCTGAGACATTGTCACACTTGAGAGCGCGGGTTAGTCGAGTCTGAAGTCGAACGATGGTCGAGGGTCAAATCCAGATGAAAATCCCCTGGATTGAAGGACTCAGGGGGGGAGATCTTGATGGGACGTACCGGCAATGCCCAAGGCTCAAGGCTCAAGACGTCGTTGCCCGAAAATGGAGTGGGCTGGACCTGGAAGTGGACGTGGACCAGTTGCGGAGCGGAGAGCACGGGGAGGGGATGAATCTTAGAGGGTCATCGCATGTCCCGGACAACGCAAGGGGGGAGACCCTGAAGAGTTGAGGTGAGTTGAGGTGAAGTGAATTGATAATGGGACCAGGTGAAAGAGAAAACAAGCCGGGGGCAGGACGAACTCCTGAAGTTCCAAGGTTGAAACTAGTCAAAGAAGGTGGAACTTGGAACTTTACGGAGTAGTGGACTTGTAATAGACTTGTAAGGATTCGGGTATTTGTTTAGGGCATTAAGACACTGCAATCAGATAAAGAAGGTATTAAATGGAAAGACTGGAGTGATTGACACAAACGGTCAGAGAAAAAGGAAGGAGAAGGGAAGGGAAGGGAAAGGGAAATTGAAGTCTTCCGAGTCCTTCTGCATCGATTCAGGGGGTCGATGCGTTGGCGCTCCCTAAGGTTATTGGGGTTATCCGTTTATACCCAGCAGAGTTGGAGAGAACTAAATCTGGCTTACGGAGTAGAGTAACAGGTTATATGTGTCTACATATACAGGCCAGTACCCTAGGTAAATAGTATACCTAGGTGTATACCACGGTGGGTTTCTGACTCCTCTTCTTTTGCGCAAGTTGGTCGATCTTGATGGTGGAGCCAAGTGGAGACCGAGTCCATGCTCTTGCAGACTGCACAATGTGATGCATCCCCGAGGCAACTTTGACTTTAGACCATGGCATCTGCCAGTGAGCATTATGAACTCTGTTTGATCCAAGTTGAATTGATGGGTCATTTACGAAGCCCTCCAGCCCTGGAGGGGCTGGAGGGCTACATTCTAGATTCCGTTTGTCGAGTACATTAGTACTCCGTACTATGTACCTATGTATATATAACTACTACCTGGGTGGGTACCTAGGTAGGTAAGACCTAGGTGTATATAATAGTACTATACCAGGTATCAACTTCAAGTCAATTACTAATTAGGTACTGCCCAGGCGTAGGCACTGTGACTACGATTTCCCTTCCAGAAGTGCCGGTCCAGTTCAACATCACCATATCATGGATATCATAATTAGGGCTTAGTCACGAGACTGATACCGTCAACGAAAGGAATACTCGTACCTAGGTATACCTAGGTAATTGTGGAATAGGACATACTATAGTATTCCATATGTTCCATATGTCGAAATATGAAATATAACAACTAAACAGTTAAAAGCACTGCATACTGATTCTGTGTACTGATTCTATGCTGGATACTATTATCTGCCTCAGGCACAAGTCATGTGACGATGACATAGCCCGAGTTCACTCGTTCAAGTGATCAACGTGTCGTGTCAATGACCGTTCCTGTTCCTGACCAGAACGGGCCTCGACAATGAACCCGCACATTTCTGTTCCTCGCCAACATGCTGGTCCGACCAATTTCGGTTCCACCCCTCGTCGCGGGTCCAGTGTGCGCATGCCGCGTTTCTTTAAGAGGTACGCTCCTCGGGGAACGGGATGCTAGAGGGGGGAATGAATCACCCCAAAGACAATCGCGACTGACCATATTATACCAATAGGCTCTTCAAATTCCCCCAGATGGACTTTGAAATGGCCATCTGGGAAATGACTTCCTTGTTAATCGCCCCGAAGAAGGTCTTCAAGTCCATATATTACCATGTAAGTGTACTCGGCCGGGGAGTCGGATCTCGGGCAGCCAGTTCAACTCCAACTCCAATTGATCGATCCATGCTAACCATTCTATGTCCTTATAGAAACGTAAGTCACTCCATCTGCTGTGCCTATCCCTTAGACTATTCCCTAATTCGAACCTTGACAGAAACCAAAAACACATGGCATCGCCCTGACCCATCATTCACCTACCTCCTCTCGTTCTTCCTACTCCTCACAGCCCTCGCCTGGGGTCTCGCCTACACCCCCTCCTTCGGCGCGATCATTCGGCTATCACTGCTCTTCGTATTCTTGCATTTCATTGGATCATCACTCTTCGTCTCTGCCATCGGCTACTTTGTCATCGGCCGCCTCTTTGGTCCCAATGGCGCCGCCGCCTCGATGACCGGCTTCCGAGGCTCGAGAGGTCGCCGACGCGGTGCTGCCCAGGGTCTCTTCATGCAACCCGGGGAAAAGGACCAGCTAGAATTCGGATACTGCTTTGATGTATGCCCCCTCCGAGTCATAAAAATGACATCCCCCTGCCTGTTCGCCATTCTCTAACGCAGTCTTCCCAGGTCTCCAACCGCGCCTTTTTCCCTCTCTACTTGCACCTCTACGTGATCCAGTTCCTCCTCCTCCCACTCCTCACCCGCAGCCCGAGCAATTTCCTCGCCACCTTCCTCGGAAACACGCTCTACCTCTCCGCCCTGATCTACTACACCTACATTACGTTCCTGGGCTACAACGCCCTCCCATTCCTGCATAACACGGAGCTGCTTCTCATTCCCATCCTGGTCTTCGCCCTTCTCTGGCTCATTAGCTTGATTGCCGGGTGGGGGATTGTCATGGATGGATGGGGCGTCGAGGGTTTGTTTTGGGGTGTATAAAAAGGGCGCATAAAAGGGCGCATAAAAAGCTACATGCATCCTTTGCCTAAGAAAGAATCACTTGGCTTAGCTTAACCCGACCCTCTGAGCCCTCTGGGCCTCTGGGGCTATTCGACTCTAAACTAATTCCTGGGGGCTTTGATTTTATGTCCCATGTACGAACGAACCCGTCATTTCCTCTCTCATTTCCTTTCCTTTCCTTTCCTTTCCTTTCCCTTCTCTTTCTTCCATTCGAGCTGTTCTGGCTATGCATTGAAAAGAGTAATTTCGTCTCTTCTGTGATTAGGTGGGCGTCGGTGTACATGATTTGTTTTTCATCTATAGGACCAGGACCAGGATCAGGCATTATTTCCCTTCCTTTCCCTTCCCTTCCATTCCCACCCCCAAACCTCGCATCAGCTCCGTACCCACGTATAGATCATAAACAAATAAATATTTCAGCAAACCTCACAACTATAAACATCCAATCTCATCTATTTCTTCTTATTGCCCCCCCTTCTTACTCCCCGGCGCCGCCTTCCCCATAGCCGCAGCCCGAAGCTTATCCTCACGGGCCTTGATAGCCGCCTCCCGCTCCTTAGCAGCCTCATCCTTTTCCTCCTTCTCCGCCTCCTTCCTCGCCTTCTCCGCCTCCCGCTGCTCGCGAATAATCTTCAACCGCGCCAAATCAGCCCGCGCCTCATCAGTCTTCCCCTCAGCATGAAGCTTCATGTACCGCTCCCTCGCCTGCTGCGCCTGAATCGCCTCGCGCTCCCGGCGCGACAACTGCGATAGATCCTTAACGACCTTCTTCGGCTTTTCGTCACCCGAGTCCGGCTTGGTGAGTTGCGAGCGCGATTGCGCTGTGTGGTTCGGGTTTGCGGGGAGGGCTGAGGAGGGCGCGGAGGACTCGTCGTCGGACTCGGACTCGGAGTCTGTGGGGAGATCGCCGACCTGGGCGGGGCCCTTCTTGCGCTTTGCTAGGGCGGCGGCTTTTTTGGCTTTTGCGGCGGCGCGGCGGGCTTCGCGGGTTTCTTCTGATGGGGCGGTTTGCTGTTGGGTTGCGCTGCTGGCTGGGGCGGCGTCGTCGCTTTCGTCAGAGCTTTCTTCTTCTGAGGATGAGTCGCTGGATGAGGGGACTTCGTCGGCGGGGTCCTAGGTGGGATGTCAGTTTTATTTTATTTTTTGGCCTAAAGGATGGGAGGGGAAGGGAGGGGGGAATTGAATTTGTTCACTGCCTCCCGGGGTTCAACGTACGCGCCAGAGACCGAGCGTGTTGCCCTCTTTATCGATGGGCTGTAGGTCACGGCTGAACTTCTTGCCTCCTGTTCAAGGATGGTCAGTTTGGGTTCGGGGTGGGGGGGGATACTGGGCACACGATACCTCCTCGCGAGGGCTTTGAGAACTTTCCTCCACGACCGCGGGGCGCCATGATGGGTGATTTGATGTGGATTGGAAATGTGTTGGATTGGGTTCAAAGAGTCTGTAGCTCGGTTGGATGTTTGCTTGTTTTTAACCCTTGATTATGTTAGTGGGTTGTTGAGGAGTCACTTCGAGTCACGGATAAGGCAAACACAGAGCAGACCGCAAATGGAGGGGCAAGGGCTTGGGAAAGTGGGGTGTTGGAACAGGTGCGCGGGAAATGAAAGCGCCAAAGACAGGGAGCTGGACAGAAACAGACGTATAGAATTGAACAGGCTACTTACCGTGATTTGAGTGTCTGAGAGGGCTTGAAGTGGAACAATGACAGAGAGATGCGGACGAGTCACCGGGCTGGAATTAATCAGTTTCGGTGGGGAGGCGAAGCTTCCGCCCGAATATCAGTGATCATTAGGGCTGGGGTACCGCCACCCTACATGTACAGTGCTACATATAGATGCTTGGCTATTCTTTGCAAATTGCATTTTACAAGAAAGAAACTGGTTGAATGAATAAAGTATTATGTGTATTCTTAGAAGAAAAAATGAGACTGGAGAGCAGAAAGTATAACAACTGACGGCCCAATTAGAGCAGCCATAATAATCATACAAAGTCTTCCCCCCCCCCCAAGGCCAGGTTCTTCCCAAGGAGTCATTGATTGATGCTAAGTCCTCTTCTGCTAGGCTAATTCACGTTCGAGGAAATATCTTGAATAAAGCTTGAGCCTACGTAGGAATATCACGAGGGTAGCAAATTCAATTTGTCCTGATATCTAGGATCGGACAATAAGCGGCCTGTAAGAGGATCTTCTACTAGTACGTCTGTGCAATGCCTATAACTGAATAAATAAGCACCTATGGAGAATAGTAGACTTGAGAAGACATCAAATGCAGGCAAGGTGTCTTGTAACTCAGCATTTTTTAGCCTTGGTGCAGAAGCCGCATCCTCGATTGAAAGGTCCATAAAAATCAAGCAACCTCAAAAGAAGAAGACATCCATCATGTATCATGCGAATAAACAACTAGATATCAATAATCTCGACAAAATACAAGAGACTCGGGCTGTAGTCTCAAGCTGTCACACATCTCTATATAAAGTTGAATCTTTCTGCCAACACGTTCTCTATGAATGGAACATCGTCTTCCATCATCATTATCGCGATAATTAGTGCCAGGTGATGATGAGCCGTGGAAGAATCTCAAATAATGATAGACCGAATGACCGGGCCCTCAGATCTCCCATGTACTCCCGTTTCATCATCAACCAAGACGTGCTCTTCATCCAGTCGATTAATTGAGTATGTGCTTCGCTGCTGTGAGTTAAGCTTGAAAACGAGGCCAACACCTATTGTTTGGAAGTTGGCCATTGGCAAAGAAAACCCGTAAACTTTACCCGGTGAAGGGCTGAGTTCCTGGTTCGTGAGATGCAACATTTGAGATCTGATAACGGCTTGAAGCATCAGGTTGGGTGATAGTCTTGGTGGTGAACTCAGAATTTTATCTTAGCACCTATAGGATATTAGTACCACTAGTGGTATCTCTACAGGCTTCGTAGGAAGACAAAGGATCACCTCCTGTGAATACTAGTAGCAAAATTCATTATTAACCTTGGAACATTGAGCCACAGGCTCACTATGTACAGTCTATTTACTCATCCACTCAATCTATATGCAGGGTATCTTTAACTTGAATGACCGACGCTCTTCATTTTACACACGAGCAAGGCCGGTACCAACCTTGACAATCCTCGCCGCGATCAAAGTCAATGTCCCTGCAATGATTGCGCTGCCCATGAACATCTGCGCGTACAGATATCCCCCATCATCGAGCTGCACCAACGCACCCGCAATAGGCGAACCGATCAAAGCAGCCACCGCAACAACACTAAGAACCATCCCCATCCGCACGCCCGTTTTCTTCAAATCCGTTGTAAGCGTACTCAACGTAGCAGGGAAAAGCGACTGGATACCAGCGGCAGACAGACCATAAAACACCGCGAACGCCCACAACCCAGACATATCCTTCACAGCAGCCCAGCAATAAGCCACCAAAGCCGTCGCACCACTAAACGGAATCAACAGATTCAACGGACCTGTAAACTGATCCGCCAAAAAGTTAGGCACAAGTCGGCCCACGATTCCAACCCCATTCATAACCATCAAAAGATCAATCGAAGTAGTCTGATCAACGCCAATAATCTCCCGACTAAAACTGCCAATGTAAAAAAAAGCAACATACAAACCCCAGAAATTCAAAAACATCCCCACAGCAAAGAGCAAATAACTCGGCTCCTTAAAAGCAGCCCACTCAACAACAGGCCCGCTCTTCCGCGGCGGCAACCGCTGCTTAAAAAACAGCAAACAAGGAACCAACGTAACAACCGAAATCAACCCCAACACCCGCATAGTCCACCCATACCCAATCTGCGGCAACAACTTCATAACAACAGCCGGGAAAACCAATCCTCCCGTCGCCGACCCAGAAGCAACAAGCCCCAACGCAATCCCTCTCCTCCGCACAAAATACGTCGAAATAAGCGCAAGCGTAGGACAAAACATAAGCCCACACCCAATCCCCTGCCCCAATCCCTGCGCCAAAAAAAGCTGCCAATACTCCGTACAAAGCGATGTCATGAAGATACAAAAGCATTCCAGCGTCGCGCCAACCGTCAGCGTGAAGCGGAAGTATCCCGCATCCGTCGCGCGGCCGGAGAATGTCCCGATGAAAAAGAGCAGGAAGATCTGGATACTGCCTACCCACGAGATGTCGGAGGGTGAGCGGGATAGCGTCGAGGTGTAGTATGTTTGGAAGACGCCGAAGCTGTTGATATACCCCCACGTGTTGAAGATGATCATGTGGCCCAGTGCGACTTGTAGCCATGCCTGCAGGCCTCCGTCTGGTGGGGGGGCCGATTTCTTTTCCTGACTCGCGGGTTCGGACGGCGGAGAGGGTGCGCGCGACGGCGCTGGTGTTTGTTGGTGTTTGGGTGAGGTCTGAGCCGGTTTGGGCTTCATGTTCGTTTATGGTTGAGTCGTCGTCGTCGTCGGATGAATGTGAGTGTGAATTGGCTTCGAGAGCACCGGGGTCATATTTCTCTGTGTGCAAGTTTGTTTCTTCGACTACACTCGACCTCTTCTCTTGCGAGTCTTTGTGGGGTGTTGATTCGGCCATTGCCAGTATCGGGATTTGCAATTTGCAATTCAGAGAAAGAATTGAGTGGGGGAGGTTCTTTAGAAGGCCGACTCAATTCAAGATATCATGTCTCTCGGTATAGAACCAGTGCCAGCACAAGTAAAAAGAAGATGAAGCGGAGAGCCAGCCAAAACCCCGACTGAAATAGAAATGCCCGACTCCAACTGACTCATGAGCATCGACCCAATTTAATTTCTTCTTAGCCAGAAAAAAAGACGACCATCCAAAGTTGGACGGCCTTTGCGCCGATCGTTTTGCGGCAACCGGTAATTCGCACAGATTGCCGAGTCCAACACGCCCTTCCGAAGCCACATCCGAAAACGGGGTCCACCGGTTTTGCAAAATTGTGAGTCTGTAATGGTGGTGGATGGTGGACAATCGCATTATCATTATCATTGTCGTTTTCATTCTCGGTAGATGTGAATTGTCTCTCCACTTTATACTTGCATCTATCACGCCATCCCCACGGGGGATGGCTACTTACGCCCCCCGTCCCCGCAAAAGAGGAGACCCTCCCTCACATGTCTCGGAGTCTGCGGGATAAATCCATATCCATTGCTATCTAATATCTTTAAAGTTCAAGGCTTATGCATCTATGCCAGGGATTATATCAAAATGAGAGCAAGAAGCCAGAGCAGAGAACAAGACAAACCACGGGACAAATGTCCAAGATACGCCAGCTAACACCCCCGGAAAAAGTAAAGTAGGACATAGCAACCGAAGTTTTAAAGAGCAAGAGAGATAGAAAGAGAGGAGGAAAAATAAAACGTCCACCGGGGCCCATGGGTTCGTATCGTATACTACGTGCGTGGAATCATGTTGGGGGTCTGGCATTGGCGTGGTCCAGATCGAAAGGTCGTCCAAGCCTAGTCCCGCCCAGCAGCCCAGCAGCCCGGCATCCCGGGAGTGAGGGAACACCCATGTCAATACTAGGTGCAATTAAGATCGGCCCGAATGACTGATAACATGTCTCAGTGATCTTGGTTCGAACTGCTATTAAGCAGCTGGATCGTACTAATGACGTCTGCCGGCTCAAGAAGATGCCAGCTAGCGTCCGTTTGTTTCGAGCTGGCGCCCACAGTGACCGAGTAAACATGGTCTTGGGGCAAACCGGATTTCTTGAGCGCGCGGAACATGTCTGTGTACGAGCCATTGTTAGCAAAGCCTACTTTTTGAATGTTCAACGAGAATACTCGGTCCATTCACATACCTTCGTCCGTAAAGTCATCGCCCAGACACAAGACAAATTCGGGTGCCTTTCCGGGTTCCGGCCCATATTCATTCACCAACCGCGTAGCGATAAATCCTTTGTTGACGAATGTTGGTCGGACCTCCAAGTTGGCCTTGCCTGCCATAACTTCCACATCCCATCTTTTGGCGACGGTATCCTCAAGGGCCTTGCGGCACTCGCGGGCCTGGAAGGCTCCATACTCTGGGTCAGCGCGACGATAGTGCCATGTCAATGCCACTCGCTTGCGCTCAATGAAGGCTCCTTGCGTTCGCTCGGTATAGTGCTGGAAAACATCTACCACTTCCTTCTGCCAGCCCATGTTGGTCTGATCTGCCAGGTTCTCCCAGTCGTCTGAGCGAGGTTGGCGGATGAAGCAGCCGTGCTCTGCACTGAGGCCAAGCTCTGGAATGTGTCCCATCCACTCATCCAAGAAGGCTTGGTCTCTGCCGCTGATGATCCAGACTGCATTTCGGGGGTCGGCTGAGAGACTCTTGAGGGTGCGTAATACTCGATCGGACGGAATGGCCGCCTGTGGGTCCTTGACGATCGGAGTCAGGGTACCGTCATAGTCGAACATGAAAAGACGTCTGCGGGCTTTGCGGTACTGCTTGACGACCTTGGCTCGATCAAGCGCGGGCGTGGCGACGGATTGATCGAAGGATAATAGATTGGTTAGTAAGCGATTCAGGAACTGTCGTGACCAGGTGGCAACTGTGTTGGTGATAACATGTTTATAGAGTTTCATATGTTGTTCTTTGCGTTGCTCAGCAGGCATGTGGAGGGCTTTGTCGATGGCTCCGGCGACACCCACCAAGTCCCACGGGTTGATGTTTATGGCACTAGGCAGGGTACCCGCGGTACCAGAGAATTCCGAGAGGATGAGTGGACTGTGGTTTGTCTGCTGGCAAACGATATACTCCAGACTTGTTGTGTTCATGCCATCTCGTACTGTGGTAATGAGACCGACGTCGGCGACACGTAGGAGAGCAAAATATTCAGACTGCGACAGGTATTGCGGGTAGTATTGAACAGGCGAGAAGCTCAATGAACCGAACCGGCCGTTGATCGTAGAAACCAGATTCGAAATCTGACCGGCAATAGTGTTCTCGGGATCCTCCTTTTCTTCCTCCACGCTGGTTGGACTTGTCACCTGGATGAGGACAACTTTGTCACGCCAGTCGGGATACCGCTCTAGGAACACCTCGAATGCTTGTAGTTTCTGTGCCACGCCTCGAACGCTATCCAGTCGGTCACGTCCAACGATGATTTTCTTCCCCGCATATAGCTTGCGAATGCCTGCTACTGCGGTTTCGATATCCGAACCCCCGAACGCAGCCTTCTGGATAGCTCGTGCATCGATTCCGATAGGGAAGACATCCACGGCAACGTGGGCGCCGTATGCATCCACCCCGGCCGAATTAGATTCGAAGCCTAACACCCGCGTGCAACATGAAGAGAAGTGCCGAGAGTACGAGAAGGTCTGGAATCCAATCATGTTGGCGCCAAGGACTCCAGTCAAGACTTCCTTGCGCTTGGCGAGACAGCGTACGAATTCACTGCTGGGGAAGGGCGAGTGCAAGAAAAATCCGATGTAGACGTTGGGAATGCGTTGGCGCAGTAAACTTGGAAGAAGGAACAGGTGGTAGTCATGGATCCATACGACGTCGCCTTCTTGGTATTCTGCCGCGATACGATCTGCGAATAGCTGGTTCAAGCGGGTGTAATCAGCCCACCAGCGCCGCTCCGAGCGCCCGTCTGTCGGCCCATGTTGCTTGTAATGCAGAAGAGGGTATAATTCCCTCTCGGCATATCGGCGCCATCGACCTTGGTCTTTGAGCAAGACGGTGTCTTGCGGCTCCTCTTGGGCGTCTGACAGCCAGACAGGTAAGACTTTGCCGTATCGGCCCGTTTTCAATTGACGATCAAGTGCTTCTCTTTCTTCCCGACCAACGCTGATTCCATCAACGAGGGGGTTTGAGGGTAGTTGCTGACTTGCATTGACGGGAACAGGCGCGGCCGCTTTGTTGATGGGAATATTCGCGTTGTTGGAGCTAGGGGGGCAATTTGCTTGCCGCGTTGGAGGTGATTGGTTGGAGAGGGACCTTGCTTTCCAGGATTGGTTCAACTTCTCCAGTCCATCCCACAAGGGTATGTGACCAATGGGTCTCATCGGATGCCAGATGAGCAAAGGAGTCGAATAAAGCCGAGGTGCCAGACCGGGGTTTCACGATCTGTGAACACAAGATGATTAGTCAGTAGTTGACTCCGATATATACAGAGAAGGAATATTGAAGTAGATACCCAGTCTGAGCCTGCTTTGAAGTAGAGTTTGTAGGGAATACAGAAGGCGGCACTAATCACTCGGCCACTCAGGCGTAGTCCAGGATGTTCCTCACGCGGGTCGATACCTGGCGACATCGGCGAAGCTGGTCCTGTTAAGCTTAAACGACGAAGTAGGTCCTCCCCTGCGGATGTTTTTCTTCGGGATTCAGCCCCCGATGTGGCCAAATCTGATGAGTCCATTGACTCAGTCCTGGTCCCTGGGATGCCGGCGAAGTATGAAGGCGCATCACTATCGACCGGATGTGTTTTATCTGTATCCAAGCTCGGTGTCGCATTGGTAGCTTTGGAATATGCTTCATCACGCAAAGCCTTCATCCCTGGCCCGACAAGTACTGGGTTTGGTTGTCCATCAGGCACATGCGCGGGGCTCGATGATTCAGACATGGTGTGTAGGGTTCGATGAGTGGTAACGGGCAGTGTTTCCCGCGATTGAACTGTACTGTGTGTCAGCAGAGGTGCAATTGTCACATGCAGGGCCTCATTCAACACAAGAAAACGTGAAGTTGGCAGATAAGAGCGCTGTAAAGGGAGTCACGTACCTCGGGGCAGAGCGGCGAGGTCGAGGGGTAGATCGACACGGGTTATCGGAAACTATGGGCGCGCGAGAGCCATGGATGATCGGGAAGACAGCACCAATAGGTTTCAAGAAGGGGTAAAAAAAGAAAATCAACGCAGGTTATTCCTTTGAAGGAGACTGTTGAGGAAGAGGAGGCGTTCGCCGTCGGTGGAGGGGCAAGCGGTGTGTGTGAGATGCAATGGGGGACCGCCGTCCAAAACAGGAACTGACGCTATAGGAATGACGTTGATAGTACGAGGATGTTGCGATATCAACCACCTTCAAAATAAACTGAAAAGGTTAATGTCAAGGGGTTCTCGAGAGTTGATCAAGACCAAAAAAAGATCTCTGGGTCAAAGTCAAAGTCAAAGTTCAGCACCGATATCGCATTCGTGCTAGTTGCCTGTACCCTACTAAGGTAATCATCCCGCATTGGGATCGTCCAGGATTGTTTGCCTCAGGCCAGCTATGGCCTCCGCCCGTGTTCTGCAATTGGTAGAAGTTGAACCTCTTATCTTCACACGACATGCTTCTGAGCTAACCACGCTGCTATGCGGCTGTCCGCCCTTCGATCATCGCGCATTGCTCTCCATAATCCTCGGCTTCGAGCCAGTGTCTCGGCCCACCAAGATTCCGATGTCTTCGCCAATAACCTTCGGAAAACATTAGACGCCCATCGGACCTCAAATCGAAATCGTCTCATCCGCAAAGTATACCCTCGTCCACTTCCTGCGGCTCTTTGGCGACCAGAAATACCTCTCGAGTCCCGGCCAGAATGTCCACCAGCCACACCGCCGGCATCCACACTGAAGGAGACCAAGCCGAAAGAGACCACGAGTAGGCAACGTCGTCGCCTACGCCATGAAGACGCTGCCACTCGATCAACGCAAAGTCGGCCCGCGGACACATTGATTCGGAGCTCTGGCACTTTCCACGATGAGAACGCTGGGAGCTATCCCTGGACAAGCTTCCTGGAACTCTCTGATGGGATTGACGATGCCACTGCCTTCCTCAATGCAGAGATTCTCGCATTGGAGCGCTATCTAACTCCAAGCTCCCCAGAGCAGATCTGGACCGACCAATTGAGTGCACATGTCATCGACTCATTAAATCCGATTGTCCCTCACACACCTCAACTCATTGGCTTTCGTCACATTGGCCTAGCGCTGCCTCACTCAGACCTTAATTTCCTCCTACCATTTGAAGATCCCCTCCGATCCCCAGACCGAGCGCGGAAGCCAAGTGCCACAAGGCCCCAGATCCACGATGCGCATCTGCGTCTCCTCCGCCAAGTCGAATCTACCCTCGAGAACAGTCCGCCGTTTGATCGGATTCAGCTTTCTGGGAAGCGACGCCCTGTTCTCGAGGCTCGTCACCAACCGACGGGATTACTATTACGATTTCACTGTGGCGAAAAAGCCCCGGCTATCATGGATTACCTGGAAAGTTGCCTGGACCAGTATCCTACTCTCCGCCCGTTGTACATGGCAACTCGGGCCTTACTTGAAGCCCGTGGTCTATCTCAATCTTTGCAGTCAGGGATCAGACCAGATGCACTAGCCATGCTCTTGGTCACCTTTTTGAAGTTGAATCATGATCGGTTCTCAGTGCCTTTCAATACCGGAGAGCAGTTTATGAAGTTCTTGAAATTCTATGGCACTGACGTTGACCTTCAATCTATCGGCGTTGCGGTCGATCCTCCAGGATTTTTTGGATCTGAGAAGATACAAGAATTCCGAGAGGGAAACACCAACACTGCATGTCTGCGTGGCCAACGATCTCTCATCAACGCAAAAAGAACCGCAGTCTCTCGAGGCAACATGCCGGCTGGCCAGAGGCTATGCATTCAAGACCCAACACATTATATGAATGATTTGGGTCGCTCCTTTACACGAACTGCTGAGTTGCAGAACGTGTTTTCTACTGCCTATGAACAGCTTTGTGATTATTCCCAGAATTGGAAGAATACGAGCAGGGTTAATTCGATTCTTGCTTCTGCGCTACGGGCAAATTTCGACCAGTTGGAGACGCTGCGAGAGAAGCTTGTGCCTAGTGATTGAGGGTCTGTTACTCGAAGAGATCCAAATGTACATTATTAAGATACCCTACATACATAATATATACCCAACTCTTGTCTTTCCCATCCAGTACCTCGACCCCGTTATTGTTAGATCGAACAGGTGGGTGGCATTAACCTTCTCTCGGTTTTGCCGTGGAAATAGTGCAGGCTATTACTAGGGACGGGCCGTGTCGATAAGGTGGCCACCCTTGACACTTTCCCAGGGACACTCGATGAACGATCGAAAGGTACCAAGGGACGGCAGCTCCTGCTGTGGTTCTCCTTGTTTTCTTTCCGATACATCTATTTTAACCCACTACTTCAACCTCAAATGAGAGCTATCAAGATTTCACATACACCTCTCAGCGCCGTTAATTTGCCAATCATATTGTGGGCAAACGCACAGCTGGGTGGAGACCCAAAACACGCTCGGGCGCTGTCACCATGTCGACCAGGACCCCCGTCACAACACCTCCGATCGTCACAGGCCCCTCGGTGCGCATCCCCTCCTCTCATGAGTCTGGCGCATTCCTTACCCCAGACGAACTCTCGCCCCTGGATGCCGATTTTGGCGCTTCCGACTACTTCATGGCCGAGGACGAGCGGGGGGTTCACCCCCCGAGTACCATCGACGACTCGATAACATCCACCAGCGAAGCGCACAATGCGCGCGATGCCCAAGACGACGCCACGACAACAATGTCTGCGCACACCGCTGAACCAAATCTCGATGACTTAGACTTCACCGCGACGACCTTTCCAGACCCCGATGACACCAGTGTGCTACCCCCCCTTGACCGACCGCGACGACAGCAGTCTATTACACTTGTCCAGCGAAAATGGCGATCACGAACGGGTCAACAACCAAACATTGATGGAGGAGAATGAGATGCGTCGGAAGCTGATGGACATGGAGTCAAGCTTTCTTCCCGAGCCCTCGACAATCGAGGTTGCAACTACTGGGCCAACAGCTGGCGCAGACGATACCTATCTGGTTGGGGTTGGTGGTAGCCGCGATCTCAACACAGACGGGCAAAACGAGTCATCACAATTCTCCTTCATTCCACCATCAGAAAGCTACCAGGATGCAGAGGATCAAACCGGCCCTGTTGAAACTGAAACGACTGAGCGCCAGGATGTAGATAGTGCCTCGGCCTACAATACACAACAAACAGAAAATGAGTCGACGTTTGATTCGCTAGCTTCGTCACCCTCAGCAGCTGCGACCTACCGGAGTACTTTCCACGACCAGAATTTCTCATCCGAACCCGCCCCCCCACGACATTCAGTTTACCCATGACGAACCATCTTTCAGGTCTCAAATTTCCCAAGCGGAGAACGAATCGCAACTCACACCCTCAAAACTCGGGCAAAGCTCTCGCAGTATCTCTCCCGGTCCATCCAGACTATTCAGCGATCAGAGCGGTAGTATCGCTAGTAGGAGGTCAAGTCGACCTAAATACTTGACTAGCCGCCAGTCCGCCAATCGATTATCGCACTCATCGATCGCAAGCAACAACACCGAAACTACACACAGCGATGCGACACTGGGCGCCGATTTTGCCCTCCAATCCGGCGGCGCCACTCCTGAGAACTGGGGCAGTCTCAATGCGGGAAGTCGTGCTCATGTCACACGAACAACTAGTCTCGGCAGTATGGCATCTGGTGTATCAGGCTACAGTGAAGAGAACCCTTTCGACAGACGCAATGTGGCTGGGCCTGCAGATGGTGGTCTGCAGACTTTGGAGGAGGAAGGCTCACCGCGATCCTCAAGACAGACTGGCTTCGACGAAGGAGGTCCTGTAACTCCCAAGGCTAAAACCCAGAGCAGTTTCCCCAGCGATACCGTGATTGCGGAGCGTATCAAAGGCATCCAGGTGCCTAGTACTTTTGTCCAAAAGTTTCGCGAAGACTATGGCAACACGGGTCCCTCGCCTGAAAAACGAGCGGGGGCTGCAACTCCTGCATTCGGAAGAAGCGGCCGTAACATGACCCTGAAGGAGCAAAGCAGCACCATTGACCGTCTTTCGAAGGAGAACTTTGATCTGAAAATGCGAATCCATTTCCTCAATGAAGCGCTCAACAAGCGGTCCGAGGAGGGTATCAAGGAAATGATCTCTGAAAATGTTGAACTCAAGTCCGACAAGCTGAAACTTCAGAAAGATAACCAAGGTCTGCGGCGTAAAATCCGTGACTTAGAAAAACAGATGAAGGATCAACAATCTGATAAGGACTCCATGGTCAACCATGACCCTGAGGCTTCAGAGGATGACCGCGACTCGGCTCAAGATGGAGAGATTGTCTTCTTACGCGAGCGAGTTGAAACCTACGAAATTGAGATCGAACGCTTGAGAACAGAGAGCTTAGCCAGAGAATCTGAAAAGCGACGCCTTGCAGAAATGGTCAAGTCCCTGAATGAGAACCGAACAGGAGGCTCTGATGATGCAGATGCAAGGGAAGAAAGGGTAAGCTTTCACGGCCTATGTATCTGGTGGCAAGCTAACATACCATACAATAGGACATGTGGAAAGACATGTTGGATGCAGAGACTGCGGCTCGTGAGCAAGCTGAAGAGGAGAATCGTAATCTCCGAGACGAATCCATTCGTCTTCGCAGTGAGATCTATTCAGCTACAGGCGTTCCAAAGTCAGGACAATACGAACGAGGCGAATCATCCGTTTCACGACAATCTAGCAGAGAAGGCAACCGCGGTGCATTGATAAGTACCTCTAGCAGTGCCTTGATGGTCGAGCTTGAACTTCTCAAGCAGGAAAATGCCGAGCTCAGGAAAGAGGTGAGCGCCCAAACCTCGATGCTCACATCTCGGAACCGCGAGAAGGAACGCCTCTACCAGGAAATCGAGGAGTTGAAACTTGGTCAGCGACGAGACGGTGGTCGGTCTGTGGCCGGTGACAGCATATTTGACCGTTCCGCCTCTCGTGCCTATGGACGACCAATGTCGGAGCCCAGTGATGCGACTGGTGTGTCCCGCGAAGACATGGATCGCGAGGAGCTTGAGGCTCGAAATGGACAGCTACGTGACCAATTGTCGACTCTCAAGCTTGATAACCAGGCTATTCGAGCTCAATTAGATGAGGTCGTTGGGGAACTCGAGGCTCTTGACAAGGCATATCAGGCCGATGTCGATCAGGCCGAGGAGGAAATCCAAAATATCCAACAGGAGCGTGATCAAGCAATTCAGATGGCAGATGAACGCGATGCTGCCTTCCAAGATCTTCGTGCCGAAGCCCAAGAGGAACTGGATACTCTTGGAGAGGAGCTGGATCAAAAGATTGTCGAGTGTCAACGTCTGAACGAAGACCTTCGAAACCAAGATGAGAACCTTAAGGTCTTACAGGCAGAGATGCGCTCGGCCAGTGAGGGTATCATTCGACTTGAGGAAGATGCCCAGAACAACCTACAACGGTACAAGGCTGTTCAGCAGGAGTTGGAGGAAACCAACAGCGAGTTCGAGTCTCTCGAGAAGGGCTTGTTCGAGGCTAATACCAAGGTGCAACGCTTGACTGTGCAAATTGAATCCAGCCAGAACGAGATTGCGTTCCTCCGGGGAGGAGCAAGAGAGCGATAAGATTCGCATTGGAGATTTGGAATCTGAGTTGAAGACCTACCACATAAGCTTGCATAGCGAGAAGGAGAAAACCAGGGAGCTCGAGCAACGTCTGGCAGATGAAAGACACCAACGCGAGGTCGTTGGCAGCAAGGAGAAACAAGAGGTTCAGCGCATCATGAATGAATTGAATCGGGAAGCGTCATCAGCCAAAGAAGAGGCACGACGTTTGAAGAAGAGTCTTTCAACACAAGAAATTGAAGCTAACACTTGGCGAGAACGATTGACGGACCTTGAGAATAACCTTCGTGAAACCCTGGGAGATCTCAGTGGCAGTCGAACAAGCCTGATTTCAAACATCATGAAGCTTCAAAAGGAACTTGAATCCACCGCTCTCGAGTTGGAGAGCGTACGACAACAATTGGACGAGAAAGAGACGGTTCTTCGTAACCGAGATGCTCTTTTAGAAAGCCATGGACTTGAGTCCCGCAAACTCTCTGAACTACTGGAACGTGAACGACAAGCTCGCAGGGCTGACAAGCAATCCTTTGAACAATCCCTCAAGTCTCATCAGCAAGCATCACGGACTATCACCCAGAGCAACTCTCGCATCACGGACCTGGAAATCGCTAGGAATCAAGATCGCAAGCGTTTCACCTCTCTCGAACAGCAATTCCGGGACCAGCTCAGTGAGCGCAACACATTGTTCCTTACTGTCTGGAAGAGACTTTCCGCGCTCTGTGGTCCCGATTGGGCTCATTCAAATAGTCTGATCAATGGCAACTTGCCAAGTCAAGAAGTCATCGGCAATATCCTCTTTTGGCCTGGTTTCAATCGGAATCTGATGCTTGCTATCAAGACTGTCGAAGGGGTGATTTCAGGTTTCAAGAGTCGCGCCAGAAGTATCGAGCACGACTTGACCAAGCAGTACCACAACCTTGAAAGCGCTTTTGCCCAGCGAGTCCGCAGACTGGAACGGGTCGAGGAAGCTGTCAAGAATCTGCGCAATGGACGTGGTCATTCAAGTTCGTCCCCGGAGATAAGCAAATTGCGTGGGGAAAACCGGCTTTTGAAAGCAGAGATCAATCTGCTTCAATCTAATTCTCGCGTCCATGGATCTTCAACTACTGCTGTACTCGCCTCCGGGTCTCGATCTCCATCGATTGGTTCTCCCGCAGACCTTGAGCGTTCGTTGACGCGCCAGAACTCCACCTCAGGAGCCAGCGAGAAGCCGCGCCCTGATAGAAGCATCGCGCGCCACTCCACAGGCCTGCCGCAGCCCTCCCACTCCTCGTCAACTAGCACATTGACCAACAATGCTGGCGCGATGACCCACCGTACACGCGGTAGCGGTGGGACGGGAAATTGGGAAGGGGATAACGAGAAATGGATTCACCGTCTGCATGAACTCGAGAAGCGACTGAAAGCTGAGCGTGAAGGCCGTCTTCTCGACCGCAGTGGAGCACGTAAGCGATTGGAAGAACGCGATGCTGACATCAAGAATCTCCAAGATCAATTGCGACGAGAGCGCACCAGACTTCTTGGCTCCCAAAAGACCATCACAGAGAATGGACGCAATCGCCCACAGACCTCCGATGAAGCCCCGAGCTCGAGTGAAGGGGAGGGGTTTACGGTAGATATCGAAGTCTGAACTATGTTTTGAACTGATGGGTGATGCGATGTAGTAATGTCTTTGTGTACTATATACCCTTGTTCGACCTTGTTTTATCGTTTTTGTGTTGCATCTTGCCTGCACCTGTCTTGCGATGTTCGGGATTACGATGATCATGAGAGGCGTTGGACTGGACTGGACTGGACTGGATCCGATCAACTTTTTTCTTACCTTCTTCTCTTGTATCTCTATTCAAATACATTTTATTGCATGGATACACGTTCACTATTCGTCTAAATGTACAAACCCCAAAACACTACCGCAGCGAGACCTTGAGCGAGAAATCCACAATCCCAGTCCCCTGGTGAATCGAGCTGGTGGACAAGATATCCACATCCGGGGACGTATGAGCCGCAGCATTCTCCTCCGTCAACCCACCACTAACCTCAATCAAAAAGGCCCGGCCCTTCCCAGCCCACTCATTCTTCAGCACCCTCGCCGCCTCCCTCACCCCCTCAGGCGTAAAATTATCCAACATAATAACATCAGCCCCAGCCCCAATAGCCGCATTCGCCTCCTCAACACTCCGACACTCAACCTCAACCTTAGTCGCGAACCCCCCCCGCACTCTTCGCAGCAAGCACGGCCCTCGGAATCGCCGCAGCAATGGACTCAATCGAGTTCGGATCCAACGTCTCACCCTCACGCCCCCCATCCGCCGCAGCGCGGTTATTCGCACAAGCCCACACATGGTTGTCCTTCAGCATGGTCATGTGGCTCAGATCATGACGGTGCGGATCCGCTCCACCGACAAGAATACCGTACTTTTCCACGACGCGGAAACCCGGTGTTGTCTTGCGCGTACCGGCTAGTGTACCTTTCCAGCCTTCGGCGCGGAGCGCGGAAAGCATGGACGCGCTCTTGGATGCGATGCCCGAGCAGCGGGCGAGGATGTTTAGGGCTACGCGTTCGCCGAGGAGGATTTTGCGGACGGGGCCGCGGACTGTTGCGCAGTGGTGGTGTGGTGTTAGATTTAGGGCTTCGCCTTCTTTGATATGCCATTCGATTCTGCGTTGGTTAGTTGGGTGCGTGGATTTGCGAGGGTGAGTATAGCGGAAATGTAATGTGACGTACTCGCAACCCAGCTGGGAGAAAACTTCGTCGACGAAGGGGATGCCGGCGATTATGCCCTGCTCGTGTCAGATGAGATTGACCGGGGCAATTGATTGATTTTCACTGCGGTTGCGGTGCTTACCTTGCTCTTTCCTAGTAATCGGGCCTCGCCCTCCGACTCGCCGACGACGAAACCGCCATAGTCTAGGCTCGGGCAGTCCTCCTCTAGCCAGTCGGTGATTTGGCGCTTGTAGTTGCCCGGCAGTAGGTGCCTGATATCTCCGTATGTAGCTGCCATTGTGGTGAGTGTGAGTGTTGCGTGAAGTTGACTTGAAGGTGGGGGAGATCGGCGATGACTGCACTTTTGAATCTCCCCGCGCGGGGTCGGGGAGAATCGGAGATGGGTCACGTGGGTAGTATATGGAATTAGGGGTTGAGGTGGGTGATGTGAGTGTATTGCTTGGTATAGTTCTTCTTGAACTATTTTTATTCTTGTTCATATTTGATTTAGTAGGGGTTTATGTGAAAATGGTTGTGCTCGGGCATTTGCAGGTACATTTTGCGATATCTAGTGCAACTCGGCAGATAGGATGGAAGCGCAAGATATGGGATAGTTCTATGCGCTCAAGTAAAGCTATAGGATTCGTAGTTCCGGCCTAGAACCCTTGATATAATTGTGACTACCTAATAGGAAAACTCTTTGTCTACATTTCCAGGGCCATGTCCTGACCGTTGACCCTGACATTGACGAAAGTACAGAAAGAACAGCCAATGAGGACTCCCAGGGCGGAGCCATTCAATATTCGGGACAGATACGCATTCACAGTAGCCTGGTATGGAGATAGCTCTATCCTATACCAATTCTGCGGTCGTGAGACTTGGGAATCTCTGGCCGCAGAAGTGGGAACATCCGAGAAGATGTATGTAAGTGCGGGCGAAGCTTCTTGTAAGTTTACTTAGATCTCACTGGGTACAATGGGTCTAGCGGACCCTATGCAGATCGGGGTTTAAGCTTGACCTGTCATACCAAGAGTACGTAGGTAGTAGGTGACCTTTCATTTTATCATTTTTGCGAGACCTACCTAGGTATTTCTCTTCAAGTTCTTCAGCATGACCAGATCTTTACCCAGTGGATATGTATTAGGTAGACTTTAAGATATGGTACTGGTATTGTAGTAACCGTCTTCAATATCAAAGCTCATCCTTAGACTTCCTGTCACGCCCATTAGATGATCCTAACTGATAACCCGAGGTATCCCGTTTCCCATCCGCGTGTTGGTAAAAATCCCCGCCAATCCATGCCCCATTCATTGTATCTCCAGCATCAGAGCTTTCCTCCTGCACATCCTTCCTAACCTGTTTCCTTGCAACAGCCTTAAAAAACAAATTGCTTCCAATCTCCGTACTTCCCAAGAGCTGAGCAGTGAAGATAACATCCTCACCCTTATTTCTCAAATACACCTCAGGGTCTGTAGGGAATTGACCTAATTGAACAGCAATTAGCACCAGAAAATTCCCATCCAAAGAAAAGAAACCAATTAAATCACAAACCTTTACACTCCCCCCCCCCTCCCCAGCAAACAACCCCGCCATCTCCAAAATAACCCCCGGCGCAAAGAACACCACCCCATCAACCACGCAAAATGATTTCTGGCCCGGATGCCCCTCAATCCACCCCCGAACCGTGACGGGCAACTGATTCAAATCCGCCCGCACAATTCGAAATCCATCCGGGTGCTTAGGAACATTATAATCACCCGGATATGGCTGGCCCGAAAACAGAACCTCAATCTCGGCCGCTGCCCATGCAATCTGCGGGTGGAGATTACTCGGGTCTAGAGGGTATATCTCAGCGCTGATATCTGCGGACGTTTCGCAGACGACGTCGTAGGGTGATTTTTTCACGGGTTGATCGCGCAGGTCGCGCAGCTTTTTGGCGAGATCTGTTGCGGTGGGGTCGTTGGCTTTTTTGGCGGAGGCGATTGATCGGATTAGATCGAGGGTTTGATGGCCGCTGCCGTAGTTTATGGTGAATTGTTGGTCTGCGTTTGCTAAGGTGGATGAGGGGAGCAAGGCTACGGCGAGGAGGTGGTGGATTCTCATTTTGATGCCTATTTTCTTTTTGCTGTTCTTTTTTTCGGGCTGGTTTTTAGGCTGGGTCTTGGGAGGGGGCGAGTTGATCAAATATGCGTTCTGGTTGAATCTCGCTAGTCTTGTTCGAGATTAGGTTACCATGAGGCTGATACTTGGCAGCCTTGCGGCTCTCCACATATCATATGTGGATCATTTGGCCCCGGGAATGATTACGTGTGTAAGAAAGCCATCATTATAGTATCAAGTAGTAGAGATGCAAGGAAACATACTTGGATGAGAAGCTATCGATGTAGGTAGTATAAGATCAAGTGGCAGGGCCAAAAAACATGATGGGGAGAACAAAGCGAACTAGCTCGCGCCACCCTGATTCCATGCGATAGCTGGCAAATCCGTGGGCGATTCCAAGGCCCTAGTATACCCTATTCTTCACAAAGAGATGATCGTTGATAGTATCCGCTATTCCCCCGTCAAGCATATTCCATATCCTCGATCCGACTAAACGGTCGTTTCATATGATTCCTTCTCGGCCTTGTGTTTCATCCACCGACGATAGACTAATAGCGAGATAACACCGCACACGACAATGAATACGATGACAAATACCAGCACAACACCGCGATTTTTATCTGCCCAGTTCCCTCGTTTCACAAGAGGCTGAAGCTGAAGACTGAAGGAGCCTTCGTGCTCGATTGTGTTGACAGCTGGCATTTTGGCGATGTGGTAGCTTTGATGGGAGTTGTTGTTTGGCTGCGATATTATGTGTTAGAGAATTGTTTTGCTGGAAGGTTTATGTTTACTGACGTATTCCAGCAAGACCCTTCAACGCAGGAGAAGTAACAATGAGCTGAAAGGGCGGTTACGCGACACAATGTGGTGGGTTCCCAGATCTATGTAGGTTGGCAGTTTCAAGATATCAAGAATAGGAAAAAGTCGTAGGTTGAACAAAAGCACACAAGGAGCTCCAGGGCTGTTGTTGACTTTGATGTTGATGTTGTTCAAGATGGGGAGTTGCCGAGAATGGTGAGGTAGATATGATGGTAGGGAAGAACGGTACGATGGTGAGGGGGTAATCGGTGACGCTTCTGGTACCTTGCGAAGGAATGGGTACCGCAAGTATTGGTGGTGAATTTGATGGCACCAAGTGACCTAATAGAGGTGTCACTGGTGCTAGAGTCACTTTAGTCGGTGCTGCTAGAAAATATGGTGATCACAACAGTATTCTTCTTACCACGGCATTCCATAACAAATATGCATTTATCGTGCGTTTTTGTACATATGATATTTAATTCAAGTCCAATACCTACTAATGAGATCTATATGGTACTAGTTCCTGGCTCTAGTATTTATAGGTAGTGTTTATTATGAATACTGCATTCATGTCAGTAGAGTCAACCAAGATATTGCAATGCAAAGCAAAGCAATCCAGGGCAGAGAAAAAGTCCACAGAGCTTCAAACCAAAGAGAGAATATCCATAGAGCAGAAATACGTGTCACAAAGCAAAATCGAGATGTTTGCAAAGGAAAGAAACACTGGTATGCTGCAAAGCGGCAGAGCCAAGATCTCCCCACAACTTGACTCTTGGATATGTATATCCAAAGCGAAAATGTAAGATAGCTACAGTATTAAATACTACTCAGTAAACGCTCATGCACCTTAGAATACTATACTAATCAATACTATTATTATTAAGTAGTATTAGTACTGCTATTAAACACAAGTGAGTTGAGGCTTGTTATGCCTAGCAGATACGTTGGCCGAACTCAGATCTCGAGCTGTATATCTGCCAATGCAATGATCTGGCTAACCTGCGAGTCCTTTAACGTGCATCCTGAATTGCCTTTACAACTAGTCAAAATCAATATACGATTTTTGCTTATGCAATTTTCTTTGTCCTACTCCATCCCCGCCTTAGGTCAACTCAAAAGATCAACAGAACCATAACCGTATCCTAGGATTTCAAAGTTATGGGTCCCGCATTCTAGAGCCCATAGCTTAAATCCATATTTCCACCGGAACATCACATTTCTCCAGGACGGCTTTATACGTACAGAACTCCGTATACCCGAGTTCCGTCAGCGCCTCTACTCGGAATGTCAAAACCCCGTAGCCGCCAGCGGCCCAGACTCCACAGTATCCAAACATCTAACCAAAAGCAGGCTCCAACGCTATTCAATAGACCCTGTCCAAGGATACAGCTAGCAGTTTCAAACAGTAAAAGCCTCAACGGATGCGTGGCATTCTCCGCATTCAGCCTATGGACATGAAACAATAGCAAGGCTATAGCGCGAGTCCGAGCGCCGACACTATTCACCTAAAGTAAAATAGTAGTAAACCAAGTCCGGGCCGATCGGTCGATCCCAGCATAAAATAATACACTATTCACGCCAAGCATCCCAAACAGACCTGCCAAACTAAATAGCGCACACGAAAAGAAGGTTCAGGACTATGGAAGTAGTAGACATTTTCAGCCCCAGCCACACAAGCACGCACACGATCACCACTCGGACGCGGGTGAATGCCTCCGATCCCGTCGGGCCCGTTTTATCCATCCCTTCCCCCCCCCCGCGCCGTTCTATGTATCGTTCTATCCCACGTTCTAGAAAACCATCCGAAACCCACAATCTACCACGTCAGGAAAGGGGCAATCCAGACCCGCGTGGGCGGGACAACCCAACCTCCGGAAAACGGCAGATGGTAGGAGACGGCAAACGGCAAACGGCACAGACCCGATCTGATACCCCGTCCGTACGGTACCAGTGGTAACTATGTACAGTTTGTAATAATGCATGGAGCATTGTGGATTGGATTGTTTCGGCCTAGCCTATTTCCCTTTGAGCTGAGGATTCTATATTCCGCCCTATAGTACCACTGGCACTCCACCAGGACGTAGGAGGGAGCAGAGCAAGTTTGCATAAAAGTGGAGCCCATTTCCAACACTGAACAAACTTCCCTTAAACAGAAGCCACCCACGCAGTAAATCAGGTTCTGCTCTACATCCGTTCATCCCCTTTCTTAACTTAAAGTAGCCTGTGGGCCAGGGCCCTTACCAGAAACGTCCATCAAGCACACTAGAGTTTAAGCAACGAGAATAGATCGGGTCCCGTTCCATCCAGGTAGGGTAGTCGTTCCGCCCAAATGATGTCGAAGGCGTATCGTTAGCGTGGAATGTACCCTAAGACAAACTATGTACGGAGTATTGCATCCGCGTTCGCAAAGTACAAGACTATGAAGTACAAGACTATGCTACATCCGTCCACACAATGCAGCCATCGTATGATCCCATGCCCACGTCCGAACGAGCGTGAAGCGAAGCGAAGTAGCACGAGAATGGATGGGCCCAGGAATGGCGCAAAAGCGATCCCGATCCCGGAAAAAACAAGAAACAGTTCTGAACCCTCAGGCTTTGTCAGCGGTCGAAACTGCAGTATGCGTGGTGTACCAGATCGGCCGCAAGTGGAGCGGACCCTCCGAATCGCCAAGTCGGTCTGGGAATGGCTCGCTGAAATGCTGCCGAGATGCCGCGGATCGGGTACTTAGCTGTCACGGAGATAACAGAATGGGGACTTTTCGGCTCCCGATACTCGGCCAGCGTTTTTTATCCATGGAACCGTGCCTCGGCTTCTTTAAGCTCACATACTACTAGTAATCAGTTGAAACTCGCCGGTGGCAACACTGTACATTGTATACTATGCATACACCATCCCTACACACTAAGACGGAACCCCAAAGATAATTCATAAAACAAAGTTCAAGTTCAAGTTCAAGTTGAAGTTTTCTACTGAGAAAGCCTAGATCCCACAAAAGCAAGACCTACCCTCAAACAACTCGTCACAATCGTCACAAATTCTAGATCCGATCCAAACTCGGTCAATTCTCGGCCTAACCATCGGTACATTCAAGTTGTTATGTAGTATATCCACTCCACTCAATGCAAGACCCTACCCAGCTTCAAGCTCAACCAAGCGTAGCTTACCATATCCCTAATCCTTCCACGCCTTATAAACATTCGTACAACCAAACACCTCCCCCCTCTTAAGCAGCACCATCCCCCTCCACTCCGGCTCATTAACAGCATTAACAAACCGACTCGGCTCAACGCAAAACCCCGCCCCCTCCGTATGCGCCGCCCGCCCATCAATAGAAGGAACATCAATATACTTCCCCGTATAAAACTGGAACGCCGGCTCCGTACTGTGAACTTCCAGATGCAGCCCCGTGTCAGCATTACTAAACTGCGCCAGGCGCCGCAGCGGCAAACCGCGCGTGTCGAGTGGGATTTTAGCCGGGTCGGTCTCCATAACGAATACGTCGTCGATATGAGCGCCCTTCGAAGCAAGCGTAAACGGCTTCGTCACGTCGCGTGGGAAGGTGGCGATGTTGCCTTCTGGAATTCCTGTTGCGTCTAGGGGAAGGTAATCGCCCGTAGCGAGTTGGGCGATTGTGCCGTCGATGGTAGGGCCTGCGCCGATGTTGAAGTAACTGCTCCCCCGTCAGTATGTGTATGTGTTATCCCTTGGCCTGGCCTGGCTGGGGCTGGGGCTGGGCCGGGCCGGGGGTGGCCGCGACATACCTGTGGTTCGTGATATTAACAACCGTCTCCTCACACTCATCACCAACAAACTCAACCTCATACTCCGCCGTCAAAACGGTCTTCGCCTCGCCCTCCTTACTAGCCGTATACCAAACGCGCACCTCAACGGTACCAGGATACCCCTCCTCGCCATCAACACAGCGGTACTTGAACAAGAGGGCATCGCGGCCATGACGCTGGACAGTATGCGGGCCGTCAAAGACACGCTTCCCCCAGCCCGTGGGCCCGCCGTGCAGGGCATTGGGCCCATTGTTCTGATTGAGCTGGTACTCGCGGCCATTTAGGACGTCGATGTGGCCGTTTTTAATGCGGTTGGCGACGCGCCCGATTGTGGCGCCGTAGTGCGGGGTGTTGTGCTTGACGTAGTGGTCTTGTGTTGGGAAGCCGAGGACGATGTTCTGCCCGCCGACGCGGAATTCTTGGATTATTGCGCCTAGGGGCAGGAAGGTGAATTCGGCTTGTTCGGGGGCGGACATTGTGCTGGAGTTCCTGGGTGTGGTTGTAATTGTGGTTGTTGTGAAAGAAGTGGTTGTTGGTGTTGGTGGGATGGGGAGTTTACCTTAAGGGCCGCGGGGGCTGTCATGACGTTGGGACCCCGCAATGGGACGGAATCGCCCACCGTGGATAAATTGAGGCTGGGAGGGGATGGGGGCTTGTTTAGGCTAAACTTGAACAAGGTGCCTGCTGGTGCTGGGTGCCACAGGGATTTTCCTCTAATTGGATTGGATTGGATTTGGTTCTTAGGGTTTGATCTCCCCGTGATGCTGAGCTGGACCTGGCCCTGATCCACGCGCCTGAGGCCATCCAGCCCAGCCTCAAACAAAGCTAACCATCTCAGATTCCCCAGGCATCAACGCACAGCTGCATAAGTGGAGCGGAGCCAGGGACAGCCGATGCAACTTCCATGGGGGCATGGACATGGCGTAGCATACAATCGGTCGGCGATCAGCTGGGAGCCATTGATGTGCATGGCCGCACCTTTACCCCCAGCGAGGCTAGGGCAGTCCTTCAGTATAAGTTTAATTACAGTCGGAGCGGAGTATTAACGACCAAAACACCGCATGTGCATACTCCGCACTCTTCAATACCCATACAAAAAAAAAGACATGTGTCCCCCCGGGGTTAGAGCAGGGCGACATCCGTCTCGGAGAGAACGGGCTTCCGGTGACCGAAGGAATCTCCTACCCCGGACTTGGCCCCTCCATCGTTGCCGTGCATTGTACATACATAGTGCCAGTGCTAGTACTAACGGTGAATGAATCAGCGGCGGGGCTGTGCCTGTGCCTGTGCCCCTGGGGCGCCTAGAGCAATGCCTCATTGCCAATACTTCTAGAAGAAGGCATCAAGATTAACACCTTGGAAAGTAAGAACCCACCATTCTGGTTCCTAGTATTTTTACTCATATGTATTGCGACGTAACAAGTACCCCAAAGGGAAAGAGAAAGACCGGAGGAACGTGTTCATGTCAGAGTCAGAGCAGAGTCAGATTCAGAAAAGGCTCACCGTAGAGCTCTACTCTAGCTCTAGTCTAGTCTATCTTGCTACATAAGCCCAGCTAAACTATGTATCATTCAATGCAAGTTTAGTAATGTATGCGGAAAATCGAATCCCGGCTTGAATTAAAGACCTGCTCTGCTCCGCGGAGCATTGGGCCCGATTCGGTATGTCGGCTGTTCGGCGACTTTTGATTATTTTTTTTCACTTTTTTACTTTTTTTTTTTCCTTGTTCCGTTTTTTTAGTCCGCGTCCGCGGCCTCGCTCACGTAAGTCTAGCGCAGGAAAAGGAGGGTGTGGAGCTTCGTGCTGGTGGTGGGTTCCTAATGGCTCCACTGGTAGATTCCGCTGACTTAAGGTGGACTCGATTGAATGGGCGAAGGAACAGGTCTGTTCTGTACTCCGTACGAGAGGGAGAGAAAAGGGTAAGATGCGAAAAGGGTAAATTGGTGCGGGCGGACTATCGTCCCGATGCACGCCATAAGAGTGGGATAGGATAGATCTGGGACTGGATAGGATAGGATAGGATAGGATACTGTGTATGTACGAGTAAGCCAAAGCAAAGTCAAATGCACCCAAGAAAATCAGTTCGTATAATCAATCGGTGGAAGTTTAATCATAAAGATACAGTCCTAACGATGCAGCTCGGCTTGAACGATCGCTATCTCCGCGCTGACAGAACATGAATCATTCTGGAAGCTGCATTTGTCAGTTCCAAAGTGGAGCCCCTTTCTAAATTGCGGCACCGAACTCCGGTCAGGACTCTGTACAACGTTGCCAGCCCTGCAGAGATGGAGTTGGATTCAAATCATGATCAAGGTGTAACAGGGGGCAGGGCAAGAGGATTTCAATATTCCAAGTGAGAAGCAATAAAAGTTGTATTGGAAGTCAAAATTAGAGGAAGAAGGGGAAACGCCACACACGAAACCGTTTTGAAACTCCAGTAAAAAAAAAGGAAAAACCCCCCCACCCTACCCCCAAAATGTAGAAAACAAGCCCCCCAGAGAAACTGTACAGGGATGATGAGGAATTCCAATCGCTCTCGAATCGGATTTCGAGAATAAAGGGGACCCGGGGGATAATAGCCCCATATCGCAAAAAGAGAAGAGAAGAGAAGATTGAAACAGGTAGAAAAGAAAGGGTAAAATGAAAACACAAAACACCACACCAGAAGAAAAAGAACATGTATAGTGTACATGCATCACGTCATACGGCGTTAAGATTGATTTTCCAAAGAAAGGAAGAGCAGCAGCAGCAGCTAGGCAAGCTCAGATCGAAGTGATCTCCGTCGGATTGGGATTAAGAAACTGATTGAAATCATCATAATCCCCGCCAACGCAGTTCATCGGCATTTGATTAAACATCGGCGACTGCATGCTCTGCTCCTCAAACTTCATATTTGAATAATCGGCCGTACTCATGAGATCCATCTCATCAAAGGGATTGAATCCACTATTATTGTTCCATTGCGGGGGGCCTTGCAAGGCCAGCGGATTGACAACGCCCTGCATTGACAGCGCATATTGTTGATTCTGCGCCTGCACGGGTGTCTGGGCCTGGGCGTTGATGGGGAGAGGTTCGGGCTTGACGTGCGCACGGGTCGAGGGGCTATAAGCCGGCGGCGTTGGTGGCATAGTCTGTTGCGATTGCGATTGCGAAAAGGCATCGGATGAGAAGCGGGAGCGAGCGATGGGCGAATGAGCCTCTGATGAGCCGTCGGACGATTCCTGGCGCTGCATCCCGTTGCGCCAGAGATCTTGCTGCATGGCGTCGGGGTTTTCTTCGAAATGTTCGCCCTTTGTGTGGTCCAGGGCGCCAAGGCGTGTCAGCAGGTCGTGGGTAAGCGGGTGGCCGTTTGGTTCGGTCTTGAGGGCATCGCCGGGCCAGCCTTCGCCGTCGAGGGTGCGGCGGTAGAGTTCTTGGAGGCCGTTGACTAGCCATGCTTGTTGTTGTTCGAGCATCTCGACGTATCTGGGAGAAGTGAGAGGTTAGCTTTATATAAATCGCGGAAATGACGTTCAGATGGGGATTTGCGCTGCTTACCCCTTGGGATACACTTTATCGTGGGCTTTCTTTCGCTCGCCGAATACGCAAACTGCATTGTCTGCTCGACAGCGTGAACATGGGCTTGATCCATCACACTTTTTTTTTTTTGCTGGTCAGTCTTTGATTTTATGATGACTGGCCTGGATCATGTCCATGTCCATGTTCATTTAGAACATACCTTGGATTTCTTCAGACGACACCGATCGCATGCTTTACAGACACGTTTGCGCACGTTGTCGGAATGCGAGTCTGGCGTTGATTGGCGAGCTGCCATAATGTGTATATGTGTATATCGAGGTGATGGGGGAGAAGAATCGGCGAGAATAGAAAGGCAAAAGGAGTAAAAGAAGGATTTGTGTGTCCCTCTTCTTTTTTTCCTTCTCTTTTTTTGGTTTGGTTTTTCTTTGTGACTCCCGAGCTATACTTCCTGATCCGGGCAGTAGCAAATGATCGACGTCAACCAGTCGATGATCTAATGACGATGTCGTATTGTAACCATCAAATCAGATGGATGGGAATTGACTTTGAAGAAAGATGTGGTAGGGAGTTTCAGGATTTCCGAGCTTTAAGATTTGAAGGTTGCAGGTTGGTCATATACTAGTCATGTTTCCAGGAGGGGAGAAGTTTGGAAGAAGGGGGGGAGAGGGTCCCTTTTTAGCTGGGCCTTGTATTCGAGGGATTTAAGAGCAATATCGTACATACAAGTTACAGAAACCTAGCACCCTCTCGATTGGGGATCAAATCATAGTCCAAGTCTATGCAGGATCCACCTGCTTGGTGATCACAGGGCCGGGAGGGGGGTGATTATTTTTTTCTTTTTTCTTTTTTTTTCTTTTACTTTACTTTGCATTGAATTTTTTACTTGTGTTTTATTGGTAACGGTATTTTATTCTTTCTGATTACTCTATCGAGGTGGGGATCAAATCAGGCTGGAAGACTCGGCATTAGAGCGCAAAGTTCACGGAGGACGGAGCTTCCACTCGGCGCTCGGAGACTTTGTCTGACGTATATCCGAATGGACTGCACTTCCGGCCACTCACATTGGTACGAGTACTTACAGTAGTAATGGACGGAGTACCTACCTCTCTTTTCACCCCTTTCCAATAGTGTACCGGTAGATCATGATTTTATTATATCATTATGATTTGAATAGTTCAATGTTCACTGAAATGAGCCTGGAACTGCTGTTTCAGGCCTTGGCGTGCATAAAGAAAAGTAATGCGTATAAGCGGGAGTGTACAACTTCTCGGCAACGTCCTGCCGATGCGACAACACACACTTGATTTATTTTATGAAGACCTCCTCTCAATTAGCATAACTATTAACTATAGCAGTTCTTTTTTTTCCCTTTGACTCCTGTAATCCTGTATCTAAAAGATCGACAGCACCGACACAGCGTGTCAACTGCACAGTGTCAACTGCGTGTACAATCGTGATTCATCACCGCCCGCCCTCCAATAAAATGACGGGCCACAAGGCGGGCGCAACCCCAAGTCCATGACGTGACCATTTTCTTGTTTTTCCACGTCGAGGCTGGTCTATGTAAGTATATCACGGCAGCCAGCTCGGGGCTATTACATGAGCATATGAATTCATGAACAGCACGAACCTATGAAACTACACTATGAACCCCATGAGCATGAGGCTGTGGCGCTAGATCCACGACAAGCTTTCGATCGCGCCGTATAACAGAAACAGAAGTCAGCCCGCACACTCGTTAACGTGATGATTACTCTATACAAATTACTCTGTACCTAGGAATAGAGTACTTACTCTTACTCTTACAGAAGACTCTGCACCGCCCAGCATCAGCCCCTCCTTCCCCCTCACCCTTGGCCTTATTATAGCTCACAAGCTCGTGGCACCCCTTATCGGTGCAATGCGAGTACGAAGCCGAGTCCCATACGTGCGTATCCCAAGCCCCAGCCGCACATCGTATTCGTGTTGTTTCCAGGCACCTGCCATAAGGTAATAATAATCCTTGTACTCCATACGCCATACCTCCTCCAAGGGGGGGGGCTTGGTTACAAGTACCCCGTACTAGTACCAGTATAGTAAGCACTTCATTGTATGAGATACTTGGTCCTCCGTACCGCGCTATGACTTCATGCCCTGTTTAGCTTGGGCAGGAATACCGCATTGGGAATTCCCTTTTTTGGGAAGTGCAAGTGCAGTGCAAGCAAAGATTAGTTATGTCTTTCTTACTCCGTACAGAGCTGTAACTAAGTTCAACCCCATGTGGAGAGGAGAGATTTCTCGAAAAGATCCAGACCAGTCTCCTCCGTGACAGGCTGACGTGAAGTTCCTGAGTAGGTTTTGCTCCGGTAGAACCATGAACCATGATCATGAATCGTGATCATGAATACCCTACGGAGTCTGCCAGGAATGGCCCTATCATTCTATCCTGCCAGTGGTCTCCTATCGGGCGCGGTCGCGACGGAGGGCCATTCCGGGCCGTTCTTCCCGGTTAGGCCAAGAGTGCGATTGTCCACGTTTCCTTCGTGCATGAGCCTTAGTTCAATCTAGTCAACTTAATTCAAGCTGACATTGAAACTGACACTGACAGTACAGAGTATGGAGTCCTTTGATCTGTCTCGATTGTCCCTCCATTGGTGTATATTAATACAACACTAATACTAACAGAGTAATATACTAACTATAAACTATAACTAATTACCAGATACAACCTGTACAATGGGGTATATAAGCAGGGCAATGAAGGAAACTGAACAAAAGGGAAGAGAAGGGAGACACCCAGGCACTCTCACAGAGAGATTCACCTCACAGAGAGGACTATTTCGAACAGCAGCCACATCCCCACCGGAATCCGCAACCCAAGCAGCACAGCTGGCGGACCCAACTTCTCCGAGGCTCAGCCTCTTCTTTCTCTTTCTCTTTCTCTTTCTCCCTCTCCTTCTCTTCCTGATCGACTGATGCCCCGCGCTTAGCATCTTTGTCCACGCCATCATCAGCGCCCTGCTTCGTCTCAGCGGTCTTCCAGCTTCGGAACCTGAAGAATCGACTGCGTCGCGATTGGGATTCACGGGCGCCCACATTGGCCTTTATCGTGGGAAGGGCCGTGGTATGAACGGATTGCCCAGCACGCGATGGAGGTCGGACAGATGCGGTACCCTGCATATTATGTTGTCGGCGAGATTGAACGACGCGACGGACAAGCACTGTTTTCCTATTAGTATACTGAGCCAGACCAAATAGGTACCTGCAACTGCGCGTGCAACCGCGTGTGCGACAGCGACAGCGACAGCGACAGCAACAGCAACAGCAACACGTACAAGCAAAGGTTTCCTCAATATTAACCATCTCACGCGCACTCGTCTCCATAAATCCGCACCCATTCAGACGAGCATATTCCAGGCCATCGCGCGACGTGACAGCGCGCCCATCCTTCAAATCACACTTGTTGCCCGCAACAATTTTGACCGGGGGAGGCATGCCGATCTGGATGCCCGTGGGATTGGGGCCGAATTCTTTGCGCAGGCGCTCGTTATCCTCTAGGCGCTGCTCGGCCTCCATCTTGATGAAGTCCATGAAGTAGTCTAGTGTCTGCAAGCTGGAGGGGTTCGTGATGTCGTAGACCAGCAGGAATGCGTCCGATTTCATTGTCGAGTCGGTCCATAGTCCGCGGTATTCTTCTTGGCCGGCTGTATCGGTTATGGAGAGGAAGTAGGGGAGACCGTCGACGGTTCGGGTGACTGAATAAGAGTCCTCTGGGGGGGTTGCGCGCATTAGTACGTATCAACGATTGTTGTTGTGTTTGTGTTTGTGGTTGCGATCGCGATCCTGATCGCATGGCAGTTGGGGTGAATAAATACCGATAGTTGGGTCATATCTATCCATTCATGCATGTTAGCAAAGTTTGTTGTGTTATATTCAGGGGTCAGGTCAGGGAGTGATTCCGTACTCGTGAATCCATTGACTGCGGACCAGCCGCAAAGTGATGGATGATTTGCCTAATTGACCCGATTTGATCAGATCTCGATCGCGAAATATTCCATTGCAATGGCACCGAATCAGGTTGATTGAAGATTCCCAGCTATTGAAAGATGGTTGCAGGTACTAGAGGGACGTACCACATCCACCGTCGCCGCAGATGGTGATTGAGATCTTGTCCGCCATCGCGTGGGCAACCACCGATGCGGCACTCTTTCGAGAGACGCTTTCGCTTTGGTCTGTTCCGTATAGTATCAACGAGGCAATGGGCGAGAAGAGGGGTTATGGACAAAAGTACCAGAAGGCAAAAGGTAAAAAGAGGGGGGTGGTCAATTCAGGGGAGGAAGAGAGGTGAGAGGTGAGAAGTGAGTGAGAAGAGAAGAGGAAGATGCGTGAAAGAGGAAGGAACCAGCAAAATAAGAAGAACATCACACCCTTCGGACTTGACCTTCTTCTTCTTCCTTTTCCTCTCTCTCTTTCTCTTTGACTTCAGTTCCCCTTACAGCAGTCTTCAACTATATTCTCCTCTCGAATCTCATTTAGATCGCAGCAAACCTTATTCTCTTTGTGATCTTCCCCAGACTGGTTCTTCATCACAGCTCCATCCCCCCCCTCCCCTGGTGCGCGGTGTTTCACACTTGCAACCCATCGCTTACTCTTACTGAGGGTCTCTCAGTATATTCTACCGATCTTATTTTACCCCACTTGAGTTGAACTGTCAACTGCCTGTGATATTCCAAACAAAGTACCGTTGTGAGGAGTCCATGCGTCGTGTACCATCCACTGGCGAATGTCTTGGAGTCTTTTGTGATAGATCGACTAGGCCCAGCCGTCTTTCCGTCCTTTTGACCCAACTGCCCTCCACCCGACTTCAACCACTTCTTTATTGATCTTGAAAGGAATCCCAGTGGATCTCGACACCGAAATAGTTTTACAGTTGACAGATTTGACATTGAGATCGATCGATCAGTGGCGTTCAACGCATACCGGAACCACATCCACCCCCTTGAAAGCACTTCCAAACAGGAACAGGTCTCCAACCAGAGAGAGCCCTGATCGAATCCATTGGCTGTTGATGACCCTCTGGTGGGTCCACAATGACATTAGGTGGTTGTACTTTTGAGAAAAGAGGAGAGAGAATCCAAGTTGACACCTTCTTTTCTCCTTCGCGACCCCCCAAGTCCTGAGTTACAAGGTCGCTGGTACCCGGGGATCAAAAATCACAGATCTCATCATCCGCCCTATCTTTTGACATCAAGTAGCTCCTAGAGTGGAGTCTTGTCGTTTGACGTTAACTGGATTCCAAACTGTTGGTCCCCTCTTTCCCGGGGCTCTGGGACGACTTGTCCGGGCTCTGCATTCTGGACCCCACGCAGGCCGAGGCCGTTGCCCGTCGCCTTTGCCGTTTGCCCTTGTCCCCTTTGGCCATGGCTAACCCGATGGATAACTACCTGGACTATTCCACCGGCCGAGATGATTCTCACGACCCGAGAGATAGTGTGCCAGGACACTTGCACCCCTCTCTCGCCTCCGCAGACTCCTCTCTCATGGCCTTCCCAAACCCAGACAGCTTTGCCTTTGGAGCCATGCTACCAGATGACGATAGCGAACTCCCCCTCCAGGCCTTCAACCGTCCTCATGGTGCCCAGAGTGACCTGGAAGGACGTCTCTCCAATGTCATGCTAGCCTACGAGTCTATCCCGAGTACTGTTTCGATGCCGATGAGCCTCGACGCGAGTGGCGCGTTCTCATACGACATCCCGACAACCTACCCCGCGACGACGATGGGACTTTCACCCTCGATAGACCACCAACGACAACTCCAACAAGCCTACGCCCAGTTTCCCCAGCCCGTGCACCAGTCGAATCAATACCTTCAACAACCTCAACAACCGCCCGCGCCTTCTTCTCGCAAGGATCCTTATAATAGCACCACCACCACTGCTACCGCCACCAACTCGACTGGCAATTTTGACGACTCTGACTTGTCGCGAGGCAGCGATCCATCCCAGGCGCGTCAACAACGGCCTCTCCAGGAGCGCCAACGATACCCGCAGTATAATCAGCCCGCCCAGTCCGCTCAGCCCGCTCAGCCCGCTCAGCCTGTTCCTTACCGCGCGTCGCAGCCGGTGGCGATTCAGCCTAAGCAGTCAACACAGATCAAAGGTGAGTTGTGAACCTAGGATTGGCCATAAGATATCAGACTAAAGCCTGCCCCGTACCTCAAGACGACTACCAATCACCAGGGCTGGCCACGCCCGACGCTGCTAAAAATGAACATACCGGCATTTATTCGAGCAGCGGCTTTGACATTCTAGGAGTCCTCGTAAGTATATTCCAACTCTAAATATTGCAATGTAGTGGGATTTGAAAATCTAACATCATCAATAGAGTCGAGTTTCTGTACGCCCGAACCCTCAAATCAACATCGGTGCTGTCGATCTCTCCTGTGCCTTTGTGCTCTGCGATATCACACGACAAGACCACCCCATTGTTTATGTCTCCGACGCCTTCGAGCGGCTCACTGGCTACTCCAGAGACGAGATTGTGGATCGCAACTGCAGGTTCTTGCAAGGACCTGATGGCAAAGTCGAAGCTGGTGCCAAGCGAACTTTTGTTGATGGACAGACCGTACATCGTCTACGGTCAACTATTCGTGAACGCACAGAGATCCAGGCTAGTATTATCAACTATCGCAAAGGTGGACAACCATTCATGAATCTGATCACGATGATCCCCATTCGATGGGACTCGGATGAGTATCGGTTTTACGTTGGCTTCCAGGTAGATCTGGTAGAGAAACCAGACGCCATCACAAGAAGGAATCCAGGTAAGCCTCCTTTGGTTCATACCTGCTAGATATTATTACTGACTCCACGTTCAGACGGTAACTACACTATCAACTACCGGCGAGATCAACTTCCTCAATACATTGTACCTCCACCTGATGTTTACCGACTCCGGCCCGATCTCCTTACCCAGTTCGGACATGAACAGGTTACCGCCATCCTGAATGCAGCTGGCGTTCCTGGATCTGGAGTTTCACGAAACTATCTGGATCGCATTCTGGTCGAGAACACCGACGATGTGATCCATGTGTTATCTTTCAACGGCGAATTCCTATACCTCTCCCCATCTTGCAACAAAATCCTTCAATACGAACCAGTCGAACTGGTCGGCAAGACGCTATCAACCATCTGCCACCCAAGTGATATTGGCCCTGTGAGTCGTGACTTGCGCGCCAGCACCACTCCAGCACCCATCAGCGTCGTCTACCGCATTCGTCAGAAATATAAAGGCTATATGTGGTTTGAAAGTCACGGTGCCTGGCACATTGATCCCCAGCAAGGTAGAAAGTACCTCGTCATGACCGGTCGCCCGAGACCCGTCTACGCGCTGGACCAGATTGCCCAGTTAGGCACATCGGCCGCACTAGCCGAGAATGACGTCTGGGCAAAGGTGTCTTTATCTGGCGTTATCCTATTCATGACTACTAAGTCGAAGCCAGTATTGGGACGTCCACCAGATGACTTTATTGGCAAGGGCCTGCATGAACTCATGGAACCCGAGGGCGGACCGAATGCGATATCAGATGCATTGGAAGCTGCAGCCAACGGCACAGGCCACGAAAACGACGACGAGAACAACAGCGGTAGCGACAAAAACCTCGAACCCCCTTCTTTCAGACACCACATGCGACACAAAAAGGGCCACTCGCTCTCAGCACACACAACAATCTACTCCGGAGACTCAAGCCGAACAGTCCGCCCAACATTCCTAGTTATCCAAATCCGATTCGCACGAGCATTCCCACCCTCTCCCACAGCCCTAGACGCAGCCGCAGATGACAGTCTCGCAAACGTCCCGGGCTCATCAAAAACAACCACACTAAGCTTCAAAGACGCAAACCCACCCCGCCAATACGGAACCCTAGGCCAACGAATCCCAGACCTCTCGTCCATGGTCGGTCTCAACGGGCTTCCAACCGGTAACCGCAGTATCTCACCATCTGACGCGCCAGCCACGTTCTTCACAGAGCTCAATCCAACCCGCGGCTCAAGCTGGCAGATTGAACTCCGTGAGTTGGAAAAGCAGAATCGGACACTTGCCGAGGAACTGCAACGGCTTATCAGTCGAAAGAAGAAGCGCAAACGTAAGCAGAGCGCTATCTCGGTTGAAAAGGCTTGTTCGATGTGCAGTACAAAGAACACACCCGAATGGCGCCGCGGACCGAGCGGTAATCGCGATCTCTGCAATAGTTGCGGACTACGGTGGGCGAAACAAGTTCGCAGCCAGACCCAGACTACTGCTGCTGCGGCTACGGCGACAGTGCCGGCGACTACAGTGGCTTGAATGAGTGCAGGCCAAAAATCGAATCGAATCGAACCACCGACCAAAAAAGGGCGACCAATTTCAAGCATCATTAGCGTGGATTTTCTTTCTGGAGTGACTTGACTCTGATTATGTTATGTTATTTGATTTGATTCATTTCATTGCGAATCTTGGAGGATTCGAGGAGTGCTTTTGTTCCTGCGAGCGGGTTTCTGAAAAAGCTTATACCCCCCACGATTCCCGTGGTTTGCAGGCGATTAATTGGCAAATTACCTTCCAAGGTAATTGTTTTTGTTTTCGAGAGCGTGGTTTCTTCCATTCATTTTCTTCCTATGATTTATAATTCTCTCTGTTTCTCCTGCCTATATTTGTCTCCAGAATGCATCTAGTCAGTTCTCACTACTATCATACTATTAGGAAGTTTACGATGTATATTTCATTTTCCTTCTATACCAATAGGAGTATCTGCCAATTTGAACTTGAACGTGGTAAACGACTCGGAGTAGTATCATGTAAAGCGTCTAGTCTAATATCGTACAAATGCAAACCGTCTACACCATATACAAAATGAAAAGCGCCACCCAACCTCACTTCAACCAAACAACTTGAATCTCCATCAAAATCACCCCTTCCTCGCCTCCAACCACATCTCCAAAGCCCTCCTCTCAACATCCTCAACCACACCCCCCCTTCCTCAAAACAGACCCAACATCCCCAAGCCCCCTCTCCTCCAACGCAAACCTAACCTCCTGCGAACTCAAAGCCCGCACACCCCCACCCTCCCGAATCATCCCATCATCAATCTCAAGATACCGCACATACTTCCGCAACCTCGGCCGATAAACAGGCCCCATCAATAAGCCCCCCAAACGAGGCCGATGACTCCCCACAATCCCAAAAACAGCCCCAGCAACCAAAACCTCACTCCCACCCGCCTTCACCGCAAACTCCGCACCCGCAAACCTCGTCGCAAGCAACGCCATCTCCTCAGCACTCCCCACCGACACACTCGCCGGCATGGCACCCTGCTCCTTCGCAGCAATATTCGCATGCGCGGCCAGGGCAAGGTATTTCCGCTTACTGGCACTTTCACGCTCCTTGGCGATTTGGCTGGGAACACGACATGTCGCGGGCGTAATCGCGGCGCCGAAAAGCGGGATAATTAGAGGTGTGAATTCGCCGCAGATCAATAGGATGAGTGTGAATGGGATCATTCTTCGGACGTCGCGGGCTGAGCGTCGGACGAGTTGGTACTGGGCTCTGCCTAGGTTGGCGCTGGCATTGGTGCTATTGCCATTGCCATTGCGTGGTGGGGAGGTGGGTAGGTAGACTGGTAGAGACAGGGATTTGCGGAGGGGTATGGAGGCGCGGTAGTTTCTGAAGACGTTTTTGAGGCCCGTTTTGTAGAAGGTTAGATATGCGCGGCCGGTGGAGATTAGGCGTTTTATTTTGTTGATTGGGGTTGGTGGTGTGGATGGATCTTGGGGGGGTGTTTCGATTGTTGCGGGGAATGTGCTTAAAGGGGCGTTGATTTCGTCTCGTGTTGGTGTTGGGACTGTTGTGGTTGGGTTTGAGGGTGAGGTGGTGGTGGTGGTGGACTTTCTGTTGGCGTGGCGTGCGGAGGTGGAAAAGAGGGCCTGGTAGCGCACGGAGGGATGTTGCAGGACTGAAAGATTGTAGGATTGGGGCCGGTGGAAGCGAAGGGCTGCGTTGCCCCGGGTTAAGAGGGACATTTTGTCGACTCTTGGATTGGGGAGATGCGGAGGAGAGAGGGTTTCGTGTTGTCTGCACGTTGGATGGAGACGTTGGATTCCTCAGGCAGAAATCGGGAAAGTACCGATGCCGAGGCTGATTTGATAGATTTGATAAAGCAGAACTGGGATGGTTAGATAATTTCAAGTTGTAGGTCTTATTTCAATTGCCTTATTTTGATTTGTATATCGTGGCCTCATTTCAATTCAAAGACTGGAAAGACAACTCGAGAAACTACCCAAACACTTTCTTTATATCACATTGTCCTTCGCTCCTACAGATCCACCTGCACAGCAACCATACTCTCCGACAAAAACCCAGTCACAAACAACCAAGCTTGCTTGCGACCATCACCACTCTTCGGCTCAATGGGCACAAGGACCGCCGCACTAGCAGAACGAATCCGACTGCTATCGTCCTCAAACAGCAGCTTATTTTCCCAAGTCCCCGAAGTTGTCTGGCGAGTATACCAAACCTGCAACGGATCTTTACCATTAATATCATGCCCAGTCTGGGCGAGATAAATGCCCTGCGAGATACCCGCAACAACGAAGCCGCTCGCATCGTCAGATGCAGAGCGATACGGATCCGTGTAGTAGCTAGGGTTATCGGTAACAGTGTCAAAGGGGATAGTCGTGTGAATCGAAATAGTGTGATTAACAGCGTGCATCTGGCCCAGATACAGCTCACCACCAACAGCACTCGAAATAACAATCTCATCATCGGATCGACCAGCGCCGAGACCATTATTATTCCACAGCCCCGAGTGCGCAACAGAAGCATCCAGCCCGGCCGTCGCATCTTGAGCCTCGAGGTCGGAAATTCGAACACTAATGATATTCGACCATTTGGCAAAGGGCCAGACATCCTCGACAAGACGAAGCAAGCCGTCGCGGTAGTAGTGGTCGTTGGTGACGTAGAACTCCTCGGGACTCACGGCGGAGATATCATTCGGCGTATAGACGAGAGGGTGTCGGATAGAGCGCACATGCCGGACACTCTTAGAGCGCAGAACATGGTGAAACAATTCGATTTGAGAACGCGCTGACTCGATTCCCTCGCGCTCTTTCTCGCTCGCCTGGACAAAAGCTGGATTGGGCAAATGGTTCACGGCGAAGATATACACGGCGCCGGCATCCTTCGGGTCCGCAATGACGTCGATGCCATGCGTGACGAACTGGCCTTCGAAGTTGTCAAAGGCCAAGCGAGTCGATTTCATCGTCTACGCAGGAATATCTTTTTAGTTACTACATTCTCTGTGTGTGGGGCGGGGGATGGGTTTCGGCGCGATGTAGTAGAAACCTCCGACGCCGACTGAAACTCACCTCGGGGTCCACAACGTGTATTGAACCTTGGCCTGCGGCATGGGGCTCGAGGTGTCCCAGACCAGGGAACCAATCGAATCGGGTTTTAATTTCATCTTCGCATGCAGTAAAGAGCAAGTTCGCAGGGCGGTAGTGGTGGACGTCTTCGCAGTGAACGGTATCTTCTATGACAATTGGGCCTTGACCTTCACCCAGAATAGTCGGCGAAGGCGTGAGGAAAAGTCCGCCGATTTTGGGGAAGTGGAGCAAAGTAGGCGCGAGCAAAGCTATCAGCAATGTGATCAGGCCTAGGAAGGCCGAACCGAGGAGAGCCATGAGGTTCGAGCTGGCGCTTCCCTGGGGTTAAGGGCGAGATAGTGTACAGGCGGGAGTGCTAGGAGGATGGGGAAGGGAGGAAGGGGAATGAAGTGGAGGTTGAGACAAACCGAGGAAAAAATACTCCGAGCTGTCTCCATAGCTAAGTGGAATCAAATCAAAATGCCTCGGTGTCTGGTCGGCAAGAAGACAAGATCGTCTCCGCTGGCGCGGGGATAGTGGAGTCGGTGCGGGTCTGGGAAAGAGAGTTACGCCACAGGGCGTCAGGGTACACATGAAGAGAGCAATGCATTGAGACTATCCTAAGTTGACACGAGGGCTTTTTTTGGGTTTCGACATTTTGGAAGAGACCTGCCGCAAGGTGGTAGTCTCGGTAGAAAGGAGAGGGTAAGAATGAAAGAAGAAAGGTAAGAAATAAGCAAAGTCAAATTCCAAGTATTGAAAGAGAATCATTATCAAGGCTGGGCCATAGCCGAAGTGGCCAGCAGAAAAGTAAAAGAAAAACAAAGAATGAGATTCAACCGCATCCATTCCAATCATTCAACACGCAATTCTGTTTCCATTCTGTGTCGTAAGGGCGGTGTTATCTAGTGAATCGACTGCTTGGCCTCAAGGAACTCTTGATCACTAGCATCTAGAACGTCGTACTCCTCGTCAGTGAGGAAGCCCGCATCGGTGGAAGCATCCTCCAGGGTCAAGCTCTCCAAATCATCAAGCGCGTCGCCCTCAGAGGCGGTGGACAGACTTGGGGCATTGTGAGTTGGGGCCATGGCCTCATGGGCGCTAGCCTCGGGTGACTCTTTCTCCAACTTGGGGAAGACCATGCCACTGCTGGTCATCTCAGTAGTAGTGGATGCAGGCGACTCGGTCTCAGACTTGATGGACTTTTCCTGCTCATCAGACTCTGGGACAACTGCGGGGACGCAAGTTGCCTGCACCTGAATGTCACACCACAATCGGTGACCGATCGCCATACCGTTAGGCAAATTCAGTCGCCAGTACGAAATAGCAGTACCCTCGCGCTGGGGAGTTCGGAGGGTCACACTGAAGTCAGTGCTCGAACCAGGCTCCAGAGGAGCGGTCAGCTTATTGCTTTCCATCGCAGAGCGGATCGCATCGATGCTGGAAGGGTGGCTTCCATCGACATTGAACATGGTGTCTCCACCAACAAAGCGGACATCGCAACCAACGGGCCAGGAATTAGGTCCTGGGTTGTAAAGCGTCCATGTCTGGCGGAAAGTGGTATCGGGAGGCAACTTGGTGCCATCCGAGATGGTATCGCGAAGGAAGTAGGCCTGGTAACTTTCCGAGTCCACGGAACCTTCTTCGTAGGCCTTCTTGTAAGCGGGAGCTGGAACTTCATTGATAGAGGGCTCAGGAGCAGCCTCGGGAGTAGGCTCGGGAGTTGGCTCGGTCTTTTCCACTTTGCTTGCGAACATCTCAACTGGCTTTTCAACCTTGGTAGGGGTCTCAGAAGGAAGATCAACCTGGTCGCCCAGGTGGAAGATTCCAGTAGGGAGATCTTCGGTCACTGTATTCACAGTGACAGAGCGGATGGGAGTCCTGAACTTGACCAAGGGGTGGGTATGATTGTGAGCATTAGTTGGGAAGGCCTCACAGTTCGCGCAGAAATCAACGTCATCGCAAACAGCACACTTGTAGCGAATGCCCTTAATGTAGCTTTGGGCAGGCTTATTCTTGCACAGGGGGCCGTCACAGAAAATACCATAGTGAATGTCCATCTCATGGGCCAACTGGTCGGCGATAGCTTCATAGATAGGAGCGAATCGGTGGCCAGGGTGAGACTCCTTGGCAAGAGAGACACAAGCAGTGCAATAGTCCCAGTCTGGGCAGCTCAGACACTTGTGGCGGGTGCCAACAATGCGTTTGTCACAGCCATCACAAATGGCAGCATGCTTGAACTGACGACCTGGAAGACAGCGAGCTATGATCATGTTCTTAAGAGTGTAATTGCGGTCAATTCCGGGAGCGAAAGTGTGTGCGGGATGGTGACCATGCTTGTTACCCAGCAGGCAGCGGAGGCACAGATCATAGTCTTCACAGTCCATGCAACGGACAAGGTTGATGTCGTCGTTTTCTATAGAATGCATCAGTGTGGCTCACAAGCGATTTTCGAAGCGAGGGAAGTACCTACCACGGCAGCATCCATTGCAAATTGGCCTCTCCTCACTCGCGGCAGCGAGATCAGAGCGAGTGGTATTTGGAGAAGCGACAATAGGGGCGGGGGCAGTAACAATAGGAATGGGAGGACCCGCCATCTCAGGGACGAGCTTGCTAGGGAGAGGTGCGACGGGTGCGACAGACTTCACTCCTTGGGCAGATTGTTGGCGAGGAGGGATTTTCTCGGTGGTGCTGTTAGTGACGAGACCGCCGTCAACCACCCTCTTGATCAACCAGTGACCTTCTCCGCGGCAAGATGCACCAGCATCAACACACTGGGGGGCACAGATCATAGTCTCCGTACTCGCAAATACTGCAGTGGTAGTGCTCATTTGCAATGGAACGACCGCAGTTGTTGCAGTCAATGCAGAACATACCACTGGGAGAGTTGTGAGAGATAACCGGGAAACGAAGTTTTTCCTGCTCCATATCGAAGTCTCGGTAACGGGGTGGATCAGAGGCTAGGGTGATAGAAGGGGTTGTGAGAGTTGAAGGGAGAGTAGTTTCGGATGTAGTTGGGAGAGTCTCAGGCTGGGCAACAGGAATTGGGGAACTAAGAACAGTCTCGAGATAGCTGTGTCTGGTGGGGAACAACTCGTCGGTGGGAGGCTGAGTCGAAACCAAGGCAGACGCCGATGAATCGACGGTAGTAGCCTTGATCCGAAGCTTTGATTTGGCTTTGGCAGCTCTGTAGAGTTGTTTGTAGACCGCGAAGTTGTCAGAGTCGAGACGCATGTAGGAGCCGGCGCTGTCGGAATAGCGTTCGAGGATGACGTTGACATCCGCTGGAATACCGAGAAGAGTGCGAAGCTAAACCCAACGCATCAGTTAATCAGCAATCAAAAGTTTGGATTGGTTTCAAAGATCAGAATCACGAGGATTTCGATCATTTCGATGAGATATTGAGTTATCTGTGATAAGAGATTGAAGATCCCCAACTGAGGGTCGGAGCTTGGGTGGAGACTGAGTCTTACCTTCTCTGGCAGCACCTGGGCTCGCAAGTCCTTCAGAGGAAGCTTGAAGCGACGGTTGCTATCGTTAAAAAGCACCTTGATAGTAACGAGATGGTCGGGGCCAGGGTGAGAGGGTAGTGCTGGGGTAGCCATGATGGCCGAGGTGTGTTGTGGAGGTAGAGAGAGAGCGAGAGAGAGAGAAGTATGGGGAATACGAGGGAGATAAGAGGCTCAAGGGGCGGGATCCTCCCTGATACGTGAAAGGGGAGAGTCCAGAAACAAAATCTAGATAGAAAGCGAGATGGAGATGACAAACAGTGAAGAACCACAGATAAAATATAGGTAGGCAATACAGCAAGAGGATGGGAAGAGGTCAACGAGGCCTCTGGGGTGTTGCACGAGAGGGGAGACTGCCGGCGGGTGCGAGGAGACCAGCTGACCTACCTGTAAGATTACCTAATATGGCGTCAACCGGATTACGCCTTTGTTACACTGATGATACACCAATATGGTGGCTTTATGCGAAAATTACACCCAAAGAACGTATCATACAACCCGGATACAGGGCGATACAAGGCAGTACTGATAAGGACTGGGAGTTGAGAGCAAAGTCTCAGGTACTTTTGTTTGGTATTTCGTAGCACTTTCAGTAACAGAAAGAGAATGAGGTCATGCACTGGAGCCTAGATTCATGCAAGAAGAAGATGAGGGGAAGGGGGGGTGTGTGCCGCATTTGCGGGGACATGAGATGAGGGAGGGGAAAGAAGAACGCTCAAATGCATCCGATTCCAAGTCTAACCAACTTCAACAAGACAAGGGTGAAGGGAAGATAATAAAGAAAAAAGATAAAAAAAGAAGAAAGAAAGTTTCCAAAGGCGACAAATAAGTCAAGAGAGGGGCAAAGAGGAAACACGGAAACCCAAAAAAGAAGCCTGCGAAAAATCATGATCAAGAAAGAAGGCTAGTTAGTTGAATAGGAAAGAGGTTGAAAACCACGGTCACTGCTGCCCATAGTACGGCATGTTGCCTCCAGCCCCCGGCCCTTGAGGATAGTAGTAAGTGGTGCCTGGTGGCGTCATCATGCCTCCCATTCCAACCACTCCCCCAGGTCCTGGTCCTGGTCCTGGCCCGTAGTTGTTGGGGTTCTGATACATCTGGTTGGTATCGTAGAAGTAGACCGTACCACCGGATTCATGGGCCACAGTCCCGGGTTGTCCGGCTTGCTCATTCGATGCTTGTGGAAGAACATAGGGCATCGGTTGCTGACCGGGAGGGAAACTTGGCATGGAAGCACCCGGTCCCATCGGTCCATTATATCCAGGATAATACATACCACCCTGATGAGGCTGGTAACCGGGATAGTAACCGGAGGGCTGCTGATATGCGTAGGGGTGGAAAGAGTCTGCGTGCACAGCCCGCTCGGGGATCTGAGAGAGTGGCGTCCCCGAATGCTGACTCGATGAACCATGTAGCTCCTGGCCAAGACCGGCCACGGGCAGAGGGACTTGATGATGAAATGGTTGCTCTTGCTGGGGCTGCGGTGGGTTGAAGTGTAGGTTGGCGGGGGTTTCGATATCTGCTACGGAAACTGTCTTTTGAGGACGAGGTTGATGCATCGGAATTGGAGCCGGGCGGCTTTCACGGTATGGTGGATATGGAGGGAGCATCGTTGGCATGCCCATCTGTCCTGGCATGCCCATACCAGGTCCACCTGGAGGAATACCGACGGGAGGACGCGGTGGGGGCGGCAGGCGAACAACAGGTTTGCCCATATCATGATGAGACATCGATGGACGCGAATAGACCGAGCCTGCTGGCGATGGGAATCCATCCTGGGAGCCCATGCCGAACGAAGATCGCCGGCTGGCAACGCTAGGTGTGTATGAGCCTGGGTAATAACTTGGCCGACGTCCGGTGTAATATCCACCACGGCCACGGCCTCGATATCCTTGCTGGTTAGGACGTAATGCGCGGGGAATGAAGATAAATGAACGCTCAGTAGACGGGAAAATATAACGAGGAGATTGACCAGGAAGTGAGATTCGCACGGGTTTGTCACGCCGCAGAGGAGGGCGGTGCTGGGGAAGGCGCGTATGCTGTTTCTTTGGCACTGAGGCAAATGGTTTCGCCTGGCTCATACCGGGCAAGAACACCACAACCGGTGCATGGCCAACGAGAGTAGTACTGGAGAAGGATCGGTTTGGCGGGGAGGAGCGAGGTGCAGTGGGAACATTTGAAGGGGGGTTCGGTGCTGCTGAGGGGGCCGGCTGTTTGGAACCAGAGCGTTCATCACCAGCTACGGTAGCGTGGAGGTCATGATCCCACTTCCCTTCACTAGCATCGGTCTTTGTAGAGTTTCTGGATGGTATAACGTCAGTGAAACTTGTTTTGTCAATGAATAACAAGAGCTGACCGTACCTGCGGGAATTTCCATCGACAATCAGACCAACAGGGCGAGATGATTTGCCCTTATTGAAGGGACGATGCCCGTTTGTCCCTGCCTCTGTTGTCCGGTTATCGTGGAGAAAGAAGCGGCCCCGCGTGGGTACAAAAGCCGGGTTCTGTTCACGCTCCTTCATATATTTGTCGTGCTCCCGGCGTTTCTTTGCAGCCAGGGTTTCCCGCTTTGGCTCGGTGGGAGGGGCCGACGGCGTTCGGCCGGTCTGGAGCTCTCGATCCTCCTCGAGTTGATCAAAGTCAACCTCCCCACCCTCGTCGGTGATTTTGAGGCCGTTCAACATAGCTTCCGTATCCGATACCGTAGTTTTCAGTCCGGGTTTATTGGGAGATGCCGAGCTGCGTCGTTTCCGTTCTTCTCGTAGCCCACGGCCATTAATCCTTCGGCGATTTGGCTTGCCTGCTTCCTTGGTGATCTGTGTTTCTTCTTCGTCCTCGCTACCTTCTACATCGGCATCCTCATCTTCTTGATGGCTTTCCGCAGAGCCTTCGCTCAAGGAGTCATCTTCCAGATCTCCGGCGGTCGAGCCCTCCTCTTCGCCTTCATCTTCCCTTCTCTTCCTGCGGCTTGCGCCGATATGACGTCGACGAGGGGGAGCCATGAGGTGTTCGGGCGGCAGCTGCGAGCTGATCAAGTCGGATACCTTCCCCCTGGGAGACAAGGTTGGCGTTAAGGACCGCCAACCAGGAAGGGATGGGTGAGAAGGAAGAAGTGCGGCGAATGCAGGTGGGCGGTGCAACAAGCAAAAGGTGAATCAAAGGGCAATAAGAATGCTAAAGGAATATGAAACGGTGGGTAAAAAGCACTTTAAAGGATCAAAGTGATGTGAAAGAAGAAGAGAAAAAGAAGAAAGGGAGGTGAAAGAAGAGGAGATGCAGTCCAGACAAAATAGGATGCACAGAGCATCGATATATCGACGCCAGGATGGGCAACGCCTGGAGACGTCAGCAGGGCGGTAGAGGCAATTCTGCCCGTCTTTTCAAGTTTGTTGCCGCTTGGCGGAAGCATTAGGCATTAAGGCTGTTCTAAACTAAGTATCGAGTTCTATAAAGTAAGATGTACCTTGAGTCTACCTATTATCCAAGGAGCCTGTTGGAGTAGGTTATGGAGTAAATTTTGAATTTCTTTCTCTTCATTGTGCGCTCACTTGCCGAGCAGGCCAATCCAAATATCTCAGCGTTGGGTGCAGTACCATACAGTAAGTAAGGGAGCTAATGTGGATCCCCCAGTCTGCTAGCGGATCCCTTGATTGATAACGCCTATCACGACCAGAATACATACAATCAAAAGCACCTTCAAAAATTCAACCGAGTATACAGAACTTTTTAGAGGGGTATCTTTAGGTCCAAGAAGTAGCCCAATGTGGGCTTTCTTGGCTGTGATGCCACGTCAACATGATTGCAGACCACTCAAAGCATCCTTGCTGTAGAGAGGCCCGAAAGAAAGAACTTCTAGATGCCTGACAATGGATCATAGTGGTAGATCGGTACTGCAAGAGCCACGATTGATGTGCATGCAGCATATCCACTGTATCGAAATTTCCCAAACGAGATAACCTTTTTAGTCGAAGCTGACCTTCTTTCCCTGTCCCTCGACAATGGCACCGCTGAGTCGCTGAACAGTTTCCTTGGAGTAGCGACTGTCGTCAATCTCTTGCTTCCGGGGCTTGCGCATGCGGGGTTGCTCTTCGGAAGAGCCATTCTCGTTCTTGCCTCCCTCTCTATCCTTGCCAAAGCGCTTCTTGTATCGGGTTTGCGCATCTTCAGCGAATTCAAAGCGAAGGCGGCGACCCAGGAGGGTGTTCACCCAGACTTTCTCCATGCGAGGCTTTCTGGCCTTCTTCTTCTTCTTCTTTTTCTCGTCGTCAGATTCCGAGTCGGAGCTGTCCGAGGACTCCTCTTCCTCCTCCTCCTTGACCATCACATATCCCCTCACCGCTGCTTCCGCGATCGCAATATCCTCAAATTCCACCCAGGCAAATCCACGGCACTTTCCTGAATCCTGGAAAGTCGCAAGGTGTACATGGGTCAAGGTGCCGCATCGGCCGAAATGCTCTTCGAGTGACTCCTTGGTGGTGTCGAAACTGAGGTTGCCGACATAAAGTCGTCGAGATGGGGGGGGTTACCGCTGGCGGAAGCAGCGATGACAGCCTTGTCGGGCCGACCCTCGAAGTTGTTGGAAGGCTTGATCAACAAAGGACGGCCTGTCAGAAGCTTCTCGTTCGCCTTCTCCACGGCTGTGTCCTGGGCTTCCTTGGTCGAAAAATCAATGTACGCGAAACCCTTGTTCTGAAGTCTGCCAAACTTCTCCGGACCCTTGGACATATTCACCCGAGTAATCGTAGATTTTTCGAGTCCCGAAAATTTCAGAAGATGCTCGACAAGCTCGTTCTCCGTCGTCGAGAAGACCATGTTTCCGACCCAGATTCCCCAGGGAGAACGCTTTGCGGGTTCAGCGGTCGATTTGGATTTGGATTTGGACTCAGTCTTGCCGGACGAGGCATCTTCGGTGTCTTTGGAGGATTCGCTGGTCTTGCTCTTTTTCGCTTGGCGCAAAGCTTTCTTCGATTGGGGTTCCGGCGCAGAAACATCGATCTCGAGTTCAGGGCCATCTTGAAGCTTACGCTTCTTTTCGGTGCGATCCACGGATTCCGACATAATGGCTGATACAGATGAGCCTGTAAAATGAATTGATTCGGAGTGAGGTAATGGTAACTCAATTCCAGATAATTTTGGGAGACTTGAGAATGCCAATGGTCTGCCATAATTTTTTTACGGCGGCCTGCAATTACCAACCGCGCAAGCCGGGCTTGGCGCGCGACGCCGCCCTTTCCGCCCTTTGACTTGATCCGAAGCTCAGCCTCCGCTATCCCCCTTCAATCTCATCTTGATCATCGCCCACCATGGCACAGGAACCTATCGACTCCGCAACTGCCATGGATACTCTACCAGATGCCCCAGCAGACACCGCGGTGAAAGCGCCTGTTCGGTCCTTCAAGTACGATACTATCAAAGACCAGTGATGGCGCTTTGGCTAATCGATCCCCAGGAAGAAATATGCGAAGATGAAGGTCAAATTTGACCATGGAATCCGAGAAAACGAGAATTTGATACGAGAGGAACTGCGCATCGAGGATCTTTCCAAGCGGATCCAGGAACAGAACGAGTATGTCTTCCACCAAGCACCCGCAATCTATTCACCATTCAAAGTCGATTCTAATGTGTCCGAAGTCAATTATTAGAGGTCCTCCTTGAATTCAACGAGAGTCTCCAAGTATCTCCGACTTTACGATTCGACCTAAATATGCCAGCCGATATTCCTTCCCTCCCCACCGCAGAGCAAGTAATCGCCCCCTTGGTAGAGGACGCGACCCTGGCCCGGACGACGTTAAAAGAGGCCAAAACGGAATTGGCGAACGGCACTTTCTCCGCTGGGGCATATCGCCAAGTTGAAGAAAGTATCAAACGAAACAAGGAATTTGCACCAGCCATGAATTACAGCACCCTATGCAAGGTGCCTCATACTGCCACCAATGCTCCAGACGCAGAGAAAATCACCGACGGCGTGGAGCGCAGACTTGGATATTTCACCCCGGAACACGAAACCGAGTATTACTTGGCTCTTGATGCCAAACTTGGTGACGAAGCAGCCGCACTGCAAGTCGAGCGCATCCCCGATCCACCCACATTCGCAGAACGGGAAAAGGATGCCAACCTCCGCAACCCGGCATCGGTCCACAACTGGCTGCGCCGTAACCAGCCTCAGACTCTGCAAGACCACGAGGTTGCATCCGAGAAGTCGACATCACGGCCGTCAAATCAGCGCTCGTCGAAGCGGGCGCCGACGCAGCGTAAGGATGAAGAGGCGCATGAGGAGGAGGGAATAGATGCGGAACCAACCCCTAAAAACAAGCGCAAGCGTGAAGAAGATACCGGATATCGACCCAAGGGGGGGAGTAGCCGCTCAAAGAAAAAGAAGGACGAGTCGACTCCAACTGCCAACCGCACTGCTAAGAAGACTTGAGGTTGGATCCGGTGCTGGGTTCTTATTTTCTCGATCAATTTATGTACTATCATGCATTTGCAGTTCAATTTGATGTTGGTCTTTCTAGAGAGAAGTTGTGACCATCTATGTACGTATAGTATGCTAGTGCTCCTGCACTTCTCAATAAAAGACAGTATCACATGATGAAGCTCTTGGCCTATGGTCAGCTGCTATTAGACCGTGGACTTATACTACCACTGAACATTGGATTAAGGATTCACTTAATTGAAGGTGATATCTCGAATCACAAGTTACTCAAATTCTATTCCATATATACTCTCATGCACGACTTTGTCTCGTAAGTGGAGCAGTCCACTAGGTGGATCAGTCACGTGAATTTAAGAAAGTCTCGGTGCGGATCTCAAGCTCCGGACTTTCTCTGAACTACTCACTATAAACCCCTCGACGCAGATTATTCCAAAGAATCTCGTCTGCGATGGCAATCACAATTCTCCCACCAGTGGTGGAAGACGTCGCTCCCTACCATGCCGATTCCGACGACTCCATGTCCGGCGCAGACTCAGACTCCGACGTTGAAATGAGCGGCGTATCTCGACCTAACAAGAAAGCGCGCACAGGAAATGGGAAAATCAGCTCAGGAATCGTGACTCCCGGAGAGGTCATCACAGCAGATCCCCAGTGGATGAGGTAAGTTTACTCTCAACTCGTCCTTGAACCAGCGCGGGGTCGAAATCGGCCCTCCATAGTCTGAATATGAGTAAAGCTAACATAACATCTCACAGGGGTCACGGCACATACATGAACCCTCTATCCACCTCAATTATCGCCACAGTCGCCGGTAAAGTCCAACAAACCAACAAACTACTCTCCGTCCACCCGCTCCGCGCCCGATACATTCCCGAAATTGGTGATTTGGTAGTGGGACGTATTGTCGAAGTGCAATCGAAACGATGGAAAGTCGATGTCGCCGCTCCACTACTTGCGCAACTTCCTCTCTCCGCGATCAATTTGCCGGGTGGTATCTTGCGTCGACGGACAAGCGCCGACGAACTTCAGATCCGAACTTTCTTCAGCGAGGGCGACTTGGTGGTTGCCGAAGTACAAAGTGTTCACCAAGATGGTTCAGCCTCGCTTCATACCCGATCTTTGAAATATGGAAAGCTTCGAAATGGCGTTTTCCTTGCTGTCACTGGAACTGGAGGTAGCGGGGCATCTACCTCTAGCGTGAAGGGAGGTGTTGGATCTGGGTCTGGGTCCTCGGCCCCGGCGGCTTCAAGTGGCTCTGGTGGAGGAGTCGTGCGATCACGACGACAAGTATGGACACATACTACCGCCAATGGTGGTGGGGATGTGGATATAATCCTCGGCGTGAATGGATATATCTGGATCTCCAAGCATGCGGACGGAGCGGAGGCCGCCTCGTCGACTACAGAGAACGTCTCAATTACACGTATGGAAGAGATGGTTTCAAGTTCAATTTATTCCAGCCAAAACGACAACATCCCACCACAGACCCGCCGGGAGATTGCGCGGTTGACACAATGTGTTCGAGTTTTGGTGCAAGGCGGCGTGCGCGTGGATGAAGACACATTGACCGACTCCTACGAAGCCAGTCTCCAGGTTGATCTAGAAGTCGGTGATGATGATGAAGAGGAGGATTATGCGCAAGAGGGCCGAGAGTATCTGGAGGGGGCCAAGGCTCGGCGAATCTTGGAGCTGGCGATGCAGCGGAAGTAGCTTCCCATGATGTACGATAGATAGTAAATACCCGACCATTCTCGATGAGTTCTACTTGGAATACTGGATTAAAGTCAAAAATAATCTATTCTGTATTTCGTAGCATGCCTAGGTACCTATAACTATGCTCCTGCTCTAAATACCTTATGATCCCGGCACTGGCGGTCAGCCTCTAAACCCGCAGACCCTCAAATAGCCTAGTAAATAGTATCAATACACCAGGAATTCAAGTTTAGTATCTAGGTAGATTTTGGTGCCTTAGTATATTTGTGCAATTGATACTGTTTTTTGGTATTTTTTATTATACTAGCATTCAATGTATATAATACATACACTAGGTATTAACAAAATCAGTATTCACACGTACTAACAGATGCTATTTAGTATTTAAAATTAGTACTCCCAGCCACCAGTGGAACCTTTAGGTTGTTGATCTTTTTGTGATTCCACAGTTCAGCGTTCAGTAGTTCAATTAATGAAAGAAACCACGAACTTATCGAAGTGCTACGTAGTATTGGAATTGGCTGAGACGCTGCCACAATGCAATTAATCTGTCCGGGTCACGCAGTGCCCAGGTGGACTGATGCTCTAAATAACCCACCTTCATAGCCGGGCTGGGCGAATAGCGATCTGCAATCATGGCTACTTTTATACGCTTGGTAATTGGAGGCCTTATACTCCGTGATCAGCCATCAATTGGGGGGGCCAGGCAGAATGCCTTGTCACATCCGGTGCCAAACTCGAAGGATCATCGACCGAAGGGGCCGGGCTGATAGCAACTTGAAGGATTTTGACTGGTGGGAACCTTGGGATGTCGATTGAGAGTCTGGGGCCCTGTCTTGGCTTCTGGCGGCTCACCGAGGTTGGAGACTGAATGTAGCATCAGACCAACCACAATAAATGGAGGAGTGGAGGAGTGGATGGCCTGAACTGGGTGATTGGGCAATTTTACGGCGAATGTCCAACTTGAAACCTTGGAAGCAACTTGCATAGACGGGCATTATGTATTTATGGTGAACTATATAAGGAAATACATATACCTGTAGATATTACTTCCTAGACAATAACTTGAACTTGATCACTATACTTCATCTCAAAGGCTTCTAGAACACTAAATTTCTATCTCTTTACATTTCAACCCAACAAACTATCCCCCATCCGCATCAATGGCAGCCTTCCACCTGCCGTACACCCTCACCTGGGTGCTAGCCCTCATCTCTCTCATGGTGTCCCTCGTAACCGCCGGTCCTTGCGTCGAGATCGATATCAGAACTGACGTTGGACTCGCCGAGCACCATGACGGTAGAATGTGGTACAATCATAAAAGGGTATGTGATGAAAGCAAGAACGACAACAACGGCGACACCTCCTTCAAGTGCGACGACGGATACAGCCTCAAATACAAAACAAACAACAACCCAGAGTCGGGGGCAACAGCCTGGCTCACATACCCGGGGCAAGACGAAGTTGAGGTCGAGATGGAGAAGTACGATCAACAAAACCAGCCAGGGTGTGCGGGAGGTAATTATTCTGCCTTTTCATAGTTTGAAAGACACGTTGCTAATAGTAACATCGCAGGTCCGATCCCAATTACCTGCCATACGTACTTTTATTCGTTCAAGGGGAAGTATTGCTGATATGGACCCATTGCTCTCATTACTCGTTCCCCACTTTCAATACTCTCGTTCTATTTCTTTCTACTTTCGTTTCGGTTATACAATGCTTTTATCCCGTTGAAGAATGGTGCGACTTCCCTGTCTGTTGTCTATGACTGTGTACTGTCCACAAATTCTTCGACCAGGGTCGTCAGAATGCCGGTACGTTGCTACAGGGCAGGTTTGCTGCCCATATTCACACTACGCTCTCTATTCGTGTATTTTTGAGTCTCCATGTCTCGCTATTAAAAAATTCATTCTTTAAGAACTCCGCAAAGTGTTCAAGAGATGTAGGTATTTCTATTATTCAGAGAATCTACGAGGCATACTCCATCCGAGCGAAGATTTAGTGATCACTTCTTGACTTGCCTTCAAGTTTTCATGAGTTCAAATGGTACTTTCACACCCTTCAATTTAAATGATCATAGAATAATTGTCTAGACGCACATTAGATTCAGGGAAATAATAATAATCAGAAGTCGACCGATAAGAAAGAAGAGTGCCTCCAAGCCCTGGAGTTCTTCACTTATTTCGCCTTACTGTCACGGGAACTAAGGAGCAGACTAGGACCCATCGACTACCTAGGTATCTAGGCATAAAAGTAGTATTTAGGAAGTTTGACAAGAAAGGATTTTATAAAGTACTCAAGTACAAAAATACTAGGCACAAACTTCAAGTTGAATGATAGTACATAAAAAGCTTTTCCTAAAGGTTCTCCCTTTTTTACCACCTGGGAAGTCTATTGTTACTACTACCTAGGTAAATCATTACCTCTTTCTTAACTTAGATATATTATATACCTAGGTTTATATTCAATATCTTCTGGTACGTAGGTAAATCTGGATACTAAGATTTATAACAAAGATTTGCCTCTACCCAACCTCCTACCTAAGAGAGAACCGATGAATTCAATCTTGAACTAAGAAGACCACATGCGGGAATGCTCAGATACCCACAGATCAAACATACGACGTAGCGTGACCAGGAAAAGGCAGTAATAGCGTTTCGATGAACCTTGGAAAGTGAAAGCTTGAGGAAGAAGGAAGCTGAGGCGGAAGCTAGATACAGGTATAGGCAGGGTTGCCTTCGCGGATTCCATATACACAAGGCATTAACGATAATGGCAATGACATAGGTCATTACATCACGAGACACATGGGCTCCAATTTTCATTTCATGTATTATATTGACAGCAGCTTTTCCCGCACTGCTGACTTTAAGTCTCCGACTGCGAGGTGGGGGCTACGCTTCAATTCAAGTTAGTACTTGACCTCCAGCGATGAGCTTTCGGATAAATTATTGACTTTAAGGCTTCTAACCGAACACATAGATAACATGATGAGGATTTAAGCTTGTCCAAAGTGTTATGTACCACCATCCATAGGATATAAAGAAAAGACACTCATCCGCACAGCCATGTTTGCACGACATGGTATCTACAAATATGACGTTTTAACAGATCCCAACAAACCAAAGAACGCATATATCCTGTATTAAGAGAAAAAACAATGGAATATTAATCAGTGTCCTGAAATTAGACAGGCACAGTTTTGTTTACTATTTGAAGAAATAGTTGCGTCGTGAGTCTTGGCGGGTTGCCTCAGTTCCAATATGAAGAAGATCTGCATGAAGATCTGCATGCTAAGTATTGACGATCTGCAATATGCCCAGGGGTCTTGTTTCGGTTTCTTGTTCTTTTGATCAAAAGACTGATACTGGCCACCATGAATAAGGAATATTCTGATATTACATCATTCTGCACTCTAGGGGGCCTGACTTCCAACTTGAATATTGGAAGACCAGCCTATTGTCTATCTTTTATAGCCGAAGAATCACATGATGCCTTGGGGATATATTGTATAAATACCCTTCAGTATCTGCTGCAGGATAATCTCAATCATCATCACAAAAAGCCTTCAAGAATCAATATTTCTACAAACTTCGAATCTCTACCATTATCACGATGTAAGTCTCCAAGCAATTGCGTCAATACGACTTTTATAAGTCTCTTAAGGCTAATACCTTTCCAAAGGCGTTTCTCCATCATGACTTTCCTCGTCGCTTCAGCTGCTTTTGCGGCCGCTGCGCCCCAGCCTGCTGCCGAGGCAGCCCCCGCTGCTGAAGTCGACACTCGCGATGTTTTCGGGCAGCTTCAGAAACGTTGCCAGAGCGATGGACAGTACTGCGACTATGTTGGTATTCGCTGCTGTGCTGGATACTGCTGCCACAACCGGGCCTGTGGAAAGTGTTAAGGGGTGAATCTGCCTTTTCTTCCCGACAGACTTCTGTGTATGCCGAGAATATGATCATGGCGGAATGAGAAGATTCTGCCTTGGACAAGACAGTTTCTTTTGCATTTAGCCCGTACATTGATTTTCCCCCCAGAGATGTATGTGCAGCGTCACATAGCATACTTGAGTTCCATTTTCACGATTCAACATCATATACATAAGAGAATTGGAATATAGATGTTATTATGCGATAAATACAATCTTTTACACCGATCGAAGACATCTTCAATTTCGACTTAAGAACTTGACAATCTGGTATGTATCCTTTACGCAGATCAATTAATGAAACACGAACCGTATATTGTGGGGTAAATTGTAGCTCAATATAGCCGGGATACCGGAGAAGCGAGGCCCAGTGTATGATCTAAGATGAAATTCACTGCTATGGGGCCAAATGCTGCAAAGCCCTAGAGAGACTGTGTGTTCAGGCGCGAAAAGGAAACGCGCATGTTTATTTATAGTGGGCCGTGAGTCAACTTGCCTTTATACACCGAGGACTTGAGGTAGATCTCAATCATTCACAGCAGCGTAGTAGATGCTTGAACAGAAAAGACACTCAGAGTGGGAGACGGTATTAACTTCAAGAATCTAAAAGCCTAGATTATTGGAGAAAACTTGACCTATTAAGGCTGCCCAGTTACGATTCAAACCATGACGCAATGACTTCGAACAACCTGCTCTCCCGAAATCTCAGCCTTCTGAAAACAACACGTCAACAATTTCCTAGACTTCTAAGACTTACCAATTCGGTTTGCACTTCTCCCATGAGTTAGGGTCACAATCACAAGAGGATATCCTTGTAACTATCTTCAATTTTTGGTCTACCAAGCACTCAATGGACCTTGACCTATTAGAGCCAAGATCATTACAGGGACAGCAACCTTAGCGAGTCCATAATTCAGGATCACCAAGTGAGTGGTGTCGAGAAGGCCATATTTCAAAAAGGTAAGATGATCTTATATTCCTTAGAACCTTGCCAGTTGCTTAGCTATGTAAGATAATATCTTTCCGCTTGTCGTCTAGTCATTTCATATCTAGCATGCCTCGCATAGATAATGATTGGATCCTGAGCCTCCTGTGCAGCACATTCCAGCGCAGCAGCGAATATTGATACCATCGCAGGCCTGGTCGATAACAGAGCATCGCTTCTCCAGCCGGAAAATATCGCGGGCATTGACGCTGGGAGCGGGTGCAGCAGCTGCAAGAGCAGCTGAAGCGACGAGGAAAGTAGTAATCACAGAGAAATGCCTATGAGGTTGAGTTAGTAAGTAAAATATTTCCAAGGCGATCGACGCCATTATTTGGAAACTTGCATTGTGGTGTTTGTGGAAAAATTGGTCAAGAGGCCTCAAGAAATCCTGAAGAGTTTTCTTTGCGATAGTGGAGGAAGCCCCATTCCAGAGGAGATGGCTTCTTTATAGATGAATCTCCGAGGTGATATATGCTTGTTTCAATCCCGAAGAACAAGATAGGCGTCCAAAACCAGACCCACTAGGTTGGGGAGCGATGTAATACCAAGTAATTAGTCTCCACTCATAAAAAATCTCTTTTGGCCAAACACGAAACACAACAGTATGTTTGGGTAGATCGTTGCTCGATAAGTAGGGAGATATTCGCACCTCCAAACACCGAGGCGACCAGCCAAGGCTGACATTTAAACGTGAAGCCTGCTGCAGAGAGGACATGAAGGCTCGTTAGTCAGCCCAAATCTCTTATCACGAAACGCTTGACTAAAAAGGAATAAATTCTCCTCCAGTCCGGCGACCGGTGGCTTAGACTGCCTCTGAAGTCCTTCATGATCTTCACGATCAACACGCAACGCACATACGCGTGCAGGGTGTTGCCTATAGCTGCATGTGAAGCAATTAGGGGCTGGCTGCGGGCCTAACCCAGGGGTGGTTACTTTCTAGTATCGCATACTCGGGGCGATTTACAGCGGTAGTCGTCATCTCTAAAATTGGAGAAGGATTTCACTCAGTAACGACCGGAAACACTAGTCTTCGCGACTATGATTGTGAAGCTACCAAGTTCTGGATGTAAGTGTGCGGTAAGCATCGTCGATACGATTGATATCATGGTTGCTAAGGAGAAATAGGTCAATACCGGTACAAGCAACTCCATATCGGCGCAAATCACCGGAGTTCACCTTCCCAGCAAATTAGTGCGATGTGGGCAGCCTCGAGAGAAGCGATTGTTCAGTGAGTCGGCTGGTCGACCGCAAATTAGTTTGATTTCAACGTCTTCGTGGTCATCACGCTGCATGCAACCTCATAATGGGCCGTGTAGCGGGTCTTTGACTCAATATAGTCTTCTACCACAGGATAAGGGAAGGGTGTGATGGATTGCAGGCACATTTCCTACCCAACTCTGGCGGCCTCAGGTGTTGAACAGGCATGTGATCATGGCAGTTGACTCCGGGGTATCGATGACTATAGCAACTTGATAGACTCGAACAGACAGTTGGTAATGAAAACTGTAATAAGATCTCTTTGCTAGTTCTAGGTTGCGATCAATATCAAGTGGGATAAAAATTCTCTTCGTCGAAGTCCAAGAAATGAAAACACAAAAATAAAAGCAAAAAACAAAAAGCAAAACATACAACAGATATTGTGTGGTGGTGGTCATCTAGCGCCCACGAGCTGTCCTAGGCGGGTGAAGGTGGATTGGCTGGAGAAGTTGACCATCTTTTCTCTGGTATTGTTTGGAAAAAATGGGTAACTGTTGATAGAAATGCTGTAATGCTAGTCTAGTTGGTCTCGGAGGGAGCTGAAAAATATATGTACAGCTCTATAAGTGCCGGGGAAAGGCTTGTATTCTTGGCGGGACCGGGTTACGCTCTATCCGTGAGCTTCTCGGCACCGGAGAACCGGGATCTGTGGCCAAGTTCCACCACGGCCGCTCCCTCCGCAGGTACGGCAGGCCCGGTTCCGCTCCTACATCCTCTGTCGTGGAAAAGCGGCGATGGAAATTTCAGTGCTAAGATATTTGTCACATGGAATACTAAATTGCCTGCGTATTTGTATGTAAATTTGAGTAACACTTTGGCTTCGGTATTGTACTCCGAATACTCAGTTACAACACATGGGGAGGGCTCAAGCCGACCCCTTTCTTTTTGTTAACCTTCCTCAATCAATCGTGTTTCTGACGATTCCGGTAGTCACCCTTCTTCTTAATTCAATACTAGCATATACACCTAATCGGCCTGCTTTGACATATCCTCATTGTCGTTAATGTTGTGAAATACGGCCGCCCCTCCCGCACAGGAAGCTCAGGCTCTCATTGAAGACTTGGCCAATGGCTTGAGAATTATCAAGCAAAGGTCATCTATTCCTGGATCTAATTAGTAAGCTCTGTTGTTGACGGATAGACACGGGAGCTGGGTCTCAGCAGGCAGTTGAAATAAGGACCCTACAAGCGTATACTCGAAGTGATCATTCAATTACATTGTTATAAAGGTACCACCTCGCCAGGCAATGTGAAAAATTATTCACTAAACTTAATATCTGAAGTTCTTCTTCTAAGACTATCTGGATATTCAAATTGAAAAATAAAGAGTTTCTATCTGTTTACGTCACTCTTTTAGAGCCATCTCCCACAATGTCCATGGAGTTCTATGGTTTGAGACATAGCGGGGGACAACAAAAACCTGTATATCATGTAAAGCGGCTTTGAAATAGCAGTCTCACGAATATTTCGTAGCGAATATAGCATATCTGTTCGTTCAATGTGAAAATTTTAGGGTTGTCTTAATGTACACTTTTCAAATCCATTGGAATTGCAATGGACCAACGAAAAGTGATCAGACAGTGGGTTTAGGAAAATTGACGGTTTCAGTAAAGCGATTAAAACTAGTAAGATGATATACATACCTAGGTAGATGACACACCGGAGAATGCAGTATTCTATATTTCGGTAGTCTTCTTGTATCTCTTTCGGATTTGTTGCAACAAGGACTACCTTTTTGCAACCATAAAATCACCGTGACATGGAGTAAGCGCTTTGGGATTGCAACCTTGTCTCTAGAATCCTGGAAGTTCAAGTTTGTCTTGTCCTGTTCTTGTGGTCTGCAAAGGGCAACGTGATCGTATATCCTGTTATCGCCCTCCGGACCTTCCAAATCTGATGATTGGCAATCAATCCGGTCCACGAGCTAAAACGAATAGCCACTCCCTTCCAGTTGTAGGCCTACCTGTGGACAAGATCGCCATTGATCGCCAGTATCGCGCCCACGACGCGTGCTCCCGCAAGGTGCAGCCCTGATTCCCAGTAGGGGTTCTGGCTCACAACACCGGCAGCACAGTCGCTATGCCGCCCCACCTTTTCAAAGACAAAAGTGGGCCCAAAAATCAGCCGGCAGCGTACATAACTCTGTCTTTCAGAAGCAAGATAGACTTTTCAAATCACACGGTTCGCATATGAACAACTCAATCCCCTGTAACTCCTGTAAACGCCAAAGTTCTGGCCATGTCGATCTTTCCAGAGATTACTCAACAAATTGCTATCCGGGATCCTAGACCAAAATCAGGTTGACCCCTCCATACGGACGACTGTCCGCACTATCAGGCGCGGGGCGTAGTATAACGCTTCTCCCATCTCCATTCATGAACTCTTCTTTTCTAGGTCCAACTTTGTTCAGTATCCCTGAGAGGTCGATGATCCTCCGCCCCACCGGTATCTCTACTATATCCAAACAAGCACTGGATAATGATCCTTGGCGGCGCTACGAAGCCAGAAGGCGGATTTTCCATCCATGACACCGGGAGGTGTCGGGCGCGTAGGTCTAGATTGATCGTCACGACTCGGGTTCCGGCGCTAACAGGGGTTTCAAAGTACGGCGAAACTCGAAGTACAAACCACTAATACCTACTGAAGGTCTGTTCCTCAAGTTACGTTAACAACGCCCCCACCTCCCCTCTCTTCATGGCTTCCCATTCATTATATTTCTGTTTTTGAGTTATTAGGAATCAGGTTTAAACGAAGAGGAAAGATACATTCTTGAAATCTTGTGAAGAAAGTCAGAATAACTTGTTTGGATGGGAGAAAGGAGGTCTAAGCAAGGCGGTGTGGGGACCACTAAAGGATGGATAACGGATGACAGAAAATCATTTTGCCAGTTCTTATGCGTTAAATCATATTAGGCTAAACTTGCCGGCCTCATCCACATGACTGCACATTGCTCTTTCAAATCACGACCACGTATCCATACAACACCGCAGGGAGCAATTATTGGATAGTTTTGACCGTCATGGAGTACTCTCAAGACACCGCCTCTCAAGCATGTGGCGCTTGTAAGAAACAAAAAAGAAAATGCGACAAATTATTGCCCGAGTGCGGCCGATGCCTCCGCGCCAGCCGCACCTGCGACTATGCAGATACACCAAAGCCACCTGCCACTACAGCCGATCTGGAAATTCTTCAGGAAAGGTTGATCGAACTGGAACATCGATTAAGCGGCGCTTCTGAGCCGGATTCTCTGTCAGCTACAGTCAGCATTTCAAGCCCAAGTACTCTTGCCACTGAATCCAGTGCTCCTAGTCGAGGACCCAACAACTTTCCGTCAGCATTATTCTTGGATATTGACTGCTACAAATGGTCCCATATGCAACTTCCGCGGCCAACTACCCGTATTCCCATGGTGAGAAGTATTTATCGTTACTTTTCTTCGTATATTCCTTCCCTCCTTTCCCGGCACATTGCTGATTAAAATACAGGATATACTCACTATTCTCAACCAGGGAAATAGTATATTGGAAACGTCTACGCTCTACTTCGATACGATCCACCAGTGGATGCCAATTATCTCGAAAAAGCGACTAGAATCTGGCATTTCGTTGAAGGATGGTGGGCCGGAAGTTGCGCTGCTTTTCCTCACAATGAAGCTAAACGCCTCCCCTCCACCGGCCGGCAACAAGTTCGACCCAATTTATTCGGCTGCTAAAAGTTTCATGGTGACCTTGGAAGCCAGTGGGGCGGTGTCACTCATTTACCTGCAGGCCATGACTTTGATGGCCGTGTACGAATACAGCCACTCCATCTATCCTGCGGCCTGGATGACCGTGGGAGCATGTGCTCGGTTCGCTGAGCTTCTTGGTATTACACCTGGTAAAGATTCGATAAAAATTATTAGTCCGGTTGTAAGTATGGAAATTCTCAAGTACAGTATGGGAAAGAAACTCACAGACTATTTCCAATAGACCACGTGGACCGAGTTGGAGGAGAAAAGACGGGTGTGGTGGGCCATATATCTCTTGGATCGCATTATTTCCCTAGGCAGCCGGAGGAGGTTCTGCCTCCCCAATCCTGTGGATACGGATGTCCTCCCTGCGGATGATGATGCATGGGTGAATAGACATCTCTCTATCTTTTATGCCATACCTTGACTGATATCATCTCTTCCAGAATTCGGGTGATGTAGCCGGTGTAGTACTTTATCCAATTACAACATCCTTTTCCACGCCAGTCTCGCCCTTCTCTCGCTTATGCCAGTCGGCCATGCTCATTAGTCGTGCCACCATATGTCGTGGCGATTCACAGGCAGAGCTTGCGGAACACATTGCCGCTGTTCTTAGCCTTACTGAGGACCTAAACAGCTTTAACTCTATTCTTGCTGAAGAAATGAAGCCGTCGTCCCTCAACGGATATATCCGACTACTCGCCCCGCGGTGCCTTACGTGGTCAACCCTCTTTCTGCTACTCGATAACTATTGCTGTCCGGAGAAAATTAGCGATGAACCAGGCTATACTTTAACCGCGGGCGCTAAAGTACAAGTTGAACTTGTAGCCCAGGTCCAGGCTACGCTAGTAGTGCGAAATATCAGCGACCAGGCGCACGGAATAACCGCGAACCTCATGGATATTATATCTCACATGGCATGTAGCGATCAACTAGGGACTCTAAGCCCGTTCCTTTTGGATGCGCTCTACTGCGCCATGATAACGTTCCAATGGATCTTTCGCGAAAGTGGTGACGAGCAAGCTAAAGCCAGATTAGCTGATATAGAGGCTTATATGGGAAAGTTGAGTGAGCGGTGGATGTTGGCGGCGGAATACATTGCTCTTGGCGGAATCTACCGTAATGTAGGACGCGCCTAAGGCCAATTCGAGGCCTCCGTTCGTTTTTCAACTCCATTACAAAACCACTGGCTACATACCCATAACGGCAAATAGAAAACCAACCATCCGTCCACTTTATAATTTATGCCCTCGGAAAAGCCACGGATAAGGAATGGGTCAGCCCTCAATGGGGCTAACTTTGTGGGAGCCTTAGGACAGACGATCCCTGTCACATGAAGACCCTGAACAGAACAGTCGAGGATAGATATATCGAAGAGGTAATCAAGCCATTAGAACTGCTGTTGTGCAGGGTACACTGGCAAAACCCTTCCCCAGATCAAGAGCAGAGTGAACAGAGGACTACATCGCGGACTCCTGGGGACACAAACGACTAAGATTAACCTACACTCAGGAGTAAGCGGAGCAGTAATGAAGGCGTGTTACCAAGGGCCGAGCTCTCGGATCGCAATGAAGACCATCCATCGTGATAAGGTGGAACAAGCAGCTGAATCGGCGATGTCACAAAAAGGATCCTCGCCGTCGCTGGTGACTATTCAATCAGGTACAGGCTATAGAGGCTCTCTAAGCCAGCAACAAATATCCCTTTGAGTGCTTAGGATATTGCTTATATTAGTTCCCAGATCTTCACGTCGGCTGCGGCTGGTATGGCCTGTTGGGTATTTCGAGAAGTACAGGCAAACTTTCCTCAATGTTTTGTGTCAGGACATATTTTCACACTAGGTTGTCTGTTATCAATCTATGTCTTGGTACATTAGGTTAGTTAGGGCAGTCTTCAACTCCCCGTGTAAGAATAGAATACCATTGCCGTTCTCTCAGCCATACTCGCTTCATTTTGGTGCGCCGAATGGTAGTCTTCGTGAAGGTCATGCTGATACAATTAACGCCAAAGTTTCCAGACTCCAGCTCGCTTGTCACTCACAGAAAGAATCTGAAATACATCGGAAGCAAACCTACTTGCTTGACCGCTGCTCCAAAAGCGAGGGACAATAGTAGGGCCTTTTTCGAGTCGCTTAAAAAAAAAAGAAAAACAGTTTCTTATTGCGAGGGCCGGGGCGGACTTTTGGATGGCCTTACAGATCAGTCCATTCCACACTGTAATGCCGACAGTGACTCGAAGCCAGCTCGTTGCGAACGATGGAAAGAACCCCATCTTCTTAGGGATAGGACTCTATGGTGAGCTTGCCTGTCCATCGGGCTTGATATATGAAGGCATCCAGGGCCATGCCAAACACCATGTTGTCACTGTAAACTGGTATGCACATGGTTACTTAGGTTAGGCTTATCAAGGTGTCTTTATGATCTTCCGATCCACCATAGAGTTTCGCCACGTTACGAAAACCGCCCTACTCGCTTTTGTCGTACGACAATTGGCATCCTTACGGGCTTAACTCAGTCATTATAATATCATTGAAACAAGAAAAATACTCTCTAAGAAGATCTGACTATCATATTCAACATAATGAGATCATACAACATACTTCTCTTGACTGCCTGTGCTTGAAGGGTCATTCCAACGTATTATTGATAAAGTGAAAAAAAAATTAGATTGCGGAGTCTAAACAGCGGTAATCGAATCTTGGCGCCAATCAAAGGTCAAAAAAAAAAAAGCTTTAAATCAATAGCTGCGTGCGTGAGGGGTCAGCTCCGCGATTTTCTGTGTCACGGGCAACGCGCATTATGCGGAGCCAAAGACAAAGTTGTTAGTCCGATGGCACGCGGCCGCCAGAATCACCGCCTCTCCTGGATTATGCGTAGATAAGTGGTGGATCTTGTCCACTTTCGTCTTCGCCACTCCTATCTGATTTGGCCAGGCGTCATTGATTTCAGACCCGGCATGTGGGTCAGCGGGAATTGCGGCCGCCTTCACAATAGCTGCTGGATATGTCTCTCATAAGGCTTGGCAGCCCAACCTTAATTGAGCGAATGAGCTCTTCCTCGATGCCCATCGAAAAGTATATAAACTCTTGACGTCGCCGGACTTTATCCTATTGTTTTAGTTCATTTTACACGCACCAACCGACCAAATGAGTTTAAATCTTGGAATGAGATGCAGCACCGTTCTGCCTAATAAAGCAACGTTAACTGAGCAGAACTTGCCGGACCAGAGTGGAAAGGTGGGTATCCACATCAAGATCTTTTTCTTTCTCGATTAGTTGACTAACCTTCAGAGTAGGTGTTCCTTGTCACAGGTGCCTCTGGAGGCCTCGGCAAACTTCTCACAGATATCCTGTATCGTCATAATGGCAAGGTTTACCTTGCTGCCCGGTCCGAGTCGAAGACAAAGGAGGCCATCGAGGAGATCAGGGCGGCCCATCCGTCATCAAAGGGTGAACTGATCTTTCTCAGCGTGCAGCTCGACGATTTAACCACCATCAAGAAGGCAGCTGATGAATTCTTGGCGAAAGAGGATCACTTGGATGTTCTTTGGAACAATGCAGGTGTCATGGTCCCCCCCGAAGGCTCTCGAACAAAGCAGGGCTATGAGCTCCAGTACGGTGTGAACAACATCGCCCACTTTTTGCTTACGCATTTTCTTCGCCCGGCACTCGAGACTGCGGCAAAACAAGCACCTAGAAACTCGGTCCGCGTCATTTGGGTTTCTTCAAGTGCTGCCGATGCTGCACCAAATCCTGCTGTCGATCTGACCAACATGGATTACCAACGAGAGGAGGGTGCTTGGATGAAATACTCACGTAGCAAGGCGGCTAGTGTAATTCATTCGGCGGAGTTTGCACGAAGAAACAAGGGTACGGGCATTATTAGCCTGGTGAGTAAATCATGATTAATACGCGCGCTGGCTTTCTTGTTCCTGATCACAGACTTCAGGCTCTTAACCCCGGAAATTTCGTGACGAATCTTCAGCAAAATATGTCCAAGATGGAACTCACGATGTTTGTATGTTCCCGACATGGACTTATGCTTGCTTTGAAATAATACTAAACTATCATAATAGAAACTCATTGCGTCGGAACCGATAAATGGCGCTTATACCGAATTGTTCGCAGGTATCAGTGACAAGATTACAGAGGAGAACAACGGAGGATGGGGTGAGGCACCTGCGCATACCCCCGTTTTCTTTAGAGCCTTTTCCCCGCTAACTTTTTCTAATAAGTATCCCCTTTCGGTAAGCTTGAGAAAGTCCGAAAAGACTTAGTGGAGCCGGCCCTCGGAGAGAAGTTTTGGGACTGGACTTTAGAACAGGTGAAACCCTACCTGTAGAGATGCTGAATAATCAACATCTTCAGTGTTGGAGAATGCCAGAGAGTGGAGCTCTATATGTGGTTTAAACTACACCGCGACCTATTGAATGTTCTATATCAAACCTCAAAGTCTCCGCTTCTAATTAGTCACCCTCTTCAAGATTGTCTGCTTTAATGATTGAGGAGATCATTTCTCTAGTTAAGTTCGAATAAGCGCATATCCATCATCGCTTTGCTTCGGGTCTGAACCAAATGGTCTTACATATGGCCAATTTTCCACCATAAAAATGTGGCGAGCAGAGCCTTTCTATGTAGAACACTCAATTCCCTAGTAAAATACCTACTGACGTCATCGCATAGAGTGTGTCGCAGTCGTATCTGGAGCATATGCTATACTTTAAGGCGATGACACCCGCATTCCCCATTACATTTGGGACGCCTCAATTGTATGAGAGACTCTGTACAACTGTTTCAGCAGGGTTGGGGTGGTGGGGCAGGCGTCCGTATTTTGGAATTAGACTAAAAGTTGGAAGGCGGAAATTGGCCCCACGACGACCTAGAGGCAGGCAATTTCACTGAGCAAAATCCAAGCTTTGAAGGAGATGAAGGGGCTACAGTAGAATAATTGCAGTTAAGGCTACCCTGTTGATAGGGAGCGAAACACGGGCCCAGCTGGATAGGAGAGTCAGGACAAGCCGAGCCTGGCGAGGGGAACGCGGCCGCGCCAACCATACATTACTAACGCCATTCCGTGCGCTCGTCTTGTCGGATTCTCCAGCCCATCTCTAAGTACAGATTGCATAAAATATACCTGTGCAGTTACTGAAGGTACTCGGTAGTCAATGTTCCCTTGCTGTTGGAGAATGTCACACGTCTACGAAGTTGTTGCGTAAGAGCATCGGAATCAACCCTGGCAACGATATCCTGTCCATCAAGGGAAGGGTTAAACATAGTCAGGCCGTGAACTTTACCATATACACCTTGATTCACCAGTCGTAAAAACTATTAATCTTATATTCTCATGCTAGTTAACTTGGATGAAATATAAGCGCTTAATAATGAATTACGCTTCTGTGCTTGCATGGGAATTGCGTTGTGCGGGGGACGCGGCCGCCGATTGCCAAGGTGCATGCTGTCCCCCCGCCCTGGAGACATTTCAGGGATTACATTACAAAACATTACATACATTTATACTCAAGCCTGGTCAACAGAATCTCTGGCGGCCGATTCAACATTCCTGTCTGCTGGAATTAATTCCAACTTAAGGCTTTACCAAAGTCGTACTAGATCACGCCTCCAGAAGTATCTGTAAGCTGGTTTACCACAATATCGCCTAGTTGAATATCTGCCTTGTTTCTTGGTATCACTCCACCGATCCCGACCATCAAACCGAACCGGATAGAGTAAAGACTTGAAAGCAATTTTATCGCCGTCGTTGCCGCTGATACATTGCCATATGATCCGCCTGGTAAACAGGTAATGACGATATTATGGCCTCCAATGTCCCCGAGAATGTATTTATCTTTATCAGTCAATATCTAGAGAGACTAGGGTATATTGTGTCTTGCTTCAGCTTCGCAACCGCCGTTTCTAGTAACAATGCGCATATCCATCCGACCGTGTAATCTTCATGAGATAGGAGAGACCTGGTAGCCATGATCGCTCAGAACTCGATATGGAAATATGGATGAATATCAGATAAACTGAAGGTAGGAACTAGACATGAATATCAGTGTTGAGCAGCAGCGGGGTTAAGACCTGAGGCTAAGGCATCGAATGCACCCGTCCAGTTATCCTTGTATTGTGGGGATGGGAACACCGTGTCACTGGGACAAGGGACTTTCAATGCTTGTTTATTTTGCACCGAACTTTTCAGTCATTACGGTTCTTAGTCTGTCGTATCTTCCATGACTAATAGTATTATCAAACTTACTCATTAATTACTCTGTTAGATCAAAAGCACATTATTTACACCCTCTTCTCTAGCTTAGCGCATCAAATGATCAAGATCCGGAAGAGTATGCATGGTGGAGATATAATTAAGGCCCCTAATCATTTGAAATTGGACTCAGTCTTTCCGTCAGGTGTAGACGATCGTAAGGGCAAGAGTAATACTATTCAGATACTATCCATGAGTACGGTAGGGATATAAAACATCCGGCCGGTTCTGGTGCTATAGGGCTCATTAATCTAGGTAAATAAATAGAGGAGATAATACTGTGGGAAACAAAGTGAGGAAACGGACACACTATGTACTGTAATGAACCGGATGGTTACAATTACTATTGCGGCACTGATGCCTAAGGTTTACCTAAGCACCTGCCTATTGTATGTAGTTCCTTCTGTTCTCTCTTCTTCTTCTTCTTCTTCTTCTTCTTCTCTCTCTCCTCAATCTTATTGCTTTCGTTATTACTACCACATAATCCTCGTGCTTGAGCTCCTTAAAATGTACCATTCGCTGCTGGTTAAAGCTTTCACTACATCTTTTAAGATAAGGTAACCAATGCCGGATCAGACAGTAGTTAATAGCTTGAATAATATATCTATTCCACCCGTCAGCACTAGCCAGAGCAAGACCACATGACAGGGATAATGTCAAAAAACGTATAGTAGGTTTAGCCGAGTGACCACGTCATTTGTTCAGGGTGTTCAGGTACGGGGCTGAAGGGACTGAAGAGTAAAGCGGCAAGGACTAGAATCCAAAAAAGAACAAAAAAAATAAACATACAACAGCAGGGATTCGCATGTGGTCACCCACCATACTACTAACCTGCCGGCGTGTGGCTTAAGTACGGCTGAGCGGACGGGAAGCCCTGTTCTCCACACCCTATGGTCGTATGTACTAGATGTAGCAGAGACGAGATTGATGTAGTACATAAAATAGGTAAGTGTATAATCAACAAGAAGAGAGGGTGAGTAAGTGAGTGATTCCCATTAGAGATGATTCCTAAACAGGTCTAGTAGTATACAACTAGTATCCATGGATACCTATAACCACTAGTAGTAGTATAATTATTTTCTGTACTCTTAACTATACAATCCCCGCACTGGCGGTCAGCTTCCCTTTAGGCAACCGTGATTGGACGATCCACCGTTCGGAGGGGTGGGCATTACGCCGTTCACTTTGCTTGAGGTCACCTTCTCTTGGAACTTCCTCTTTTCTTTTCTACCGGGATTTCCCTTTCTCTTTCCCCTCCTTCATTCACCCCTTGCCAGATGTTTCGACTGCAGAACGATGTGCTATTCTTCTACTTTCTTCACCTCTCGATTTCGCTTTATCATAGCTCCATACCAATAGGATAGACCCGCTTTCTCATCCGCTTTCCGCCCACTTTGACCTCGAGCTCATCCTCGGAGCTTCACCTCGAAACTTTTCTTGCTGATTCCAACCCCTCTCCGACAACCATCCTCCACCATGCCCGATCTTCGCCGCCAGATTTTTGAGAGCGGCAAGACCGTCTCGCGCAAAGCCGCCTCAAGAGAAGCCTCCCGCACTACCTCTCGCGATGGCTCCAAGCAAACATCTCGCCAATCTTCACGGGCTGCGAGCAGGCAGCCATCTGATGATGAAGATTCAGGATTCCTCTCTGACGATACTGCCATGAGGTGAGTAGCTGCTTCGACCCCAGTTCCTCCCTTTTGCTTCTCCTTTGGATTTTTTTGTGCATTCAAGGAATCTACATGGTCCCACTCGGTGGCGGGATGATGTCACCGCCGTCAAGCATTGTTTTTTTCTTCTACATTCTACATTCTACAACCTTGTCGAAATTTTGAACAGTGCAGCTGACCACAATCACCCCTCACAGCATCGGCTCACTAGATGACGAAAATCCCGAACAGGAAAATGAAGACTGGCCTCAAGAGCTAGCCGAGCGCATCCAGGAGCTCCTCGAGCGCAAACGCAGTACCGTGCAAGGGCGCGAAGAGGCCTTGGCAGCCTTCTGCCGCTTGACCAAATACCATTACGCCGAAGAAGAACTCCGTGGCTCAGTCACCGATCTATTAAGCACATTCGCCCGAAGCGTTCGAAACGAAACCAGTACCCGCGAAACAACCAATGCCCTCCGCGCGATCGAGTTGCTCGTCATTACGTCAAGTGACGACAAGATCTATCAAAATGCCGAGCCGGTGCTGACGCGCAGCATCCGCGACTCGAGCTCCGCCGTCGTCAAGGCGGCTGCCATCCATTCTCTCGGCACATGCACCATCTTCGGTGGTGCCGGCGAAGACGGCATTCTCGACCAAATGACTTTCCTCCTCGACATCATCGCGTCGGATGGCCAGTCCATCGACGCCGCCGACGATCCGGGGTGTGTCACCGCAGCACTGCAAGTCTGGGGCTTCCTCGTGACCGAAATCGACGACTTCGAGTCTGAAAGCGAAGAAGCAGTCCAAATCTTCATGGACCAGCTCGACAGCGGAGACAGCGGAGTCCAAATCGCCGCAGGCGAAGCCATCGCCCTCCTCTACGAAAAGAGCTACACGCCCCAAGAAGACGACGACGACGAAGACGAGGAAGATTCCGATGAAAGCGACGAACACGCGCCAGACATCACCGGCCCCAAACTCATCAAGCGCTACAACGCATACCACAACACCCCCGAGCTCGAACGCTCGCTACAGTCCCTCGCAACAGTACACAACAAGCGTATCAGCAAGAAGGATAAGAAATCACTGCACAGCAACTTCGCCTCTATCCTGACGACTGTTGAGAACCCGCGCCGTGGGCCTCGCTACAATATGGCCATCGACCAGGACACTAATCGCCACTACGGCAGTACACTCACTGTCAAAATCGGCCGACACGGCCTTATGAGCATCGATCGCTGGTGGAAGTGGGTTCGTCTTTCGTCGCTTCGCCGTATCCTGCTGGGTGGTTTTGCCGAACACTACTTCCAGGGAAACCGTGCTGTTCTCGACAATCTCCCCGTCATGATGCGAAGCATCGGGGAGACCAGCACAGGAACCCCCGACCGTCAGAGCGCGAAGAAGGCCGCCCGAATGCGCAACTCGCGCCGCTGGACTGCGCAGCATGACTCTGACGACGATGAGTAAACGAAGCGATCATGTCTGTCCAGCAGTCTATTCGTACCACATGTATCCAATGTGTTTATGACCCTGTCAATCCCTTTTTTTCTCAAGTTCTTTCTCTCTCCTCTTCTTTTCCTTTTCTGGGCCTGGTTTTTTTTTTCATGTTCTCTCTAGTCTCTGCTTTGCACAGTGTGCTTTGCGGTTAGTGTTTATATCGTCGCGTTCTGCTTAGGTTTTTGGCCGCTTGGGCTTGAGCTGGAGTTTGATCCTTGGGTTTAAACCTGGGAAGTTGTTTATAGTGGATCAAATACGCACAATCCATTACTGAATATATGAATATGAAGTCTACTACCGGTACGTAAGTAGTGGTAGTAAAGCACTCGAAAAGGACATAATCCAAGTAGTACTACTATGTCAGGCCATTTACGGTCGTGAAGACTAATATGGTAGAATATGATCTTTATTCTTCCCTCCGAAGGAAGGCCTCGGAGGCATCCTATGTCTGGTGTACGCCCACAGCCCCCCCCCCCCACAATCATGGCCACCCCAACACACGCCCCCAGAGACGCTCAAACCGCTCAGTCCACTCTCACAGTGTGATAGTGGCCAGATTCCGTAATCATACGGCTTTCGTTTCGGCCGTTGGCGGGGCCGTTGGTGTGGATTGTGGTCGTGTTCGACCACGGGACACTGACGGCTAATGATATGCTAGATGATGTGACCCCCCTCTCCGAGTCGTTATGTATGCCCTCATGAAGAGGTAACGATAATATGTGTTTCTGTCTTTTTTGGCGCTGCTGTTCCGATAGCTTGTTTCTCTATTCCTCAATTGGTTTGTCTACCTCCTCCTGCTCTGCAACAGCTGATGTACCCCCTTGGATGTCCGCCCTAACTTCTCGCTTCTTCAGCTTGTGGCGATCATGTATATCCGGCGCAGGCAGTCCGTGTATTTTGGGATACTGTTAAGGAAGGAGCGTTTTGCTAAATTGTACTCATTGATAGATTCCAGAAAATCTACCTCGTCTGCAGACTTTCGAATACTAGAGAGTAGTTATATCTAGTAATGTAGTAGATTATACTCTTCTATCTACTTATTACTAGTATACTCTCTAGTATACTACTCTAGGCACCGTATCCGATCTTGTTCAATACCTTGTATTTGCCATTATAACATCCCCAGTATAGACAGGATGAAAGCCCCCTGTTTTATAAGAATGACATGCCTTCTTCGATGCTCTCCCGAGCGCTATTGTTGTGCAACCTAGGGTCGGATTCGGTTCGAGGACTTGAGGCCTCAGTGGTAGTCATGGCTTTTTGAAGGCTACGGCTTGAGTCGCTGAGAGTCGATTGAAACCAAAAATAGGCATGAGATTTCTAAGATAAAAGCATGTTATGCTTTATCTCTCTCGACCTTTCCTTTGATATTGTTTGTTGTCGCTGATTGGTGACTCCAACAAAGAGCCTACGGCGGCGTCATTTGCTTGGTTTCTTCACCTACTGACCTATGTTGAGAGCTACTTAGAACACGCCCTGTAGCCTACTGAAAATACTAAGATCAGCGGTCTGGGTGGTTGGCCCTAGATTCCCACATATTCGTGTTTCAACATAAGTGATCCCTATCGCCGTTAAGAAAGCAATGTCACCACTGCAGAAGCAGCCAAGTTCTTACCAAATTTAAGTGGTCTAGTTGCTGGCGCTACATGGAATGTAAAAGCAGTCCTTTTTAGGGTGGGGATTACCCATTCATCAAAGACGATGTACATGTGGTGTTATTCTATCATGTACAGATTACTAGAATAACCATGAGACACTGTATTTTCTCGAGTTCCGGAAATCTCCGCCTCAGGTGGCACAATAAGAGCTTCCAACCAGCATTTTCCCTTCTTGCTTTGGCACATATCTGAAAAATCATTAAATTATTGCTATTCATCCATTTTGCCTTTAGTATCTACTCCTAGAGTCTTCATAATAACTAGCCCTGCTGCAGGGATAAAATTGAACTGCTCATAAAACGGGCTCAATAATAATGTTAGATAGAAGTTCAAACTGCAGCGTCATTACTCTGCACTTACTATGGATTTCGTTGTACTGTGATAGTGACCAATTGGTATGGATATCGCTAAATATTGTATGTCGTCAAAACTCAGAACAGAAAGCTAGGCTTTGAAAGACTTGAATTCGAAACTGCAAATGAGAATTATATTCTCATATTTAAACAGGCTATATTCTGCCTTTTGTCTAGGTGTTCTCATCATGAGCCTTCACAGCCTGTTCCCTGCTGACAAACTCAAGTTCTGGTCGTTTTGCATCACTTTTATATCACTTTGTGAGTCAGACATGAGTTTAGCGTGGCTTCTATGTGACATAAATCCCCAGATTCCTTGAATAATGGCAGTCAAAAGGCCAGTAGTAACCACATATATCCAAATTGACGGTGAAAATTTCGGGCTGTCTTCGTTAAGGAAGTTGAAAAATGTCATGGAAAAGAATGTCTGCAGACTATTGTAAGAATTTTAGGATCAGCAAGGATTTTACATCACTTACCGCAGTAAATGTAGCCGGGAGAAATAGAACTGTAACCATAGCGAGTATTCTCATTGAAGCACTGTCCCGGGCAGTAGAAAGTGCAACAGAGCGTGAATCCCGTGCAATATCAATCATTAGTTTAGCGTCATGCCGGCTTAGTTCACTGAGGTTGAGCATCGCTTGGTTATCACTTCGACTCAGCTGAGCTACTATATTCGATGCTCGAGCAATTTCGATATTTATGATGCTGTTTTGAGATGCCAGGAGAGAATAAACCTAATATAATTTAGCTATATACTTCTACCATCTCTTTGAACGGTCTTAGTTGATTCTCAATCATCCAAAACAAGGACGATTGAGCTATTAATTAGAGAGAGGAACATACCGTTTCGGTTTGAGCAGATGTTCGTCGCATCAAGTAATCGCACTGTGCCACAAGTCCAAGATACCAGCCTCGTGTGTTTTCTAACTTGACGAGAAGTCCATTTTGATCAAAAATCGTGCATCCAGGTCCTCCGACTGCATGCTGATATATCCTTTGGATCAAGTATAATGCAGTCTCAGCTTGCATTTTCAAGAAAGAAAATCTACTAAGTAAACTGCTAAGTTCACCAGTGATAGGAACCATATCTAGCTCTTTCCAGTTTTGAGCAGGCTGTTGCAAGTCTTGAGCACAGATTGGCTTTCTCATTCCGGTTGTATCCTCGATGGTACGAATACGCTGTCTTAGACTGTTGATCGTTGCAGTAAACCACCGGGCTTGGAGTTCAAGAACTAATGTTGGAATAAAAACCGAGATATCTCCGAGAGAAATATTAACTGACTCTAGATAGCCAAATAACTCGGATAATGACCACGCCTGAGCTCCAAATATCAGGATTCGTGTTCTACCTGTCTGACTTACTGTCAAGCCGATGGAAAAATGGGAATGTGATCGAGCTTGTTGAATGATTAGTTCTGTGATTGATTAGTCAAATTTACTACTAAGTTCAGACGATAAGATGTATTACGCTTGCTTTGCCTGCCTGTTGCTCTATTTTCTCCCCTGCCAGTGGGCGAAACAGAAAAGGAAGCAACGCCCGTATGAATCACGTCCAAGAAAGCTGGAGAAATGTTTAGAGCCTTGGAAACCCGGTTGAAAAGCTCAGGAGAGACGGGTAAACGATTTTTTTTCTGGGTCTGCTATTGTAGGTCTCGCAAATGCCCTGTGAAGTCTTAATATCAAGGTGCTGGGTTGACTATGGGACCCTTACACTACAATGATATCGAGATCATCCTATCGAATGATTAGCCAGGAAAACTTTTATGGTGGAGAAAAACTCTACCAAGTTAGACTCATCGAGGTAGGAGTCAACTTCTGCCTCAGATTGCATTTGGCGACGTTGGATGTTTCGGAAAGAGGGTCTGGGAGTTGAATAACCGGAACCTTGCTGCTGTTCATCTTGGATTTGAGTCTAAAATCTATGAGCGGCTGTACGGATTTTCTTCAATTCATGAGCTCACTTGGACTTGGGCACAAAAAGTGTGGCATTCATATAGTACACTAAATGAGTCGAGATTTCCGCGAAGTGGTGATGACAGCCTCTCTGGTGTACCAGCCATCACAGCAGTAAAGTGACTGAGATTACAAAAATAATAAATTGAGATGGAATTACCGCAAGCTTGAGGTGATTTATTTATGTATATATGTTGAAATCCCTAGGTACATAGTTGAGAATAGGCTTGAGATAAATGTGGAAGAACTTCAGGCGAAGATGGCACAAAACTTTGGGCACTGGGGCGGTGCATGTAGGTGTATGTGGAGCGGGCCCACCGACCGAGCTTGTCGCAGCCTTATTGGTTACATTCTTTTGAGGGTCTACATAGGACTCGTTTGTCTGCCTGCGTCGCATTTCACCGGGGTATTGGGGCATGCCACGTAGACCATGCGTCAGCGGGATGCCTCGGGAAACGTGAAAACTTTGAGCAACTGATTGGTGAATTAAGGCGAGGCTGACGGAGAGATAAAGAGGGGGTGTTTGAGGTGCGCAAACAAGGTGGCAGATGGCGTAGCGCAAAAAAGAAAACACGAGATAGTGGCCATTACCTCACTCATGGTGCAGTTTTAGCGCCCTTCAGATGTGACATGCTTTAGGTGTATGATTGATCACATCTCGTCAAGCCCCTCATTCTAAGCAAACAGGTCAAACAGGCCAAACAGACAGGCAGGGGGCGCAGGATAAATGTGACTTGCTACCTCTCTTCACTTTTAACAGGATATGGACAGAATATCAAGCCATTTTCTACACCATAATCTTGTCTTCTTATTGCTCCACTAAGCTTAAGAAAGGCTGCCGAGGCGGTCGTTGACATTCTTACTCATCACAATCTGGATTTCCCACAAATTCTCACCTATAGTATGTCTCGATAGGCCTCTACAATCCCACAATTCATATCTAGAGAGCAGCTCTCACGATGATTTTGGGTTAGAAAGAATTAACAATAGACAGCGGAAATCTACCTTTGCAGTTATGACATGGCCGAAGGAGGAGCCACAACTGCCGATGGAAACAAAGGATAATGTGGAGACTATGAATGAAGACGAAACGAAAAACGATAGCGGGGATATGAAAGTGCTTGTCGAGCCTACAAAAAAAGGATGTCCTATTGAGTACGGCTTATGGTGTATCGTATTTGATCGAAGCTAAATTATTTCCAGCATAGTTGCCGTTCATGGTCTTGGAGCTGATCCAGAAGACACCTGGGTCCACAAACCTAGTATGGTCGACTGGCTACAAAACAAAGACATGCTTCCAAAAAAGGTCCCAAATGCCCGCATCATAAGATTTGGGTACCCTGCCAAATGGTTTGGTAACTCCAACGAAGAACATACCAAAGTCTTCGTGAGTGTTGTGAGTGAAAGATTGCTCATACTTCTAGAGATGCTCCGAAAGGTACCCGTTGCCTCATTCTTTTGATTGGAGTCTTCTAAAGAGAATATACAGCAAGACCCCACCCGTCCATTGATATTCCTTGGTCACAGCTTTGGGGGGGCTGCCCATTATTCACGCTCTTTGCAGATCCCGCAATAACCCCCAACAATGGGGTAATTCATTTCAATCTGTCACTGGGCTCGTATTTTTTGGCGTCCCATTCCGAGGAAGAGATGGCCCTACAATTAAGGAATGGGTTGAAAATCTTCATAAATATAAAGGCAAGGATTCAACTTTTCAAATCTGGGAAGAGACCATGACTACATCCCAGCGCGGAAGTCAATATCTTCAGGAAATATTCAGCCAGTATACAGAAACTCGAGGAGTGAAACATCCTATTCCTGTCTCTTGTTTCTGGGAAACGCTCCCGAGTCCCGTGGAAAAGGTTTGGGGCAACCCAGATCCACCCGAATCGGTAGGCCGCCTTGCAGCATATTCCAAGAGTTGTCTTTCCATGCTGAATGAGAACTAGAAAAAGGAATTTATTGTCTCCATGACCTCAGCCTGTCTTGACCACTCAGCAGGAGTCACTCGCAATGCACTTAAAAGACACCATTTTAACTTACAGAAGTTTGCAGGTCAGAACGATGACGATTGGAAAATTGTCGCAAACTGCATTTGTCCCCTGGCTCAAAATAGTAGGTCGTTCTTGGAAATGAGGACCAGAGGTAAGAAAGACCTTTACTAGAAGTTGAGTAAGGCAAGAAAACTAAGTATCAAAGACGATGCAGGCGAAAGAACACCCATTCCAACATTGAACTGCTACCAATTTCCTTTCAACGAGAGTTTACGCATTGTGGAAGATGCTACGTTCGACTCTCGTCAAAATGAAAAGATCGTGAATTGCGATGAGCACACACGCCAGGAGATGCTTGAAGATATCATTCAATGGACCGAGAGCCCAATACCTGACGAACATCTATACTGGCTTCAGGGAAAGGCTGGCACCGGTAAATCAACGATCGCGCGTACGGTAGCCGATAAACTCGACAAGAAGGGTCGTCTCGCGGCCAGCTTCTTCTTTCAGAGGGATAAGGACCATCGCAGTAGTGCCGATTATTTCTTCCCCACTATTGCTGCCCAGCTCGCGCAGAGAATACCTGGTGTGGCTCCGCATATACAAAGCGCCGTCGAAGCTGAACCCCGTATCAGCACAATGATGCTAAGATTGCAGTTTGAGAGACTCATCCTGGAGCCAATGAAAGCCGTCTCACATCCGAACTCCAAGGCCATGACGGTTGTGATCGATGCTCTTGATGAATGCAAGAAAAATCAGGACATCGAGATGATAATTGATTTACTGTTGCAGATTGACTCACTAGTGATTCCGTTGAAGTTCTTCGTCACTAGCAGGCTTGAGTCTTCGGTTCGCCTCGCGTTCCAGGATGCCCAAGAAAAAAAAGTAAAACAATTCCCGCTTCATGCGATCCGAGAGGATATAATCAAGCAAGATATCGCAATTTTCTTGGAGCCACGGTTGGCCAAGATTCAGCGCCACCCCAAAGGTGACTCAAGCTGGCCGGACAAGGACACATTTCAAATGCTCCTGGAAAAGTCCATCCCGCTGTTCATTTTCGCGGCCACTGCCTGTCGCTTCATCAATGACACTCGGATAAGCGGCGGGCCAGACGAACGACTTCAAATGATACTCCAAAATGAGACTCCTGCGGACTTAGATGGAACATACCTCCTTATCCTGGAACAAACGATACAAGGACTTAAGGCCTCCCTTTGTCGGAATGAAATTAAAAATTTCAAGACAATCGTGGGCTCAATAGCCACACTCGCAAATCCCCTTGATGCTGCGGCACTGGCAAGGCTCCTTAACATTGGCACTGGATACGTCAATGACAAGTTGAATCTGCTTCACTCCGTGCTTGACATTCCAAATGATGCTAATGGTCCTGTGAGAATATTTCATGACTCATTCCGAGACTTCCTCATTAACCCGGAAGATACCCACAAATTTTCTGTCGATGAGAAGGCCACCCACGAGATGCTTGCAGAGAGATGTCTTTTACTGCTTTCTAGTAGTGGCCATCTAAAGCAGAATATCTATGGACTAGCAGCACCTGGTAGTATTTGTCCGATTCCAGATCAAAAAAAGCTGGAGCTATGTCTACCATCAGAGATTCAATATGCCTGCGTTTACTGGGTTTATCATTTGAAGAAGAGTGGGGTTATTCTGAACGATGAGCACCGAGCTCGGCCATTCCTTCTTGATCACTTTCTCCACTGGCTTGAAGCTTTGAGCCTGATGGGAATGATATCGGAAAGTATCAAGCTGTTGAATGATTTACAAAGTCTGGTTGATGTAAGTCAATGATATGAGAATTAAAATAAGCTCCTGTGCTAATAGATATAGAGCCACCAAAATTCTGCAGTCGGTGAGTTTCTGCATGATGCAAGAAGATTTACACTTCAAAATGCATATATAGCTGGCATTGCTCCACTGCAACTCTACTGTTCTGGGATAGCTTTTGTTCCAGTACAAAGTATCATCAGCAAAAGGTTTATCCACGAGAAACTCAAACAGATAGAGATGATGCCAGCAATGATAACATCCTGGAGCTCAAGTCTACAGACTCTCCAAGGACATCACAACTCAGTATTCTCTATAGCCTTCTCCCAGGACGGTCAGACGATGGTCTCAGGTTCATCTGATAACACTCTCAGGCTCTGGGATGCTAAAACCGGCAAAGAGCTGCAAATATTTGCAGACGAAAGTACCAATTTTGTCTTGTCTGTAGGCTTCTCCCCAGACGACCGAAGGGTAGTCTCAGGGTCGCTTGATAAAAAGATCAAGCTCTGGGATGTTAGAACTGGTGAAAAGCTATACACTCTTGAGGGACATTCTGGGTCAGTCCCATCTGTTGCCTTTTCTTCAGACGGTCAAATCATAGCCTCTGGTTCAACTGATGCGACGATCAAGCTCTGGTCTACTGAAACAGGTAACGAGCTACAGACCTTCAAAGACCATCGTGGTTCTGTCTATTGTGTGGCTTTCTCTCCAGATAGTTATCTATTAGCTTCTGGCTCAGAGGATGAGACAATTAATCTCTGGGATGTTAAAGCAAGAAAGAAGGTACTAACTCTCAGGGGTCATTCTGACAGTGTCAACTCAGTATCTTTCTCTCGAAACGGCAAAATACTGGTCTCTGGCTCGAATGATACAACAATCAAGCTCTGGAATACTGAAACAGGTCAACAGCTACAGAGTTTTAAAGGCCATTCTGACCATGTTATGTCTGTCGTCATCTCTCCAGACAGCGAATCAGTAGCCTCAGGCTCACTTGATAAAAAGATCCACCTCTGGAATATCAAGACACGTGAAATATCAAAGACCTTTGAAGGCCATTCTGGAGGAGTTCTCTCTGTTGTTTTCTCCCCTGACGGCCAAACAGTGGTTTCAGGCTCACATGATAAAAACATCAAACTCTGGGATATCAGCATAGACAAAAAGCTACAGACTGTAAATTGTCATTCTGCCAAGATAAAGTCTATAGCTTTGTCTCCAGATGGTCAAACAGTGATTTCTGGCTCAGATGATACAAATATCAAATTTTGGGATACTCAGACAGGTCAAGTACTACATACCCTTGAAGATCATTCCAAGTCAGTTCTATCTGTGGTCTTTTCTCCAAACGGCCGAACAGTAGTTTCTGGCTCAGCAGATCACACAATCAAACTCTGGAATACGGAGACGGGCAAAGAAATACGGACCTTCAAAGATCATTCGGAGATTAAATCTGTAGCCTTCTCTCCGGACAGTCAAACAGTGATCTCAGGCTCGAATGATACAACAACCAAGCTCTGGGATACTCAGACAGGTGAACGACTCCAGATCCTAGAAGGCCATTCAGATTCAGTACTGTCTGTTGTTTTCTCTCCTGATGGCCGAATGGTAGCCTCTAGCTCGGATGGTGATGCAAGGATCAAACTCTGGGAGGATACAACGATCAGGCTCTGGAATTTCAAGACAGGCAAAGAGATCAAGCCCCTCAAGGTCCGCTCTGATTTAGTTCGATCTACGGCTTTAGTGCCTGACGACCAATCAGTGGACTCTGACTCAGGATCTTCATTTCTCGGGCTCTTTGGTAACACGACAATAAAGGTCTGGGATGTTAAGACTTGTGAAGAGCTACAGACATTTGATATCCATGCCGATTCAATGGAGACCGTTGACGGCCAAATGTCAAGTCAGTCTAGTCCTCAGGTTTCCGTCAAAAATGAGTGGATCACTTTCGCAAACGAAAATATGATGTGGCTCCCTCCTGAGTATCGTGAATTCAGCTGCTCAGCTAGACAGGGTGGTACCATTGCTCTTGGTTATGAAGCTGGGACTGTTTTCATTGCGAGTTTCCGTGATCATTAGGTGATTCATTGCTGTACGCAGTCTACTCGTGCTTATTGTAGAACATATGACCAAGCCAGCATATCTCCTTACATTTGATAATACCTTGTACCATTTTCATGTTTTATTTCTAGTCCTCAAGATAGAACCCGAACCCAGTTGTTCAAGCACCCGCATACAGAACTGATCTAATTAGCTAAGCTCCCTGATATTGTGAAGTTTCTTTTTCCGTGACTCTAATGACCCTGACTTGATTATGTGATGAAGATGTGATAGACGCATCCATGGTTACCTGGAGTACCGTCCGATGCAAACCACGACCGTGAAAGCTCTATCAGGTATTAATGTCACTGATGTGCCTCATTCTGGGAAACCCGTTTTGTGCTAGGCATCTAGTTGATTGGACCAGCTTGTTACTATGCTTGCCTCTTCCCTTCATGATCTATCGCCCTAACCATTAGCTTCATCATTCATTGAGTTCGTTTTATCAACAGTCTAGCTATATTTCTTTATAGCAGAATTCATGATCAGGACGCCCAATATTGAATAGCCCCTGAATCTTAATGCTCTGTTGATGAAGGCACTAGAGGAAAATAAGACGTTAGAAGGAATATGAACGAATTATGCTATCTCAAGAGATGATGAATGATGAATATGAAAAAAAGAAAAGGCTGGCTGGATGGTCTAAATATCCAGCTGGAGCGGAGATCTCCGGATCTCAATACTTAGTGCTGTGCTCTACCTAGGTGCCATCCCTGTGAAATTTTTGTTCCTGGGGTCGGTCAAATATCAATGGATGCTTTGAATAGACGTGCTCATGTTGACTCATGCCTGTAAAAGATCTAGACTTGCCACGCGTGGAGGCTTGGGTCTAAGAGAATCTCCAACATCATCAACCCAAAAAACACCGTCCGCCCCCTGGCCCTGGAGTATTAGTAATATATACAATTCCTGCCATATGTGTGATCTCACCAAGAGAGGACCTCGGGAGACATATATGCCACCGATTCAACCGAACCTGAATGGGCCTCGATGATCTGCTGCAGCGCGCTTGTCGTCGTGTTCCAAAGCCGCATCGTTTTGTCACTAGAGTCAGATTCCAGCAGCGCGCCGTCGGGCGAGAAGGCCACCGACTGAACCAGACTCAAATAGCCCTTAAGAGTCTGCTATAGCGCACCTGTTGCCGTGTCCCAGAGTTTTACTGTTGTATCATTAGATCCAAATACCAGTATTGTACTGTCGGGCGAGAAAGCTACCAACTTAACCAAACCTTGGAAGATAAATCGCCGTTGAGAGCCTGTAGCTCTAAGCTCCAAGTTTCTTCAACCTATAACAACTAATATATCTCACTAAAAAATTCTAATTAAAACTATCTACGCATAATTACTTTAACGAATATAAATATAGGTCTAGAGTAATAAAGTTATAGCAATATATATTTAGCTATCTAAACATTTTCTAGAATTGGAAACTACTTTATATTATTCGACAATTCGGATATTTCAGAATAGTATCAATTATTCCTTTTCTATTAGTATAAATTTTGTATAATTATTTCAGGATATTCTAGTATATTCCAAGGATCTTCTAAAGAAGACTAAATCTTCTAACTAGTACTACTTCTAATACATGGCCTAGTATACTAGTACTTATTACTTCTACTCTATATAAGAAATAATCTTTAAGAAAAAAAAGAGCTTAATAAAGAAAATTTCTAAGAAAGTTATATTCTAATAGGTATTATACTTGGTAATGATAAGAATAATATGCTTTAGGAGGAATATAATAACTAAGAACAAGGTACTAAGTTGCGCTCCACCGATGTCCGGAATCTCCAGCATCCTTGTCCACGATATTTAAAACGCACCGAACACCACCGAACACCCGATGGTTTGGTACAGTCTTCACATTACTCTCAATATAATTTAGGAGATTCCTGAACTCTCTTCATTCCTCGAGTAGATGCTTAAAGTAGATGCTTAGACTTTCCCCAAATCTCCATCTCTTTCTGGCCCTATTTGTTCGACCGGGAAATCCGCAGCCGGCAGCCATCTTCTGCAAACAAACGAACTCCATCCCCGCACGGACTAAGCGTGCCGTAAGTGCTTTCAGTATTTTCTCTGCTTGGACTATCCAGTGTCAGCCGGATCGCCGTAAAGCTTGGTGAAGCACGCCTCATCGTAGTCACGGCTCATATGTTGAAATGGTTGATAAACTGCCTGACGCGATAATGTCGAGTAGGAAAGTTATTTCCTCAAGGATGTCGTCCTCGCCGGCACCACTGAAGGTAGTGCATATGCCAAAAGAATAGATGGTCGCTGCGTTGACGATATTGGCTGCGTTGCGGATACTGCGCGTTGACATCGGCTCTGTACTTTAAAAGATCGTATCCTCGCTCGAGGTGATAGCGAGTAAAGGGACATGCAGGGGGTAGCCGCCGTTGCTGGGATTGAAATTTGATAAGAGAAAGCACGACCGCTGAGTATCATTAGCATATATCATCAGAGATATTCTTCGAGGATATAATTTACCAAATGTCGATGGATGACTCGGTCAAATCAGGCCTTGGTTTTACCCTCGGCCGCTTCAGCAATCTCCTCGTAGTAAATAGCCGGAACCGGGAGCCAGATACCGCCAATGTCAGGAGCCTCGATAATCGCGCGGAGAGCATCAGTCTCGGTGGCTGGTTTCATCGTATTGGTTCTCGTCTTACGGGAATCGAGGGTCGAATGTTGACTGATTTGTCTGCCCTTTCTTGTAGATAAGGAAACCTGGAGGTCTTTAGATCGAAACAAGGACGTGATACTAATTCTCAGGTTCTCTATGGTCGTGAAAATGAATGTTGTAGAAGATGATCTTTTTCCTTTCCTCAAAGGGAAGGAGATACTCAGGTATGTCTGGTGTCACGGGACACTGACAGCATCCTATAGATGACATACTAGGTTGGACAGGAAGAACTTGAAAATGTAAAATGCAGTATAATTGACGCGTTCTTACGTAATAGAAAAATAACTCGACCATCTAAATAGTTCTCATAGCCATCGTAGTAGTATGAGCTCATATATTTCCAAGTTCCAAATCGGTATATTTTCACACCTTGGTCTTAGCTATCCAGTTACTATGTCAATCAACTCTAAGCAGTATCTACTACCGGATTGTTTTGAAAACAGGGCTCTCTGTCCTCTCAGCCGTACTTAAGCCCTATACTAAACACAGTTAATACCCAAAAAGCCCTGGATCTCAAATCATCTCAAACTAGCGTCGCTTTTTGTATTGTGGTGGGGGCAAGGTCGGGGCAGGCTTCCCGCCAATCATAAATGAGGCCGACCCCACATATATCCTAACACGGCCTAGAAAAACAAATAGCGTGGACTAGAGGCTTTTTCTTTCGATTGAGATTCTGGAAGTCGGCTCTTTACGCCGATGGCCGGTAAATATTACTCTATAAGTCCATTTAGTTGAACGGCAACTCCGATCGCTTTGTTTAAAAGACTTCCAAGCCGATTGGAACACCCATATAAACAGTATCGGCCGCGAAGCATTATTCCGCTGACGCTCCTTTTCTCTTGGCCATTTCACACTCTTTTTTTTTTTTGCTTCACAGTCTCTCATTCAAGTCATTCATTAAGCTCATTTCCAATGTGGGTGTTCCAGCCTCGAAAATGGGCCCATTTGGCTCTCCTCCTTGGGCCTATTATAGCTACAGGAGAGGAAATCGTTACGTGCACCTCTTTGGATGCCATTGAGAATGGATCTTTTGAAGACGGATTTTCAAACTGGGGATACGCATCGGGTACCTCAGGCTCTGTAGTTAGTGGAGATGCGTCTGCTGGATCTTCCTACCTCCAAGCATCTGGTTCTCAGGTCATGTTGATCTATCAGCGCCTTCCCAACTTAGTCGCGGGCAATGCCTACACCGTCTCATTTGACTACCGTCTTGTTCCCAACGCAGCGCATATATTAATGAGCTGTCAATTATCCATGTTTATGGATTCATTTACAACGGCTGGACGTCTCGCCATTCAGGCATTGTCAGTTTATGAGAACACCGTCGGTTGGAGCACTTTGTCCTCGTCGTACACACCACACACATCTGGAACTCATACCTTCGAAATCTACGCCTACTGCACGGACGGCTCCAGAGTTTATGCTGATGCGGCAATTGACCTCGACAACGTTATAATTTCCGGGGACACATCCACCATTTGCACCACTGTAACTGTGACACCAACACCTACTCCAACTTTAACTTCAACTTCCACTCCAACTTCCACTCCAACTTCCACTCCAACTTCCACTCCAACTTCCACTCCAACTTCCACTCCAACTTCCACTCCAACTTCCACTCCAACTTCCACTCCAACTTCCACTCCAACCTCTTCGGCCACTTCAGTCAGCACACCAGTCGTTGTGTTCTCATCTTCGGTGATACGATCCTCTGTGGCATCTCTTCTCCCCACTTCAGTCAGCACACCAGTCGTTGTGTCCTCATCTTCGGTGATTAAATCTTCTGTGGCGTTCTCTTCCCCCACTTCAGTCAGCATACCAGTTGTTGTGACATCTTCACAATCACGATCTTCTGCGGTGCCTCTTCTCTCAACCTCCCCCAAAGTGGTGTCGTCCTCGCCCACAATACCTTCCCTCGTTGTATCTTCCTCGCCTATTGCCTCTGTGTCAACTCCAGTCCAGCCATTCGGCACTTCATCCGTCGCGTTGACTCGCTCCCAGTCCTCCAGCATTCCGATTGATCATTCGAGCCACGTCGTCACTTCAGATGGATCAGCTATCGCCACCAGTACTCGACCGACCTCAAGCCCTCTTCGCACTTCAACCTCAACAGGTGTCGTCTCCACTTCAGACATTGAGTCAAAGACTGGCTCCGATATTCCGTCAGCAACCATTACAATCGGTGCAGGATCCAGCTCGGGCGAAAATCAATATACCACCTCCACTGTCTTGACCACCCGCACAGCGACTATCACAGCTTGCCCATCCAGTGTGGTCAATTGCCCTGCTCGTGATAAGACCACATATATCACAACCGAGACAATTGTCGTCTCTACGACTGTCTGCCCAGTGAGTCCAGCCGAGGCCACTCAAACCGCCGTGGGGACAACTACTAGTGCTGGTGCTGGTGGTAATGATGCGGACTATACCACCTCCACGATCCTGACCACCCGCACTGCAACCATCACAGCTTGCCCATCCAGTGTGGTCAATTGCCCTGCTCGTGATAAGACCACATATATCACAACCGAGACAATTGTCGTCTCTACGACTGTCTGCCCAGTGAGCCCAGCCGAGGCCACCCAAACCGCCGTGGGAACAACTACTAGTGCTGGTGCTGGTGGTAATGATGCAGACTATACCACCTCTACAGTCTTGACCACCCGCACTGCAACCATCACAGCCTGCCCATCCAGTGTGGTCAATTGCCCTGCTCGTGATAAGACTACCCATGTTACAACCGAGACAATTGTTGTCTCTACGACCGTCTGCCCAGTGAGCCCAGCCGAGGCCACCCAAACCGCCGTGGGGACAACTGTTAGTGCCGGTGTTGGATTTGGTGGTAACGAGGCAGACTATACTACCTCCAGGATCCTGAGCACACACATTGCAACCATTACATCCTGCCCGTCGAGTGTTACCGACTGCCCTGCTGATGAAAAGACCACTCACCTGACCACCGAAACTATAGTTGTCGCAACCACAATTTGCCCAGTTACTGATATTGAGACAATTGCGGCTTCTGCGGCTACATCGGGTGTTTCTGGCTCTAGTTCTAGCTCTGGTTCTAGCTCTGGTTCTAGCTCTGGTTCTAGCTCTGACTTAAGCTCTGACTTAAGCTCTATCTCTGGCTCTGGCCCTGGCTCTGACTTGTCATCAAACTCCACAACAACATTGACTCTTATCAAAACTCCTCAGACCACAAGCACCAACAAGAAGCCTGTTCATACCGAAGAAATTGAAATTCAGGTTTCCACCGCCGTCTCCACGCCCAAACTTGATGCATCTTTCACAACCAGCATCACCAAGGTCGCGAGTTCTTCAATTCTGCCTGCCTCTGTATCCTCTTCGTTGGGCGGTTACCAAAGTGGATCTGGCCCCTCGACTACAAGTGCTACCATCCCTCTCTTCACCAATGACTCTGGTTCCCGGATAAGCCTCTTCTCGATGACTTTGGTCTCATCTTGCTGGCTTCTTCTAGTTACTTTCTTTGCTTTCTAGATTCTAGATTCTTTATATTCCCGATTGCCGGCTTGGATTAGTTCCCCGGCCATACTCGCTAATATACTACATAGATTAATTATCGATGACAATTACATATTTATTTGATCAGAACATATTTACTCATCATTATTGAGTTTTCTAGTGAATCTTTCCTTTCGGGCTAGATTGCATCCTCTAGGTAGTTGACTGGAGAACCAGGGGCTTATATACTAGCTGATTATTTTACAACAGCCAAAAAGCACCACAAGGTCTTGCGCATACAAAACAGAGACCAACCGACGGCCAAAAAGAAAAACAAGACAAATAGCATGCTATATCTAGTGATCGCATAATAGTTTTCAAAACGCCGCATTGTTGCTGGTAGTAGCCTTTTATGCACTACATAAAACTGTTCAAAGTGCTAGTCGATACATACAACTATAGGATGTGGAGAACAGGGCTTCCCGTCTGCTCAACCGTACTTAAGCCACATACTAAACGTGGTCAATAACCCAGGAGCCCTGGATCTTAAAGGAGCGTTGGCTTGGGTGTTAGGGTGAGTGCGGGTGATATGGGTGAGAATTCTGGAGATGAGAGAGGTGAGAAAGGGGCGAGAGGGGTGAGAATACCCACTGCGATGCGTTACATTTTCCGTCTAAAAGTCTGTATATCTAAATTTTATCAATTTTATATTAAGTTAGGAGTAAGAAATTTCTTACTCTCTACTAGGCCTAGTTAAGGAAGATATTTTCAATATAAGGGAGGCATAAATAATTATATAAGCTATTCACTAACTATTTCTAGTATATAAAGTAGGACCTAACTATTGAATATAAGCTGATAATAAAGTTATAGGAATAATATATAGTTATAGTTAAGGATATAGACTATCTTCTTTATAGTCTATTTAAGGATAATTAGTATAACTATAGATATAAGTAGGTTTAGGTTTAGACTAGTAGTGCTCTTCTAATTTTTACTAGTTTAAGTTTAAGAGTAGGTACTGTTATAGAGTTAAGTGACTATCATAATACTAATAAGTATCTTGATTATAGGGTTTCCCATGTGGACGCCACCAGATCTGATTATTGATTTATGCGCACTGGAAGGTAAAGAAAGAAACTAAGAAGATTCATAGAGGCCTATAATTCATTCAAACACAATTTATTCTTCCATAGGAGGAGATCTGCGCATATCGTTCTCGTCTAGGTAAGCGGGATTAGCATAGCTCCCTCAAGAAACTGCGTAATGTAGCTCATAAAATCAAGAATATTGGTTAGTCTGTTAGCTTTTTACTTATTACTAATCATCCAAGTGGTTTCCTACTCCGCCTCCCGTTAGGTAGACGCGCTTCCGACGAAGTCTGCCGCTACTGATAGTAAGTGAAATCCGAGCCACGATGCTGCAGTCACAGATTAAGCAGTTCTACACAACCTTGAAACAATGAATAAATTCGAGTCATAACTTGCATAAGCTGCGTATTTGGTTAAAGAAGATGACTTCTCCCGATGGTTGACCACAACGCAGGCCGCATTCTTGCCGCTTGCTTGTCCACTTGCTGCGACATTAATATAGGAGAATCCATGCAGGAAAATATTTTCTTTGTTGTAAATTCATCTAATAACGTACGAGTGAATCTAATAGCTGTACAGGATGCCGGAAAAAATGTTATATTTTGAGCCCTACTCTCTTCCACTTGCATCGCCACCAGTCTCTGTTCATCTTACAAATTCCACTGAAGTCGGGATGAAGCTAATATTAAATTATTAATTATCTCCCTTCTACCATCCATCTCCACTATTGTCTATCTAGGTAGGAATCAGAGTGCTGAAAAACCTGCAACATGCGGTACGGCGGGGGGGGGGGGGTACTTATAGATGGGCCACCGAGGGCCAACGATTCCCAGGAGAGAAAAGCTGCTTAGAATCACCTAGGTAGCTTATGTTTAGCTTCACAGTATTACAGATAATTGAGAAATATAGACCGGCGGGGGTCGTGCGAGCAGTCATAGAAGTATTGCCCGCATTGGTCTCGGTTTGTGGGTGGTAGCGCCAGCGCTGAAGTTGGGCTACATGCTATGACAATTGGGAGTTTGGATACTGCATGTTCAACCTCAAGGTAAAGGAAAATTATTACGACCTCATCTCTGTACCGGTAAACAAGGTCTATAGGGTGTTCATCGCAATAATCTCGCTGGCATAGATTCAATCTGTGTAAATGGGACCAAAAAGTCGCTGTATCTTAACGAACTCCATACTTCAAGCAAATGTCGATAATAGGTTGATAGCCAGAATTCATAGCCCTTTCAGCGACAGATAATCTGCGATATTTCGCAGACAAGCTGGCACCCTTCTCCACCAAATACTCAAACTCCCTCGTCTTTTCATAGCGAATTGCAGTAATCAAAGCTTGGCTGTGATATTGAGCTACTGCCCCGTATTGTATTAGGAGATTAATTAGACAGTGGCTCTCGTCTCTCTGAAGTGCAAGATTGACTGTAGATTGCTTCCGTTCAGATCTCCCAGCTGATTTATATTTCGATGGTGACGCCTTTCCGTTTGGGTCTGCTCCATAATCTAATAAAAGCTGGGTGGTACTTCTTGGTCGTGGAGATAGAAGCGCACCACATAGAGGCGGATGACTTTCTATGGATAGCTGAAAATTCACATCTGCTCCCTGTGCCAGGAGGTACCGTATTCGGTCTTTATCGCCGTGCTCTGCGGCGTATTTCAACATCCAGTAGAGGTCTAAGCGGGGGTTTGGTTTGCTGTAAGGGTATTGGCGAAGCTGATCGAAGAGATAGTCTTCAACATCGTGGTGGCAATTTGATGCGGCTTGCACAAGTGGATATCTTCCCTCTTTGTCGTGTGATAGTTGCTTTGCGCCCAGTAATATGAGTTTCCGAGTCAGATTCAAATGGCCTTCGCGTGCAGCGAGAGCAAGGGGCGTTAAACCGTTCCGATCTCGATAATTAATATCGGCTCCTAGATCGAGGAGATATTCCACGATTCTTGCATGACCCTGAGCTGCTGCATGGGATATTGGATGCTCTTTCATCATCTCAATTTCAAGTGGATATCGGAAACGTCTTCCATGGTGTTGTACCGAGTGGGCGAGGTACTGAGATTCCCATTGAACATTTGCCCCAGCATCAATGAAATTTCTGAAAGTAGATTCAGAACCCTCAGCCGCTGCCCAGCATAATGCAGAGATGTTGTGAATATTACGTTGATAAAGGAGGTTGTTTAGAATGCTGTAAAGATGAGAATGACATCGAAGAAAACGATTCAGATCGGAGCATTCCACATCTTTCCCGATTTGAATCAAAAGCTCGGGGGGTACTTTGAGAATCAACATGGTGAACAAATAAACGAAAGAAAAAGAAGGCACCTGGCAGAAAAGGATTCTTGGTAGATCTGCGCTCGTCTTATGCCGATGAGGTCAGCGGTGGACACAGGTTACTACGGTGTATTGTACTAGTTAACTAACTAGTAAGTAGCCCCCACTTTTACGCTGTAACGAACGCATGCACTAGACCAGTCTGGTGTATTTGCACTGCAACACTCACTAATACCTATGTAAAGCGAATACGTCAGTACAAAGGGGAATTATCAAAAAATAAAGAGTTGAACTATAGGTAATTTTCGCGATATCACCTGCTATCTCCTATATTCCTGCAAATTTACAGGGCTAATTTGGCATATAATTAGAGCAGATAAAGGAATAGAATACCTTTTTTGCACAACCTTGGACAGATCTGCTTGTTTCCATGCTTTGTTGAAACCTCAAGCTACTACCAGACGACACATCTCTTGGTATAGAAATTCCACCGACAGACTCCCGGGTGTGAAGTTTCTACATGTTTCAAGATCAGTTCACCTTCTTGAAATCTCTGCAAGTACCATCTCCCCAATTTGCTTTTTCACTGAGATAGAGCCCTGATTTAAATGAAAGGATAAGATAGTTAGTAATGGGTTAGCTGATTTGAACTACAGTGGTACTTACCAGAAATCATGTACATCAATATGTCTGAATTGACCGATTAGCTCTGACGAGACTTTGTTCAATGGTAAGCAAATTTACATCTTCCCCAGTGATGTCTGATCTTTATCCTGCTTTGCAAGTTTGTTGATGTCGACCCATTCATAGGCTTCTGTACCATAGTTCAAGGCCTCGTCGTCTTTGCGTCGAACGTAGAATCAGCATCAGTGATCTACGATGAATGAAGGAGCAAGATAAAGAAGGGAGGGGTCGGCTTACTCAGACTACCCGACCTGCCAAAGTATGATTCCGCATGACTCAGTTCGTGTAAAAACAGACTCTCAGGAGTGCTGTCCAAGACTTCATCGATGTTTTCGGTCAGAAGCGATTTCAGAGGCTCCTGTTTCTTAGAAACGAGGGTTTTGTCTGTCCACGCTTTCCAGGCTCTGGGACAGACAGTCATAAAGTCCTTACTGTTATCTCTACTGCTGGTGACAAATGCAAGTGTCTTTTGGGCGCCATTTTCTTCTTTGCAGATACTGTCCTTGTTTTCTCTCCCGGTCGGAATAGACAGTGGATCATCCAATGCGTAGACGTCTGTTGTTATTCCATGTAATAGATTAATATCAAGACAAAGGAAGAGAAATACTCGTAGTATAGAAGTCAAGGGAACCTTACAGTCTCCGTCCTCGTCCTTTGTACCATCAGTCTTCCAAACGATTTCATCGCAATATACGTCGATTTTGAACCCATTCGTAGAATTTCCTTGATTGTATTTGCTCACGAAGCCTGTGCTCACAAATTAGCTTTTGGCCGACCAAAGATATCTGCCCAATTGAAAGGTTGACAGGCGTACCTGACAATGTTTTCACTTTGGCCTGGGCATTCTTCAGAGCGCTTTATCAGAGGCCTTGTATTCTCCATAAAGTGACAGATAAATATCAATGTATGACCTTTCAGTGGGGCGCATTTTCCTGCGGTCTTTGGCCAATGCGGTCTGGATTGTAGACAGAGATGATTTGGCACTGGATGTCTATTTGAAGGCAAACACAGCCAGTTAACAATTTACACGGGCTAGAAGTTGACACGAGCAAAGACTTAAGCCTCATAGAGGACTCACAACAGTATGCATATTATCCAGTACACTCCTAAAGAAATCTTGGTGGTTGACACACGAGCTGTGTAAACGGAATCCAGTATAGGCTCCTCCAGGATCTGTCCATGTGTCGGTAGATGGTTCCGAGTTGCGCCTTTCCACATAAACAGAGGCAATGGTCTGATTGAACTCAACCGGGAAGCCTTGAACAACATTGAAGATGCTTGCAAGGAGAACTAGGTGGCTGACAATGGCAAGCCATTCTCTGCTACGTGGACCAAAGATCATGGCTATGATCGAAAGAGCGTGCAGTCCAGCTTGAACAAAGTAGATCAAAAGAATGTGTTTTCAAAAGGGTGAAAATACATTTGGAAGAGGCCATAAGAGCAAGGGCATTTCTATATTTCTAAATAAAATAGTTACTCAAACTCCACCCCCTCCTCCTGTCGTGATTGGCTTCACAGTAGTAATCTCTACGCGAGGCACGCGTTTATCTCCAACTTCTCTCTGTATTTGGCCCCCTAAACCCATGTGGATCAAATTTCGTCTTGATACTCTGTAAAAAATTTACTGGCATGTAAATAACTCACTCGTGACTCATAGATATAGCGTATGATGCAGATCTTCAAGTCGGCGTAGGCAAAGGTACGCGCAGTATTCGCCAGATAGGGCCGTCCCCACCTGAATAGGGGCTGAAACTTGAAATAGGGGGACATGGATAGTGTGTAAGTGTTTTGAGTGGAGTTAGTTGCGCGAATTCCACACATATTCAAGTTTGGCCTCAAGTTACAGTATGTGCAAAGTACTTTGTACCCTCAGGACTCTGGCAGCATAAATCTGTGATCCACCCACCTAAACCCCCATTTTGATCATTTGTAAGGTATGACAATACAAAACCGAGATATTATACAAGTTTCAGACCCAATCACCTTGATAAAAGCCGGAGTTAAGGTAACCATGATCTCAGAATACAAGACTATATAACAGTATCGAAGGGAAAGATGTGGATCGCAGATTCATGCGAAATACTAGAGAGGGTATTGTGCCTATAGCACTACTTATGCCTTAGTGGATATTCACATTGTCACAAAGATATCACACGGCAGGGAACCACTTTAAATTTGTTCCAGGGGTCAGTTCATCCAGGAGCCCAAAACACCAGTCTGACCCTGTCCTCTGCCCTTAATTCAGCGCCTTTAATTGCAAAGGATCATCTAAATTCTACTAGTGATATCCCCCATTTAGTAAATGATCATTACCCGACCCGATACCCGAGACTATACTCCGAGTTGTTTATGTACACACTGAGCGGAGAACACGGACCCACATAGCTTATCTGGGTTCGATTCCTCGCGCTACGTCTCGTATCTAGAGTCGACTATAGATCTGTTTAATATTGATTATTCATCTGAAAGACACGCTCCTCATCAACAGATACGTGAGACCCTCAACCCCTGGGAACTAATGCGACGGGCCCTAGGAACGACGGCTAACGGCCCCAGGAGCTCCCATTACCCAAAAATACTGATGCCCCTATCAACGAACCGGGTACCGGGCTAAGTATTTTCCCGCGTGATCACATGATGAGACGCGACCCTTATTCGTTTTGGAAAAGCGCGTCGGGCACGCTGTTTTCACGCAACTTATCCTAGCTATATATCAATCATGACTGATGCTTCTGACGATGACAAACTTTGCGGCAAGCTTGTTATGAAGTTCTGTCAGATACTGGGCTCCGTTGGTGTACCAAATGTCCTCTGGGGCAATTATCTGTTGACAATTTACGGGGTCCCAACAATCACTGACGTTTGTACCTGCTTTTCTTCTGATAGGAAAATTACTGAACAGCATGACAGGATGTAGCTTTTGTTATTCCTGATGATAAAATTGAGAAAGCTTCGTATGCTCTTGAGCATTCCGGCTTTCCTCCTTGTGCAAAGCAGCTGAATTGCCCTCATTTGCGAGGTTTTAAGGCTCGGCCTCCTTCGGAACACGTCCACGTCAGCGATGAGCTTGCATTATCTTTGTACCGAAAGTCTGACACTCTCTGGGAATTTGAAGGTCTTGATGACTGTCGGTTCGAGAAGTCCCTAGATATTCTAAGTGCTTCAGATGTTCGGCTTCCATCAGCAATTCCTGGCCGTGGCCAAGGACGGCTATCACCGGAGTATTCACTCGTGCGAATCCCAAGTACTACTAGGTTTTGCGAAGCTTTGATCCTTCTCCTCTGCAGAGACTACAACACTATCTATGAAACTTACTGGATGGCACTCTTGACATATATACTGGAATACATGGATGAAACGGATATCTTTGATGGGAACAACCTGGCGGATGAGTATAAAGGATTCTTTTTTGCTCTCAAAAAGGGTGATTCGTCGATGTTTTTGCTTCTGGAACAGCTTCGCTGTACTTTGTTTTCAAGCGATCGCTTGACGATAGAATATACTTGAGAATCATACAGGGACAATCATTCATTTGACGACTAGTTCAGTAAAAACTGTCGTCTCGTAATTTCCTAGATACAATATGTTTTCGTGCTGTCAAAGCCTGCCGCCTAGCAAAAGTAGTACCCCCTCTGGTTCGAAATAAATCTTGTAACATGATTCGGTTCACTAAAGTCGCAATTGAAGTGTGTGTGTGACCAAAGGCCCAAAGTTTCACCACACCGCTCTTCCGGCAAGTCTCCCCAGACAGATCGGTCATAAAACCAGAGGAGATCTTGCTGTCTGCATTTTGAGGATCGACAACCTCTTTATTGTCCAGTGGAAAATAATGGGTGAGCACGACAACCTTGCGATCAGGTTCTAGGCGCGAAATCACATCGATTTCATGGTTGAGCCAGTCAAGGTCAGCGCGGTGCGCTGCTTGATGAGCATCAAGGGACCAGTCATCAACATGGTAGAAATCATTTATGCCGAAACCGACATTCTCTTTTTGATCATGTGCCACTTGTGAGAAAAGAGTACATCCCAGAACGCTGACTGTTGATGAAATGTCGTAGCGTGCTTTATCGAGGAAACCAAGTTGGCCGAGCGGCTCGCCTGACTTGGGCGCCGAGTCCATTATGAAGCGCTTGATCTTCAATTTGGTTTCGAACCAGTTGCTGTGATAGGGTTCATGGTTACCCACAACCAGAAACACAACACGAAATGCATTGAGTTGTCTGCGAAGGAAATTGAAGAAATCCTTATCCTTGACGTAACCGATGTCGCCGACCAATGCGAGGTATGGCGCTTTGGCTTCAATATGGAAAATAGCATATGCTTGAGGAGATTCCAAATGAAGATCAGACAAGATCTGCAATTCTGTTTCAGCCATCGGCGGCAATATGAGATGCAAAATGTTTTGGAATACTCGAAGAGTTTCGTGGGAGGAAAGGTGTTGCCCAGCGCTTAGTACTATTTAGTTCATGTACGATACTTGCGATGAGAGCTCTCTCTCTCTCTCTCTGTCTTCTTTTCTTCTCTGCTTTTGTTACTTTTCGTCGAAATACTATGATGTTTCAATATTTGAGTCCTCACAACCGCAGTGAATACTGCATGCCTAGTACAATATTTTAGTAGTAACCTAATAGTGTTCAGGATATATAGTAGTATTTATTGATATCCGACTAATACTACTAGAGTAAATCTTTTCCCAACTTGAAGACATAGAAGAGATGTAGTATATTTTTTAGGGCTACACCCTAGAGAGAAGTTATTTATATCTGTTATTTTAAGATGTTTGTAGACACTATGGTCGAAGACAGTGATGCAAGGATCTTCCATCGCAACCCCATTGCGCTCATCCACCACTTACCATTTCTCCAGCTACCAATTAATAAAGACCTCTCTCTCCTGGCACCGATATCCGACCAGGCTCCGATCCCTTTTTCTCTATCTATAAGTCATCATCATCAGATTCGGTAGGAAACTGATAAGATGCTATCGCCTCCTCCCTAGTCATGTCAATATCAAGGACGACAGGGAGTGGAGGAGGCAGCGGAAAATACGCATTCTCTGAGATACCGTCCTTCACCTCTAAGAACCGGACATGCCGAGACTCATATCCTAGCATACCAAAATTTTCCAAATCTTCAAGTAAATGGTCCATAACCTCCCAAGCTTTCCGTCCATTACGGATACGCGAGCCCCATCTCATATTCTCCTTGTAGTGTTGCTCAGCTTCTTCATCCTTGAATTTGAAAAAGTAAACCAAACGTCGAGCGGCCTGTCCACGGTACTCAATTTTCCCATCCATCCATGCATGATATTGAGAAAGAAATCCTACCATGGGATGAGGTGGTTTCTCTGGAGAATCCCAGTCGGGCTCTTCATGCCAGTGTATCATGCCGTAACATTTTTCCAAAGACAACACGGTAGTATCATCCAAGTCCGCAGGAAAATAAACAGTCAAGATCTCATAAAGCTTTTGCGGCGGAGAAGCAGGGTTTGCCCTTATTATTTGCAGACAATCACCAATTGGCCAGACAAGGTCACGTTTCAAGAAGCGGGGTGCGAGAACTTCTTCTAATTTGGAAAATAGCTCTGACGCGAGAAATATTTCTCTGGCGGCGTAGTTTTCCCACTCTATACTTCTTGGTTAGAGATTTATTTGTCGCGCCTAGCAAGGGCCGGTGCTACTTACCGATTATTAACCACTCGATGCCGCTAAGCTCGCGCGGACTACCTCGCGCAACAACCTGGCATCCATTCTGCTGAGATAGATGTTGTAAGAAACTGAAAAGTCTGCCATTTCCCGGAGTGGTATCGGTGGCTACTTTCAGTGATAACAATTCAAGCAGTTGTCGTCGTGGAGAAACATGATGTAATGGTGTTTCAATTTCCCCGGCCTCCATTCTGACTGGTCAGGCAAGAAAACAGAATCGCTCGGTGGTGATGAAGGGAATAAAACAGAGCCAAGCCAGGGACTCAACGCCAACTATTTATTATGATTTTAGCTAGTCATTTCCGCCCCTCTCGTAATGTACAGATTACCGAGAGGAATGGCCCCACCCGGCTGAACCAAATATACGCGTATTTTACGTCAAACAAAGGGTAACGTTCCATGACCGCGTATTAGCATGTCAGCTGTAAAAATAAAAATGATAAGAAAACAAGGAGCGTGAGACTACAAGCAAATAAGTTGGACTTTTCACTAAATTAATAGCGTAGCACGGTATGTAATTAGAACCAGGAACAACTCTTAGCTAGTATGGCAGCTCAGCGATTTGTCATGTCTTCTAATTTCTAGCTAGCGGCACGTAAACTTACTATAGTCTCCTGTGTTTTAGCTAGTTGTACGCCGGCAGGTTAGTAGTATGGTGGGCGACCATACTCATGCGAATTCCTGCTGTTGTATGTTTTGTTTCTGTTTTTGCTTTGTTTTTCCCATTTCTCACAGCCCGACTGGGTAGATGCCTCCCAGTCTCAGATGCTCCGATCTCACAACCACCAATATGACTTGGTGACGAGTCCACCGACGGCGAGGACAATATTTTTCAACAATTCCATTACCCGCAAGAGTTCTTCGCCGACAGTATCTAGTTTCGTTAAATTTTTTAATACTACACATCTGTTTGTCTAGACTTAAGACCTTGGGGGTTGCTTTTTAGTGTGGAAACGCTAGGGTTTTGCATCCTTAACTCATGGCATATCTTGAGAGACGACACAACTTATCTAGACAAAGTATAAAAATAGAGAAAGCCACACCAAAGTGAAGGCATCAATCCGACAACTGAATCTCCCAGATCAACTGGGCAATATCCTTGAGCTCCTGCTCATCAATAACGATATCGTGCTCTCTAGGAGGTTCGGCTGGTCTGAGGAAGAGAAGATGGAAGGGAATAAGGAGCGGGCCACCGTTCACTGCGACTTCGTCACCTGGACTGCTTTCTATGATCTCGATGGTCTGAACGAGTTCAATCTCTGTGTTTGCACCAGTATATTGCCATCTCTCGATGGTGATTTTGGGGCGCCGTCGGTCTGCCTTTAGGGCTAGTACGATCTTTGCGAGACCATCGATTGGGTCGAGCCACCGGCCAACATCACGACGCAGTTTGGCGCTTGTCTCAGTGATTGCTGTTTCCACTACCACAGTAGGTCTTCGCGGAGTTCCAGGTGGTGTTCGTCTTGGGCCCCATGCAGCATCTGGTTCTTTGGAGCCATTGGCCACAGAAAATGTGGTGGAACCGTAGTGGTAGATCGATCTTTCAAGCCCCATGGGACCTAATGCGTCCCCCATAGCTGATTCGAGAGCAATAGAGAGTTCTTCGTGTTCGTGAAGGATCATTTTGACGGCTAATGAATTGATATGTCGATCGAATGTGGTGTGGATAGAAAGGTTTGGTTCGGTATTCGGATCTAGGAAGTCACGATTGTAGGTAGCCGTATCAATAGAGAAAACAACATATTCAACAACATCTTCAGACTCCTCCAAAGAGTCTAAATTTCCATCATGGTATATTCCATTCGTCATAGTTCTAATAGGATGCAGTGAACGATAAAGGCGCTCGCGCTCAAGGTCAATGATTTGCGGGAAATCTTCTTTCCGATAGGTATACCGTCTGACAGATAAAGGTAGCCCTTCCGGGCCACAGTTCCATTCGTTGAGCTCAGACATTGCATGTGCGTTTAGTAGGACGTAGAGGGAATACGAAATCATGTAGAACTAAATTTACTATTATCTAACGATGGCGTATCGGGCGACCAACGTAATGGCCCAAACAAAGGCGGTGAACATGTGCGAGACGCGAATCGTGCATGTTTTGCTTTCTATTTTTTTCACTGGTGTCAAAGAAATACGAACTAGATACTACTAATAGTAGCCGCGGAGCCCAGCAATCACGAGTCTCAACTAAAGGCTTCACTGAAATTACACGGTTGGATTCTCTGTGCTTTGAATAAGGAGCTTCTCACCGAGGCGTCCATGCATTGTTTGATGGAAAACATCCAGTATACCCACGAACAAGCGCGATACGAATCATTATTTTCTGAGCCGAATTGGGCAACACAATGTCGTAACCAGATGTGTTGGTTCGAGGGCTTCGTCGCCGGTCTTTTTGGATTCTGGTCCAGTGTTTCTCTCCCTTTTGACTGCTTTTTCTCCACCAATATCATATATCATGCCTCGCCTTTCATGCCTATTCTTGAAAAGCCTTAAGCAATGAAGCTTTCGTCTCTGGCCCTCATCTTCTTGGAATGAATCTCTAGATATCCTATTTTTGTAAGGAAGCTTTGCCTTGGTGCGGATGATGGTGTTAGGTTCGGGAGGCCCCGTCCCGTTGCGGACCTGGCGGGGACGAGTGGTGGGGGTCGGGTGGGCCGAAGGAGGGACTTCAAGGCCCTGACACCAGACTCGGTGAATATCATATGTATAGAAAATTCATCTGCGTAGATAGTTGGGGTGTCATATGAGGAACGGTTGAGGGGCAGACTTGGGGTAATGTAAACAGAACAAGGCGGCTGCAGTCACACCACCTCCTCTTACCGCTTTTCTCCTTAGGCCCTTCACCACATCACCCCAACTGTCATGTCTTACGGGCCAAAAAGTCGTGGCTACTGACGTTCACTATGAAAGCTTCTTACTCTGATGAGCTTAATTATTAGCCCACTCAATACTGGTAAGAACCTGATTATTCAGTTTTCGTGCAGATAGCCACCTTCATCTTAGACCTTTTATATTTGTGATGAATTTTTTTAGATTGTGCCTTTCCCAAGGGTTGCTGTGAATACTGTTGAGATTAATCAACAGATGAAGACGTCATTGAATCCTTTTAGTGGATACCAGTAAGGAATTAACCAAGTGAGAGATCAATAGAATGGGTTCACGAGGAAGACGAGCTCGCCTGGCACATTATGCATCTGCCTCACGTCGGAATGCCAGTGGTTAATTGCGTTGTCTCGATCGAGAAACCTTGGAAGGGCTGATGTAGCTTGTTGAAGAGCTGTAGCTGTCTGGCGGTGACGCTAGCCCTAGACTTTTTGGAGTTGGAGGGAGTAAAGAAGAACGGTTCGCTTTTGTCACTCCTTCAATTTTTGCTTTCTGTTGTCTCTGGAACCTTGGAATTGGAACTTGAAGTCCCATCCGAACAATACTACTTAAGCAAGTGAAGGTGAAGGTGATCGGAAACCAAAAAGGGAGAGAAAAGTAAGGAGGGGGGAATATATGGTCAAACTCAAGAGTAAGGAAAGACCGAAACCGGAATCAAAATCAAAATCCGAACTAGCATATGTATCTACTAGTTAACACGCTGCCACCACCACCAGTTCCTAGGTCAGTAGTCTCAGGCAGCTAGTGTCTAGTCTAGCAATTCTCGAAAACAGGCACAACACCAGACCAATTCCCCCTAGCTCTCTCATCCCAATACCCATCCTTCCCACCCTTAAGTCGCCAAACAACCTCCCCATCACCCTCATCACCAACCCGCGTAAACCAGCGCGGAGTCCAAGCCTCACCCGCATCCTCCATCTCACGACGACGCGCGCGTTGCCCTTCTTCCAGCTGGACCTTGACTTCCTCCGCTTTATCGAGATCACCTTCTTCCAGCGCGCGCTGATCAGGACGCAGACGCGAGTCTGTGGCTGGAAGATGATTTTCCTCCACGGGTGTGATTTCATTCAGGGCCGCAGCGAAGGCCGTAAGACCGTAGTGCTTCGGCGCGTTGGGGACGAGGGGTCCAGCAGTCCAGATCGGTTTACCAGATGGTGTTGAGCCATCGCGAGTGAGGGATAGTGCTGTTGGCCAGGATCCCGTCAGACCCAGTGCGAGCGGTTTGTTATACGAGTCCACAGCGCGGGTGGAGACTTCTTCACTGCGGCCGGAGAACATGCCGCCAGCTTTGAAGGTTGTGATTGTTCGTTGGCCGGTGGTTTCGTTTGCGACGGTAAGTTCGCCGACGGGCTCGACGTACTTCTCGCCGGCGATGATGTTGCGTAGGAAGGATGTTGCTACTATCCAGCTGAAGCGCTCGCCGGTGGCATGGAGGCTTATGCGGACTCGGCCTTCTGTTGTGATTTCTGCGGACTTGCCCCAGAATTTCTGACTTGGCATGGGCGATTGCGAGAGACTCCAGTCGCGACTGTCGGCTTGGTAGGCGAGTTGGACGGGGCGGTGGGAGACCTTTTCGGCAATGAAGCGGAAGCCTAGGTCTTCGCGGACTAGTTCGTAGGTTTCGCCGAGCATGGGGTTGAAAGGTTTGCGGATGGATCGTTCTCGGACTCGGTTGCTTGATAGAGATGATAGTGCGAATGCGGTGACGTACATCAGTCGTTCAGTGCTGTCGGAGATCTGGGCAGCCTTGTCCAGCATCGATGAGTACTCGACAATCTCGGCGGCACGCTGTAGTAGAGAAAGAGGCTCGTTCGCGGAAACGGGCATGGATATCGTAGATAGATCTTTGCCGACGTTCTTGCGCAGGAATCCGATCAGACTGGGTGGGAGGACCGTCGGAGCTAATATGTTTTGACGGCGACGGACAACATCCAACGGAAGGGGAGACAATGATTTGGGTTTGACTGGGAATAATGGAGCGGCGTTACTGCTATCTTGAGGGGCCGTTGATTCGTCGTCCTCGTCACTATCCGAAGGAGCATCGTCGACTTGCTCGGTAGCGGTGCCGGGTCGTTCTCCATTTTTCTCCTTCTTCGTCACTATCTTGGATTGTAAGGAGAGGGGAGTTACCACCTCCATCATTAGCATCGAAGAATTCCAAGTCCTCAGACTCCATACTCCGACGGGGGGCCAGAGAGACTGCCGAGCGGGGTGGGTGTCGTCGCTGTCTACTCTCGGAGAGAAGAGTAGAGAATTCCGTCACAACATTATCTAGATCACGCAGAACAGCCATCAAATGGTCATGAAACTCGTCCGTTCCATCACCATGGCTGGCAATACTGGCAGCCTTGCCGGTGGGCACCACCAGCTGAGAAGAACTTGAGTTCGTCTGCTCCGGTCCCGGGGGACGCTTAGCACTAGTATTGGAAGTTCCACTGGTCTTGCGCTTCCAGAAAGGCCGTTTGGGGTCGCGGTCACCACTAGGGGCTTCACTCGTTGCAGATGCAGGTTGAGGACTTGGGGATCGGCCACGGGTGCGTTCCGGCGCAGCGGGCGCAGGAGTCGTCAGGTACTTGGGGTCGGTATCTCTAGCAAGGCGGCGCACTGCATCACGCGAGCCAGATACCTTACCAACCAAACTTTCCACCCTCGTCCATTCATGCTCTTCCTCCGCAGAGGGTTGGTCGGGGAGAGAGATGCGCAATTCAGGAGGACCGCCGAGATGAGATAATCCATTACCCTTGGGTGTCTCCGGAGCAGAGGCTTTCTCCAAAGCTCCCTTCCAAGAAACAAAGTCTTGGTCGCTGCTGGCGCGGAGATGCCAGATCTCCGTTCCGGAGTCAATGGAGATCTCACGGGACTTGTCGTTGGTCGCTACGGCCGCCAATGAAAGCGGGATGGCGCCTCGTAATGCTGACGAATTCGGGTCATGGTAATATGACAGAGTGCATGATGTAAAGTCCAAAGAGAAGAACCGACGCGCCCAGCCCTGGCCTCGCTTACGCCGGCGCTTTTGCAGCTGACCCGTGTGGACGGTTGACGTGGAGGTAAATGCGGTCTGCGCGCTCAGGGTCGATCGGCTGTTCCCACGGCGGCGAGTCTTGGGTTGCGAGAGGGATTCGGTTGAGCCACTGGTCGCGGCGCGAGCGATCGAAGGTGTCGCGGAACTATGCGGTTGTAGACCGGTCGGATAAGTCAGGAGAACGAGGGTGACGGTCTTGGAGATTTGTTTGGAGAAGGTGTTGTCGAAGACCAGCGCGTAGTTTCCTGCCTCATTTATAGGCACATCGTAGGTCCCTTGAGAAATCTTGTCGGCTTCGCACTTTCCAGTCCATTTGATAGTCTTGAGGCCGATGGCTGTAAGCTTGTCGATGACGGTGGATTGTTGATTGCGGGACCCGGAGTTCGCGGTTGCGGGGAGATTCTCGTTGGAATCGGTGCTGTGGGAATCGGAGGGGAGATGAGTGCCGAGAGAGTTGGACTGGCCGGGATGCTTGAAGATGCCAAAGTTGACCGACTTCTTGTGCGGTTGAATGCTCCATGAGATGGTGTGGCCTGCGCCCACATTGACCCAGCGCACGAAGTAGGACTGTAGGAGACCGGGTTGATTAGCATGACTAGGACCCAGAGAGAGAAAAGAGCAATGGGGGATGTCAATGAGTGAAACTTACCTTGCTATGGATCTCCAGCTCTTCCATTGCAGCCATGGTGCCCAGAGTCAGAGTGGTTGCAGGAACAGGAAAGGTGTTGAGGTGTCAGCCTTATGACGACGAGAGCCGTCGCGGTCCGGTGGAGTTGCGGCTGAAAGGGGGAGGCAACTGTTGATCAAGTCTGACACATTTGTTTCCCTGGTGTAAAGAAACAACGAAATAAAAGGATATAAAAGAAAACAATTCTTGAAATCCGGGGGGAATACGATGGCGGGGCAAAAGGTAAGTCAAATGCAAAATGACCTAGGCCGAGGAATCACACTTCACATGGTCCCTGGCGATGTCATCGCTCGGCTTCACACTTGGTACCGGAATTTGGGGAATCGGGGAATTGGGGAATCTATCAATCTTTCAATCTACTCTTTTTTTTTACTGCACATCAGGATAATACTGGAAATTTGTATCCATTGTAACTGAAAGCTTAGTTACACAATGCTCATATTCCCCCAACGGCCAACAGGTGTATCAAATTAAAGTAAAAAGAGGCAAAGATAAAAGAAGAGCGGTACAATGAACTCAAATGCAATGCCCAGATTTTGTTTTTTGATCCGCTTTTCCTTGGATGAGTGAATGGAAAATTGCAATGAAAGAAACGTAGATAGTACACTATACAGAAGAGCATCTGCGCTCACCTCCTGATCCGGCTCTGCATGTTACTAAACATCAACTTGAAGCCATTGCAAAGGGCCTGCATGTCGGGATAGGGGTTCTTCTGGAGCTCGTAACCTTGAGGAATCACCTTCACTAGCCAGTTCTGGAGTCGCGAGTTCTCGCCTGCCTTGAAGCAAAGGTAGAAGTAGCCGGGGTATTTGGGATTGGTGCAGAAGGCATAGGCGGATCGACGCGGGTTAGCCTTGGTGTAAGTCTCGAGCCATTGGTCTGTCGAATTGGTTAGTTCAAAATTCCCCTGCAGGTGGGTGGATACTTGAAGTAGAATGGAATCATACCGGTCTCGGCCTTGCTGCCATCTTGGAATTTCTCATGTAGCGTCATCTCCTCGACCTTGCGGGCCATCGCCTTGACGTGGTTGACAATCAGGTCGTCCAGATCACTGTAGGTGTATTTGCCTCCCACTTTGAGAACACGACCCACGGAGAACTCATTCTCCTTATCCAGCTCCAGCACATCAATATGCTGATAGACACCCTGTGCCACCTTCCATGTAACGGCAAGATGGTCATGCCCACGGGATGATGGACGAATAACGACCTCGCCACGAGCGCGAGAGCCCAAATACTCCTCTGCCTGGGTAGAGTTGAATGGATGGAAGAGAGGATGCTTAATCACACGCATAGCTTGTCCACCCTGCTGTGTCTTCTCTTGCATGGCATCCTTGTCGGCACGTTCCTGCTGATCATCCCAATCGCCGTAGCCGCGGTCCGGGTTGCGATAGGAGGGATGACTGATTTGATCTTCATGCAGGGACACATTGCAGGAGAAGGTTTTGCGGTTGAGGAACAAAATCTTAGCCGGAACTGTCTGATGGGGCGCATAGGCGTTGCGCACTGGCAGATCATGGGGCACGCCGAGTTCGGTCTCTGCGACCAGCGCATCGACTCCACAGTCTAGTTTGGCATCAATGTGATCTTCGAACACCCGCTTGATCGCAATAGGAACCACCATGCCAGCGTGTAACGATTCCGCCGTCTCACCGGTGAGCATGGTAAAGATGTCATCGCTGCTGAGGAAGACGAATTGTTTGCGCAGCTCCTCATACGGTTGTTGCAACTCTGCACGAATGGTTTCAAGAGTCGCACGCTTCCGCTGGTTGAGGTTCTTCTCGAGCTGCTCCGCATACTCCTCCAGGATCAGGTCATTGACGCGATCTTGTTGCTCGTCGCGGAATAACTTCCGAACAATGGCACCGGTACCGTTCTCATCGGTCTCGGCCTTGATATCTTCCTCATCCAGCTCCAAAGCATCGGCGGCCATCTTGCGCGCAATATCGTAGTCTTCGGGATGGACACGAGTGTTGTCGAGTGGGTCGGCGTCCGGATCGGCATTTTCATAATCAATGAACACAAAGCTAGCACAATTGTTCCATACCTTGATACCCATCGCAGGATATTGGATGTTTTCACCGACACCCAGCAGGTCCATTCGGTTGTTCACGTTGCCTCCATTCATGTTAACAACCTTGAGAAGATGTGCTGCTTTACGGGGCCCAAGTCCACAGACATAAGGAAGGAGATTAGCGCTTGCTGTGTCGTGAACGGCCTCATTGAGGTCCACTCCCACCAAGTTGACCATGTCAACAAGAGCTGTCTCCAGCTGCTTGAGCAGCAGCTCTTCTGTCACCAACTGCTGGCCAGGCTTAAATTGGATGGACACAATGTCGCGACCGAGTGAAGCATACTCCTTCAGGGGTGATTGCAGATATCGGGCCAAAGCGACACAGTAGTGCGTTAATGGTCCAAAGCCTGGGTTATCTTGACGGGCTCTCGGGCTTTGGTGGTAAAGACGAGCGACTTCATCGTTGACAATAACGACCTCCAAAGGATCACTGATCTCTTCATCGCGGTCATCTGTGTAAAATGCGCCACGAATATCCTTTAACTCAACGAGCTCAGACAATAGCTTGTAGAGACGACGAGTCTCCGGTGTCATACCAGACACGCCAATAACATCTGGCTTGCGTCTCTCCACCAAATCCAAAAACGCTGCCACATTTGCGCCGTCATTGACACCACGGCTTTGGTCACCAACCGACAAGTCTGAGAATTTTCCATTTTCTAGCACACGACCATCTTCCTCGACATAGGCCCAGTGGATAGGATCTCTACCCACAACACCGTTTCCGCAGGAGAGCGCAATGATTCGAGGTACTGTGCCCAGAACCATACCCTTGGGTTTATAAGGAGCTTGGTCCAGTCGTTGAGAGAATGCCTCGCGGCACTCCCTGGCAACATGGTTCTCACACTCTTGGCGAATGTTTTCCTTGACACTGCGGTTGATGAGGCGCTCCAGCTTTACCAAAGCCATATCCAAAACTTCCCGGCGAAGGCGGTTCCATGCGTCGGCGACTTCTGAGTAGTTGTCAGATTCGATGTCGGTGTACAGTCGCTGGCGAAACTGATTGAAATTCTCGAAGCGCACTCGAACTTCCACAAGGCCCTCCTCTTCGGCCTTCAGCATGCGCAAGAACATTTCCGGCTGACGAGCAATATCACTAAGTTGCTGGTTTCGCAGGTATTTAAATTCGTAGTAAGGATGCTGTTCATCAATTCGGCGCAAACCCTTCTCTGTGCGGAAGCAATCGACAACACCATTCATGTAATATGCTTGTCGAATGACCTTGCGCATTTTTGCGCTGCAAGAGATTTCCTCGGCAAGCATGGACTTGGCGGCTTTCAGAACATGAGAGCCGTTTGCGAAGTTGCTATCCACAAATTGATCGGCTAGTTCGTCTGGGCCCTCGCTGGGATCTTCTGTGTATTGGCGTCGACCCTCTTTAGAGGCGTTTTGTGCAAAGGCGTCTGCAGTAATGCCAAAGGCACGCACCAAGCCATACGCCTTGCCGTTCCGAACTCGTTCAAAGATAGTCTTACCGGTCGTCTTGCGTCGCTGAGTTTCGCCGTTGCTTTCGCCATTCACAGCCGATGCATCATGGATTTGAGAGGCATATTGGAAGTGCATATATTCTTGCACATCCTGCAGCTCCTCGACGGTGGTCGCCGAAACGGAAAGGTCCTCAACAATGCTATCACTAACATTGAAAAGTCTTTGTAAATTTTCATATGTCTTTTGGATCGTGGTGCGTCTGTCGATGAACGAGCGGAACTTGAGGTCGTATTCGAAGATATCCCATAAGTCAGTCATGTTCAGAAGCTTTTCAGCACGAACATGGTATTGCGCCGATTCATCCGCAGGGTCCTCCCCGTTAAGAGTCTCCTTCACAGCGTGGATCATGTAGTCCTTGCGGTGTTGGAAGATGAAGGGAACTTCATAATCATCCGTAATCAAGAATTCAAGCATCTTTGCCACCGATCGTTGGAAAGGCTCACGCAGTTCCGGGTCCATGCGCTTCTTGAGGAGCATCAGATTCGAGATCCAAACAGCTTCCTCTCTGAACTGGTCCTCCGAAAGCACCACATGGCGGTATGGCTTGCGCGAAAGTTGATGGCGTTCGGGCTCATCCAGCAGACGGATCTCATTGTCCTCCTCCGTCAACATTCTTTCCGCTAGCTCTGAGGGTTCGAAAACATCGGTCATGTTGATCTTTCGCGACTCGGTCACTTTATCTTCCTCCTCCTGTTCTTCGATGTCGAGGGCGAATCTGTATTCTGTACCATCGCCAAATGCAGCACGTAGGTCTTCCAGGGCATTTTCGTCGAGGCCGGCACCTTCGGTAGCACCAAGACCGGGTACATGTGCTCGGGATGGAGGCGCAACTTCCAGATCATCTCGTTCACGTTGACCTTCTTCGTCTGAAAATGTGTCCTCTTCGATAAAGTCGTCGAACTCGTCGTGTCCGCCACGACGGGGGCCAGCATGTTTGTAAGGTTCTGGTTCCTCCTCCTCGTCTGAATTGAAGATGGCATCAACACCTTGGGATGGTTGGTGGCTATCACGGTCTTTTCTGCGCTTGAGGCGTTTGAATTTATTCTGTTAATCGGTAGACAATGACCGCGTTAGCAAATGTACCACGGCGCTTTTCGAGGAATTTCCCCGAAAAAAAAAACGCAAAGTGAATTTCCAAATAAGCGCATACCTCAGAAGGTTGACCACGGCTCAGCCCAGGTACATGCTCGCCGATGAGCTCCAGATCATCCTCGTCGAGATGTTCCTCTTCACGGGGGCGTGATCGCTTGCTCCTGTGGTGACGGCGGCGGTCTTCGATCTCTTCATCTTCGTCGACGATGAATCCTTCACGAACCTATCGCATGAATTGATTGTTAGCGCGCATGTTTCATCCATGGGACGCAAGCTCCAACTCACGGCGCGAGCGGCCTCTTCGTCGTCGTCCTCTTCTTCGTCTTCCTCGCTCGAGTCATTGTAATGGTTGGCGGTCCCAGCACCCTGGCGGACCTCGCCCTCATCGCCATCGTAATCCTCAGCGACATCTGCATCATTCTCGTCGTCATCCCTCATGGCCTCGCCATCGACCAAGTCGCGGAGACTCATGGTGGCTGGTCGGTAGCGATCCTTATTCCTAATGGAAAGTGAACAAGGACCAAAGGTATGAAGATGGAGAGGACGATAGCGCAGATCCGGCACCTGGCAGTGCCCGATTCAAAAAGGCGAAGGAATGGGAGTGGGTTGGATAGAGTTGAAAGAGAAAGTGAGAGCAGAGCAGAGCGCGCGAAGGCAGGGAAACCTACGACTGGCCGGTACTTGTGGCTAGTGCAGAGTGGCTGACACCTCTACAAATTGGGTTAGCCCAGGTTTATGTCATCACACCAGCCACCGTTCACTTTCCAGATCACGTGCTGGGCATATAGTGCCTGAGTCTGACTGCATTGCATGGTCGAGTCGGATCCTGCATTGTCGATTTTCTATGCAGTACTGTTCCTGGCTAGTTGTCCTTTGGTACCTTATTTACTGCTATTATTTACTTAATACTTAATAGATATCTTTGGTGAATATTTTCGCAAACCCAGAATCTACTCTTTCAAAGAGGGATTTTTCTTCCGAGGAACAGCTCCTATGGGGTAAAGACCAGTGGAGAAAGCAGGGAACACCTGTGTTTCAAATAATAGTAAAGTCTTCAACGTAGGAAAGACATATTGGAATATCCCACCGCCCCTTTCTGTGACCCTGCACATCCTTTTTCCCCCATTTGACTATTTTTGGCGCCAGCTGCCCATCCTCTCGGTGTTGTTGGTCCAGTCGATGCGCCCGCAAGGCCCAATCAGCGCCGCCAAGCACACATCTTAAGGTGATATCGGGTTCCCCGCCGCTAGTTCGCGCTTCTGCTTCTCCCTCTCCCATCAGCGCGGTCGGTCTTGCGCTGAGCCGATTCCTCTCTCCCTTTTCTCCCCCACCTTCTTTGTCGACTTGACTTGTCATCATCTCCTGTTTACACAGCTATGGCCGACCAGTTCAAGGCCCGGACGTTGAAACGCAAGAACGTCAAAGGCCTTGCCCTCAATGCGACCCCCAAGCCCGCCGCCGCGAATGCCTCCGACGGTGATGCCCAAGTTCCCGGGGCCGTCGGTAACTCAGAGGGTACTCATACAGATACCCTGGAAATTGGCCTGGAGTTCCGACTTGATCTCCGAAGTGAGGACCTGGTGACGTTGAAAGAGCTGGGAGCCGGTAATGGAGGCACAGTCTCCAAGGTGATGCACGCATCGACCAAGGTGGTCATGGCCCGAAAGGTGAGTCTCTTGAATGCGTATTTTCTCTTGTTCGTTTTCAATTCATCCAACTCCAAGCTAAATAATTTCCCGTCTACTAGATCATCCGAGTCGATGCCAAAGAAAACGTGCGAAAACAGATTCTCCGAGAACTTCGAGTGGGACACGACTGCAATTCCAACAATATTGTGACCTTTTACGGTGCCTTCCAGAACGAGGCCCGAGATATCGTCCTGTGTATGGAATATATGGACTGCGGGTAAGTTTCGAGCGCGGGGATTAGTCCCGTTGATGATGACCCCTCCTGGTGGCTGACGATTGTGGCACGCAGATCTCTCGACCATATCTCAAAGAATTTCGGTCCCGTTCGAGTTGACGTACTGGGCAAAATTACGGAATCAGTTCTTGCTGGTCTGGTTTATCTGTATGAAGTTCACCGTATCATGCATCGCGATATTAAACCTTCCAACATTCTGGTCAACTCCCGCGGAAACATCAAGCTGTGTGATTTTGGTGTCGCTACGGAAACCGTCAACTCTATCGCCGATACCTTTGTTGGAACATCGACCTACATGGCCCCGGAGCGTATCCAGGGAGGCGCCTATACCGTCCGCTCAGACGTGTGGAGTGTTGGTTTGACTGTCATGGAACTGGCCGTTGGACGATTCCCATTTGATACTTCGGAATCAACGGCAGGAGACCGAGCCAGTGCCGGTCCAATGGGTATTTTGGATCTGCTTCAGCAAATCGTTCACGAGACTGCGCCTAAGCTGCCCAAGAGCGATGCTTTCCCACCCATCCTGCACGATTTTGTTGGGAAGTGTCTACTGAAGAAGTCCGAGGAGCGCCCAACTCCGCGAGAGCTTTATGTATGTTATAAATGCGCCCGAACCCTTGGGTATCACCGTGACTAACACTTTCGGATATAGGACAAGGATGCTTTCCTACAGGCGGCAAAGCGTACGCCAGTTGACCTGCAAGAATGGGCCATCAGTATGATGGAGCGTCACAATCGCAAGTCCTACTTACAGCCCCCGGCGCCGAAGTCTCTCAAGGACCCTCAGACCTCCACCCCAATAATTTCATCTACTGTTCCTACACCTGTTGCAGCGCCCCCAGCACCGCCCGCACCAATCTCCAAGCCTCCTCCCCCTCCCATCAGCAAGACAGTCCGCAGCCCACCGCCACAGCAATCACCCTATCACCAACAGCAATCATCCTACCCAAAACACCCTCCTTCGGGAGAAATCCCACTCAACATTGGCAGCGACTTCCCGATGCCCAACCGCTACTACGGCCACCAGCCTCAAAGCTACTCGACCCGCACCAACTCCGCGAAATCCCCTCCACCCCCATCATTGGAGCACCTGTCCCTGGAAACAAAAGATGACAGTGATCACCGATCTCGCCGCCCCAGTCGCCAGCACCTAGGCGACCCCGTCTCAGCCGTCGACGCCCCTTCGCGACCCTTTATGAGCCCACGCTCCGCGAGCTCCCACAACACCAAGTCCCGCACAAACTTGAACCCAGCAACCTTGCCCATCCGCGCGACTCCCCCGCCAACCGGTCCACCCCCACCCCCACCAGTCTCCGCAGGTGGAAACTATCGCGGATACCCCGGTTACGGCATGCCAGGCGCGACATCTTGAGCGATTAGAAAGCGAAGCGATACCTGCCTAAAATACAAAAAACACGACACAAGCCAGGGATGCCGATATGCCATGTTTTAAATGATTTCTCGCGATGTCCGGCCATCTCAGATGCGTTTTGCATATGCATGAACATGAACATGATATTGACACTGCGCCTTCGAGCTGCATTAGCCCCATCGAGCCCTTTACATTTACTCTACACACTTTCTTTGTCTTGTCTTGTCTAGCCTGTCATCTTCGTCCTGCTCACCTTGCGAACGAGATTGTTTTATCCCAAGCCCGCCTCACTCGGAGTCGAAAGCAAGCACACTATTTTATCCATCCATCCATCCCATCCCATCCCATCCCCTTCCCTGAATCGATACATTTTGACCTCTTTTCGTTTCACATTTCCTTTCTATTATTTCTTTCCTTCTTTCCAATCTTGCCTTCCCTTCTATTCCCCAACTCTATTCCTGGACACTCCTCTTTTTCTTTCCTTTCTTTTCTTTCTACAAATGGTACAGGCCCCCTCCTCCCTCGCCCTCGCATTTCCAATGACCACCCTGGCACGAACCAAATGACCCCGGACGATCTTGGACTTGTGGTTTGTTTTGTTTTCTGCATGATACGGCGTACATAGTGCAAGCTCTGATGATTCAATCTCATATTAAATCTGGTTCTTTTTTCCCTGAATAGTGCGGTGCCCGTTCTGGCATTACCTACTAGTAGGTAGATTGTCTTCGTACTCTCGGTCTGGTCATGGCTTAAGTATTAGGAAGAGCCGCCCTCGGGTATTATATCCCCACTTTGAACCTTGGAAGTTTCAGGTTCTCTGGCAGTGATGGGATAGGCACGCTGAGTCTGCTGGTACTACTAATAGTACTAGCAGTACTAGCTATACAATGAATAGTACTAGTACAATTGGAACCAAGCTACTGGATAGTTTTCTTCGGGGAAATACAATCATAGAAGTCCGAGTCGATGTCTTGCCCACGGGCCAAACATCATAGATAAACATTTAAAAAATATACCCGTATAGATACAGATTCACCACATACAAGCATAAAGTAAGGCTCTGGAACGACACAACACAACACAACACAACACAGCAAAAAGAAAACTCCGAAAACAATCACAAGAGTTCAACAACGTACAACCATTCTTTCCATCCGACGCCAATACCGACACCGACACCGACACCGAAATAAAAGCAAATCATACAAAAAGTCACATAAGAATAGACCCCCACAAATCAAGACAGCAAAAAGACAACGAAATCTTCTACACGCGGATATTCTATTCTCACTCACGACAAGCTCGGTCCAGCAAGCGGGCTAGGACCCGGCGTCGGGGCGAGATTGGGGTTCTGACTCGGAGTCAAGTTCGGCGGGGCAGGAGCCAGATCCATCATCGACATCACAGACGGACTATTATGAGCGGGCGTGGAAGGCGTTGACGCGGATGTTTTCGCTCCACGAGTACTTGAGCTTCCGCCGCGAGCAGAGCCTCCACGAGCGCCGCGGCCTTCGTGCGCCGCTGAAGCCGATGTACCGTTTCGTTCGCCGTGCTTTTCAGCGTCGGCTTTTTTGGACCCGCGGGGTCGGCGCGAGGTACCGCCTCTTGAACCGGGGCCGCGGAGAGGCAGACCTGTATCTTGGGATATGGGGACGGCGGCGGCGATGGGGACATGGGGGTGTGAAGCCAGGGCTCGACCTCGGCCTGTGCCTCGTCCGCGACCACGGCCGCGCTTGATTGTTCCGTCGGCACTGTATTGCTGGTTAGTTTGTGGTTCAATTGGAAATGTAGCAAGGAAGGAGACTGACCGTTCCACCTGGACTTTGTCACCCTCTGGTACGAGCGGGCCACTGTATACGAAGAATCCGTCTTTACTTGCAGCGGCTTGTTCCTGCCAAGCCATCTCGCTGTCGTCAACGAAGGGGTCGTCTCGATCGTACTCTTCCACCTTCTTGCGCCGCCTCTTCTTGCCATCGCTGGCCTCGGAGGGTGCACCGTTGGTCCCGGTTCCTGCGCCTCCCATGGTAATGTCTCCGTCCATATCACTATCGCGATCCACATCGAGACTTAGGTCTTCTTCGGCGCTCTCTCCGGCAGACTTGCCCTTATCGTTGCGCTCGAGGGCAGCACCCGCAGCGGCAACACGGGCGAGACGCTCTTTGTGCGCGGCGAGGCGAGGATGTAATGCTGCGAATCCATACTGCTCCTCTGCTAATTGCGCAAAGTTCACGATCTGGTTTCCCTTTTGCAAGGGAACGTGAACGATGATGTTGGGCGTGCTGCGCGCATCCGGGGACTTGGAATCGTCTGCGCCGCCAAATAAGGCGGTGGTAATCAACCCAGATCCTTGGGGGAGTGGTGGAGCTTCCTTGGTCGCGCGACCCGGCTTTGGTGACGGGGCCTTGGAGGATGGCGCAGTAGCGGCACCCTTCTCTTTCTTAGCGCTTGATGCGATTGGTTCTTTTGAATCAATGTCCATGGCATCGGAGGATTGTTGGGATTTCTGCGGGGTAAATGCTTGCACTGAGGGTTCGACTTGTCGTGGAGGCTGCTGCGACTGAGCTGGTTGATGCTGAAGCGCTGGCGGGGAGAGTTCCAACTGGGGAGGTTGTGACAGCGGTGGATTTTGACCCGAAGCTGTATATGACGCATGGTAATTGGATGGTATTGACTGGGTCACGGGAGTTGGACCATTCGAGGGTGATGATACCGGCATTGGTGATGGAGCTAGGGAAGGATGGGAGGGCGCAGGAGCCACGGCATGCGGCGCCGGGGAGGAAATAGTCGAGACATGGCCAGAGGTAGATCGAGCAAGTTGTGGATAGGACGGTTGTGAGCTTTGGGTAGGTGGATCGATGATACTCGAGATGGCCGGCGAGGCACTGGCACGATAGTTATTTTGGGGCGAAACGGTGTGTGTTGGAGGACTATAAGCCGGGGCGGGAGAAGCTGTGCCGAAAGCTGAGCGAATCGGGTCAAAGTTCTGACCGCTGGTTCGAGGTGGTGGCTGCGTCGGCTGAGGAGGAGGGGGTTGTGAATGAGGCCGAGGCGGATAAGATTGATGAATGTTATACGCAGGGCTAGGCGCTGGTGGTGGGTGTGGACTCGGGGAGTAGGTTGGTGTTGGGGCGGGTGGAGCGGGGGGAGCAGTCGCAGGAGGTGCAGATACAGGCGCGGGTGTGGGTGTGGGCGTGGCTGCGGGTGGAGGTGCAGGTGCGGTTACTGGTGTAGGTGTAGGAGCTTGAGATGGAACTGCCGCTGGAACGGGAGCTGGAGCTGGAGCTGGGACTGGAGCTGGGACTGGAGTGGGGGCTGGAGCTGGAGTGGAAATAGGTTGTGGTGTAGGTTGGGGAGAAGGAGCAGCCTTCTGTGATGGAGTCCGGGGGTCTGCAGCTGCTGCGCCAGCCGTGGCTTCATCCGCTGGTTGCTCCAATTTCGCCTTCTTGCGTGCTGCCGCGGTGGTCATAGACTTTTCGCGTGGACGACGAGGGGCGCGAGTAGGCTTTTCTTTTTCTTTTGTTTCCTTTTCCTTTTTAGCCTTGGTATCGGGGGTGTTGGCCGTCTCTTCATCCTTCTTTCGACGCGACCGCCTAGTGGTGGAGGCACGTCGGGTGTTCAGCCCTCCGGCCTTGTCAGTTTCGACGGGCGGGGCTTCTTCTTTCGGGGCTGTCCCAGTTGTTTCCGTGGCCATGGTTGTGGAAATTGAGGAATTGGCGTAAATCAGTGATGGTGGAAGGTGTATAAGATGATAGCAAGGATGATGTTGAATGTTGAAAGTGGAGGTGAATGTGTAGGTCGACACGGTCGGGGGGGGGGGCTGACGAGGTTTAGAGAAATTGGGGGGAGAAGTGGGAGATGGACAAGGTGGAAAAGGTGGGAATGGAACACCAGATTGGATAAATCGAGGGGAAGAAGATGTTCGGGGGATTAGATTATTGAAACAAGAACATCAAAACTGGTGGTGGATAGGAAAGTGAAAAAGGAACATAGAGAAGGGGAAAAAGAAGGGGAAAAGAAGAAGAGAAAAGGGCGGGAAAGGGCGAAAGAAAGGGAAAAAATTAAAGGGAAAGGAAAGGGTAAGGAAAAAAGGTAAGGAAAGGGGAAAAGCGATCAAGGAGCAGGTTGGATGTGCTTGAATTGACAACCAGGACAGCGGTGGAAGAGAGATCTAAGCGTTGTATCAAATGGTTCTGGTGGTTCCAAGCTGAGCTCTTACTGAGAGATCTCTAACCTCTTGGATCCTATACTTTCAACTGATAATGGACATTTCATGAAGTAATTCGATTCAATTTTCCTCGATACGCGCGGATCTGGCGTTAGTGGAGGAGATCCATCATTTTCCCGCGTATACTTCGGCTCCGCAACCCTCTTAGGCCTAGACGCCTGTTGCATCGATGATCCCAGTACGAGATCTGGGGATCATTCGAGTGGGCCTTCAGTGTGGACATCTTGGATCGCTATGTTTATTTGATCATGAACCTTTCCGTTGGGTGTTGCACGCCTCTATCTTGTCTCAAAACTGGAGATTAATGCATCTGCTGTATCATCGGAGAGGTGTTGGGCATCAACAAGCGTGGGAGGTATAGAAACGATAAGGATGGATGAGAGTGAAGGCGATGTAGATGATAGAGGGAAATAATTTTAGCATAAATTGAGTGTCTTATAACCAAACTGACATTCACTAACTGCATAGATAGTTAACAGCTATGCCGTCAAGCCGGTTCCTAAGGTAAACTGGACATTGGGAACTCCCCAGACTTAAGTTGCAATCGTTAGGATTGCCTATCTGGGCCTAGCACATCCGCTATCAGAGCTAACCTATTCTGGTTAGTGCTATGCATGTATTCCCCAATTTTAACTTTTGGAAGGGTTGAGCCGCAGGCCCCGCCCTGACATAACAGAACTTCTTTTTTTCCCCTCTGCAATCCCATAATGGCTTTCCCCGGCGAGCGTTTCACTCTCGACCTCGAGGGCGATATTAATATCCCCTCAAATCCTCCAGCCTCTCCATTCGATTTGATCGGTGAAATCCGCGAGAGAAAGCCCACCGCCCCCAAACCGCCCGCACCGACGCCCACCGCTTCTTCCACTGGCTTCCCCGCCCACCGTCGCCGCAACAAACCCTCCTCGTTCAAGCAGCGCCGTACTGAGCAAGCCACCCCTACTGTTCCTCCAAAAGAAGATCTCACAAAAACTACCCCGCCTACTCTACAAGATGACAAGAGGTCTATCGGGGAGGAGAACACCCGCCACCTGGCATCCATGTCAGAGGCGCAGATCGAGAAAGAGCGGGAAGAGCTGATGGCATCGCTGGACCCCGGACTCCTAGAACGCTTCTTACGTCGTGCAAAGATCGACGAGGATGAAAAGGCCAGCGACAAAGCTCCCCCAGCAGCCGCAGCAGCCCCATCAACCTCGGCAAAGCAGGCAGAGGTCCAGGACGAAGAAGAATTACCCTCCAAATCCAAGAAATCAGTCTCATTCGACATCCCACCCCCAGCCAAAGCACCACCCAAGAAGCAAGAACCCACCCCGCCAACAAACTCGAAGCTACCACCAGGAGGACACGACGATCTCCCCCCAACAACCGTCCCAAAGGACCTCCACCCAGCATCAGAGTACCCAAACATGGACCCCTCAACCATCGAACGCTTCCACTTCCCCCAACCAACAAAGCCAATGCCAACCCTAGACCCATCCTCACCAAACTTCCTCGAAGATCTAAAAACTCACTACTTCCCCGAAATCACCCACGACCCCTCCTCCCTCTCCTGGCTCCAACCCCCGTCCTCCGACGAAGAAGACCCCGAATCTTCATCCGCCTACCACCCCGCCAGCAATGCCATCTCCATGGCCCCCTCATCAATCCGCTTCTCGCTGCGCGGCACGATCCTCGCGCCGGAAACATCCCTCTCCCTCCCGACGAACCTGGGCCTGCATCATCACGGTGATGACCCGCAGGCGGCGGGCTACACGATTCCCGAGCTGGCGATTCTATCGCGCTCGACGTTCCCTGCGCAGCGGTGCGTTGCGTGGCAAGTTCTTGGCCGGATTCTGTACCGGCTGGGCAAGGCTGAGTTTGGGGAGCGCGGCGGTCAGTTGTCAGAGGGACTGTGGTTTTGCATTGAGAAGGAGGGTGTTGTGGCGGGGATGCTGACTGAGGCGGATGGCGGGGTGAACTCCGATCTGGGGAAGATCAAGACGGATGGTAAGGATAAGAATGGTGGAGAGAGTGAGTCTGGTCCGCCTGTTGCGTCGGGGATTGGGCGCCATGCTAGTGCGACGGCTTGGGCTGTTGAGGGCGTTTGGTTGTGGCAGAAGGGTGGTGCTGGTGATCGGGGTTTGTTGAGAGAGGGGCAGCATCGGTCGACGTGATTGTATCAGCCTGAGCTTTCGGAGATTTTGTGCGTCGATTTTTTTTGGATTTCTCTGAGTGGGATATTGCATCGCAGCGTGGCTTTTATATATAGATTCATGACGTACTTCTAATTAACTTCGATCTAGAAGTTGATACTAAAAATATATCATTCCGGATACCTCCAGGGCTGCAATATAACTTGAAGTTCTAAGGTTAGAAGACTTATTCCGAATATAATCCTATTAGCTACCAATGAAACGGACTTCAACTTGAAGTTTGTTCAATACTTACCTAGGTAAGTTCAAACTCCCGAGGTCCAGAGCTTAAATTTAAAACCTTCACCTGGAAGTTAAAACTTCCAGTGGAAAGCACCTGGGCATCTAGTAACTAGGTAACTCACCGGGGCAGACTCGGGGATACTCACCACTTACATCTACTGACACTTGGGCAGAGCTCAGGTCATATTTCTGAACCGAGCCCAAATGCGAAATACTTCAAAGCATACCTACCTAGGTAGTAGTAGTAGTAGGCTCTACCTAGATACTGAACCAACTCGACTACTACTATTAGTAGTAATACTACTAGTACTACCCCAAGTCCGTGGCGCGGTAGATGCACACCTGGGCATACACTTAGTGGCTACCCAGGTCAAAATCCCACTCCCTTCAGAATCCATACATGATGACCAAATCCACAGACTACGTATACTATTCCACCCCCTCACCAATAGGAAGTGAGTAAATCAACTCCTCCCATGTCAAGTTTTTCAATCGGACTCACACCACTTTCCAAATACGAGCCGAGCCGTAACTCTGCGCGCTAGATCGACATTTCGAATATCTGGGTAGGCCAAGCATCCTATCAGCCTCTCCCAATTATCTAGAAGTTGATACCAAAAATACTATATCGTTCCAAGGTTTCGAATCATGATATCAGATATAGGAGGTCAAGTGGGTAGCACCATTCCGAATCTACCTAGGTAACACCACTACTACTACTACTCAAAAAGCCGACTTTGTTCAATAATTTGAACTTGAATTCAAAAAGTATCTTCTGCTACTTCTTGACTTAGAGAAGCTCACCACTTACCTCCAGGGCCTATACCATGCTTTACCGACCCCCAATGCGACCTCGGGAAATACCTCAAGTTGAAAATAAACTTCCTTAAATGGCCTAGCCCATGTGACAGCGTACCTAAGTATGCATATACGCTTTTCTCATTTAGGATTGTACATGCTGGCTGCATCACAGACTGCATATCTTTCATTGCCATTGCCAAATAGGAAGTAACTAAAGTAAACAACCCCCCATATCCAGTTCTAAATCGTGAGGCTCAGCTCAGATTCTCGAAATATAAGCCAAGCCGTAATTCTGGGTGATAGTTGATCGACTTTTTGAATCTCTGAGAACAGGCCCGGCATCCTATCAGCCTGTGCCATTACCGTCGCTAAGCCCGTTCGTCCAAGCCCTGCCTAGGCCCCCCACTCAGGGTGCGCGGACCCACTTCGAGCTCCTCGCACGAACCGGGCGTTAACTAGTTATAGCTTGAAAATATAAAATCGTAAAAGTGAGTTAAATGTCCGAGCGGATGGGGTCCTTTTTTCTCATGATAGCTTTTAACAGTCTTGGAATGGTGGTACTAGTACATCATCTAGGTAGTATACTACGGCGTGCAAAAAAGGATATTAAAATATTTTATTGATATTTTTTCTATTATATTATATTGCGTATTCCCATCAATTAAAGTCGTAAATTATAGCCCAAATGCCCAGCATCCCAGCATCGTTCGCCATCTCAGGCTAGTGTGTTTGTGTGTGGACTAGCGCAGTGCAGTGCAGTCTAGTCCAGTCCATGCGGTCCAGTTAAGGCTAGGCCTTTACTTGGAAGCAGGCTTGTCGGAGTTGCGACGGTTGAGCTTCTTGGTCCTATTTAGCGGATTAGCGTATGTTCAAGGATAATTTAAAGTATTGGAAGCGTAGGCAACGTACTGGCGAGAGAACCATGAGAAGCGGCGGGAGGAGGAAGGTCCAGCAGAGACGGACTCTTGGGACTTGTTCATGTCCTGGAAGATGGACTCGATCTGCTGAGCGTCGAGCTTGGCGCCGCCGGCAACGTTGCTGGTGCTGGAAGCAGCCGAGCGAGGGCTGGTGCCGTAGGGGCCATTTCCGATGTAGGGGCAAGCGACCATTTTGATGTGTGTGGTTGGTTGGTTGGTTTGTTGGTTGGTTGGTATATACCGAGGATTGGTATTGGAGGAGAGTGGTAGTGAAGTGAGGAGTGAAGTGAACTGGATTGGATTGATGATATTCGAATTCTAGCTGGACATTGAAGGCGTTTATATCCTCTTCTACTTCCTTGCCTAGTATACATCAGGTTAGCTCTTTTTTGCGCTTTTTTCTCGCAGGTCATGGGACGGACAACCCGAAAACGTGTTCCAGTGCCGGGAAGCCGACCCAGCCCCTCTCAGCCCATGCCGCTCCCGTAACTCTGCCAGCTCTGCCAGCTAGCTTTGCCCGGCAAACCTGCACAAAACCAGTTATTTGCCACCCTGGTCTAGGCCGATCTCCCGATCACCCATCACCCGATCATGCAAAATTTTCCTTGATATCTGAGCTCGGCTCCATCCGCGAAACCAGCGAGCCTATCAGGGCGTTTCTATGAGTGATTTTTTGGAAACTCCTGACAGCTCGAGACCCTCTTTGAGTCTCCGCGGATAGCAGCATTCCTTTTCGTTAATCATTTCTATCACGCACGGTGGCGAGACCGTGGTACCTGTCTGTGCTTGGACCCTACCCTGGCCCGACCGAGATAGGGGGCGGCTCTGGCTCTGGCTGTGGCTGTCGTGGGCGCTCGGCTTACTTTCTCTTTTCCCAAATAAGCACCTAATGTCCTATCTATACTCGCTGTATGACCATTCTAAATTTGAAGATAATAACTTGATCTAGAACACACTTGGAACGTCTTTATTCATCCCTGCGCAAAATAGCGTGATTGCGCTCGGCTAAGGAGCAAAGTGTTCTGTGCTCCGTACTCCGTACATCCTCGCCAAATGATATCGTTAGAGCTTGCATGTGCTGCTCTGACAATCCTCTCTGACTCACGCCAGCTGGCAGATTCCTCATTCTACGGTGTATCCCACAGACCCTCCCTGGGTAGAACGCGTAAACGATTTTGGAATTAGGCTTGTGGGTATAGTGGGGCTACCCTGCGAAGAAAAAAAAAATTGATATGCACGCGCACTGTACTTGCAGACTAAGAATACCTCCGTATGGTTCCAAGGTTCGTGGCCCGTAGTCATAGCTTTTGTTCCGAAGAGACTTTCGGCCCGCGTTCCAGACTTGGAAGCAAGGGTAACCTACCTATTGTGGTCGTTATCTGGTCCTGTGGGCATAATAGAAGGTCCTCGCCCATGGGATGCTCTTATCTACCGAACACTACATTCCGAAAACGGGATCTAGCTGAGGTTCTCTAGGGTAAACTGCCGCATGGAAAAGGTGGGCCGGTCGGGACTTCCTCTAGTCACTGGGGAAAATCAAGTCTGGTGTACGGAGTACGGAACGGAGAGATAAGATTCAAATGCATCCCATTGTCATACCATGGATACAGTACGTCCCGAAACTGGTGCAACGGTTTACACTCTTAAAGTGATTATTTAGCCCAACTGCCAAGAAATATTAGACCATAAGGAATATAGTCGGAATAAAAATATTCCTCTTCCAGTCTCGATACCGTGATTTACTTTTATCAAATTACACCACCTCGTCTTGTAATTGTTTGGCGATCCAAGGGAACTAGAACTTCCAGGGAATTGCAAACAAGTCAAACACTAGAGCTTGGGACGCCATCAGTAATCTGCCCTTTATCCGATTCTGCGGACATAGTTGGCGAACGTTCACCTTCTTTGCATCGCTATCTATCGAACCAGCAGAGTTTCAGTCCTGTGGTTGAAAGTGCAGATAGAAGCGTATGGGATGAAAAATCTCCGGACTGTATCCACTACCAGATCGAGTGGAAGCGTTTAATTGAATAATCGAGTTGTGGTGAAGGATACAAAACAAGACCTTATTCAGCTACCTAGATCCTACTGGTAAAGAGGATGCCTGTCATATTCTAGGGCGGAAGACAGCTCGTGGCCGACGGGTGAGACTAGATGATATTGACATGGTGTTATCGGTGAACTCCTAACGGAATATTGACAACCACTTTGAAGGTACTAGTGTTGATTGGACCGCTGTGGAGAAACAGCTGCTAGCGTGGGCCTATCTATTCCATCGTGGCAAGAATATACGGCTCCAGATAACGATCAACTATATAGAGGACAGCGGGCCTCTTCCTTGTAGAATAGACAAGAGAGGAAAGTCATCGGTGACTACACGGATGCTCGCTGACCGAGACACGTAGATCGGCGCGGAGCAAGTCTACGGCCAACTTTCCGTCTGGCGTGAAGTGTATCGTGTTATGCGATGTCTCGGGCTTCCGTGTCGTCACGAAGGACAATATTGCTGGCAAGATCTAGAGGGAAAAAGGCACTATAGATTGCAAACACACTATCTGAGTCGTAGTGAATAATGAGTTGATCCCTTCGATGTATACATACCTTGGTATATAGTGCTATCTACTGGGTATAGATTCAGTAAGGGATCTGGAGATATGGAAGAGTTAGGGCTTAGTGCAGAAACAGTATCTGTAGGTAAGGGATCCAAGAAAGTCGCCAGGAAGACAGGAAGTGGAATCGGTTGTGATTCAGCAAGGCCCTAATCTCGAGAAAAGACAGGGGCCACCATGGGGCATCATGATTAGCCCCGGGATGACAGATATCAGGCCGACCCAAGACGTAGGATATTTTCTTTTGCGGGATTTGATCGAAACCTTCTTCAGGTCGGTACCTCATCTACATAGCTGAGACAAGTCGACTATCATCTATATAGCATAGGAAGACCAAGCGCTGAGTCTTGATTTCCTCGATGTTTGTCACTCTAACAGGGTCGTTCATTATAGCCACGCCTAGCTATGACACCGTAGTTTCGTCACTAGAACAATCACATATAGTACTATAAATCGTCTTTCTTCCAAAATTGCCGCTGTCTCTGGTCCCATGCCTGCTGGAATAATAAACCAACTTGAGCAGCGCCCTCAGCCGCCAGATAGCAGTCTTGTAGCCGTCCTCCTATGATCTCAACATCACCAAGAGCATCTTCAAGGCTCTGCTTGATTAATGATCCGTCAAACCCACTCGTCAAAATAAACGCTTTATCAATTTTGGTAGTGGCCATGTCATCCCAAATATCTCCGGTAGGATTGTCTACACAAATATCAGCTAACAATTTTACCCAGACGGTCCACTGGCAACGTACTCGCAGCAACGAGATAGTTATGAATATTCTGCGCAATGCTTTGAATATATTTCATCTCTCCTGCTTCGACATCAACCCATGACAGCACAGCAGTGGCGTCGGGGTCCTTCAGATGCAGAGGGTATTCGTTATGGTGATGGTCCGGGTGGTCCTCGGCCCCCAGCACTTCGCGATCAATGTTATCTCGTATCAGCACACGCGCCTTCCGGACTTCTCCCTGCAAAGCGGCCTTGGATCCACCGAGCGAAAGCCAAGTCTGTAGGATTTTCGATCGTTCAATGGCCGAGCGGGTTATATCCCGATCGAGACCGGCACTTCCCCAGGGGTCCATGGGGAGGCGCCCATTCCGGGCCATTGGCTGGGGACTCACATTGAGACCTCGCAGGTCCAGATAATATTGTCCTAGGTCCATAATGAGATATTTCCCGTCCGCCTCTCGAGGAGTCCCATTGCTGCTATATGTTGATAAGGCCATCCGGCTCATGGGCTCCACCAAAGGCGTGATGCCAACCTTCTGGCTCGCCTCGAGGAATAAATCCACCAGGGTTTGGTTGAAAAAGTCCGGGAGGGCGATGACCGCCGATTGCATATCAATGTTGTGCTTGGTGCGTACCTCTTCCTGCAGCCGCGTGAGGATATCGACAAACGCATCCTTCACATCATTCAGCGTGAACTCCCCTAATTCCGACCTTCTGGCACTGCGAAGCCGAGCCGTGATGCCGTACCAAGCACTGCAGACGCACTGCCGTACCCAAGACAGGTTCGCTGTGTCATGGCTACAATAGGTCAAGGACGATACGAGCCTTTCAAACAGCTTTACCACAGCATTGGAAATGCCAAAGGTCCCTTCGTTCGTCCGGCCATATAGGGCGTCGAGCGAGCCGTCACTCCATGCTTCTAGTCGCAGCAGGAATAGATAGTTGTTCAAGGGATCGCCTAGCTCAGGTTTGATACAGGCTGGCAACGTCACATTATCACTGCTATACGCATGTGCCACAGTTCTAGGATTCTGGTCAATAGTCACCACAAGGGAGGAGGTGGCGGCTTCATCAAAGCGATTTTTGACACGCACATCATATCGGGCCCCAAATCAATGCCGATGGCCTGAGGGCGGGCTGCAAAGATTGCGTCTACAAGGGATATAACGAATCCCCCGCAGAGAACCAATCGCAGCAAACACACCATGTCGGATTGATTGGTATACCATACAGGTCAAGCAAGGATTTCAGGCATGGCGGAGGGAGTCATATTTCCGTGTGAGTCTAAACAATGCCAAGGGACATTGGGCGCTACTTCACATGCAGTGACACACCACCAATGAAGTGATGAGTTGCCAGTAAAAGTGAAATGAAGCCCCACCTCAGCTTCACCTCTGGGTAATGGCGGTGGATGGGCATTGGAGATATCAGATGTATTAATTTACAAGTGAATACATGACAGAAATTACTGTGTAAGCTACGTACGAAAGAATACATACGCAACTCCCGGAAGAACTCTCAATACAGACTATTGTGTTTCAGCACAAGCGGCAGAAAAGTTAAGCGGAGAGTGGATCAGTTGCACCGGTTTCGCGACGTGCTGTATCATATCGTACAGGAATACCAATACCCACTCGCTCAAGTATACGACAGAACGAAACACCGACCACATGCAGAGGTATACGAAAAAGAAATGAGATAAACAATACACCCACCCCCACTAACTCTAACTCTGCTTCCGATCATCAGCCTGCACCCCCCCAAACCCGCCACTTCGTCTCCTCAACAAAGTCCCTCCGCAACCACAATCCAGAAGACTGGGACTGGGATTGCGACGCGCCCTGCGCAGTCAAGCT